TCATGACAATCATGTTTATCAACTTGAATGAACATTCAAACAACTATGTTTCATCTCATCACTCTTCATGAACAACTTTGAACACTCATCCATTTGGTGATAACAACGAACATGGTTGACGTATCCAATACGGTTGAAGCACACATCTACGATCACTACAAATGATTTCAATCATGATTCCGTCATCACAACACCAAACAACACCGATCAGTCACATCAACATTTTTTTGGAAAAATTCTAAATGCGGAAGTATAGGGTCAGTAAAACCAGACAAAATTCAAAATCAAGATGACATGAACATTGACGCATACCAACCACATACACCATACATTTCACATGCACTGATCATGAAAATCACTGAATTAATTCTTTATTTTCAACATAGCCATCATGAATCAACACAGGCTATCCATGAAAGAGTGTCAAATGTGACATGAGTGGATCCTTCCATCACACAATGAATCACAACACTCCACAACATCAATAATAACACAATGGAACAATATCAACACATGGATGATTGCAACTATTCAAGAAAACAACCATGTCTCACATTGTAATGCACTTCATGACAAAATCTTCTCAGGTGCTCAACAACAATACATTCTAGACATGAACAAGCACAACAATTAATGTCAATGTGTTGTACACCATCTCAGCTACCATAAAAAGCTAACTACATCACTCTCCTGACAAGTTTTCAAAAATTAATTAATAATCATTTTCCACAATTCTCAGGTGTCTCATAACGAAATCAACTCATATACATAAATTCCACAAATTTCAAAATAACAATATCACACTATATACTATCATATCAAGTCACTGTGATATTCTTAAAATTATTCAGTATCGTAATATCACGTGAAAAAGAAAAATGAATTGAAAGAGTGAGACACCACTTCCATAAATTGATGAGTCAGTGAGTGCAACCAACATGGATGTGTCACACTCATCATGACGAACATGTTGATATGTATTGTTCATGACAAACTCACTCTCGGAAGGACATGGTATTACACCACCACAACATTCATCATGATACTCCACCAATTATGATCATAACCATCATCAATAGTCATAGAAATACTCTCCACAATGTATTATATAACATTGCAATCATTGGTTTATCGAAAAACTGAACCAGTCAATTGTTATAAAATGATCATTCAATCATACAACAATACATACCAACAACAATTCATCATGATCACTTTCAACCAATCACAATCACACGAAACACTTCTACAATGATGATCATAACGTGTCATGGTGATAGAATGAATGACATGAACAAGAGAGGAGAGTTGTACCCTTCCTCAAGAAATGATGTTTTCAAAGAAAAGCGAAGTGCTCCCATTCAATGAAACAATCATGTCAATGAATAAAACTGATGATTTGTTGTTTGAATGATCAGAACATCCATCCATATCATTTTCATGTAGTTCTGTGAAGTACTTGTCTCGATCGTACTTTTCAGCACTACCATAGAGCCACCATCACACTTCACATCACACAAAGTCATGAAATGACCATCATTTTGAATTGAATCAACGATCAATTCTATGGTTTCTGATCACTGTAACAACATTCCGATCATCAGATTCATTCCATGATCATCACATCCAACGGGAGCAATTCACAACAATTCCAACCATTACTATTTGATGATTATCATTTCCATGTGTATTCATACACACAAAATATTCCTCATAAATGTTGATCATGATGTGCACATTCGATGTGATCAATATAAATATGACATGATGATGAATGGAAACATGACCCGACGTTGATGATGATCACCTCAAAAATGCAGGGAGTTTTGGCTTCATTTTTTTTTAATTTTTTTTTGAAAAATTTTCATTTCATTTTTGACCTCGATGAAACTCCTTCAAACTTGATTTTCTCGAAAACTACCCTAAACCTGATCGAATGCTCTATCATGACCCCCATTATTTTCGTGAGATCTACAAAAAAGGTGTCGCTTAAATTCTATCAAAAATTTGACACCTGTCACCATTTGTTGAACAACTCAACCAGCTTAGCTCACTATCCAATGATGTCGCTAGCACGAATGTACTACTCTTCAAAATCTATCGAATAATGTGCTTGGATCAAGCTCAACATCAAAGATGACGAAAACCCCGACCATGCACGAAAGGTCTACTTTAAGCGAATACAGTTCAATAATTACCCATAATTAATGGATGAAAGTCATATCAACACATAGATATACCTCCATCCCCGACGATTTCATAAAAATTAAAAATCCCATCATTAAGCATGTCGAAAAATTAAGATTACGAGTCAAGGCGGTCACCTATCCAAACCCAACCCTTTTCCATGGAGAAGATAGACCAAAGAGATGTCCAGGTTGTAAATTACATTCGTAAATAATTCCATCGGTACACAATCACCGTTTTTACTGCTTGGTTGTTGACCCAAATCTCGAAAACAAATCAGAGGTTGGGAGAGGTGGTCGACAATCCATGTTCTCATCACAACATCTCCAAAACTTCAGCTGCTCGTATTGGCCACAAAACAGGTGTTGATAAGACTTTGCAAGAAGTGATGGCTTGTGCAAAGGTTCTTGTTGTAACATAACTTATCTTTTTAATCATGTTGTTTTTTACCTGCTATCTTTGGAATTTGAAGAGATACCATATTTTCCATTTGTTTCAGTTGCACGTTAACCGAATGTATCACTGTTCTTGTGCCTTCATTCATGGTTTCATGGTGCAGATTTTCGTGCGTTGATTTGGCCAGTCTGCTATGTTGTGATGATGTTGTTGAATTAGCTTTTGGGTATATTTAGGACTGACTAATGTTTCTCCGTGTTCCCTAGTATTCCCAAATAATACAACACATAATTTCAATAGGTGTTTGTTCAATGTTCACATCCAGGTCCACAAATACCGTCTTCAACGGAAATAGTTCCATTATTTTGTTGAATGAACCATTACTAATTAAGGCAGAGTTCAGTTGTTTGTTTTTCTCCCTGGTAATTGCTTTCAAAATCAAAGCTTTCAATGGGATGATACGAATGTTCTCCTGACCATGCTAATGTTAATTTTTCAATCATTAATCCTCCCGTTTCCTCATCTTCCTCTAAATTTCCATAAACAATGTGTCGAACATTTTGAGGGAGCATGTTCTCAGTTACTCTCTCTTCGAATTGTATAAGTGCTGGAGTTGGACTTAAATGTTTCATCACTCATCCTGATCACGACAAGTGCTTTCATTGAAGTGAATGAAACCAAATACCGAAAAACAAGAACACACCACCCTTTAAATTCTATCATCTAAAATCTATTCAATAATGTTCATCTCGTCTGGTAAACATTTCACGATGATAATGTAGAACAGTAGCAGCTCACCACTCACAACCACCTCTAAAAACTCATTCGCATTTAAGATTCCATAACCGTGTTTCGGGATAGGACTCAAAAACGATAATTCAATATTCCATCCTTGATGAAAACATCATCAATGAATTATGGCTGATTTTATTGAGGGTGTATAATCATCTTTTGTGGTTCACAGCAGTAATTACTTTGGAGATCAATCATGGCAGCTGCTGTTCAAGGTATTATTATACCGATTTTTGCTCGTCCATGACAAACTTCGACAGTTACTATCACCTATATCAACCACCACAGGGCCTGATTTTTTAGTACAAAAATCAGGTGTTATCTCGATATCCACTATAACAACAACAAATCCTTCGCTTAATAACTCGTTCATCTCAGCGTAGGACTGAATGTAATTAAAAACAAGTTATATATTGTTATATTGGATCATCTCAAAATTCCTCCAATTAATTCCAAACTCTTGTTGTTTACAATGTAGAAACAGCTGTAGATACTCCTAACTTGTTTCCTTTCAGTTTTAGACGTTTCAAGTTGCTTAAATTTCTTGTCTTGCACTTAGGTACTCCAGAATTGTTAATTTGGTTGTTACCAATGACAAGCTCAACCAAATTTGAAAGTTGTTGTTGTATGTGCCCACAAGTGTCAACTTGATGATTCGGCCCGTTGATTGCACTTTTGTGCATACATGAATGACAAAATGAGTTTCCAAAAAACTCATCATGACCACTGCAACTGCATGGTCGAGATGAATGGATGGGTGAGAAGAGTATTTGGACATTAATCTTCGACTTGCTATGGTCATCATTGGACGATATTGTTCATTTCTACTTTTTGTTGTACTCGTGTCGGAGATTGTTGTTATCAGCAGAATCAGTGAATTGATTTAACAGTGCACCGTCGTGCGGAAGGGTCCAAACGTTTCGATATTTTTTCATGATGAACATTGTTTAATTTTCTTCACCAACCAACTCAGTCTGAAACGATCAATTATTGTTGCATTCCATGTGTTATGAGTATCTTTTTAAACACATTCCCAAAGAGAAATTGAAATGACTGAAGGCAAGGTTCATTCATCTTATTACTGTGACTTGTTATCTAGCAGAGTCTCATACCTGGCGATAACAATTCTGTCACACCTGATGACAACGACAAAAAGGCCACGTGCATCTCTTTTTCAAAAGGAAAGGTGCAAGCAACTCCTTCCAAGCCAAGCTTAATGGAATACCACGAAACGTCAAATTCTTTCTTTTGGGCCATCACATTCCATTTTTGAATTTTTAAATAATTTATGTGTAAGATGTCAATAATCACGCAAACCGACAGTGTCAAACACAATCAATTACAATATCACAAACAAAAACAACCAACACTTTGAAAACGCCATCAGCATATTAGTGTATACAACATCTTTTAAAATTTGAACCATCTCTTTCGTGAACATTTCGCAAGCACGACTGTCGCTCTTCCTCTTTCTGTTCAACGTGATTCATTGCTAATTGGACAACTATTCAACAAAAAAGACAAACAACACTATACTTACGTGGTTGAAGAGATTTTACGCACCACACATCATAGCAACTTGTTGTTCATCCCTTCGACATTTTCAAAAATCACCATCATCAAGAATGAAAAGAATAAGCTTGCTTAGGTTGGTTAGAGAAGTATTCTTCATGTTCTTGTTGGTATGGACTATACTTCATGTCAATTTCTTTGTGTATGATGATACGATTTCATCAAAAGGTGTCAATAATATTTCATCTATATTCCATACCACATTGTTGCGACCTTCTGTACAAGTTCAGGCGATGCCAATACCCAATATTTCATCTTCAAGAACACCAACAAAGAGCTCTTTTCAAATCCTGTCAAATGCCATTCGCAAGGTATCCATCACGCCAAATCATCAAATCGAAATATCCAAAAATCTCCATCAAAAAACCAAGTCGTGGAACTTACCATCATCTCTGCATGTCATAACACCCACTCTTTTCTCCTCTCAATCACTAGAACAATCCACAAACATTCCTTCCATCCTCTCAGTGACCATGAATTTGACCTCAACAAACACTTCATCCATGATTGCTCTCGGAACAACCACCTCATTGGTCATGACCAGCTTAAAAAGTAAAGTCAATGGAGGTTTCACGTCCATTACGGATTTACAACAAGCTGCCAAGCAACGACATGTAGTTGTTGGTGTTCACACCATAATTGGATTGGATAGTTTATACGTGGAGAAATTATTGGGTTTAAATTCGAGTATTCATGATTACAGAATAGAGAGAATGGATCGTCCTGAAGCTGATTGTTGGATGGGAAATGTGTTTGAATATTTTGATGCTGTAGTTTCAACAGATTCTTATTTTACCATCATGTTTCGACAAAATAGAGATTGTTATTTGGCAGAAAAACGTTTCAAATCGTTCTCCAACGTATCCAATGATATGAATATTGTGAATATTGGTCCTTATGAAGTTTTAATGATGAATCCAAATGGTGCAGATTCAACAACGATGGAACTTGTAGCAAGTCAAGCTCTCTATACAGTCATGAAACAATTTGTGACACTTCTATTTATACCGCAATCATTATGTAATTCATATTTTATTGCCCATGATTATGCAGTGATACGAGCTGGTTATGGACTTGTCAATTTAACTCAACAAGATGTGAATGGTTTTTCCTATTATTTCAAAAATTCCATGCGAGTCAATCATACATATTATGACATGGCTCTACAATTATTGAAAGCAAATATTTCCTCAAATGTCTTTGATTCATTAGGAATTCAAACACAAGACAAGTTGAGTCCTCAATTGAGCTCAATGGTTTTTCCTGCATCGTGTTATTCATGTTCCACTTCACAGTGTATGTGGGAAGATAGAAACAGTCCAACACCATCACCCCTCTCAGATTCCATTGCGATTTCTTCAGCAGTATTTTTAGGACTTTCACTACTTACCTATTGGCCTCTCTTAATCATATTTAGAAATAAGCCAAGTATAAGGAGAAGATTAATCATTCCTTGGGTATGCCCATTATTTACGTATCTAATAGTTTTGGATCAATTGTTTGAAGTTTCAAAACCTTGCTATATGCTTCACAATATCATTATTTATTTTGCTTCCATGTACAATATTGTCATTTATTACACAGTCATGACTCGTTTCACCATTTTAAGAAATCTCTATACAATTCTGAGGAAGTGCAAAACTGAAACTCAAATCAAGATTGTCAAGTTTATTGTGAGCAAAACCTTTACTATCACCACTGCCCTTGTTTTAGGATTTATCTTGTCTTGCGTTGTTGCGTTGGCACCTCTTGCAACCTATAGAGAAGAGTTCTTTGGATACAACTCGCAATACGTTTCATCCTTGGTGGTCAGTTTAATTTCAATCATTTTTGCCGCAGCTTCCTTATTTGCAGTGGTGGTCAATGTCATGTTTGGAATTCCAACAATCAAGTCCAAAGGAATGTTGTATTTTCTATTCTTTGATGATCCTTTCTTCATTCGATTTGATGCCATATTTTTGACAACAGGAGCCATTTTGGTTGCAGTGAGCTTGTTCACTTCGGCAAGTATGATTCCAACATACAATGGAATTGTTTCTTTTTTGACTTATGCATTGGGATTCATGTACTATGGTGGAGTGGCGATCGTTTTTGAAATTCTCAAAATTTTATTTTTCAGAGCTCCCAATGGTACTGGAGAGCATTGGGAACAAAAGTTGGACGACGTTTCCTTCATGTTACTGTTGAAAGAATTTGCTGAAAAAGAAATGAGTTTGGAAAATATTTATTGTTATGAAAAGTTGAAAGAAATGGAAAAGAAGTCGTCAGATAATAATCCACGATTGAGTGTGTCAGATTTAGATTTCCTTTACAATAACTTTATGAAACCATTTTGTAAGAATGAGATTAACTTTTCGAATGAAACCAAGAAAGATTTTGATGTCATTTTGTCACAATGTAAGAAGAATGAGGATGTTAGATATAGTTCCTTGAAACAAATCATGATGATTCCTCTCATGATCAATATTCGAGATACCTACATGAGATTGGTAAGAACCAATGAATACAGAAAATGGGAGACTGCCAAGTCCATGTTAGATGGCAACTAATATTGCAAACAAGATGCCTCTCACTACAATTTTGAAAGCTTTCACCCATAAATTTTGTACATTAAATTTTGCATGAAAAAGCAAATCGAGATTAGTTTATAGAGAATTATTCATTTTCTCTTTTTAGTAGACTTGATCAGAAGAGTGGCAACGCCGGGTACGGTCGTGGTTGCTGGCATGGATTCTCTATTATTGGGTGTGTTGATAGTGACGTTATTATGATGTGCAGCACATGAGGGAATTACCAATTTGCTCAAATGTTCCCCTGCTCTCTTGGAGTGGTGCTGTTTCATAATCTTCTTTTGTTGCAATTCAGATCGTTTAGAGAGGGCACTGCTTAGAACATTGGCAACAATTCGAGCTGTGGATGGATCCAGAGAGAGAGAGGGAGAAGCCGGTTTCATGCTTGCAGATGTACCAACCACAACAGTTGGATGAGGTGGTGGTTGAACCTGTTGTTGAGAGGAAGAAGAACCAGCAGCAGCTGAACATGGAGTCAAATTTCTACTCAAATTATTGACACTCTTGTAAGGATTACATTTACGGTTAAATTCAGCCTCAAATGCTTCTTGAGCTGGGCTGGCATGATTTTGGGTGGAATTGAGGGAGAGTTGGGAAAGGGAAGAAAATGAAGAAAGCCAAATGGTACAAGGTGTTTCGCATGGAGTGTTGGGTTCTATCAATTCTGAGGAAACAAACATTCTTGGTTGAGTTGGTTGTATGGTTGTTACGTGTTGCACAGTGGTATTCCAATCTTGTTCACGGGAAGATAAAAAGCATGGATGAGAAGGAGGTGGAGAAGAAGCCTCAGTATGACTATGATTACTAGAGGTTGATTGATTATCTGGAACAGGATGATTCATGGAGGAGGAGTTTTCTTGTAAATGATGAGAGGTTCCATCGTACATCATCATTGAGGCAATCTCGTTGTTGTTTAAGGAAGGAAACGAGGAGGAGCAATGAGAGGATGGTGCTTCATGGTTGTGATGAGAAGGACTATTGTTCATCATGACAAAGTGAGAGGTAGGATGGTGTTGATGGTACAGGTTGGAATTGGTTGAATTATTAATAACTGTTGTAGGTGTGGATGATGAATGAAGTAGCATGGAAAATGATTGGGATTGATTAGAGAGATAGCCAAAGTTAGAATCGAACGGTCGTTGGAACAGTTATTATTAAATTACTATTTGAAAATTCCTTGATCAAAGCTGTGGTACTATTTGATGATGTATTGAAAGGTTTTTCAACGATAAAATCTATTTGTATCTCAAAAGATCTTGTATGGGCTGGTATCGGGATTATCTTCAACTAAAACCACATAGGCGTGAAGATGTGCTGCAAGTAGCTGTTGGAATTTTTTTTTGAAGTGTTTTTTTCTAAAAATACATAGGCGGGAAATATTTATAATGCACAATTTTCCAAATGTATCAAAATTCAATTTGAACGTGGGTTGAGCAAAGTGACCCGAACTTGAAATGCAATTAATTGGAGTGCAACGCTGCACTTGAATTGAATTCACAATTTAGAAATGCCATTGTACAAACCATCAGAAAGTTGCACAATAATCTAGAAGACAATTTCGAATTTTAATTTTTGTACATTTTTACAAACAACGAGGTTGAAGTTGAAATTCACACAAATTACGCACATGATCTACTACTCGAGCTTTGTAATAAATAAAATACATTGGCGAAGGCTATTCTCCACGCGCTAGCCCATCTTGATATAACTTTGTTCTGATACACTCAACATGTTACATTAAGAGACACTTCTTTTTCTTTTCTAGCGAGGTCGTATCTTCCTCCCAATCTTTGAACTTGTCAGGATTTCTTGAAATTCTCACAGCAGTTTCGAATACTTCCTTCACTCCATGTTGCGTCTTGGCACTACATTCCACATAACGATGCATTTTCCATTCCTTTCGTTTCTTTTCTGCTTCTTCCTTTGTTATGGGTGGTCCTGCTCGTGTATTGTTCTTATTTTCTGTCAAGTGACGAGGATCTTCACGCAAGTCAACCTTTGTACCAACCAATAGCATGGGAACACCTGGTGCGTAGTGTGTAATTTCAGGGAGCCACCTTATTTGAATATTGTCAAAGGAGCTACGATGAACTGTTGAAAAACAAATGAGGAAAATATTGGTATCAGGATATGAGAGTGGCCTTAAACGGTCATAACTGTGTGAATTCATTGAGGGCGCAAGTTGAGTTCATAACATGTTGTTATCATGATGATTATGTTCAAAATATTGTATGATGATGACAAGATTTCAAGTATGTTCGAAGGTAGGATACATTTAAAACCACATAAGAAAGTGTCATGCAATTGAATCCACAATCAAGTACAGTTTGAAAGTTGAGGTACGATAATCCACATATATTAATGATTGTTTTCAATTCAGCCAATTAAAGAAATGAAACATAGTCGTGGCAAATGTCAAAAGAAACCCAAATGGTTATTCCAAACACACATTCACAAAATGAAACGTGATGATTCAAGGATACATCAACATTCACTGGTCATCCACCATCAATAGTTGTAACAACTTACTCTTCTTGTCCAGCAGTATCCCACAAATCAATCGTTTGTACTTCTTTATCAACGACCATATTTGTGCTGTAATTATCAAATACCGTTGGTACTGTTGTTGTTATGGATCCGAACGAAGGCATCAAGTTCAAATGTCAAAATACATATCGTCATTATTATCATCATAACAAGATAGTTTTCATCAGTAGAGGTTCGTGTCGTGATCAGGTTGTATACATATTTCCATCCATACAATATCACCATGAGGTCAACAATTCGTTGGGATATCACAAATACCATTCACCCCGATCAGTCATTCATCGTTTCGAAAATTCAATGCCACCACGTATATTGACATCATCAAGTACTTACCATAATCTTCTGGGAATTTATCTTCAACAAAGCTGACAAGGAGACAGGTCTTACCGACGGCTCCATCACCTACAACGACCATCTTGTTTGCTTTATCCATTTTATTGTTGTTATTGATGAAAATTTGATGATGGAATGAAAGCAAGAATTTTTTTTGATTTGCGAAGAGTTTTTATTGTTGACACTTGATGGACAAAGAAGAACATTGAACAACGTTGAATAAAAGCAAGTTACGATAAAAGAATGTAATGATCAGGAGGTAGAATCTTATGAACCCTCAATTCAGTTTACAGTTTTGCTCAGTTTGGAATCGTTGCTGCATGGACATGAGTGGCTTCCCTGTGTTTGTGTTACCAAAAAATATTCACGAGGCAACTCGATTTATAGAATTAAGGAAAAACTTCTGTTCAGTTCAATGGAACCCAACCCAAACCCAAAAGCTTGTCCTGTGAAAAAATATTCACGAGGCAACTCGATTTATAGAATTAAGGAAAAACTTCTGTTCAGTTCAATGAAACCCAACCCAAACCCAAAAGCTTGTCCTGTGAACGTTTAAACTTGCATTGTTTATTTTGTTCATGTTTAAACAAGTTTGAACAAGTTTTAAATTGTTTGAACTTGTTTATAAAGTTTATTATGTTTGTTCATGTTTGAACTGTTTAAACATTTGTGAACAGAAAACACGAGAATCACAAATAAATTTAATTTAAAAAAATGAAAAACACACAACAACATTGCCACTAACACTTATGGTGGCGTAGTAATTATGACACGTTGCTCAATGATGTGATATTCTTTCCCTTTAGCCATGATTATTCCGATTCGTGATAAATGCCATCCTGATAATCAAAACCAATAACAACGAACGGGTGATAAAGAAAAATTCTTCTCTCTCTCGCTCTTATTCTGTTATTCATCACTGAACATCATTTTGCTCTGAGTTTTTGTGTTCATCAATACCACTCTCAATTGTTTCATTCACAGCCTTTCATTACCTCACTAAACCCCTAAAGTCTAAGAACTATTCATATCAATAATTTTCAAGAATGCGATTAATTGTTGACATTGAAACTCAGGTCAGTGATGTCAAAGATTATTTGACTGCTGTTAGGAATGTTGAAATACGAATTTGGTTACTATTTACCTTGGTCCGAGAAATTAGTTGTGTGTTTGGATGGGAAGTTTTTTCTGCCCCTCATTATACCAGAGACCTTGTTACACGATTATGAAATGGATACCAAACAGGATGGTTTATAATTTCGATGATTTGGACCCAAAAATCTTCGATATCCCGAATGAAAGTTAACTAATTTTCTTTCCCTACAAAACGCAAAATGAAAAAGGTGACAAATAGGAAGAAATTTCAATTCTTTAGAAATTAATTTTCGTTTGAACGTTTAAACGTTTGAACGAGATTAAACGTTTGAACTAGTTTGAACATGTTTATGTTGTTTATTTTTGTTTAAACATGTTTATTGTTTAAAGTTTAACCAAGTTTGAACGTTTACAGGACAAGCCTATTGTACATTTTAAAAGTGTATTCTTCTGGGTTGTCGGAATGCTTTCAACAACGTTAAAAGTTTGTTGAAAAAATCTTTAATAATTTTCATCATCACAAAGAAAAATGAAGAAACTCTTTGGTTCCATCGTCAAGCCTCCTTGTACCGTCGATATTGAATTGGAGCCATCGGGGAAAGTTACCGGAAAGGGTCAGACTGCCACCATTCTAGTGAACAATCCAAAAGATAGATTTGGAAATGAAGGAATTGAACAACGGTTGCTTGTTTTTGATCAAGCCGATCCCATTCAAGGAAAGGTAAAGCTGAGTGTAGAGAAACCTTTTGATCACCTTGGTATTACTGTTGAATTGCTTGGAGAAATTGGTACGTTGTTGTGATAATGAGAACGCTCATCGGAAGAGTGAGATGAATAATATTGGTGTGGCTCATTTCCGTAACATTTCATCACGAATTTCAAACGAATCGAATCATATAATCTTTAAACTGATGATGATCATACTTGTTACCAAACAAATTTTATTATTCATTATGATTATAATTATTAATGATAATTTTAAAATTGACATCATCACACACGAAATATTCAACCCATGACCAATTTCAATTGAAATTACATTATTCTCAAACATCAACAACTCAACATTTGTCAACAACAAACAACCATTCACTCATTTTGTCGCAATATATTTGTACACAGTCACCTACTTGGACGGTCGCAACGTTTCAACCTTCTTGTCCATCTCAAAGGAGTTGGCACCACCAACTGCTCCAAATTGTCCTCTTTCAAGAGATGCTGAATATGAATTTAGCTTTAAATCAGTAGACAAAGAATGGAACAGTTATCGTGGTATTAACGTAGATGTCAGATATTATTTGAGAGTGACTGTAAATCGTTCTGTAAAAGTGATCAATACAATTGTGAAGGAACAAGAATTTTGGGTCCAAAAGATTGTACCAAAACCATCCGAGGAAGATCCAGGTATTGGAATGGAAGTTGGTCTGGAAGGAATTGTTTTACTTTCCATCAAATATAATAATGTTCAACATGACATTAAGAATGGATGTATTTTGGGAGATTTGCAATTTTTCCTTGTGAATGTGAAAATTGATAAGGCAGAAGTGAGCATTATTAGAAAAGAAACTCTTTTGGGCACACCAAGTTTACAAGTTTCTACTCCTTCTTCTTCATTTAAATCAAATTCAGCAGCTGATGAAGGCCATTCCGAACAAGAAGTTTTACACAAATTTGAAATTATTGATGGAACACCTGCCAAAGATGAGAAGGTTCCAGTAAGACTTTATTTGAGGGCAATTGAGCCATGGAAATTGACAAACACTGAAGAATCTGTCAATAAGAAATTCAGCGTGAAATATTTCATTCACTTGGCGTTGTGTGACACCAAGGGACGAAGATTTTTCAAGCAACGAGAAATCCAACTCTATCGTACAGGTCTTTAAGGAACAAAATTCACTCACTTGTTAAAATTAATAAATTAAAGAATTATTTACTTGTAAGAGGTTGATTAGCTTCAAGGTTAGAGGACAAATTGTCGTTGATCAGATGACACATTATTGAGATTTAAGCTTTCCCAAAAAGAATTGGAACATGTGCTTCCATCCATATTGAGTCTTCTTTCCAAAAGTACACCTGGCTCTCTTCAAGACCAATTCCTTCTTTTCGTCAAGAGTCATTTTGCCAGTCTTATCCACAAAATGTTTAGCAACCTCATCCCATTGCTGGCTAAAGATCCAATAGAGCAAGACACCTTCTTCACAATCTGTGAACATGGTTGCTTGATTATCAGCATATTCTTGCTCATGTTGAACATAATGAGCGTCTGCATCTCGCCAATGCACAGAAACTGCATGATGATGAATGGCATGATAATCTTCACCCCAAACATTATCATGTCCGTTCACAATCGTCACCGAGTTAATATATGGATTGGTTGGATCTTTGGGCTCAATCCACAAATGCCACATGTAAGAAATAGCAGCAAAGAACACAATCGCTTCTAGTTGAGGTAAAACCAAATAAGCAAATGTAAAAGTAAATCCCATGGTATAATAACTCAACATCCATAATCCATAATATACAATCATTCCTTTCAAAATACCCCAAGCAAACTTGTATTCTCCATGAATAAGAAAATGGAAGAAACATGAAGTTCCAACCCAGTAGGAACCAAATCTTGGTGCATACATGATAAAACTCCAAGATTTAGTTCGATCCAAGTCAATATTGGTGTGAACATCATCCAAACCATTGTCAAATTTGTGATGAATCTTGTTGTGACCAATGCAGTAGGAATTTGGAACTTGTCCGTAAAAAGGTCCCAAGAACCATTGAACATACCAATGATTCAAGTGGTGGAGGAAAGTTTTGTTATTGAAAAATCCATCGTGGTCGTGACCTTCCTTATGCAAAAGGACGTGTAAATGAGTAAAGAATCGAAAACGAGGACCCAAACGAAGTAAATGGTAGAGGAAGAAGAACCAAAATTCGAATCCATAATGGTAGCTGTGTAAAAGTTGAGTGCATCACATCATATTCATAAATGAGGAGAAGTGTTGGTGAGAAATGACATGGTGTCAACAAAAAAATTCACACACACTCAAAAATTTTCATGACTTACAATCTGTACAAGGCAACTCCTAAAATTGTTGGGCACAACACTGTCAACCACAACAATGAAGGAATGAACTCTGAATTTTTCTCATTGTTCATAATTTTCTTAGCAGCAAATTTTGCAAATTTCTCATAAACCAAATCTGGAATTGACCGAATCAAAGGAACCCTAGATAAAAACAAACTCCAAGAATTCTTAATCAATGCCATCCAAACATTCGATAAGGTCAATAACACCACGACAGGTGGAGTCAATGGAGCCATAATAGATAATCCTAAAACTCCACTAAACCAATCAGGCCACAAACACCATGGATAAGGTCGCCATGGATTCTCTGGTGTGGTTTCAACAATATCTGCATTGTCATGAATGGCACGGAACGGAGTTTTTAATGGAGATTTGGTCACGGCCACGTCGTGTGAACTTGGAGTTGCTGGAGCAATTTTGGCACAATCTCGTTTTTCCTCTCGAAGTTGTGAGGATTTGATAGTAGTGCAAGTGACAGCCATTGTGTGAATTTTGTGAAAGTTATGGAAACACCAAGTTGAAAAATGGCTATTGAGAAGTGACAGTTGAGAGAGGAATGATGGTCAAAGCGAAACATTCACAAATGACCGAAATTCGCAAGTGGAACACAGTTTGTTACAGATGATTCGACCCATAGAATTGTCATCATCACACAAAGTAAGCCAACAACCATGTGATGCCATCAAACGTGTGAGTATTATCACAATGTTCACAATATTCCGATAAGAGAGAAATGTTGTTCACACCACAAAGATGATGAAAAGTTCATTTGCAATACAATATGGATGTATCATGATCCAATCATCCGTGTATAGGTTTGGAGATGGATTTCAAAATAGTTCATTGAAGTGTCATGATGTGTCCAGATGGTTGTATGTAGACATCATCATTGAAACCAATACAAAATGTATATTTTCAACAAACACTTACTGTGTCTACTCTGTTGTTAGATACAAATTCAAGAGAAACACAAAACTTGTTCAAATATAATATTGGCAGATGACAGCAAATCAGCGAATAAACAAAGTCAAACCAAACACACTCTTGTCAATAGAAGGTACTAGATGATGACTACTTGAATGACAACTTAAAAACGAGTCTTCCTACTATCACCGTGATTGCAAGAGAGAGGTTTTTGTTTTTTTTTGTATTTGGAAATTGTTCGAGATGCGGAAACCGAGCACTTGTGCATTGTCCTCTCTGTCAGCGCTAAAATTTTGAGAATGTACTTTTTCAAGTTGACTGGAAAGCATGTGTTGAGTTTATAAAGAGATGTAAAATTTTCACACATGCCAGTCAATCAATACAGAAAATGGATCCGACACGCTTCGTAATACCATTCCTGAGGCGCACTTTTATGCCAAGATGCTTGTGTGCTAAATGCATCCGCTCTGCACTGGAATGGTTTACGAATTAATTGGTCATGTGGAAAGAGGAAGGTCGGAAGTCCTCTGGTTTTGAATCGGATTGGAGAGTGCTGTTGTAAAATATTGAGCGAGTACGGATTGGAGAGTGATAATGTAAAATTGTAACAATTGGCGTTTTAAACAGGGCTTCAAGACAAACCTGACATTCTCTCAGTTAAATTTGTATTATAAATAATTTAACAATAATTTACAAAAAGTTCAAAAATTACTACTCTACACATTGCATGGAAATATCAGCAAAATTGTTGGCATTACCTCCCTCAATTCCCAAATCGAATCCCATTTCTAACTTCTTCTTACCCTCAACTGCTGAGAACCACTTGTCTGGCTGTATGAGACGAAGCATTAAGAGTCTGAATAGTTCAGTAGTTTCTTGTTCGTTTCTTTGAGTGAAATACACAATGGTGGCATAAGTACTGCAGACAATGTTCATTCGTTTGGTTCTCCATCTCTTTTGTTGATATTGATAAATAGTCTCCAAATCTAAGAGACGAACGGGAGTGATATGATGATCATCGGCTCCCGCTGACTCAATTCCTAGCTGATTAAATTCATTAAGTCCTAGCGAAAAAACTTCAACATCTTGTGGAGATTTCTTGGAACGTTTTGTATAGACCAAGTGACACTTGCCAACATAAATATCTAAAACATCTGGATCTGATAAAATTTGTGAACGCATAGGTGGGATGACATCTTTCGCAAAACCAACAGCAGCATGACCATATTGATTATCTCCCATCACGTAAAAATTGCCATTCGAATCACGTAAGTATGACGTCAAAGAGTTGGAAAAAATGTCACTAATCATAATGTTACCAAAGGATTTGTAGAGCTCAGTCAGCAGTGTAAAGCATTCTTTGGTTCCAGTGCTACCAATTTCTCCATAATTATTAGATCCAGTCACAAACACTTCTCCACTTGCAGTCAAGGCAATCGTATGATAATCTCCTGCTTGTACTTTTACAATTCTGGATTTGGTGAATTTTGTGGTATCCAATTTTGTGAGGGTATGTACATGTTGAGGGAATGTGTTACCAAGTTGGAAATCCGTATTGTCTCCACACATGTACACGTTATGATCTGCACTCAAAACAACGGTATGATCATAGCCACACACCACCTGAAGAATTTGTTGTACCGTTCCAAAGTTTGAAGTCTTGACTCGTGCCAGTGATCGAATTTCGGGATCAAAAGTACCAACCCCACACTGTCCATATCTGTTACTTCCGCATGAATACAAGGAGGTATTGTCATTGGCAAGGAATAATGTATGTTCACCTCGAGAAAATATTTCCTTAATATTTAAAAATTGTGCGTCTCTAATTTCATCAAGATCATTTCCAGGGTGGCCTAATTGATGGCATGCATTTTCACCACACGACCAAATTCTTCCGGATTGACTCAAGAAAAAGGTACTGTCAAAACCTGCGGCTACAAATACAATTTCTTCTGTAATGTATGAAAAGTTGTTGGCAAATACATGTCCAGAGGTGGTTTTTGTGGTGACAGGAGCTCCAGTGGCAGTCATGGCTGAAGAGGAGGAGGATAAAAATCGATGAATGTCAATGGGATGAATGACTGTTGTCTCAATACCTTCTGCAAAACTAGAATTTGAACCGAATATGGAACTGTGAGAACCTGACTTGTTCGATGAGGATGATGTTCCATTACTACTATTACTTCCGAATGGATTCTTTTGAATGTCAGAGCTCGATGAATTATTGCTGACAGACATTCGTGTTAAATGTGCACCATTGGTGGCATTCACGCTGTTCGTCAAGATATTAGTAGAGACTTGGTTGTTGACCTGGTTCAGGAAAGGTGTCAAAAAACTCACACTGTCCACAGAACTCTTGAAATAGGGTTGACACGTTGATTGTGGGTTTGATAACATCATGGCGTTCACATTCAAATGTTGTTGAAAATGATCTTTTTCATCATTGGTATTGTACAGCATGCGGTGATTGTCATCATCATCTTTCATGTGACAATCTGGATTGTCATTGAACAAAATTGTTGGATTTTCGGAATTGGGAGGAAGGTTGTTCGTCGATGTCAATGAATAAAATAATTGTTGTCCAATTGAGGTTGGCATTGGAGCAATATTTAAGAGTGAAGAAGAGATGGAAAAGGAGTTGGCTTGTTGAATATCCATAAAATCCTCCGTTGGTAATGATTGTTGTTCAAAGGTTGACAACAACATGGATGATTCATCATCTGCCAATGAGAGAGAGATGGCTGGTGGTTTGAGAAGAAATGAGGAATCTGATGTGCAATAATAATCGAGTCCATCATGATTGCCTGTTGCTGCGGTGACCATAGATGGATTCAATGCATGAGAATTTGGATTGTGATGTTGTTGTTGATGATGATTATTGACAGAATGCATGGAATGATCTTGAGCCATAGGTTTCTGTTGTTGTGAGTGGCAATTATGGTTGGCTGCATTGGATGCTCTCCGTGTCGATGAATGGGATGTGATCTTAGAATTTGACAAGGTCAACCGATCAATAGGTGCTGATTTTCCAATCTTGTAGAGTCTCGTCGATTTGGACAAGACAAATTGATCAACCGCAATATCATGCAAAAGATTGTATCGATTATCTCCACAATAGAAAACCTTATAATGATGATAGGGACGAATGAGAGAACCGCTCGGTAAGTGCTTTCTCGGATGATGAGCATCGACGGGTGTAGTTGAAAGACCTTTCGATCCCATGCTACTCTCGGTGGAGAATCGAGGTCCTGTCACATTGTATGATGGAATATTCAAAAAGTGTTGATGTTGAACATTCGAACTTGTCATTCCTTGATGGTAGTTGTAATTGCATGAAGTAGTTGCTGTGGCTGTTGCTTGTGTTGTTGTATGAACATTGGGCGAGTGATGACCCAATAAGAGATAATCCAAACCATCCAGAGAGGCTGAACCTCCTGTCGAATTCGTAGTTCCAGTTAAATTAAAGGCATCATCATCTTCTTGTTTGGGCGACGAAGAAGGAGATGAGTTATGACTTCTCGACGACGTGGATGAAGAAGTATTTGTGGCTGATGAATGATTGAGACTTCCAGGACTACTCACTTGCGTGTGGTTGTTGTTGCTACTGCTGTTGGATCCATTTGCCAAACCTGAAGTTGTCGTAGTGACGGTCGACGTTATCGATGAAGTCTTGCCTGATGATCTCGCAGCACGCAGTTGTTGTGGTGGAAGGGCATCTTCTTGTCGTGAGGAGCTTTCGGTAGAGGCCAAACTATTGAACTTCATGGCTTGACCAAAGAGTTTGACGAGAGGTTGCATGATGAGAGAGTTGATGAAGAGAGAGAAGCTTGATGATGATGGTGTTGTTTTGGTTGATCGCTTGGCGTAAAGATGATGTTGGTTGAAAAATCAGAAATTCTTTGAGTTCCAATGTTGTCAACGAAAGCCTAATGAGATGTTCGGACGATGATGATAAGTATTACTACACCAATATCTGCACTCAGAATGTATGGAAAAAGCAATAATAATAATAATAACAATGGACTTGTTGTTGAACAACACGATGGAATACAACACACTTGAATGTCAGGTGAACTCTCACTAAACAAGTTAGAAAAATTCGTTGTTGATGTTTCGATGATGATGGTTAACAAAACGAAGAAGAAAAAACCACGCAACTGACACACCCACTCTCTCTTGAATTCTTGTTGTTGATGGGCGACTCGACAAAGGAATGTCTTTGGTTGTTGTTGAAGAGCTTTTGCGATGTTTTTTTGCCTGTTGTGTCCAGTTTGGTAGTGGCACGATTTATATGGGGCACCAATGCAAATGAGAGAGAACTTTTGAACAATAGCATGCACTTTGTATTGGCGCAAAGGTTGATTGATTCAAATAATACAACCACAAGGTTTGGGTCCTTCAAAGTGAGACTGTCACATGCTCATCTTCTCTAGGCGTCATGTGACAACTTGGCTCATAGAGAGTCATCGTAACTGGCACACTTGTCATCAACCATACAAATCTGCTAAACTATGTTGATTGTAAAAATTGTTTATCCCAATAAAGAGCGAAGTGGCGAATTTTTAGAACATAATTGAAATGAAATGGTTTAAAAATTACTTCTCTAAACAAGTTAAAATTGATCCTTGTTTAGAAACATTCGTTGTTATTTTTGGCCAAGTACAAGCATGGAGTTCACGCATTGAAAATCATCACTCAATTCTTTGAACATGTGACAATTTCCACAGATGAAACACCATAGTTACACATTGCCTACTTTTGTTCTAAACTCCTTTTGATTGCTTCTTTTAGAGCTTCATCTTCGTCGTCTTCATCATCTTCATCGTCTTCGATAGATTGTTGTGAATGTTGTGTTGTTGATGGTTGTGTCAAATGCTTATTGGCATCCCAAAACATGGTCTCCATTCTAGCAAATTCAACAGCCTTTTTCCATTCTTCGCTATTTATGTTAGGAGAGGGCTTTGGAATGCTTTGAGAATTTCCAGATATTATACTTTCTTGCATTTGAGTAATGAAATCAATAGTATTGTCTTGCTGAGGTTGGCTGCTTGAGGATGAAGAGCGTGAGCGACTTGTCAATGACTTGGGATCAAAAGTTTCAGAGTATAATTCAGCCTCACATGGAGGTAAATCTCCCTTTACAACATAAATTGAGTATCCTTCTTGTTTCAATTGCTCAATAAAAAGAGAAATATGAGTTGGTGAAAGATAGGTGGGTGCTTTCAGTGTTGAATTTAGATTAAACCAATGAATTCCAAATTTTCTAAAGACAAACCAATGTTCTAGATGGTTGCAAATAAAGGCTTTTTCCTCCCAAGGTTTTTCTCTGCTCGGGTAATGATGAAATTTCACAATTTTGATGAAGTATTATATATTTAAATTAAAATCGTTTCGTTCATGCGTTCCAAATGTCAGTATTCAAAATTTCCATAAAATTGTGCAGGTCAAAGAATTGTTTCAAATATAAAGCCAGTGATTAAAGATAAAGTCTCATGCATCATCTTACCTGATAGATTGTACAATGCTTGGATGAGTGATCGGAATTAAACTCAAGCCCCACACTTCAAGACTTGTTGAAATTACTCCAATACTAAAATCACCTTCATCGCTCACATTATGACTAGTGCTCTGTGGCTGTTGAGTACCGGATTCTTGTAATAATTCTGCCTCCTTCTTATCTAAATTACGAGCAATTTCCATCAAATCAATTTCAGTAAAATAGGCTCCCTGTAACAAGTTGTTCAGAGAATGCATGGCGCATAATCTTCCTTCTTGTTTTTCATCTGATTTACAAAATTTTGTTAACAAAGAATCGGTACAACCAATTTTCAAGAATGGATAATAAATTCCATCATGATAGAACGAACAAATCACAATCATCATTATCGATCGGATCAGATCAAAACGTACGATAAATTGCAGAGATCATTTTTTTTAATTAAAGAACAAAAAAATGTCTGTGGTTGTGAACGGAAAGCCTTTTTCAAGTTCACCATCATCACATCTCCGAATTGATTTACTTCCACCCGAAATTTGGGATCTAATCATTATTTTTCTATCAGAGTGTGCAAGAGATGTTTTTAATTTTTCAATCATCACCAAAGTCATGTATGAAATGCTGTTGGAAAATAATCTTCATGTACTCTCCATCAAAGTTTCAAGTGATATAAGAAAGATAGGCAAATTATCAGCTCGACAATTACTTAATTCTCAACAAAAGAGAAATTATGGAGCTTTCAAACAAAATAACAGTAAGAAAATGAAAGAACTTTATGAAAAAGAAATCAAGGACGATCCACGAAAAAAAAAGACAAAAAAAGAGGAACAAAATCCAACAATTCAATTGATAGAAAATGTAGTTAATTTTATGTATTCACAAGAAAAATACGACACAACCGATACATTTGATAAAGATGAGAAACAAAGGAAAATCATGTTCCTTGATCATTTGGAAATGATGAAAAATAGTCTTAGAGAAGCAAAAGCTATGGTACATGCTGTCACTCAAACTGAAAGCATTCAGCAGCGATGGAATACGTTCATGAATGCATTTATTGTTTTCGAGTATGGCCAAGATGTCTGTGAAGTTCTTTCAAAATATATATTTCAGAAAACAACATATGAAAGATGGCACGTCAAAACTGTACATAATGCCTATCCACGATTTTCTGAAACTCATGGAAATATTTGTGTGGCAGACGCTTCATTACGTTTTAGTTCCTCTGAAAATGAAAATGGTGCAGAGTGGATTCTTTGGTATGACGACGATGATTCCAATGATCATCTTTTATTGGATATGGAATCGAATTGTCTTTCGGTAGATTTACAATCGTTACAATTATTGAGAGAGAAAATATTTGTCATTGATGATCATAATCAAGATGAAAAATTAGCTCTAGAGAAGATTACCACTGAATTACTTGTACTTGTGTTACTTTTACTTGTTGAGTGCCAATACAATGAATCACTCATTCCAAGATTTATTGAGTATGAATAAGATTGCAATGAAGAGAAAAAGCTGCCAACAATCGCCTCATCTTGTTTCGACATTTAACAATTTGAACATCATTATCTCGCATTAACAACACTAGATGAAATAGGATCAATATACGATGATTTATTGACTGATCAATACGTTATCTACACACTTATTTACAACGAAACAACCACACACCTCTCTAGACACTACTTGGAACGAGGACCAATTTGTTTCCTTCTGGACAAATCACAGCTGGAAATTCCTGAGAATTCTCCTCTGTACTCAACAAGACGGCACCTGAAAATTCCTTAATTTTCTCAAGAGTACTTTGCAATTGATCGGCAGGAACATAGATCTTACTTGTGGGCAATTCATTGTTTGAGGGTGCATCTTCAACCACAGAACGAGCATTGGCTTGCTTCTTCTTTGGACTCAATGTTCCTCTCAATTTGTAACCCTTCAATTTGAAATCAGGCTCCAAGAAGGAATTATGATCATCGACGACTCGTTCCTTCTTGTTTTCTTCTTCCTTACGGGATACCAAAGAAGAATCATGATTGGTTGTTGCTCCTTCGACTTGTGGTACAGAGGTACATTCTTCATGCTGACAAATCACCTCGACACCAAAGACTGCCTGATAAAAGTTCAGAGCACGATCCTTATCATCATACAAGAGAGTGAGCTCAGACAATTCTTCTTCTACTACTACTGCTGCTTCCTCAGCGACTACCTCAGAGTCCACGTTCTTCAATGAAGTGTCTCCATCCATCATGATAGAATTCTCAACATTGTGCTCTGATACTTCATTCGAAGAAGATTGAGGATCTGTTGATGAATTCTCAGAGACCAATTCCTCTCCTGTAGCTACCTCCTTCATCTCTTCAGTATTACATTCGGAAGAAGATTGATTTGACTCCTCGAGTTTGGTTTTCTTGGTTTGAGATTCAAACTCAACAACCGTTGTACTTTCTTCCTCAGCAGTATTGGAGTCTTGGTTGGAAACATCCATAGATGTATTGGCTTCACCAAGCGTCTCCTCTGAGCATGAAGGTGCCTCTGCTTCTTCTCTCTTTCGCTTAAGGATAGAGGAAGACTCTTCATTTACGAGAGGAGCTTGTTGTTCGAGTGAAGCAAAAGGCTTATCATTGACAACAGAAGGAATGGTTGAGTCAGCAGTTGCTGGGTTGGAGGTCATTGCGTCCATGTTTAAGATTTAGAGTTTTGTGTGTAGTTGTTTTTTTTTGTTGTGAGAGCGACTTGAGTCAAGGACCTTGCAAATTTAAGCCTTACGTGGCATTTGACACTTCCACATAAGGTTGGAATTTACATCTCGTTTGGCGCCAACCGAGAGTAAAGCCTTTCTTCGTCTTTATTCAATAGAAGGCTTTAATCTGTAAAACTTTACAAGAAGAGTGTATCAAAGCAAGAAGGAATTGTAAATTGTATTCATGGAAATTTAAATTCAACAACAATTCTTTTTTAGGAAGTTAGACATTTAACTTATTAAAAAATGTCTTCATCCAGTGTGGGAACATCTTCATCAAACTCGAACAAACCACTCGATGAACGAATTAAATTCTTTAAACACATTCCCATCATTAAATTTGAAAACATACCACTCAATTATTTAAACCGTGATGATGTGTGTTCATTTCTCGGAGATGTTATTCCCGGTCTTGATTTGGAAATTTTATTTAAAGAATTTAGAGTCATCATGCCACATAAGAATACACGTCGGAGAGTAGATACACTGATTTATGATCGTCAAAATAATGAAGAATTTAATCATGTGAAAACAAAATTATTACAATTTCAAAATTCATACAAATATTGTCCGAGAAGTGTTCTTGATAAAACAACGCAATCGGAACGGTTATGTTTTATGAAGGCAGAATATGTTCATGAAATGTTTGTTTATGCATTAACGGAAGATGATTCAGACCTCGTTTCTTCATTTTCACTATTAAGATCGATATTGGATGAAACCATTCTCAAGTCTCCCTATCCTTCTTCATTTAAGCAAACAATTTCTGTGGATAAAAAGCCAACTAGTGGAAATAAGAAGAAAAACAAAGATAAGGTATTTCCCATTGTTTTTCAACCTGCAAAACATGAAGTTTGGGAGATTAGTTTGTCAGAATCTTGGGTGCCAATGGTTAAAGAAGAAAAGAATGTAGCAACTAAAGGTCTCAAACAATTAATACAAGAGGATACAGGGTCTTCAACTTCATCGTCACCGCTTGCGGTGTCTAGTGATACATCAAAGTCATTGGTGACATCAAGCGATTCTAATTTAACATCAAGATCAGCAACGCAATCTGCACCTAACACCAACCAAGATATCAATAATGAAATGCATACTTCATTATGGCCTCAAGATTACACTCTCACAGGAATTGTGTCTTTTGGAAAAGCGATACGACAATTTTCTAATTTCTCTATTCAAAAAACCGAGGTTACATTCCTAATTTCCAAACAAAATATAACGGATCAAACAGAGAAAATGACAACAGGAAATTCTAAAAAGGTGACCCTGAAGAGGCAAAGAATTTCTCAAGCTTGGCTTCTCCACGACGAGGGAGCATTTGGATTTTCCTATGATGGGGGAGTGTCTGGAATTGTATCATCGATATTTTTTGATTCTTCCTTTTCATTCATTACAATTAATGCTTCTCCTATTCAAAAACCAGTGGTCGAATTATTTCAAACCGCTCTCCAACTAGCTCCCTATGATAAGAAGCTTATCAAAAAAGGTGTCTTGACACCACAACAGTTGAAAGAATTGATTTCATCACATCCAAAAACGGATACTAGTACGAATGGAAGCACGGACAATACCATTCGACATCCTTCAAATTGTGATAAGGATAACACTAGTACTGCGAGCACAGGGACCACTCGCTCGAAAACTACACATGATACTGCTAGCTCACAAATTCCAAAAACGAAATCCGTTACAAACTCTAACGAGACATTATCCTGCAAACTTGACTCGAAAAATGATATGTCAGAGGACCAAAACTCTCACACCTCAGCTTGTTACGACGATTATGATCAAGCACTGCCTAGTTCTGAACCCAATGTCAAGAAGAGAAAATTAGAAAACGAAACTGTTATTAATCCAGCACAACAACCAATCGCTGTTGAGAACGAAAAGCTCTTAGTTTTACAACGATTACATGAATACCAAATTTTATCAAGTGAAGAATATCGACAAAAGGTAACATTGATCGATGCTGTCAATCGATACAAGAATGGTGACACTTCATTGATGAAAGAGATTATTGAAAAGAAGAAAGTTTTTTTAACTGATTTTTCATCATTCCCTCAATTCATTTGTCCTCTTACAGGAACACTTGCCAAAGAACCAGTGTTGGGCAATGATGGTCAAATTTATGAAAAGGAAGCTATTATGGCATTGCTCTATAAGAATGCCACACAATCACAACCAATGAAAGTTACACAATATTCAATCATTCAAAGTGCGGCACAAGAAGTCAACCAAATTATAGAATCCAAATTACAAGATGTTTTCGAATTTTTACACAATATCATTGCTGAATTTTCAATTTTCGACATAGATTTACTTCCACTTTTAACAGCTTTCATGCTGCTCGATACTCACCGTAAATATACATTGAAATCACTTTATTTGAAGTTTAAAATTATTGAGGCAAATATTTCACGGTTTAGGAGTAATGAACTTGCAAGTTTGAATGCTAGTGAATCGAATACAGAGGCATGCTCATCGTTGCTAATTCTTCAAGATTGTATTACTGGAATCATTTCTTTGGAAACAGAAAAACGCAACATGATCCCTGCACTAATTTTTGGTCTGAAGGAAAAGGTTTCGAAAGATGTTTTTAATTGTTATTCTTTGGCACTGTATGTGGCGTGTGAATCCAAATTTGAGGAATTATATGATCAACTTGCGAAGCAGAAGAGTGAATTTCTATACAACAGTATACTGTGTGCCGTTTATTCAGTGGTAAAATGCATGTCTTTTGCTGACTTTATCAAACACATCAAGCCCGAACCTGGGACTTCGAAAGCGACACACTATGCACATTTATTGCTACTCTTGTGTGACAGTGAGTTGAGGTTTCTTGAGGAAAATGTGGCAACAAATAAATAAAAGCCTGTAGCTCTTGTTTGTGCAGACTTTTTAAAAAGAGAGAATAAGGATAATAAGGACTTGTTGACATTGCTAGAAATGGTGTTGGAATCATGATCAAGCTCCATAATACATTCAAACTCACAAAATGAGAATCAGTTTATTTGGCAGTGGGTTTCTTTCCCTGTGTGGAGGCTGATTGTGTCGAAGCAGACAAGGTTGTAGCAGTGGCTGCTTTTGGAATTATTGTCTTCTCGTAAAGAACCTTGTTGAGCCAATTCACTAAATCATGATATGCCTTAAGTCTGTTCTCTCGCGATGAAATACCATGTCCTTCATTTGCAAAGAGTTCCAATTTCGAGTATTTGAGTTGATTTTTTCCTGGCTTGGTTGATTCTTGGATGAGTTTCTTGTACCAGTTTTGAGCTTCCTCTGCAGGCACTCTTTCGTCATTCTTTCCTTGAATGATGAACATTGGAGCAATGACATTGTCGATATATGTCACAGGCGAAATACTCTTGAGGAATTCTTGTTGGGTATGATAATTACCATATTCTTCGTAACGTTGTCTTCTTCTGAACTCTGCAGTATTCTTAAAGAAGGTAATCAAGTTAGTCATACCAACAATCGACACTCCGGCCTTGAAGTATTGAGGAATTTGAGTCATACACAAATTAGTCAAATAACCTCCATAGGATCCTCCTCCAAGGACTAATCGGTTTCCATCAATACCCTTAAACTTTTGTAAGAACGTGGCAATGGCAGCAACATCCTTGACAGCATGCATTCTCTTTTCAACATTGTCAGCATCCATGTATTTTCTGCCGTAACCCTTAGAACCTCTGACGTTAGGAACAACGACTGCATATCCTGACAAGACTAAAAATTGAATGAGAGGACTGAAAACAGGTCTGCTCTGACTCTCTGGACCTCCGTGTAATTTGATAATGGCTGGGAATCCATCCTCTGGAGCGTCACCAGATGGCAAATACATGAAGAAAGGAATCATGAGTCCGTCAAAGCTGCTCACACTCACTAACTTTTCCTTGACAAATTTGCCTTGAACAGCTCGGACAATCTTTGGAAGACGGTCATCAGACAACAATGGCCAGTAAACGGCGACATGTCTGAAGGTTTGTTTTGGAACAAGAGTGGTTGCTGTTGAACCATTTTCCTTCTTCTTGGCTTGTTGACGTGCCAACTTTCTGATTGCCTTTTGCTTCTTCTTGTATCTGATATTGTATGGATCCAGATCAAGCATGTAAATATTAACTGGATGAGTGGAATCAGTCATGGTAACAGCCATCAAATTACCATCGTGGGTAATGGACGAACTGTGACCGAATGAACGAGCGTCGCCGTGTACAATGACACCATTTTCAAGAGGCAGTGGGACTGGGATGAGTGGCTTTTTGAAGCCAGATGGGCCAATTCTGGTCTTGTAAAGTTTGCTATAACCACCTTCATTGAATTCAAGATAGGTCCATCTCGTACGAGCATTGCCCAACACACCTACAACATCATGCTTGTACTTTTCCATTTCTGGAATAGTCACGAATTTTGGAGTATTCGATTTCATGTCACCTTGGAAGTCCAAAATGGCCAATCTCAAGAAGTCTGATTGGTAGTCCGTATTGACCAACATTTTAGTGTGACCACGATCCAAGAAACGAAGAGGATACCATCTCAATTTAGCATTACCACAGAGTGGTTTAGTTAATGGAGTGAGTGTACCATCAACAAGATCTTTCAAGAGCAATTCATTGTGAACGTTACTGTATCGTTGTTCAACCACGATTTGTGTTTCATCCGAAGACATGAGTGTAGCACGTGGAATTCCAGTCTCAGGTGTGTAGATACGTTCAGCTGGAGAAGGCTTTCCGTCCTTACCAATCAATGGAAATGGTCTTCTGTACAAGTCAAAGAATTTCTTGTTACGAGCATTGGATTGATAATACAAGTGGTTCTTTGTGACGTGATTAATCAAGTGCTTGGCCTTCATGTCTTTGGTCAACCAGAAGTGTTTGGATTGAGGTGTAATGATACCAATTTGGAAATTTTCATTACCACCACGATCATGATAATACAAAATAGATCCATCGTGAAGATATCTTGGAGCCGAGCATCTGAATTTAGTATGAACCAAACGAACTGGCTTACCAATAGTCTTTCCCTTCTTTCTATCAATCTTAATCTTGTAAATTTGGAAAACTCCTGAAGAGGACGAGACAAAGATCATTTCATTCCTGAATGGATGGAATGCTGGTCCACCAATTGCTGAAATGCTGAAAATGTTCTTCAGTTTGTTCCAACGACGAGAACTAAGCTTGACGGCATGAGCAATTTTTGGATGAACTGAAGATTTACGTCGAGAAACTTTGATCTTTTTGAGAGAAGATGGTTTCGATTTGGCGGTCTTCTTGGAACTAGTAGTAGTAGCACTCTTTTTGGTGGACTTTTTGGTGCTAGATCCAGTCGTAGATATCTTCTTGGTGCCATGCTTGGTTGTTTTCTTTTGTATTTTCTTGGAAGCGAATGACTTTTTAGATGGTCTTGTTGTAGTAGTGACAGGCCTTTGTTGTCTAGTATTGGTAGGCTTTTGTACAGCCAAAGCAGCTCCAATAGCCCTCTCTTCTTCATTCTCGTCGTAGACAAGTAATTCATCTGAAGCACTCGCAACACCTTCTCCCAAAATAGCATTGTCCAAATGAGCATACAAATTTACAGCTCCATCACTTCTTGCATTGAGAACCTCATCATCGCTCACAAGTAAGTTTACGGAGCTTGAATATTGATCAACGGAAGCCTCTCCTTTGACTTTTCCAAAAATTACAGCAAAAATTGCAATCAACACGAATAGTACTAGAAACGTGCTTGTCTTTTTCATGTTGTTTATGATAACCGGTTTCAAAAGAATCAATTGTTGTTGTTGTTCTATGAAAATTCTCAAAATAAATATAAAGAAAATTGAATATATTTCAAAAAACGCACACCTGAGCCTTTCCGTTTGATGTTAGTCAGCTATAATCCAATGTTGTTGATGATGTAGCTGATGATTATTGCTGAAACAGAGGCTTTGCTGCTGATGTGCGTGAGGTGCGGTTGAAAAAATTTTTTATGATAGGAAACGATGATCGAGTATGACCCGACAGATGATGAAAGGCTATGAATGAAACTATTGGGAGTCGTATTAATGACACAAAAACTCAGAGCAAAATGATGTTCAGTGATGAACAACAATAAGAGCGAGAGAATTTTTCTTTATCACCCCATTCGTTGTTCTTGGTTTTGATCATCAGGATGGCATTCATCACGAATCGGAACAATTATGGCTAAAGGGAAAGAATATCATTATTGCTTTTACGAGAAATGTATCATTGGGAGAAGATGGTAAAATAGAGATCTCGTGCAAGAAAAGGCTTTTTGCTTTGAATTATTCATCTCCTCCAACTCCGATAGAATCTGTATTCTGTCATTCTCTTCTCTCTGTATGATGCAGTACAATGTTTATGAACGTAATTTGCAAACGAATGAACACAATTTCCAATTGGAATTGTTTCACATTCAACAACCCCTCATCATGATGATGCATGTACTTGCCATGTACAATTGTTGACTTGCTCGGTTCCAGTACACCCAAAGAAAGCAAGTCACTACAATTTGTTATGTGTCCTCAAATGTTTTGGATGGAATTGCCAAAACCGCTTTTTTGAAAGCATTGACATTTGCTGCTTCATGTCATCTTCACAAACGGTAAGTATTCAGAAAATAAAAAGCAGCAAAGAGGAACAAGTTCTAAACCCAAAGACACAGAGAAATCTCTCGAGAGATAACTATTTCACACACACGTGCATTGCAGTTATGATTTTTGGATCTCACACACTGTCATCATCATCACAACCATCTCTCTCTTGTCCTGTCCTTGAAGATCTCTTCCTTTAATTTTCGACTACTAGTATATCTAACAACGACTTGTACAATTACACCTTCCAACATGTTCTTCATGAAACGGAATAGTACCTTGATGCAGTCCATGGCATCTTCACCTACTTCTCCCAATGCACCTACTCCTTCTTCCCTGTCAATTGCCAAAACATCCACCCATTCTCAGTTGTCCATATTGCAACCCTCAGCAGCTACCACCACATTTCAAACTCTCTCATACTCACATCCGTCCTCCACCTCCTCCTCACCAAGTTCCTCACCAACATTGGGTAACCAAAAAGATCCTTCCCGAGCACTCATTCAACAACATTTATGCAAACTCATTGAAGAGACAACCTCCCAATACCAAATTCATTTTGAGAGCTGTCTCTCCAATGAAACCACTCTCCTGCCAGCATTCAAAGAATTCCTTAAATTTGAACATAACCTAAGTGCCTTGGATTTTATTTTGATCACGGAAGAATACATGATGCTACTGGCCAATGTTGTGTCGTCACCGACCAGTATGAGTGAAAGCGAAACATGCTCGACACCACCATCTTCCAATTCTCCAATGTCACCCTCAACGTCGTCAAAGCAAGAGAACAATGTTTCGAAATCTAGTTCCAAGTTGAGTTTACAGGATGAGCCAACGACAAAGAAACAGCAATTGGAAAAGATTCAATTCATTGTTGAAAAATTTCTCAGTGACTATTCAAAGGATCAAATTAATGTCAGTAATTCCTCACGTAGTGAAGTTTTGAAACGATTCGAAGAATTGAATGAAAATATTGAATCGATGAATGACAATGACATTTACTTGTTCGAAAAATGCAAGCAAGATGTTTATCTGGAATTGAGAAATGACAACTTTGCAAGGTTTTTACAAAGTCCATACTTTTCACAGGCCATCCTATCCATCATTTCTCAAGACTTATCAATTCCTAAAAAAACAAACATGCTCACTCCTGAATTTTTACAAGATTTCATGACCTTACTCGAATTTCAACTTTCCACCATTGGAGAAAAGAGAAGAAATACGATGGCCAATTCAAGTTCGAATAATTGTCCAACTTCTCCTTCGAGTTCCATTCTTTCAGAGGTCGATTCTGCTGCCACTGATTTTGATTGTCAATCTGTGGATTCGACTTCATTGGCATCATCATCCAATCTCTCTTCGAAAAAGAATCTTGCAACTCATTCCAATGAAGCGTATCAAGAAGTGAGACATGCCTTGAGCGAATTATTACTGGACAAGAAACAGAAAATCGTGACAGGACATCACTTTGACATTTTCAAAAAACTAAACAATATGGATGGAATGTGGCAACAAATTCACAAGTCCAAGCACATGGCCACCTACAAGAGTAAGGAGAAATTTGTCACGTCAAAAGTGGCCAAGGCATCGAAAGGAATTTTATTGATTAAGGAAGTCTTGACGGTTGAGGCAACACCTGAAGAACTATTGAGTACTGTGATTGATTCAAGAATTTCACCCATCACTGAACCAACCGTTACTCAACTCAAATTTAAGGAATTTATTGAAGGAGGACAAACTGTCCATGTGACAAGTGGAGGAGCTGCCAATATGGAATCAGCTGTCAAAACCACAAAAACTCATCCAGTCGCTTGTTCGAGTACAATTGTCAAAACTCCGTGGCCCCTCTCAGATCGAGAAGTGTATTGTGCCACTTGCATTCGAAGAGAATTTAATCATTTTACTCAACGACAGACTGACTATACCATCTTTAGAAAATCTTACGATCCTGAAGAGGAAGCAGTGGCGAAAGGATGTGTGAGGGCCTTATTTTATGGAGCAACCATCATTGAGCAATTGAATGAAAAGGAATGCAAAATCTCTGGAATTGCTTTCATTGAAGCTGGTGGAAAAGTTGCTCCATCGATATGGAACAAAATTCTCACGGCTCGAAGTTCGCAAGTTTCCAAGAATTTGAGAAAAGGACTCGAGTCTCGTCGAAAGATGAGTGAAGAAGAGAGGAAAATAACTTCAGAAAATTCGTTACGAAAAATTGACACATTGATTTGAGACTTTGAGAAGGCCTCTTATCAAAATTTTGCATTTTGTACATTAGAGATGTAAAAACAACAACAGTGACTTGTAAATACCTTGCGTTCGGAGGTGAGCTTCTTAAACCTCATCATACGCTCTGAGACTATTGACATCAATAAAATCAAGTTTTTGACAGTTTGCCATTTAAAGGAAACTCGTTATTTTGGAATGATCATCTACATCGATGCATTAAATTGTTCAAACTCCTACTTCAATCTATTTTTCGAAACAGAAAGGACGTTGATGTCAACCGTGTTGCTACGGCAGAAAGACTTTGTGTTAACACCTTACTAAAAAGTCAAAAGTACAGTTTTGCATTTTGGTTGTTAAATTTAGCCACTTCAATTTATCAACGAACAAGAAATGTCAACACAACACCACGAAGAATCCTCAACAATGCCAATGTCAACTGCCACCTCAGCTGCCAAATGTCAACACGTGCCAACAACCACCCCATTCCCTCCTCCATTCCTAATCAACAATTCAAATGCAAACAATAACATGATCAAGCCTTCCACAACCGTACTGATGGACTCTCCCTTCTCCTCTCTCTACACCACCAATAGTTATTCTTCAAGCTTGCAAAATCAACCTTTCAACACATCTTATTCCTCATTTCCTTCTCAAAACTACTATTCATCATCAATTTCTTCAATGGGAGAACCATCCAGTAGACTAAATCCATACTACGATCAAACCATTGGCACTTTACACACTGCCACTAATCATTTTGTAAATAATAATAACAACAACACAAATGTTGACTCGAGTGCTCAAAATTCTTCAACCACTCCTATGGGTCAACCACAACAGTTATTTCCAACCAATACGATCATGTATAACAACAACAACAACAACAATACATCATTGAATCCAAACAGCAAATCACAGCAAGGTAATGCGCCTTCTTTGAACACTGCTGTGGGTGGTGATTGGAGTCCATCTGTCACTCATCTCCCAAATATGTCGACTCCAATCAAAACAGTCGCGAGCCTCAATAAGAACATACCAATGCTTCAAACCAACCTCAAAAGGCCATCCAATTCGATTCAACAACAACAGCAACCATTTGGAAATGATGTCTCCACAACTGACAGCCAATCCTCTCCTCCTCCTGTCACCACTCAAACCTCCTCCAATCGAAACTTACCAAAAGACGCAGTTGCAATCCTCAAAAGTTGGTTTTTCGATCATCAAGCTCATCCCTATCCAACTGAAGAAGAAAAAGCCATGCTCTGTGAAAAAACAGGTCTCTCCCATAAACGTATCAATTATTGGTTCATTAATGCTCGGAGAAGATTATTACCAAATTTGAAGAAGGAGGAAAAGAAAGCCAAGTCAGTCACGTCCATTCCAAAAAGAAAGAGAAGATTGGATGAATCTTCTCGAAATAGATCACATCGTCATCAGCCATCGTCGAGTTTCATTACTCGTTCCATGTCGGATGGAGCCGATGAAATGGATGTACATGTTCAAGATTTGGGTGAGGAAAATAATTGGGTGGTGGAATGTCTATTGGAGCTCTCTAAGAATGACTATTAAATTCTCGTCGAAGAGTTCATTGAGAATGTATATAACATCATTCATACTTTGTGTGTTCTTAAATATTTCCATTGAGCAAGAATGTATATAAAATAATACACTGTGTTCCTAAATATTGATTAAAAAACATCCCAAAATTGTGTATCATCAATGTTTCTAATATCAGTATTTCTAATGATGGCTTGCATGGCGTGGAAAAAAGTATATATTTTCTGGTCCTCTCATTGTCATTGTCATTACTCCTCACAACCCCATTCTGAAAATAAATTAAGTAATGCATGGTATGTACTTTTCGATTCTTGTGAAAATGAGTGTGACTTTAAGGTCAAGGACAGTTTCGATTGCTTCAATAATTGTCTACATAATTTCTCATTGTGGTAATAGCTTTTAAGTTTTCTCATCTTGAGTAAAATTTCGTTGGATATGGTGCCTTGAATAATGTGATTGAGAAGGCGCTTCTTAGAGATGGAATGTTCTAATAGGAAATTGAAGAGTGAACAATATCGATCGGTGCTGACATCATATCGAGTTGAATATAACAACTTTTGGTAAATGGTTAAAATCTCCTTTGGTTGATCCTTCGACAGTAAATATTCGAATACTTCAAACGTAGAAATGGCTTGTTCTAAAATGTTATTACCACTACTATTTTTCACGTCTTCTATGAGCTCTGTGCAACCTTGTTCTTTGATCAATGTTAGATAAATGTACTTGAAAATTATCCAAATCTGTTCACGGTATCGAGAAAGTGGCAAATAATTGCAAGCTTCGTAAACTAGTGTGAACATGACGTTTTCAACCTGCGACGAGCTTTCTGTTGGAGCACCTTTCAACACATCATGTTCATTGTTCGAGAGTTTGAGAAAGCATTTCCTGATTGTTGTAATGTATTTACAACACTGAGTTAGAATCGAGTAGAAACTCTTGTTCATGTCCATACGTTCCAAACTCAAGAAAACAGCACTAATAATAGTGTGGATAGGATAATAATTTCTTAAAAACTTCACAATATCTTGATGATTCATAGCATAGCGTTCATAAAAATCTAAAATAATGTCAATAATATCAAATTGAAAGTGTTTAAGACTTGCAGTAAAAATCTCCATATTTTCTAAAAGAAGCTCAAATAAATAACTACTCTTTTGATTTTGTGATAACTGAGAATTGTCCATGACATTTCGTTTCAACAACCTCATAAAAAGTTGTGAAGAAGAGAAGCTAACCATTTCTAAATACAGATTCATTGTCATGGTACAATGTCGCAACAGAGGGATATTGAGCTCGAGGAAAAAGGTTGAAATTAGATATTCAACCTTCTTGAATATGACTTTGTCATCGCCGGGTCTAACGACAACAGTTGCCTTTTTAGCCATGCTATTGCTGTAACCGGGAGAACGAAGAATTTTCACTGTATCTACAACTTTCCGAATAATTAATTCAATATATTCTCTCTTTTCGGAAATGCAAGGATATCTTTTCACTTGTTTTCTTAAAAATGATAGAAACCGTTTCCACTCATCCATCGAAAGGTTTGAAAGGACAATGAATTCATCTTGATAGCTTGATATTCCAACGCCTTGAAATTTTAGGTAATTTTTAACTCCAAAACATGGGCTCATTAAAAACCAATGTGCAAAACAAACAGGTTCGAATGTAGCTTGTTGAACTGCTTGATAGATTGGAATTGCCAATACATATTGATGCCCAGGTAAGGAAGCTACTCCAAACTTGATAATTTCGTTCACTATGTATGGATTCCTGAGTGAATGATATAAAAAGTCCCAAAACAGTTTCACAGTCGTAATATGATAACAATCTGTAATTAGAATTTTGTAAAAGCTTTCCTTGCTCACTTTCAAGTAATTGAAAATCTCTTTCACAATCAATTCCATATTTTGTCTCAGCATTACATCTTCAGATCTTGCCAACGATCTTGTATAGTTAAATGTCAAACCGCCATACGAGGGAATCAACTTTGCATATGTCTTGTCCAAATTTATGGCATACAAGAAGAATGGTTCCATTCTCTGAATTACTTTTTGTAATACAGCATTGGTATCTCTCTTACTTTCATCATCAAATACTTGTCCTTTCAATACTTGTTCCAAAGTTGAAAAGAATGGAACGACAAAATCAATAATATTCAACAATATTTCTGGAGGTAATTCAAGAAACCGAGTCTTGATTTTGACTTGAGTGTTCTCTACTTGCTGTTTCTTTTGTTTTCGAGGAGTGGATGATTGTTTCAATTTTTCAATCTCAGTAACAAAATACGCTCTATCTTCATCCTCTTCGGAATTATTACAATATTCTTCGTCGAAATTCTCCCGAGAGTCCTGATGATCATCACTCGTATTTAAAAATTCATCTCTATAATCCTCGTCATTATAGAAATAATGAGAGAGAAGTTCCGAGGTTTTGATGGGAAAATTCATTTTTTTGATTTGAGGAAAGTGAGAAGAAATTGCATTTGGAATTTTACTTGGTTTACAACAATTCAATATTGAAATTGTAACAATGAAAATGAACATGAGTGTATCTCAAAGAGATACATTTAATCGCCAAAAAAATGTCACTAATCACAAAACCCCATCATCTATGCATTCTCATGTTCGTCATCAATCTCTTCTCCTTAATAACCAATCTCGTACTTTCAATATCGGCACAAGAATGCACTTTTTCAAAACCGTGCCCCACAATGAGGACAGCAACGTTCAATCAAACCATTTTTCAAGAATATATTGGCATGAATTTATATTTCGATTTAAACCCAATCGATGTGTGTCAGCAAGACCATTCCATACGAGAGATGAATATATCTTGTACTGATTTTATGAACTCGACATGGCTTGATTTGTATGGAAATGAAATTCAACGATTTTTACACTTTTCAAAACAGTGGTTGCTTCGAACGAATGAAAGTTTATTGTCACTCTCCAAAGGTATTTCTTTAGAACATACTTCTAATGGGACGGTGCGAGATCAAGTACAGCTCCTTAATTTCTGTACTTCTTGCAACCATTCACATTTTGAAATTTTCCATTTATGGTTATCGAAAGAATTACCATTGTTGAACATTCTTTTGAAAGACAATTATTGCGGACAAGGTATTCCACACTTTGGAGTTTCACCTTCCTCGCTCTTTATTGCTTGCTCTTGTCCCAATGGTGTGGTCTCCAATGAATGTGGATTTTATTCTCAATTTCTCATACCTTTCACAATGGGCGAAACATTTTACTCCATAGAAATTGCAGTTGCGGTGATGCTACTAATTGTCATTCTGTTTCTTAATTTTATCCCTTATTTGAAAGAGCTCTCTACCTCAACTGTTTCAAATCAAAAAAGACTTGGACTATTAATGCTATTCACCGAATTTAAACTGCATTCAAACATTTTACTGATGGGATCTGTTCTTTCTTTGATTACATGTGCTTGTATCACCATTTCAATCAAAATACGAGACAATTCCTCCACTGGTATGAGAGTGGCAGATATATTTCTGAATTCGGCAGGAAATTTGTTATTTGTGAGCACAATTCCACTCATGTTTTCATGGGTTGACACCATTTATAGGAGTTTGAAGTTGAGAGCAACCACAACACTCTCCATTACGTAAGTTGTGAAATAGATAATTTCTGTAATGATTCACACACGAGTGTTAGAATTGTGTGCAATTCCATTTGTGGAGTGTTGTTAGCGCTAAGTTTGGGTTATGCAGCTGTCATGTTTGTTCTTTGCATGATTGACTCCAAACACGACGCATATATTGTAATATCACACATTCCTTATGTGTTCACTGCAACCATTATTGCCGGTGCCATTGTTGTCACCATAATAATGACACTACTTGGATTTATTTTATTTCGAATGCTGAAAAAATCAAATCCTTCTGTTAGATTATTAGATTATCGATTCACAAAGTTCCTTATTTACATTGTTATTGTATTGAGCCCAATGTCAATACAATTGAGTATGAATATTATTCGAGTTTTTAACATGTAAGTAGTAACTAAATGTAACATTTGATTTTAATGAAACAAATCAGTAAGTGGAGCTGTCGATTTTACTCTGTTCTTGAATACCATTTCATCATTTGGGATTTTTTCTTTTTATATTTAGGAGAAATGTATTTGTTATTTAAGGCGAAATCTTTCGCTACTACATCTTACGGACAACTATTTATGAAAACTGTAAGCTCTCTGAAACAGACGATCAAACAGAACAGTTTGCCAAATTCATCAGTCGACTCCACACCCTGTTCAGCAATCAGTTCCAACAACAAAAAAGATGATCATCAACCAAACAATTAAAAATCTCTAAAACGAGTTTTCTTTAAAAAAAAATATCAAAAAACATATTCTTCCTCATACACTCCCAACCACTCGGAATCGGAACAAAGAAATGATCACAACAAAACTTTGCAACAATAACGATCGTGAGGATCCGATTTTCTTGGATGATATGATTTATGAAATTCTTCAATTTCTTGATACAAAAACGATATTGCAAATTTGTATGAAAATTTCAAGACAATGGAGACAAGTATCACTGAAAATTCGTTTATCATTGTCATTCTATTGGGATCAGGATGAGGACAATTCCTATTTGCTTTCATTTGTTTGCAAAACAGTTCATGATGGCTCAAAACTTGCACAATCAATTGCAACAAGTGAAAACTTGCAAAACGTGACTTGGTTAGATTTATCTCATAACGAAATTGATTTAACAGGTGTTGAATATATTGCGAACAGTGGAAATTTGAGAAATTTGGCCTCACTGACTCTCAAATTCAACTTTATTAGCTCGACAGGCGTTGAACTCATCTCAAACAGTGAATTTTTGCAAAATTTAACTTTACTGAATTTGGCTAGCAACACCATTGGTTCAGAAGGCGCTAAATTTATTTCAACTAGTGAATCTTTGAAAAATTTAACATCATTGAATTTATCCTTCACTGAGATTGGTATAAACGGTACTGAATATATAGCAAACAGCGACCATATGAAGAATTTAACTTTTTTAGATTTATCTGGAAATGAAATTGGTTCAGAAGGTGCTAAATATATTGCAAATAGCCAACATTTGAGGAAATTAACTTCATTGGTTTTAGATTCGTGTAATATAGGCTGTGAAGGTACAATTTATCTTTCAAATAGTCCAAACCTTGAGGATTTAACGTCTCTTGATTTAGGTTACAATGACATTGGAATAGCAGGTGTGGAGTCTATTTCGAAAAGTATATACTTGAAAAATTTAACATCTCTACTCTTGTCTTCCAATGAACTCGAAGGAGCAGCTTTTGAATATATTGCAAACAGTGAACGTTTGCGAAATCTCACAAAGTTAGATATCTCATTCACCAAAATTGGCTCAACCACTGGTATTAGGCATCTGGTAAACAGTGAAATTTTGCAAAAATTGGTTTCATTGATTTTGAGTTACAGTGAAATTGACTCTGAAGGTGCCAAGCTCATCGCCAACAGTGAAAAATTTAAAAACTTAACGGTACTGGATTTGATGGAAAACTATATTGAAGCTGAAGGAACCAAGTTCATTGCAAATAGTCACCATATGAAAAATTTGACGTTGTTAGATTTGTGGTCCAATAGAATAGGTATCGAAGGAGCTAAATTCATCGCAAATAGTGAGAACTTGAACCAATTAACTTCATTGATATTGTATGACAATGAAATTGGTTCAGAAGGCACATTACTTCTTGCGAACAGCAAAACCTTGAAAAATTTGCGTTACTTGGATTTGAGTTCCAATGAAATTTGTTCCAAGGGTGTTAGCTATATTTCACAAAGTAACATTTTGAAGAAATTAACATTTTTGGATTTATCTTTCAATGAAATTGGTTCAGAAGGTGTTGAACTAATTGCAAATAGCCACAATATGAAGAATTTAATGACGTTAAATTTATATTCCAGTAGAATTGGCCCAAAAGCTGCTAAATTTATTACGAGCAGTGAAAATTTCGAGAACTTGAGGTATTTAGATTTGTCTTCCAATACCATTGGTAAAGAAGGGGTTGATATTATTTCAAACAGTGCACTTGCAAAACAATTAGTCTTTTTGGATTTATCTGAAAATACCAATAACCAGAAATGAGCTTTATGTCAACACTTGATATTGAATTCGACGTTTCCCTATCCTAAACAATTTTAATTTGAACATTAAAGAGCTTATATGGAATAAAACGAGTCTCGTGATTTGGGTGGATGGTCTGAAAATTGAAAATCAAAATTAATTTCATTTCATTTCTTTAAATTTTCATTGAAAATTAATTTCACAAAAATTAATTTGTTGTAAATCAACAGAAAGATGGTTGGTAAAACGGATTATTTATTCTTCGCCGCGTGTACGTGCGCATGTCTAATAGCTGAATAAATAAGATTTACATTACCTTTTCTATCCTGTAATTCAGCAAGAGTACAACACAAATAGATGCAACAAACATATGCATCAGTCTCATACAGGATGACATTATTAAGCGTGCGCTGATTAAACATCCCATGGTAAACCATGAGGCATCCTTTGGACTGAAATCAGTTCAAAGAGCATCCCACTAAAGTGAGGCATCCTATTGCAATGCAATAAGGCATCCCAAGTTGAGACATGAGGCATCCCACCCAAAGGTGAGGGAGTTGTGGAAAGCCACAACTATGTTTGTTTATTTCAGAGGTGGATTGGGAGGAGGGTGGGTACTTTTCAATTCTTTGAGAGAAAGTGATTCTATCACCTTTCTCGAAGTAATTGATAATAATTGTTCCATATCACAAGTAATGTAAATTTTTTGAAAGTGAAAATTCAAAAAATTAGTCAACCAACCACTTTTATTGATTACAACAAACCTCAGTAAAACTCCCTTTTACTACCGAATTTAAAAAAAATGAATACAAACCAACAAGAAAGAAAACGAAAAACGGCACCTTCCTCATCATCAGAGAACACTGCAAGCAGCAGTGAGTCCTTTCCGACTGAAAGAGCTTGTAAAACCTCAAAAATTTCCATCGTTCCATCCAATTTCAATGAAAATCCGAATCAATTGCAATTGCTTCCAAATGAAATGATCTTGCACATCTTGTCCTTTCTCGTCGGAGATCATCAGAAAAATAGTAAAATGGACGTGAGCACAATTCCTGCATTAGCTGAAAAAGCCGAAAACGAACGATACTTTAAAACGGAACAGGTCAGTGAAAAGGCTCTTGTGTTTATTCCTCCGTTTGAGAATGTTGTTTCGTTGGTCCGATTCACCAAAGCCAACAAACAGTTTTACCAAATGATCACTCAGCCTGCTGTTGAGCATGACGAGGAAGGTGTTACTGATTTTGAAGAACATTGGCTAAATGGCTATAACTTTTTCTCCAAGCTACTGTACTGGATTAGAACACGAAATTTAGAGCGACTTGAATTGAGCACTGGAGACATGAATAGTGAAGAATTTAGAAGACTTGCCAAAGCTCAGAATATTATTCAACATGTAGAAAGAGGAATGGCGATGAAGTCATTCGAAGACGCCTTTGAAAGCGATAATTGTTGGCTAGAGGGTTTGGAGGATGATCAAGATGATGATACGGAACAAGATGATGATACGGAACAAGATGATGACAAATCCATCTACAAGAAAATATTTAAATCCCAAAAACCGATATATAGCGATGAAAAGGAGAGTCAAGAAGGAATTAGAGCGCGATTGGCACAATTAGAAATATCTATTGAGAAATATTGTTCACACTACAGAACAGGAGATAATGATGCATTTACCATGTTTTTAGTTGTGTCACTAATGTTGTCTCTCAACATGTTTAACACGATGGTAAGTAGGCTGCAACAGCCTTGTTTTCAACGTGGATGATATTTTAGGACTCTGAAGAGAGAGATTTATACTCATCAGGTAGTCAAATTTTACTCTCAAAGTGTTACCTTGAAAATTGGAGCTTTGGAGAAGAACTAGCAGGTTATTCAAAACGAGAAAAGAAATCTAATCAACAACAAACTTCTCCAAGCATCGGAATATCTATCAAAAATCCAGGTGCTTGGGCTCGATTTGCAACAAACAATCATAAGGACTTTACGTTTGAAGAAATTTCAAATTTACAACAAGTAGACACTGAAAACATGCTGAAGAAGCTTTCCAAATCGATATTTTTACACTTAGAGAATGTTGTTTTCTTTAAGCCCCTGCAAAATTTCGAATTTCCAAACAGCATCATGTTTTTAAGTTTAGACTTGACCTCCACCAAGTCCCACTCGATCTATCCTGAAAACGAATGGAATGATTTTCTTAATGGATGTACATTTCCTGGGGTTAGATACTTACGACTTCGTTTTGATTGTTACAATACATGGTGGAAACCACAAGAGGATGAAAATTTGAAGGCATTAAGTTCTAGCGATTATCAAAAACTAGTGTTAAAAGCAGTGTTAAACAAGGAACGGTTTCCAAATCTACAATATTTGACATTCAATGGGTTTAATGAAATTCAAACCATTCATGAACATCACGAGTTGTTAGATCAACTTCTTGGGATTGAATTCTCGTTCAATAATGATAGTCGAGACAATACCGTTTGGAAACAAGCGGTCAAGATTACTTCCCAACTCAGTGGTTCAGACATGTTGAAATATGTCGTAGTTGAGACGGAACTTGATCCAAGAAGAGTTATTAACATTGATGGAGTGTTAGAAAATTTTTACTCACTTCACAGGTGCCCTGCTTCGATTGGATATGCCAGTATTAGCAGATTTTATTATATTAGTGGAGAATAATACAGTGCACAGACGCGTCATTTTCTCACACTACGGCTGTATTAAACTTGATACAAAAGTACAAGCCGACATAATGAAGTTCGAGCTCACTCGAAGCCACCAGGATTAATGTTTAACCGCAATGCAACTGTGTGACATCGAATCTCCAACCATTTCCTTTCTGATACAAACAGTCGTCAACCATTTGTTGATTTCAGATATCGTACATGATCCGTACAGATTTTGGATGATTGTGAGATGTACGGCTAAATTTCGTGATCGGCATTTGAGCAAGATATGGTTGGCTGCCAGCTCAAACGTTGCACCATTCAAAAAAATTGGCAGAGTTGATACTTGCAGGTAGATAATGACACATTTACTTGTTGTGTTACTGTCAGTAAGTTTCATATTGACATGCATCCATGTCCAATCCATGTCAGCTGCCAAAACTTCACTTGGCAAAGGCCTCTTCGATTTTGGCGTTGCAGTCAACAAAGCCAATGCAAGAGGTGTAGTTGTTACCAAATGCTCTTCCTCTCAATATGAATGTATTCTCTCTCCCATGATGGATTATAGTGGCATGTTCGCCATGCTAGCTGTCAATGCCAACAATGGAAGTACCATACGAGTTGACTACCCAGCTGCAGCACTCACTGCTCAAACTCCAGTTTTTGCTTCACTTCTTTCGCATGATGGTCGATTCTACTACAATCATTTTGGAAATTATTTCATGCAATTTGATGCCACTACCTTATCATTTACATTTGTGGCAAAAACTTCACAAGGAACAGCTATGGGAATGACTGTGGATGATTCTGGAGTGATTTGGTCTGCTACGTACCCTAAAAGTGGTTTAGTTTCTTTTAATCCAAAAAATAGAGAATTTAGAGATTACGGATTTGTCTATAATCAAACATGGTACATGTACCAGAGAAATATTGCAGCAGATGACTTGGGATATATTTACATTGCTGTTGGCTCTGCACTGAGTCAATTTGTATGCTTTCATCCAAATACAAGTCAGTCTTGGCCATTGTTGGCTGAAAATCAACGAATTTCTGGAAGTCCTTGGCTGTATAGAGACAATGACGGCAAAGTTTATGGACTTAATGTCAATTCCAGCCCCATGTTTATGTTTTACGGAGGCATCATGACCCAGCTGTCGTCTCCTCATACCCGTAGTTACAAATTTTACATTTCTGGAACTCAGTATTTATTTTATGGAAATTTCCCGTCTGGTCGAATTCTCAAAACTTTCGATCCAGAATCAAAAACCTTTTCCATTCAACAGAATCCCAATAATACATCCAGTGTGATCACTCTCCTTTTCCTATTCATGTCAAGGAGCTACCTTAATGGATATGACAGTTTCTCCTGATGGTAAATTCATTTCTGGTGCTTCACAATTTCCAATGAATTTCTTCTATATGGACGAGATGGGAAATTTCACAACTTTCTTGGCATGGGATAAATTCAATGTGGTGAAAACAGTTCCTTTCGATTCACGATATATGTTTTTTGGTTCCTACTCGGATGGTTATTTATTGCAATACGACTCATCGAAACCGTGGGTGAATACTGAACTCGGTAAGAATAGCTCAAATCCGCTATTACTCGCCACTGCAACTCCTCACATTATTCGACCCAGTTGTGTCTTGGTTCATCCCAATAATGACCTAGTTTTAATGAGCGGTGGTCCTGGCTATGGAAAAACAGGTGGTGGTCTCCTTATTTGGAGTCGAAAGAAATACCAAGCCACAATTTTAAATCATACACAACTCATTGAAAATCATGCCACTCACAGTATGGTTCTGCATCCCAACATGACCGATGTGTTAATTGCTGGAACCACCATTGCACCTGGATCGGGCGGCCAACAGTTGGCTACTCTTGCTCAACTCTACATGTTGAATTTGACCTCGAATCAAATTATGTGGAAAATGGCACCACTTCCAGGAGTTGCTTATTATTATGAGCTCATTGTGGCACCTCAAACCGGTTATGTGTATGGTATGACCGACAATGACATCTTTTTCGTTTTTAATCCCAATACGATGCAAGTCATTCACAACAAAACAGTGGCACATGCATGTGTGAGTCAAGGCCCACATCTCTTTGTGCCACATGTCAATGGAAAAGAAATTTATTTGACATTATCCACTGGAATTTTTAGAATTGAGCCTTATAATTTCACATTGACAATGGTCTTTACTTCCAAGTATGCCATGTGTGGAGGAGTGATAATGAAAAGTGGTTGGTTTTATTTTATAAGTAATTCACACGTGTACGGATTTCAGTTATTCAATGGAACAAATGTCAATCCAGTGCCTTCGTTGTCAGTTCAACCTCCCAAACCTTCGCCCATTCCTTCTCGATCTATCACGCCAAAAGCATCAGTGAGTTTATGGAAGCCTCAAATCTCGAGCAGTGTTTGGAATCCAACAAATAATCGAACAGCAGTTTCATTGGGCGTGTCAATTTTTGAAAGAAATATTGTTGGGTTTTGTGGTGTGATTGTGGTGCTGATACTCATGTTATGCAATTTATCAATCAACATTTGAACGAACCTTGGAACTTGCCATAAATTTATCGATTGTAATTGATGAATTGTTGACACCTGTCAAAACAAAAAAATGTCTTTCACACTCCCAACAGAACGTAACGTGGTCTATTCATACTTCCAAAAGGTAATTTCTCACACAACCTCTCATTCCTCTCTCTCACACTTTCGTGTTCTAATATTATTTATTTACAATCATTAAAAATTTTAAATCAAATTAATAATTAATAATTTTGTGATTTTTCATCACGACAATTTTCCAGTTCGATAAAGACAGCTCGGGTCACATCAATCTCAAAGAACTCAATGATCTCCTTCTCGATCTCGGATTCAAAGTCGAAGTTGTCAGCGACGACAATGTCAAACAATGGAGAGATCCAAAAAAGAGAGAAGTCATTGCGATTGCAAATTTAATTGACAAGGACCATTCGAAATCGATTTGTTTCGACGAATTTTATACTTGGTGGATTAAATTGAGCGGAGATGGATTTTCCAAGTTGACTAAACGAGTAAAAGTATTAACCAATGCTTTCGAAGCTTTTCAAGTAAGTGTGAAATTTCCAAATATTTGAACATGAAATTAACAGGTATTATGAACATTGACGTAGAAATTCGACACGGATAAGAGTGGATTTTTAGATTTTCCAGATGAATTTAACAAATTTTATGATGAAATGTTAGCCGATGAAAATGTTTCAAAGGAAGAAGTGATGAAATCTCTCGATCGAGATGGAGATGGAAAGATTACATTCCAAGAATTGGTCATTTCACTTGGTATTTTAAATAATTAAGGTCCAACACAAATACAGTATTTGACTCTTTCGTCATGGATTTCAAATGTCAAAAGTCGATCGTTGTGTGTATCATTGAATGAACCAGTCCTTGACGATCTTTCTCATTCTTCATGATTATTCTAATTATTATTATTATTATTCATCTTTACAAAGTAACACACAGATTCCTCTCAAATTTCTCGACAATTTCACACAACATGATGCAAAGCAATTTCAAAACTTTATTCATACAACCATTCATCATGATTGACCATGTAAACCAAATCGTTAAACTTCATCATGGCCAATAACACCGGTTCATTTCAACTCCGTTCATTCTCCTCGAATTTCCAAACCCGTTTTCAAGCCCTCGCTTCAAGCTCAAACAAATTTTTCAACACACGAATCTGATGGCCGTTACAACGACCAAAACGAAAAACCCATTCCGTTTTGAGCTTTCTCTTTTCACTGTGAAACTGCCGCACATTTTTCATGTCCTGGAAGACATGAAGGTCTTGACAGTTGGCAGGTAGGTGGTCACTGTTGTCATTGGTATGGCGGCGCATCCGACGTTGAAGCGCACTAAAAACCTGTCAGATATTCGTCAAGTCAAAAATGAATATGAAAGCATAAAAAAATTTATTCGTTGAATGTCATGCAGTAGAATTGGTAATAGTTCTGGTTTAGGGTGCTAGCAAGGATCTGTCTTCCGTGAGCTGTTCGTTGGCACGCTGTTGTTTTACAAGCTTCAGCTGAAGCGAATAATGGTGTAACGTCCTATGGCCTCTATATTTCGTTTCAGTTTGTCTGTTGTTGCAGTAAGAACCCAAGTTGCTTCGGTTCTTCAAACCCTTGCAAACCAATCAGGAAGAGACTCACTCATTTTATTTTTGATTCCTTTGGAGTTTACTCAAATCAGCTGACGTGGGATTGACGAATATCTGACAGGTTTCTAGTACCAATTGCGCCGCCATAAACAAATCTAATACCTGAGGCTGCCTCACCTCCACCAACAACAAGTGTGATCTCATTGTTTCACTAATAACTTACGCCACCTTTCACTTTCCATATTAATCCATCTTTACTACTGACGATACACTTGAAAGAAAAATCATCTCCCGCAATCATCATGATGAAACAACATCACAGCGGAAGGGTCATGCAACTAGTGTTGTTGTTGGTTTTGAGTGTTTTTTCTTTTACACATGGACAACTGACACCTGTCGCTCCATCCTACAACATTACAAACATTGGAGGTGGATTTGGTGCTGGAGATGGTTATTCACCACTCTTAGCCAGTATGGGATTAATTTCTGGATTGTCTTTTATTTCACAAAATCTCTACGTGACAGATGGCAGTATGAACCTCGTAAGAAAAATTGACATGTCCAATCCACAAAATCCACTGATTCAAACCATAGCAGGTGTGTTGAATGGTAAAGGATATAATGGAGATAATCTATTGGCAACATTGGCCACACTCTCTTCACCTTCTTCGATTGCTTTTAACGCATTGACAAGTGACATTTATGTGTGTGAGCAAGGCAGTCATCGAATTAGAAAGATTGATTCACAAGGTTTGATTTCTACCATTGCAGGTACTGGACAAGCTGGTTTCAATGGTGATAATATTGTAGCTAACACTTCCATGTTAAATTCTCCTTCGAGTATTGCAATTTCCATAAATGGAGATTTATTTGTGTCAGACACGAATAATCATAGAATTAGAAAAATTTCTCTCTCGACCATGATCATCACTACAATTTGTGGAAATGGAATTGACAAGTATTCAGGCGATGACGGTCCAGCAAACTTGGCAACCTTAAATGGACCAACCTCAATTTCCTTTTCGAGTAATAACGAATTGTTGATTGCAGACACTTTGAATATGAGAATTAGAAAGATTGCACAAAATGGAATGATTTATACAGTGGCTGGAAATGGTACCCAAGGATACGACGGCGATGGTAATTTAGCAACTGCATGTACTTTAAACACTCCCAAGGGTTTGGCGCTCACTTTACAAAATGACATTTTGATTTCTGACACTTTGAATCATGTCATTAGAAAGGTCACTGTGGCTACTGGTGTCATTGATACCATTGTTGGTAGTGGAGTTGCAGGTTTTTCAGGTGATGGCTCTCTCCCACGAACTTGTCAATTAAATTCACCCATGGGACTTGCATTTTCTCCAAATTCGGAAAATTCAGAATTATACATTGCTGATCAATCCAATCGAAGAGTTAGAAAAGTATCCTTCTCGACCAATACCATTACAACCATTGCAGGAAGAGGTCAAGAAGAGTTATTCAATGGAGATTCTGTTCCAGCTGACATGACAAATTTGGCAAGTCCTTTAGGTGTCAGCTTGTCATTGGATGAACAAGTCATTGTGAGCGATTATGGATATCAAAGAATTCGAAGTGTGAATGTCAAGAATGGTCGAATGATTGACACCATGGCAGGATCTGGCACTCCTGGTTTCAGTGGAGACAATGGTTCTGCAAAAAGTGCATCTTTCAATTATCCTTCAGGAATTTTTATGAAATCGAACGGAGATCTTTTGATTTCTGACACTTTCAATCATCGTATTCGAAAAATCGATGCGAGCAACGGAGTGATTACAACAATTGCTGGAACTGATTCTACGTTTGGAGAAGGCGATACAAATTCTCAAAATTCCATGTTGAACTATCCAAATGGCATTGCAGTTTCAACTCTAACAAGAGAGGTCTATATTAGCGATACAAGACATCATCGAATTCGTAAAATTGATGCAAATGGACGAATTTCGACTGTGGTAGGAACCGGTGTGGCAGGTGACAGCGGTGCCGATGGAGTAACATCAGGTACTTTGGCTCAAATTAACGCTCCAAGAGGAATTGCCATTTCTGAAGCTACGAATGAAATTTATTTTGCAGATTCTCTCAATAACAAGATTAAGAAAATTAATGGAAATTCTGGAACTGTAATCACTGTGGCTGGAAATGGACAATTTAATTTCTCAGGTGACGGTGGATTAGCCCTCGACGCTTCATTGGGAACTCCTACTGATGTTGCTCTAAGTCTTGCAACCAATGAGCTGTTCATTGCAGATTCGAAAAATATTAGAATTCGCAAACTTTCTTTAGCCACAGGCATCATCACTACCATTTCTGGAAATGGAACTTTTGCCATCGATCCTGCCAGTGGAGATTTTGGAAATGCTCAAAATGCTCTCTTCCGAGAACCCACCAGTATTTCCCTCACTTCTAGCGGAAATGAACTCTACATTGCAGATCCCTATAGTTCCAGAATTAGAAAAATTGATTTCATTTCGGGAATCATTACAACCGTTGCAGGAGGAGGTTCTTCAAGAGAAGAAAACAGTGCAGCCATTGATTGGCAATTAACATCTCCAGTGAGTGTCCATGTTTCTCCAGATAATTCTGCAGTGTATATTGTCGATCAATGTAGTGTTAAGAAAGTTCTCGTATCGACTGGAAATTTAACAACAATTGCTGGTTTGAATGCTCAATATAGATCTTGTGGTTATGATGGAGAGGGATTGGCAACGAGTAGAAAAGTGAATCGACCAATGGATGTTGCATTGTATACTCCCTCAAATGGTGAACATCAATTGTATATTGCAGATGCCAATAATAATAGAGTAAGAAAGGTTTCTTTGACAAGTGGCATGATGACAACTGTCGTGGGTGGAGTTGGAGATGGAGGTCTCGCTGTGAATGCTCGTCTCTTCTTCCCAAGAAGTGTCTTTTCATCAAGCATGGATGGTTCCATCTATATTGCCGATTCAGGAAATAATCGAATTAGAAAAATTAATGAATCTACTGGAATTATCGAAACCATTGCAGGAATTGGAACTGCAGGATACAATGGAGATTTTTCAGACGCTACAAGTGCCATGTTGAACGCACCTAATGGTGTAGTCGTTTCCAAATTGGGTGAAGTCTATATTGCAGATTCTCAAAATCATCGAATCAGAAAAATTTTCACAAACGGAACCATTATTACCATTGCTGGTACAGGCACTGCAGGATACAATGGCGATCAAATTCGAGCCATAGATAGTCAATTGAATTATCCAACTTCATTATTATTATCCAAAACAGAAAAATATTTATGGATTGCTGACACGAATAATCACAGAATTCGAAGAATTTCATTACAAAATGGAATCATGACAACTGTGGCAGGAAATGGAATTGGAGGTTTTGTACCCAATACTGCTCAACAAGAACTCGTTGGAGTGGATGCTACTACGACCTTATTGAACGGACCTCATTCGTTGACCTTTACCAAAAATGGTGAAATTTACTTTGTGGATTCCCAAAATGGAAGATTACGATTACTTTCTCCTTCGTGTGGCTATGGCTTCTCTTGGAACAGCGCAACCGATGAATGCCATCCATGTCCACTCGGATACACTGGTTACTCCTCCAAATGCAACGTCCCAATTTGTTTTGGAATTTCCAACGATTCCTCTCTCGTTTGCAATTCCAGAAGTGGAAACTGTCTCGCTCCTGACAGGTGTCAATGCATGAATGGTTTCTACGGTCTCGATTGTACCATTCCATTTTGTGCCACGAATTTATTTAACAGCAGTTCGACCACGAGTTCACAAAATTATTGTCCACAAGATGGATCCTCCAGTAATTCTCAACAACAAACTCAAACGAAAAGTGAAATTATTCCAACGTTGCAAGATCTTGGCGCTAAATTTATCAACTTTACAAAAGATGAAAGTGTGAAGGCGCAACTTCCTGAGAGTATTTCACAACATTTGATTGAGAAGGGATTGAATGCGAGTGAGAAGGTAACTTTATTGTCGTCGATTTATCAACCAGTGGCATCGGTGGAGAGTCGTTCGGATGTGGAGGCGCCACTTGTCAGCTCCGTGTTGACCATTTCCTTATTTGATAAGAAGGGTGCAAAAATTTCCATTTCCGAGTTGAAAGATCCTATTGAATTATCCTTCTCGAATATTGTGGTTGAAAGTACGAATAATAAGGATTTCAATTATTCATGCATGTATTTTGATGAAATTAAGAAAGATTGGTCTTTGGATGGTCTCCTGTCAGAAGTCTCCAATTTAGAAATTTCAACCAAGACTGTGAAATTCAACATCAAATGCAAGACGTACCACTTGACATCGTTTGGAATTATCGATCAGAATTTTAAGAGAGCTACAAAACCCACTCAATCTTCCAACGGAAATGTAGATAACAGTTCGACCATTTTGGCCATTGTATTATCGGCTGTGGGATCTTTATTGGTCTTGTCTGTGATTGTATTGATTGTGGTCGTTGTGATTGCATTGTACGTACGAGCTGCAAAGAAGAGACAAGCAGAAAAGATTTAAATTTTGGAATTAAATTTTCTTCTTGAAAAAAAGATTTCTGATCTTCTTTAGGTGTTTCAATAATAATTGAACTCGAGTCACTCATAGAGTTGCGTGTCAATCTTTTTAACATTTGAAATCTTTCAAATTTTTCAACTTGTCTCGAATCAATGCTTCACCTTTCCGTGCAATATGATTCTCTCGTAAATCCAAACATGTCAAATTCTTGATAAAGAATATGGGACGAAAAGATGTTGTAGAAGAATTTGCATTTTCTGAATCCAGTGGTAAGGACGATTCAAAGGTGAATGCTCCAAAAAATCAAACATTAGCAAAATTCCAACAGTTCCAATATTATTTCCTCTCAATGATAATTCTTTTAAATTTGAATTTTTCACACGCAAGAAGAGTCGTATAATCATTTTCCCAAATCATTCCACAAGAACTCAAATCCAGAGATTCTAAATGTTGAATCCATTCACCACTATTCTTACACAATTCTGAAATACCTTCACTTGCCAAAAGATTATGATTTAAATGAAGAGTTTTTAAATTTTTCAAGTGTGGACTAGAAGTAATGGCTTGAAGTCCAAGTTTTCCAAAATGATTTAGAGACACATCCAGGAATTCTAAATTCTCTACAGGTTTCATCATTAATAATTCAATTCCTTCATTACCTAAATTGTTATCATGTAAATTTAAAATTTTCAATTTTGGAAGAAATGAGCAGTGACAGAAAAGTTTCAAACCTTCAAATCCAATACGAGATTTTGACAGATTCAACTCGGTGATGGTTGAAAATGCTTCACTACTGGACATCATGTTCAAAAATATCGTGACACTTCTACCACATTCTTGCAGTAAACTGTTCGACCAATTCTTGTCACTTGTCAAATCAACTCTCTTTCCAACCATTCGTTGTGAAACACGTAACCACTGCACACACACCTTGGCAGCAACACTCACTACAAACGTCAAGTCCACAAAATAAAACACATGAAAAATAACATCATCTGGCACTGGTCCTAATTTAAATTCTTCTTTTGGAAATGTAAATCCAATTTGTTCGGAAATTTCTTGAACCGAATGTTGTGAGGTTTCATTCATTGCATTGACAAGATGATTGACCATTTCGGAGGAAGAGAATGAAAACGAGGATGATGAAAGAGAGTTTTCGAGATCATGAGTGTTATGATGACTGTTTCCCAATGATGAAATGAAGTGAGAGAGTTTTTTCATTTTTTTTTGAAAACGTCAAGCTGTCAGCGAAGTATTTTTCTTTTTGATATTGAATTCAAGGTTTCGTGTGTACTAATACATAACATCAAATTGTTTTCTCAACAAGCAAGTTATATTTTTTTATTATTTAGTAGTTAGTAGAATTCCTTTTTTTTGTAACTTCTAAAAATATTGACCAGGTGGAGAAGTGTTTTTGTTTCTCTTGTTAGTCACAGACGGGATGCCTGCCAGGAATATGGCGACACTCCCGCTACAGTCTTTGACTGTATGAACAGTGAGTGACAAAAGCAGAAGCCTTTGTTGTGTAGTTTTTGGGTTGAAGATTCGAAACCAAGAAATAATCCATTTCTTTTATTATGTAACTTTTTACAGAGAAATTGATACACGGCATGTGGTTCAGCAAAAATAATTCAAACACTGTCAGCATTGGATGATTCTACCCATGATGGTCTTTTGTCTCTCCGCCATAAATGTTCGTTCTAAAGTATTCGAATTCTAAAACGTAAGTTCTGACAAGATTCAAAAGTGTATCATCTCCACCCAATTGTATGTAATGCAAAAAAATACACTCCCTGTGGCGTTTGTTTCTTGTTTTCGTTCCCGCCACTTTCTTTTGAACTCTACAATTAAAAAATGATTGACTTTGCAAAGGCCGGATATGATAGTGGTAAATAGGTCGAGTTTTCGACTTCTTGCATGAAGGCAGGCAAGGACGACATTATAAGTGTTACATATGGCAACAAATATTACTCGGGTGAAATTACAGAAAGAATAATGGATGATTCGATCCAAGGTTATTCGTTCAAATTTCACAATGAACAGGATCAACAAGACTACAAGGCGGAAATTACTCTTTTTGATCACCAAACTACTCAGGGTCTGTATGGTGTGCTCTCGTTGACACAACTAGGATCCAACGATTCCCATCAAGTCGTGGTTACGTTCACCATTACTACCGTTTACGTGTTCGGTGAGGACTGTGGTCCAAATGGTTTCTGTCCAACTGGTTATGGTCCAACAGGTTTCGGCCCAATGGGTTATGGTCCAACTGGTTATGGCCCAATGGGTTATGGCCCAACTGGGCATTATCTTTCACAAAACAGAATAAATAAATAAAGCACAGTTTGAACTTTAAAAGAGACAACAATGGTTTCTTTCATGTTCAAAGAATTCATAATATGAAATTGTTTGAACTTTATAAGCATGTTGATGGACTCTCTGCACAATCAAAGAGAGCTGTCATACAAAAAACTTGCTGTTGTACAGTTCTCGTTTCTCTTACGTTTGTTCACAGTATTCTGATGGCATTAATAATTGTCATTCCAACGTTATTCAAACTCTTACCGTAGTGGAAATTGTATTCATTGAAAATTCAAAATGTGTTTGAACCATCAAGAACAGATGAAAAAGTAAGGGACTCACAATTCCTTTTTAATAAGAGCAGTCGTTGAATGTATTACTCTCACAGGTCCTATAGGGTGTGAACGATGCATTGGTTATCTCATACGTGAACAGTTAAGAACAAGACGAATCCCGACGTTCTGGTTGAAGATAACCAAGCAGGCAGCATACTAATCTCATAATGTTGAGGCTCAGGGTAAATGACTTTATTCATTTATGGAAAGCTCATTTCGTTGTTGTAATAAACTTGACGCAAAGCACAAAAAAAAATGAAACGAATCAAAGACATACTTGCCAGCCAGCGTCATCAAAGACAATTTTCAACCACTCCAAGTGGTCTCGATCAATCCTACCAATTCCTTCCAGATCATGTGAAATCCGAATTATCCATTGAGGATTTTCATGAACTCGTCCAATCAAGTGCTTTCCAACACAAGAAGAAACGAATTGAGCAGAAATTCACAAATGCCACGAATTTCATGTGATGTGATTCAAGCTCATATTTTACCACTTCTTCCATTGGAATACATTTTGGAAGGATCACTCTTTCTCGTGTGTCAAGAATTTTACGAGCAGTTGTTTCATAATGAGCAAGTGTGGTGTGAATTGTTTAAACGATTATGCATTGGTATGATGGAACATGGAACTTGTAATTCTTTCCAAACAACCATGACTCATGATTTTGATAGCGATGATTGCACCATGAATGTGAAAATACCATCAACAAACTCGGAAGAAAAGAAGAAGAAAAAACCACATACCAAACAGGATCATGATGAAAAGATTGACAAGTTTTTGAACAAGTTGAACAACGTGGACTGGAAATATTTGAGAGCATTTTGTTTATTGAAATATCACTCATTTCACCAAAGTCAACAAGCCTCAAAGAATGGATATCCCTTTTCATTCATTGTCATGGCGTATAATGTGGATGGTTCCGAGTCGAATTGTACCAATAAGATGACATTTCTACAACAGCGGTCATCACTTTATGATCCAATTTATTGCCGTTACACAAACTCCAAGCAAACAAAAACACCTCAGTATTATGGTCGGTGTTTTGAATCCGATCGTGGAGAAACCTCAATGTTTGCAGCGATTGATTTTGAACAAGGATGATTGAATTTTAAGGCAAAACCTTATAGCAAGTATCAACATTACCTATGTGAAGGTGTTCGAAGAAACATGCTTGTAATCTATAAAAAAGGCTACAGCACTGCAGGTTCCCAAGTTGTCTCCAACCTCAGTACTGATGCAGCTCGACGATGCTTAACTTCTCAAATCGGACGGGATGAGGTGCATTCATCGTGATATGGCCGTAGCCAATCCTAATGTAAAATTCAGTCTATTGTTCTATGAATTACTAAAAACATTTATAAACAAATTCGAAACCATTTCGGAATGTGATAGTCCAGAGCAACGTCAAAAAAAAATATCTTCATTATTCCAACAAATATCCATGCTATCCATAACACATGACACGACAACAAGGAGAGTATGATCTGGCCGTTCGTATGTAATGACTTGTTGTCGTTGTTGTTATTTTAACATTCATCCTCGTCCAATATTGTTGACAATAATAACAAAATTTACCGACAACAATATTTACCAAACTCCAACCAACATCAATCTCCATCCATTCATAATTCTTTCAACAACCATTCTCACAACAGTTGGTACATGTGGTTCTGGAAAATTAGCTCTAACTTTCCAATATACTAGTTTCCTTGAAGAACAATTTCCGGACAACAAATATTCACTTCGAAAATATGTCAAGATCGATGACGAACCCTATTTCTTGGACTTTCTTGATAATACAGGTAATGAGGAGTATAGAGCTTTGTTGGATCAAACCATGAGATGTGGAAGTGGATTCTTGTTGGTGTATCGAGTGAGTGATCGAAATACGTTTGAACCAATGAATGATTTGTATGAACAAATTTTGGTAAAGAAGGATGCTGAAAAGGTACCAATGGTGTTGGTTGGTAATAGGGTGAGTGTTGTGTGTATGATTCGAATAGTGTATTTGAAAATTTTAATTTTTTTGACATGATTTTGACAAATGACATTTTTCAAGTTCAAAATGGAATCAGAAAGACAAGTCACATTTGAAGAAGGTAAACGATTCGCCAGGGACATTAATATTCCATTCTTTGAAGTAGAAACAACAGAAGATATTATTCAAGCTTTTACGACTTTGGTTTGTGAAATTCGGAAAACAAAGCCAAATCATATACCAATACAAATACCCCAAAAGAAATCATGTGAATTATTATAAACGAACCTATGAACGCAATCACTTATTTTTGCCTGGGAACGATTTTGCATTGTAAACATTAAGATTATTGAACATTCCAAAAAAAATGATCTCACAATTCGCTCCTGTTTCTCAAAATTCCATTCATGAACCAGTCGGAATTACAACTGAATGTGTTGTCGTTGTTGTAAAATTTCTAGAATTTTCATTCATCCATAAAGATTCACCACAATCCATTCTTCCTCATCATCATCATCATGAAAATATTTATCAAAAATTGAAATACAAAATGGAAGCCACTCGGAACGAACGTTTACATGTCCTGAATGAAAAATTAAAATTGCTACACATGGGAAAATATAATCGTAAATTATTGAAACAAGCCTGTGAGGAAAATAAACAAGACCGAAATGTCGTTTTGAATATGGTTCAATTTGATGGATTGGCATTAACATATGCAAGTGATGATTTACGTAATGATCATGAAATTGTCATGCAAGCAGTGAAACAAAACGGACAAGCTTTACAATATACTACTTTACGTAGTGCTGAAATTATTATGGCTGCTATCAATCAAGATGGAAACGCATTGAAACATGTAACCACGGCAGTTATTTGTGATAAATTTATTGAAATGGCTATCAAGAATGATGGATATTGTCTCGACGACACTTTTGAGCTTAGTTTGAGATGGATCGAAATGGCATCGAGAAGTGCTCCAGAAATTTTCGATTTAATCTATCTACCACTTGATTTATATTATCCCATCATGAGATCGCACTCGTTTCGAAGAGCAGTCAAGTTTTATGGATGCATTTTAGATAATTTTACACAAGATATTCAAAATATGGAAAAGAGAACCATTTTGGACGCCATTCGTTCGTATCCTGATTGTTATACATACTTGCCAGAAGAGTTTTGTCACGATATGGATATTATTGAGCTAGCTGCAAGAGATGACAGTTACTTTCTATTTAACAATTACAACTTTACTTATATCCGTGATCTTGACTATTCCAAAATTTTAACAACTTGTGGAGAAGCATTATGTTTTTGTGAAGGCTCTGAAAAAAACAATAAGGAACTCGTTCTTTCTGCCGTTAAAAATTGTGGCCTCGCATTGGGCTATGCAAGTCAAACACTGATCAATGATGAGCAAGTGGTCATGGAAGCCATTCGAGAGAATCCAGAGGCCTTGTACTATTGTGGAAATGAATTGTTTTTCGATCGAGATTTTATGTTACGAGTAGTTTCAGAATGTGGAGAAGCTATTCAATATGCAGATGAAGAATTCAAGAAAGATCAGGAAATTGCACTTCAAGCAGTGACAAGCTGTGGAGTGGCACTACAATACCTGTCCGAAGAATTACAAAATGATCGTCAAGTGGTTTTGAAAGCAGTTTCTACCTATGGATTGGCATTAGGATGGACATGTGCTAAATTGCAAAATGATCCACAAGTAGTTTTAACAGCTGTGAAAAATGATGGACTTGCACTCGAATTTGCCAGTGATGATTTACAAAACGATCGTGAAATTGTCATGCATGCCGTTGCAAATTGTGGCCATGCTCTCGAATTTGCAAGTGAATCACTCAGAGACGATCGACAAGTGATATTACAAGCCATTCAAACAGAACCTCAAGTATTGCTCCATGTTAAAAATTCTCATCTGTTACGACATGATAAGGAACTTGTGTTAGAAGCGGTGCGTAGGGCTGGACATTGCTTGAAGGGAGCGTGTGACGAATTGAAGAATGATGTGGACGTTGTAAGGGCAGCACTTGCCAATGATGGACTTTCACTTCATTGGGCGTCAGCTACCTTGCAAGACAATGAAGAGATTGCACTATTGGCTATTCATGAAAATGAGGGTGCTATTCATTATGTTTCGGAAAGATTGAAAACAAGTTCGTACAAATTGCAAAGACTGGCCCATGAAAAACAGGAAGAATATTTCAACGAGTGGTTCGAGTACTGGAGTACGAGATATGAGGACGATTGGGAAGTATTCTCTGAAACGAGTAGTGATGGCGACAGATATGATGAACAGGGCGAAGAAATGGAGGAGGGTGGCAGTGTTCAAGAAGAAGTACTTGATTTTAATGATAGTAATACGCTGAAACGAAAACATGAACATTTGAACGAGCCCGTCGACACTCAGATATGTGAAGATACTGACGAGGAAATTTCAACAAAACGAACCAAAATTTAACAAATGTTCATGGTACATGCAACAATCATGCACAATGAAAGTGGAAACACCAAGCAACATTTACAAATGGACATAATTTATCTTTCAATTGCCTTTTCAATCATTTCCTTAATAAATGCCTCTTTCAGGTTGGCCATAAATGTTTGGTCTGATTTTTCCTCGAAAATGCAATCTTGTATTACTTTATCCAAACACATTTCCAACAACTCCTCAACACTGTTATTTGATTGATTTGCCTGATCAAGCAAGGGTTGAACAAAAGCATCATTATATAAACACGAAAATGAAAATAGTCCACGAAAACTGATAATGTAAAACAACACTATGGCTCCAACAATATCTTCATAGTTACTGGCAAACAAACTTCTAACATTGAGCACACATTGTTCAATATTGTTCATGATAGAAATTGGATATTTTTGGCCACTTTTGGATAACGAATGACTAATCCCTTGAAGTTCAATTCTTAGATATTTGAGGTCATGCAACGTGCAAGAAATTATTGAGGCCATATCAAAAATTTGAATTTCTAAATTACCGGTAACCTGAAGGCAGAGTCGTGTTAATTTGGGCAATTGTGGAATAATTTTCACGAGAGTGAGAGAGCTTGTAAATATGGAAAATTCTTTCAAGTTGGAAATTGGGGAGTGATGTTCATTGCTCAACCCATGCCCGTCCCATTGCCAGTCACCTGTTGGAATTGCTCTATGAACATGGTTTAAAGACACTTGCGATCGGTAAAAGGGAGAAAATCGTTGAGAATACTCCACTTGTCGCTCAGTGATAATCTCCAATGCTTCTATTTGAATCACTTCTTTCATCAATCTGAATAGATCAATTTTTTCATGATACAAAGTTGGTTCTATTGACAACTCTAACCTACGTAGAGTCAAGAAAAATTTTGTCTTTAGAGCTGTAATTAATTTTTCAAACTCATCATTGGAATGGATCTTAATGAAGAGGTCTCTTAGGGAGGATAAATGAGGCCTCTCAGTGGAAAGCGCTGTTATGACCTCCATTGTATTTTCAATATGGAGATGCAAGCATTTCACATTGTTCGTAATAAAATCTAAATTTGATAGTCTGTAGTGTCTCAAGTTGATGGATATATTTTCTAAATGGTTGTGAGATACTGTGTTTTCATTGGAGATAATTTTGGCCAAAACATTCATGATTCCAAAAGGAGTTCCAGAATTATAGTAATGATCTTCAATATTTTCAATAAAAAGTGTGTGCAATTGCGAAGGTATTGCTAGCGTGCGTGTAGAAGGCTCGCCTGTTTCAGTCAATGAAGAAAGACGTGACAGAGAGGTTGCCACTGAGAATTCTTTCAATGAATGTCGAAAGTGATCTAAAATTCGAGTGAAAAATACCTCTCCAATTTCCACATAGAACCCGATTAAATCACTTCTCCAAATAATAAATCGCTCTAGTGCAACAATGTTCTGACATATGAGCTCAAGCGCCTCGTCATAGGATCCATTCATTAAAGCTCCATTGTGTAACACCAAATCTTTTACCTGAAAGCACGAGGTTGCAATGAGTTGCAAAATGTTAGGAGACCAAAATGGCAAGTAAATTTCTTGTAAATTTGTTAAATACGGAAGAAATTGTTCTAATACTTGGAATAATATTTCAGATTGGGCTTTGTGTGTTGCTTGGACGTTGAAGCCATAGTCATAACATAGAATTCTAAGAGCAGTAAGAGGTAAGTGGGTGTTGTGATTTGAAGAGGTGTTGGTGTGTTGAGTTAATTGCTGATATTCCTCTTGTGAATTGGAATAGCGTCTAGCCATGATATGAAGTCGGTTAAGGGAGTAACATGATGCTTTCACAATCATATCAAAGAGAGCACGCAAATTCATAACATCAGTATCCAAATATAATTCATGCAAGTATTGGAATGGAAAATGGGTTGGTGTCATGCTTGGCAAAGGTTGACTTGTAACTTGCATTTTCTGTCCTGAATTCATCATTTGTGTTGTCTGCTCGAAGAGGGCATTGAAAAACGCTGCATGACCCTGAATGAACACTTTTCGAAATTGACACTGAGAGTTCAGTAATAAAAAGTGAGAACTAGCTTCAGCTCCAAAAGTCATTGCATGGCTGAGTTCTTTGGAATGAATAGGGTCGAGTTGATCATCCACGTTTTGTGTTTCTTCATCGTCTTCATCTTCCTCCGAGTCATCATTACTTTTCTCATAAAGCCAATGCCCTCTCGTTCTGCCAAAGTTACACTGGCTGCTAACAGCACGCCATACAAACAAATTATTCCTCCAAAAGAAGCCATCTTGTTGATTTCCTCTTCGGACCCGATCATACATGTTTCTATTCATGCGGCCCAACACACACAAGTAGAAGCGAGGTGCACTCAAAAGCAAGCGATTCCTTGGGCAAGTGAAAGACTCATTCATGCTGAACCTAATAAACTCTCCATAGTAGGAACGAAAAAGAGTATCATCATTGGCAATGATAAAGCTTCCGATATGATGAAGGATTTCATCGGGCAGATCATGCAGTTTCATTTTTCTTTTTTCATTGAAGATGAACGTTTATGACTCGTGATGCCAGCGTTTGTTGTGTTATGTATTCATCGTATTGGACCCATCATCAATTTTTTCTTAATTATTTGGAGGTGAGAAGAAAAAGTATTATCATCACCATAATAATTGAAACAGTGAACAGTGAACTAATAATTGAGAACCCACTGGTATTTCATGGGTTCTTGAGCAATTCAAGATGACTTTCTCCATTGTCCAAGCTCATACGGAGCCAAAAGCTTTGGCCATTTTTTTCATTGTAAACTTTGGTTGACTAAAAAATTTTAAAAAATTTGTTGAAAAAAAATACGTCGAAACTAAACTCACACCATCAATAATGTCGACCCAAAACAGAACAATCGTGCTCGACGGTAAGGGCCACATTCTTGGTCGTCTTGCTGCCAACGTTTCAAAGGAAATCTTGGCTGGAAAGAAGGTTGTTGTCGTCAGATGTGAAGAACTCCTCTTGCAAGGAAAGATGAAGAGAAACAAGGTTGCCTATGAATCATACTTGAGAAAGAGAATGAACACCAACCCAAGAAAGGGTCCATTCCACCACAGAGCTCCATCTCAACATCTCTTCAAGGTCATTAGAGCTATGGTCCCAAGAAAGACTGAAAGAGGAAGAGAAGCTTTGGCCAGATTGGAACTCTACGATGGTGTCCCATCTCAATACAACCAAGTTAAGAGACACGTCTGCCCAGCTGCTCTCGCTGTTACCATCCTCAAGCCATCTTCTCCTGTTACAAGACTCGGAGATTTGTTGAAGAGAATGGGTTGGAAGTATCACGATGTTGTTGTTAAGTTCGAAGAGCAAAGAAAGCAACAAAACCAACAATATGTTTCTGAAGTGAAGGCCCTCGATAAACTCAAGGCTGAAGCTGTCTCTCAATTGAGTGGAAACACTGAATTCCAAAATGTTGTGAAGAAGTTGGCTGAATTAGGCTATTAAACACTATTCTAAAATAAATAAACAATAATATTCAAAAATCGTGACATTTGTGTGTAGATTCAAGCTCACCTTTGAAATTGTGGACAATAGAACAAGAAGAAAAATGAATCAAACACTCGGCAAAATTTTCTCATCAACCTCCTCTTCGTTTCCGAAACTTTCAAAATTGCAACTCTCATCACTTTCTGCATTGTCGTCATCATCATATGGCTCTCACCCAATGCAAGCTGCTTCCATTCTCAACCCGTCCCTCCATGAAGTACCTCCAACTGCATTCTACCATCCCAGTTTCATTTCCGATCCCAATCACTTGAACACGATTTGGCATGAATTGAAAACCTTGTATCAACATCAACCTTTTATTGCCAATCCTTCTCTGAAACGATCCATTTTCAATGTTCATTCCGAAGCTCAAGTAAAACATTGTGCCGAGTTGTACTTTCCAACCTTGTATTCATACATTCAATCATTGGCACCTTACTTTTACAAACGAACTCGTGATGCTTCATTCCGCACAGTCATGTCTTTGCAAGATTTAGAGAAGGCTAAAACACCAAATATCATTCCTAATACCATTCAATTCAATCATTATCAACATGTTGAAAAAAGTGGATGTCCTCTTCATATTGATAGCAGAGGTTTAGGTCCAACCATCGGAATGCTCTCATTTGGTAATGATGCTACCATGAGTTTCTTGTTGGATCCACCCTCAAATTATACCATTGAACAGGTGCAGGAATGTCCCGATGAGTTAAGGGTCTATCTTCCGAATGGATCTCTAATCATTTTGGCCGATGACATTCGATACAAGTATGTGCATGGTATTCGCAATGAAATACAGAAAAGAAATCCAAATCTTGATCATGCAGAGAGGTTTTCAGTGGTGTTTTGGTATCAAGATTAGAATGCTCCATTCGATGAGAGAAGGTCTGACCTTGAAATTATTGTCACAATATTTTGTAGTAATAGTCTCAAGGATATTGATTATTCATTGAATATTTCGATTGGAATATTGATTTATGTTGTTGTTAAAAGCTTAGCATGAGTGAATGGAAATTGGATTTTAGTGAAATATTCTTCATAATGATGTCATGTTTGGTTTCACCTTAATGGTTGTTATGATCGGTTTGAGTACTGCTTGGCGAAGTGCCAGTGACCTCACACTTGGAATGACTTCCATCGCAGAATGGAGGATTTGCAGTTTGTTTACATCCACATAAATAAACTTCTTCTTTGCACATTTCTGGAGTTGCCTCAAATTTGAGTGACTATTTCCGAAAGATTACAATTAAAGCAGCAAAATATAAGAAATAAATATTAAGGAAATGACAAACATGTCGAATCAAATACCTTGTGATCACAATTGGTTGCATACCTTCATACCGCTTCCTTTATGCCTGTTGAAATGGGCAATAGTTTTATCAATGATGTTTTTTACATGTCAATTTCCATCACCAAAGCAAAATAAATTGAAAAATCATGTTCATTGTCATGATAATAACATTGTATCAATCACACACACAAAGAAAATTCAATTACATCCATGATTTCATAATATTTACAAATGGTCACGAATGGCAATAGTGTGAACGATCACTTACTTGCCATCACAAAATGGTTGCTTCTCCGAGAGGCCACATGTACACCATGAATATCTCTTTCCTTCTTCCAAAGTGACTTTATAGGGCCCTGCTTGGGCAACCACGGGTAGTTTCCGAGACAAGTCATTCACAACAGTACTGTTGTTCGATTGGTGACTATTCATCAATCGGAGTGTTGCAATAAATCTTCCTCTAAACATTTTTTTTGGGAGTGAAGAGAGAAATCGGTCGAACAGGAACAAATTCGATCCCAAAAGGGTGCTCCATGTCAATTTGTATTGAAACGCCAATAAAAATTAATGTTTTAACAATGTGATTATTTACATAGATTTACTAATTATTGTAATTTCGTTTTCGAGCTCTTCCTTGAATGATGACAGGACTCTGTAGCATGGAAGAGTTAGGTGTTGGAGTAATATTGTCACGATATTCATCTTCATGTTGATTCCTTTCATTCAATATTTTCAAAGTATCCGAGAGGTATTTAATTGGATTTAAATAAATTTCCTCTAATTGCATGTATTCTTTTTCAGTGAGAATAATCTCATCATCTCCAATGCATTGAGGATCTATTTGAAGATACTCATAATTCGCTGAGGATGGCACTGCATTCGTTTTCTCAATGGTTCCCATTGAAATTGAGACACTATTATTCGTTGAGGCAGTATTGAGAGGAGTTGAGATTCCAAAAATTGCATTCTGGCCATTCTTCTTCTCATGATAATCCAGATATTTCATAAATGTTTGTAAATTCAAAGTTAACGCTTCTAGGGCCTCCCTCAATGTGGGATTAATCATTTCCTTGATGGAATGATGTGGTCGTGCCGAGATTTCTGATTCAGTAGTAGTGGAATGAGGACGAGTATCTTCGTAATGATGACTCACTTCTCGGGATTTGTTTTTGTGATGATGAATATTCAGCTCGGGAGAAATAGATTGTTCTGGAATTGGCATAATGGACTGTTTTCAACAATTCGAAAAGGGTTAGGTCAATAACGTTTTTAGTAGATGAAAAATTGTTAATTTTGTTTCAACTTCAATTCTTTTAAAAATATATAGGTTCAATACGATCATATATCATCTTATCAATCCGATATCCTATTCAACTACTCTTGAACGCTTCCTTACAAACATACAACAACAAATCTCCCCGTACAATAAATTCAATTCCAAAAGCCTCAAACAACAACAAAACTAATTTTTTTTTAAAAAATATTTCAAAAATGATGCAACAATTCAGAAGGCTTGCCATCACGAGCGCCAAGCGGGCCGCTCATCATCATACGGCATCAAATCATTTATCTTCATCACACGCAGCAGCCATTTTGTTGAATTGTTATATTCATACGGGAGCTAATTTCCACAGCAATGTAGCAAGCCGTGAAAATAGAAGAGGTAATGATGAAGAAGAGGAAGAGATGATGTCCTCAACAACCATAACAAACAAGAATTATAATGAAGATGAAATTTCAGAACGTATTATGAGCAAATTAAAACAATATACGGGAACTACCGAGGATGTTGCTATTGATTTTGATGTTGAGGAGGCTCAACGTTTGGCACAACTCGAATCCAACAAACGTACCTACAGAAGAGAATATGACTTGATGTGGGAAGAGGAGAGAGAACCACCATACTTTAGAAATTCAGTGCAAGGAAAGAAAATTGCTGATATTCCTTGCGTGTTTGACATGGTTCCTTACTTTGCTGATAGAATTTCTCCAGTCATTACTAAACCAGAATTGGAAGAAATTATGAAAAAACCAAGAGATGTCTATCATTATTTGGTTGTGGATGTTCGTTCTGCATTCCGTGCTTTGGATTATATGATTCCAGGAGCTGTGAATATTCCATTCACAGAAATCAAGGAAGGTTGTTTTGCATTGAAGGCTGAAGTATTCAACAAGAGATATAACGCCCCATTGCCAGAAGCTTATACCAACATTATTTGCTATAGCGACACTCCTGCTGAGAGCGAGGCTGCATGTCTCATGTTACAGGATATGGGTTTTGAAAATACCATTAACTACAGAGGAGGCTGCAGTGATTGGTTTGGCAATGAATTCAAAGTATTGTGGAGAAGGAAGAAGTTGCATAGAATTGGCAGTGACAAGATTAGTAAGATGATTGCACAAAAGGAAAAGACAAAGGAAAAGCTCAACAATCCTCCACAAAAGGAGTAATAGAGCATTAAATAAATCTAGTGGAATTCGATGTAACCTGTACTGTGATTTTCATTCAACGTGCGGCCACAAGGCGAACTTAAAAAGGTGCGTTAAGGACACTGCAAATTTTCCTAGAGGACACTTCAAGAGCGTAGGAAGAACGGTTGTCACTGTTTATTGCACAAGAATGAGGTCATTAATAATATTACATGAAAATGTTGAGCGAAAAATGGAATCAGGTTCACCCCGTGTGGTTAACGAACTTCTTGTTTTCTTTGCAATCTCATACGAAATTCATTCTGCAAGTTTCAAATAAAAAGTGCCCGTTTCAAAGTTGTTTCGTTGTTTCGTACCATCCATATTCAAATCCATTGAACACATCAAGTTTCACACACATAATAAAATTCAATAAAATTTCAAACATACCTTCCAATCTTCTGAAATACTCTTATCATCAAATTCAATTTTTTCAATCTTGTCATTCTCTCTCAATACTTTCATAAAAGGTGTGGCTCCTTCATCTCCAATTGGATTAAAATCCAAATTCAAACTTCTCAAACCCTTATTCACAACCAATGATTCAGCGAGAGCAATTGATCCAGTGGCTGAAATTCCATTCTTCACCAAATACAATTGTTCCAAAACAGTGTTCACTTTTAACATTTCAGCCAACCCTTCTGCTCCTTCATTTCCAATATCATTTCTCGAAACATCCAAAACTTTTAATTTCTTATTTTCTTTTAATCCTTCTGCTAACAATTTACATCCTTCTTTTCCAATACTGTTATCTGTTAAATAAATGGTGTGAATGGAATTGTTGAGTGTGAAAGCGACGCCGAGAGCTTTGGCACCAGCAGCTCCAATGTTACTCATGGATAAATCAATCATTCCGAGAGCTGTGACACGTTTAATGGCGTTAGCGAGATGTTGACATCCGACCTATTGGTGGTGTCATTTGTCATTTTCGTGTAATAATTCAACGTGGTTCATGAAAATACATGATCCAAATTTAAATGAAAATCAACAATTTCATCATTAATTCAACAATTTATCAACACCATGAAATGTCCATCTGTCTCTAGCTGTCATTCAAAAATTCAAACTTACATCTCCAATTCGATTATTATTCAAATACAATCTCTTCAAAAAACGATTCGTTTGCAACGCATCGGCCAAAGCTTCCAATCCTACTTCATCAAATTTATTTGCTTTCAAATGAAGTGCATAACATGTATTGTTGTCTTTGAGAAGTTCGGAAAGTTTTGCGAGTTCCTTGTTGTTGATTTCTTTTTCGTCGAGATCGAGATCGCAATTTTGACCACTTTGGATGATACGTTGTGCTTGGGAGAGTTTGTTGCCCATGATGTGGTGGTAGTGGCGTTGACGAGGAGAGTGTGTTGATATTTTTTTGTGATGACCAAAAACGAGGGTGATTGTCATGTGTCATCTTTAAAGAAAGAGCTATCTATTTACCAATGTGTGGTATTAAGATTTGATATGAGGCGTCGATGGTTTAGTGGTAGAATACGGCGTTGCCATCGCCGTGACCCGGGTTCAATTCCCGGTCGACGCAATTTATTTTTGTTCTTTCTTGTGTTTTGGTGATGCATTTTGAATTGTTTGTCAGACTTTCAACAAGTTTCTTATCCGCTGAAAAAGGAGCTTATTATAGGGTAAATATCGTTACCAAAGAATCTCACTTGGCCATTTTATGAATTTGGACATCACTTGGGATGGTAAATACATGCTTCCTTTCGTCGCTGATGCGGTTTTAGCCTATCGAAACTGTAACGCACTTCAGTGAACTGCGATTGATTCGTATGGAAAAACAATAAGGTCGAATATTTATTCCTTAATAACGTCTGTGAAGTTGTCTTGTTTCAACACTATTTGAAAGGCTAGTAAAGAGCTCTCGACGTTTGACAGGGCGCAATCAACGAAATCAAAAACTGAACGTCTCTTCAACAGAGAGACACCATTCAAGGACCCATCACAATCCTACACGTCGATACCAATCGTTAACTGATCTAACGACTTGCTTAAAACACACGCTTGGCAACCGCATGAAAATTTCTATTGTTTGGAAAAATGATCTCTTTCCATCTTGTTACAAGCCAATAATTTAACATTATTTGTTGAATATTGTTTCGTTCGAATGAATACATTTGTAATCTTTGATTTCCTTGATCACAACAACAACGTGACACCAGAAAGAGTCATTCAAGGCGGTGAACCTTTTGAAACTTAAATCTTGCTCGGGTTCTACTTGAAGAATTCTCCTCTCTAATCATTGCCAAGTTTTGCCTTCTCTCACTATAAATGGAAAACATGAAAAGCGGAACACAAAACAAGATGAGCCATCAAAATGTCAGCTGTTAAAATTTATAATGAGCGAGTAATTTAGAGGATTAATTTCTCTTCTCAATTCAGCAAGAACAAAAAGAATACAACAACGTCTTAACTGCTTGTGTGTTCTGAGTCCTTCTCCTTAACCGTTATACTAGATTGGCTTTTCGACAATTGTTAATACTTGTTGCATCATTGATTCTTTTTGAATCCCGAAGGGCCTTTCAGAAGATTGCCAAGACAGACGCGGTGGCGTTTTTCAGGCAAACAAGGAATCAGTGAAAATCAAGATCGCACCACCTCCATCCGATCATTGAATAGCTGCCACTTGTCATTGATTTTAAATTATTGAAAATTGGAAAACAAGATGAATATTGGACCCGATAAGAGCAATACACAGCTCGATCAGAAAGTCTTTTCCTCGATCCTAAATTATCTCAATCAACAACAACAACAACAACCTCCTTCGATACCATCCTCTTCGTCCCTGAATCAGAATAATCCTTTGACACAATCGAATCAAGTCTTATTGCCTCATCAACAACAATTAGATCCTTCCTCAGATTCAACCAATCTCGTTCAATTCTCTTCTGTGAACAACAACAATCATCCAACGATCAATAATATCAACAATAATAATTACAATTCCTATTTTAGGAATCTAAATGCCACGAATTATACAGATAATACCAATTCACAGAATTATTCATTATCATCGGTAAATTCCGATCTCATACAACAATTATTATTAACTGCCAACACCTCGACTGGTTCCAGTTCCTCCTCGTCATCCTTGATGCCAAGTCAAATGTCAACAACAACTAGTAATCTTCAAGAAAATTCTACATGTAATCATCTCAACATGAATAACTCGAGTCTGACAGAACAAGATGATCCAGCAAATCATTTATTGACATCACCCACAAATGTGACTTTTGAAATGTTACTGGCAAATGTCATCAAATCATCTTCATGGGATGTATGCCAGACAACAATGGTCGATGCATCTGCAGATGTTGCCGTAGATCGTGGAGATGATTATCATGGTGTCTCAACAACAGCTCAAGTGAATGCTGGCAGTGGGACGTCTTCCATAAATAGTAATACTGTAAATGGTAATAATGCCAGCAATCACTGTTTGCAGCAGCGGATACTTGTCAACCCGATTGAATCTCAACAGATGACCCCTCAACGATTAATCATTAACATGCAACAACAGGAAGTCATTGGAGAACCTCATTCGGCAGCGGTTGCATCGTCTTTAATGACACACTCGCACATGTCGCCTTCTGCCACTTGTCATCAAATTCCAAATCAAGAATATCATTCCAATTGTTCTAAAAGTAGTGCAAGCGGAGCAAGTAGTAGTTTTGCATGTAACACTAGTGTTGGCGATCTCACTCCAATTACCACAACCACAACTAACAGCAGTAGAAATTCCATTTGGTCGAGTCATGTCGAAAATTCAGATTTTCAATGGTTCGAATCGACATCATCTCCACACATGACAACATTGGAAGAACATTCTACAAGCAATTCTGAACATCAACAGAAATTAGTTCCCCATAAGCAGTCACTTGTCACTTCATTAAAGAATCCAAAAAGTGGTTCCAGCAAGAAGGACAAAGAATGCATGACACCTCCCCGAAATAATCCAACTCATAGAGCCAGTGGAGGAATTAAAAAGAAGAAACGAAAACCACCCCTTGTAGTTACAGGTATTTCCAAAGAAACCTCCAACAGCACTGCTTCATTATTGAATCATTCGACACCAAACACTTCAAATACTCATGCAACGACAACGACGACAAGTACGTTGATGAATGTCACGACGACTACTTCTTCCTCTCTAACAACACCCAATACGGATCATTCCACAAATCCATTGGGTGCATTTTCATTAACAACTCCTGAAGAAATGAGTCTAAAATTTCAACGCATGTCCAATGAAGAGGGCGTGAAGAGAAAAAGAGGAAGGCCAAAGAAAGAAACTGAACCTTATGAGGTGAGGTTTGTGAATGTGGAAAATCCACAAGAGTTTGTGACGAAAAAGCGTTAATGGAAGCGTGGGATTGGGTTTTGGTACAAACCGTGTCTGTAATGTTTCAAAATTTAATTGAAATGTTCAGACATCATGATTGGAAGTGGTTTTTTTATAAACACTCCAAACGAATGAAATTTATTGGTTCAGTATTCATTCATTGGCGTGTGAAAAACCACTTTATTTTATTCAAACTAACAATTTTTAAATGTATTATTTTCAAATGTTGAAAATGTCATTAAATGTTTTCTCTGTACAGAAAATTCCCTTTAAGAAAGTAAACTAAATTTCTTGGAACTTGCTGCATTGGAGGAGTTTCCAACAAATTTCACAACAAGTGCTGGAATGATGAGAGAGAGTGGAATGGCCAAACTTCTGAAAAGATATCCATTAAAGAAACCATTATTGATGGTCATGTCTTTGATATTTTCTGAACATTCTTCGAAAAAAGTTGTGGTGAAACAATCTTTCAATCCTGTATATTTTCTTAAGAATCCTGGTTGGCCATTCACTTGCATCTTACGAGAAACAGTATCCAAAGGGTACAACAACAAGTAAATAATACTCTTCAACCAATAACTCTTGATGATAAATGTCAACTTTTGTTTAAAGTAGTCGGTGGGAGAGCTTAGAGTTTCTGACAATTCCGAATAAAAGGCCTTTGTTCCTCCACTGGTCAATACTTTGCGCCAATGATTTTTCAGTAAGCCACCCTTTTGTTGAATTCTATTCTCCACATAGGCATTGAGTAAATGTGTTGGTGTAGAAACACATAAAGTTCTAAATAAAAATCCCTTATAGTATGCTTGTGACAGAATTGAAAAGAAATTAGAGGGTGATGACGATTTCATCTCCAGTTCCTCTCGTGCTTGTTGATACATTTGAAGCACACAATCAAAAAGTCCTCGGAATTGAAATGTTTGTCCTCCAACAAATTTACCCTCTTCCGATCGATCAGCCATATAAACCACTTCAATTAAATCCAAAGGATATAACAAGATATCACTTGCAATAGCAGACAAGGCAATTTTCAAATTTTCATTCTCCACTCGAGATAACACAAATTTCTGCAACACATATTGAACCACGATCGTTGGAACACTTTTCATCATATTATACACCAAAGTCTTCCATAAACTAAAAAATCCATCATCAACCGCTATCAACGTCGGAGCACTAAATTTCTCATGAAAATGATTCAATTTTTCGTCTTCGGGTATGCGAGAGCAAGCCTGTGTTTGCAACACAATTTGAGCTCTATAGAGTGGATGGATCACTAATTGAGTACATGATCTTGCAAGCCATGAAGGTAATAGAGAATTTCGTGCAAACTGCAACAGTTGTTGAGAAAAATCGGATTGATTTTTGAGAAGGGGTGGAGAGGGTAATAAAGACATTTTTTTTGATCTTTTTATTTTGATTGGATTTATCAAGATTTATTCGTTGAACCTTAAAGCATTGAAATATTGAGAAGGCCTGAAAAGATCAGTGAATTGGAATTGGGTAACCTTCTAAAAATCATTGTAAACGGATTGGTAAACAGAAAAAAAAAATGTTATCGAGCTCATCATCGGATCAGAACGGAACACATGACATGATTTTGGATCAAATCCGAAATGGGTTTCAAATGAAACAAGATGAACAAGTTCTTGATTTAATCGTGGAATTTATAAACACTCCCAAATGTTCTTTGGATCATTTGGAATCATTGATTCACTTTTTGGAAATGATCATGAAGAGAGGTTTAAAGAGTGCGGTTTTAAAACAATTTAATTATTGTCGGGATGTAAAATTATTACGGAAAACAAATCATCAACAGCCTTTTCGACCATACGATAAACGTAGTAATATTTGCACAATTTTAATCCAATTTTATTTATTACTTTTCACTTCTACGGAACCACCTTCGGAAGCTCTAATACATGAATTTACAACTTTTATTATGGAGAGTCAGTGTAAAAAGCCATGTCCTCTCAAAGATCACGTTTTTGTCAACTACATGTTAGGATTAATACATTTCAAACAAATTGACAATGTAGTAATAGGCAACGATGACCAGTATTTCGTTGTGACAGATAGGGACTCAGAAATTTGTCAGCATCATCGTCTAGCATTAGCGTATTTTAACAAAGCCATATCCATTCAACACAATCACGCCCCTTCTCTCTTTTATTTGAGCCTGTTCCATCGAAGCGGAACACCTTTCGTGAATTATGTAAAATGGGAACAATTTTTGCAATTATCAGCTGATTTAGGATTTGCTGAAGCTCAATATGGGGTAGCTAAAGTTTATGAAAAGAATAATGCTCTGCAAAGAAGCTTTACTTTCAACCATATGAAAATGGTTGTTCATTACTACTCATTGGCAGCAGCACAATGCCATGCTCCTTCATTGTATGAATTGGGTAAAATTTATCATGATGGCAAAATTCTTGGTGGCGATAGGATGAGGGTTGAGAAAGATCTCTTAAAGGCATTTCATTATTATGCACAAGCTGCTGAGATGGGTTATGTGAAAGCTCTTGTTGAGATGGCATGTGCATTTCGAGATGGAAACCATGAGGCCAATATTTCACAAAATGTTTCTAAAGCCTTGTGGTACTTTGGGCGAGCAGCTCAGCTTGGGAATGAGGAATCGAGAAGGCAATACGAATTATTGAAGCGTGCTAAATTCATGGACGGTTTTCAAACAATTTTATTTCAATATTGTGTCGGAGAAAAAGATAATTTCTTTGATTTTCGTGATGTGACAATTGTAGTGCATGATATGATACAGGAGAACTCCTCTCCATTGTATTCATTTCAGTTATTGACCGATGAGTTGTCCAAACTTGCATAGAACTTCTAAGTATTATCTCGACACCATTTTATACACCTAATTTTTAATGAAACGTCGATTAGGTTATTAAGGTTGTTGTTAATTTTTAACAATTATTTTCGGAAACAGAAACAAAATCCAGTCCTGTGGCTTGTGGAGTTGTTTTTAGATGTGGCTCTATCAACCAATGAAACTAATAGATTAACCAATGCCACTTCGTATATTTTCACCATACATGTTTTCAATATTTTTGATCATTTAGAAATGACGCGCTTTGTGAATTCAGGAAGTGGACAAAATCTTTGGAGAGAGATGTTATTCAAAGAGAATTCACAACCTAGTCTTTTAGAGCTCTGTGCTCTTTTTAATTTGTTGCTCAATGTCTTGCAGACTTTTCACGATACTGTGAAATGAAGGTCGTTGCAATGCATCAGCGTTCCAACACTCTCTGGTTAAATCAAAATATTTCAGAATGGCCGAAAGTAACATGCTATTACGTCTAAATCCAATCAGAGGATACAAAATGAGCCACTGTGACAACTCATCCTCATTGGTAAATGGTATTGCAGGTCTCTTTCCTTTCAAAACAGAAGTAAGAATATTAATAGATGCTGTTGCTTTGATCGATGAAAGTCCAACCTTCTCCGTCTCCGTATATGGAGGTAATTCAAAGAATAATTCCCACATGATAATTCCAAAGCTATAGACATCAACTTTGGTTGCTTTCAGAGCCTTTTCACTTTTTCGATCCATTCCATTTAAGGATGCAAAGGTTTCTTCTTCGCTGATCATTTCAGGTGACATGTACAATAGAGTACCGACATTTCTTGTCATTGTGTAAGACGAAGAGGTTCCTATCGTTCTTGATAAACCAAAGTCACAGACTTTACATCGATTCGCTCGATCAAGAAGAACGTTCCCTGGTTTCTGTTGTTAGAATTTTGATATAACAATTAAGTAAGAAGAACAACAAAGTATAATGAATCGACTTACCAAATCTCGATGAACAATGGCAGGAGTCAATGAATGTAAATAATCCATTCCACTTGCAATATCCTGTAAGATCGACAACTTGTCAAGAATGGATAAGGATTGTTTTCCCACTCTACAATTGTAAATAATTCTCTCTAAAGAACCATTCTCTAAATACTCAGTGACCATAAATTTGTTTTCTTTTGAAACTGAAACTCCAAAGAGTTGAAGGATACATGGATGACGTAATGAAGCAAGAAGAGAAACTTCCTTTTCAAACTCATCATGGTCGTCATCGATTCGAGCTTTCAATGATTTAATGGCCACATGTCGATCCTTCCATTTCCCTAAATAAACAGTTCCAATACCACCCTCTCCTATTTTCTTAATGATATTAAGATCTGTAATTGGAATTAGGAATGACATGGGTTTCTTTTCCATTTCGATCGAGAACGATGCATCAGCCGTGGAGTTCAATAATGGAGATCGAAGTTCATCTTTGTGAGACTTCTTACTGGAACTACTATTTCGACCATTATTACTACCATTACTATTGCTTTTCGAATAAAACTTGTCATTTGCAAATGTCGTGTCATTTTCCTCACTGTCCATATTAAAGACAATGGCCTTGTCAATAATTTTCTGTTCCACACTCAATTCTGCCTTCTCCTTTTCACGGAGACGTTTCAATCGTTTTCGAATGTCAATACAAATATTCACTCCACACAACACACCAATACAAGTTCCAACCACAAAAACAATAAATACAATGGGAAGCACAACGAGCAAGACGATGGTAATGGGAAGTTCCTGATTGTATTGGCAAGAGTAGAGAGAGGAAGTTCCATCCACATCCACCAATGCCAATCGATATCCTTGTTTGCATGGATGGATTTTGAATGGAACAAATTCGGCCTTATGAGAGGTTTCCGTTCTTAAAGTGGAATTAAAAATTCCATGCTCAACTTGTTCAGAGTTGTTGGTGATTCGATAATATGCTGAAACGTATAAATGATCACTGTACTGCTTGGTTATGATGTGTAAAGGAGGATACACTGATTCGATAAATATAGTTTCCAAATTGAGAGGAACCGATGTGTTCAACGAATGTGCAGTTCCATTCAATCGAACAGAATCTCCAGGTGTTAATTCTAACATGCTGACATCATCTCCAAGATCCAAGTACAGACGAGTAATGTCTGAAATGTAATCATTTCCAAACAATAGTGCCTGATTATTTTCAAATTTCACATTTCGAAGATTCGTTTGTGTAAAACGGCTATTGTAATGAAAAATTGCACCACCCTTCTTGTATGCAACATTTTCCTTAAATTCACAATTTTCAATGATTTTCGTCGCTCGAGTGACATAAAACAATGCACCACCCACCATTGCCGTGTTCTTGATAAATCGACAATTTCGTATGAACGTACTTGTTGTCGTTGGACCAACACTTGAATAAATATTGACAGCACCACCAGCACCTTTTTGTTTTAAACCATTGGAAATGATGACTTGACCTGAATATGTTGCATGATTTTGATCAAAGGTACAATTCAAAAGTCGTAAATAAAACGCAATTTCAACATAAATGGCTCCTCCTCCCAATGCAGCGACATTCTTTCTGAAAACACTATTCATGACATGGACATCCACTGCTGAATTGGCAATATTGAATGCACATCCAAACGAGTCACATGTTTGATTCTCAAATAAACAGTTCGTAATGACAGTGTTAAAGGCGAAATCATTTTTTCGAGTATTGTAATTATCTAACATGACAGCACTGCCATTAAATCCATCCATAAATGTCGTTGCATTCAAAGTCATTCGATCCACGTCTGAAACATAGAGAGAGGATGCTTGTCCAACTCCTCTATTTTTTCTAAAATAACACGACTCGATATAGACTTGAACACTACTTAAAATGGTAACCACTCCATAAAACAATTTGAGACTGAATGTTTCTGGAATGGTGTTGCCAGTGATTGTGTTCAATAACAAGTCAATTCTAAGATAGGCTCGAACAAATAGAAAAGGTCCTGAATCTTGAAAAGTACAACCTTGCACCTTGTAGATTTCTCCATGTGTCGAAGTGACTATACCATTCTTATTCGTGCTGTTTTTAAAATTAGAATAGCTCATGTACATTTCCTTAATATTTGTTGTTGTAAATTCTAAATTGAAATTATTAAATTGAGAATATTGGAGAAATAATTGTTCACTATTGTCGACTGTTAATTGCAATCGACTGTCTTGTAAGAGTATATTCGAAAGAAGGGTCAATCTCATGTTTTGGAAATAGAGAATATTGAAAATTGAAAATTGTGTATCGATTATAACGAGTTTCACAGGACTTCGAATATAGAATTCAGTATTCTGGACGATTGATTTCTCTATACTAAACCATTCCATCTTGGAATCGGTTGTGACATAACCATTGTTGATCACAGATGAGCAAAATGCAAGTCCAGATATATCACTTGACATGAATGGAATATTCTCAATATTTAAATGAAAGAACATCATCCATGCCAAGTCTGATCTGGACATTATCATTGAAAAAGGCTCAGTTTGACTCCAATCAATTTTGGATTCATTAAAATTCAATTTGAATGTTCTGTTCTCTGATGAATAACTCGAAAATGTAAAATAATATTGCAATCCAGAATATACGGGTGTTAACAGTACATGATTAATATCCTGTGCTTCAATATCGTTTGTAATTTGAACAGAGACTATAACTGCTCGTTGCCGATCCATGGAAATGAATGGCAATAATTCTGAACTGTTCATTACTGTTGCCAATTCATGAAGTACTTGTTGAATATGTTGACATGGATTTGAAAGTGAGCAGAATGGATGGTTTCCATCATCATTCGTTGCAGAGTCATCATTCTTCTTTCCCATGAAGAGGTTAATGGATGCACGTGGTTGGCTGTTCTCAACTTGTTGAAAAGTTTGAAAGCAATGCAATTTCTGTGGATCCTCTTTTTGTAAGTTGAGTGGTTGTCTTGTGTATGGCATGTGTTGGAAATCCATTGGATGTGCATGGTCCATCATGTGTCCATTTGAGGAAGAACATGCATCCATGTTAACTCGTGACGAGGTATTTCTGGTCGTCCAAAATAAAGCATCGTTTGGGATGGATAGATTCTTATCTGAAGGGAAGAAGAAAGTAACAGCATGGCCATGTGTTGACAGTTGTGCACAGGTCGAGTGTGTGAATAACAAAAGTAGGCTCCATAGGGTCAGAACCAAGCTCACAACTGGAAGAGAAGTGTTCAACAACATCCAATGAACAATCACAATTTTTTCACAAAGATAACTTGTGCCGGACATTGACAGCTTAAAGAATTTGAATCGGTAAAAAACCTTCTAACCTCAACTCGAAGATTTTCTCACACCTCATGCATAAACTGCTGGAGACGAGTGACTGAATGAATGGGTATCTAATAATCAGGACGCTCTTTTGCTAATGACGTGCCGACCAACACTGACTGTTTGTTTTGAGAGTTTAATACTTTAAGAGAGTGAAAGTGAGCAAATCAAAGTAACCGTTGGAAAGAAGACGAGCTTTTCATGGACCACCTCTTGTTGACACCAATATGAGATTTCATGTCCAATTAATATCTATAGCAGCCAGTCCGTTTGTCCATTATGGAAGCGAGTCATCACTTTAACCACATGATCAAATAAAAGCAATCATATATAACTTCACCAGTTGTTGCACTTGTAATTTATCACAACCAAATGTGAGCTTAACTGTCAACCTGTTTCAAAATTTCTGATGCTGAATGCAAATGAATCAGATGTTATTGGACAATGTATGATTGTAGAATTTTGGAATAAGCTCTTCATTAAGCTCTTTTTTGCCTTAAAGACGTACACATCATGGTTTCCTTCTTCAGCTGTTCTCGTTATTTCAGGCGAAGCATGGTTATTCTGAACAATTCTTTTAGGTTTTTTTAGAAAAGGACATGTTCCTGAACTTGTTCCGGTGAAATGTTCATGTAATTCAGAAATGCTATCAAGTGGTTTGATAAATGTCAAAAAAGATTAATCAATACATTTTGAAAAACATCATATGTTTGGACATGTCCTTTAAAGCAAATATCTCCCATTCAGAAGGAAAAATTGGTAGATGAAACTTCTAATCACTAATTGTATGACCAACTCACAAAGGTAAATCGGCTTGTTTTTCGGTCGAGCTTTGAGTGGGCTGAAGAAACTCAGCTGCGAATCATTTTGAACAAATTGAGAACTCTTGTGATAAAAAATTACAAAATATTTTAAAAAAAATATCGACTTGTTCTTTCATTAATGAAAATGATCAGTGCCGGAAAAGATGATTTCTCTCCGACAAGTTTAAACGAACACAACAATGGACCATTTATTGATGATATTATTTTTGAAATTCTTCATTTCCTTGATTCATTGTTTATTATTCACATTTGTATGAAAATTTCAAAACAATGGAGACGTGTATCTTTTCAAATTCCTCTCTCATTATCATTCCCACAAAATCACTTCAAACAAGATGTTAAATCCATCAAACTTTTAACAGATTGTGAATGTTTGAAAAATTTGACTTATTTGGATCTGTATTACAACGGAATTGGTAGAGAAGGTGTTAAATTTGTTGCTATGAGTGAATTCTTGAAGAATTTGACTTCTTTAAATCTGGGTTTGAATCAAATTGGCAGTGAAGGTGTTAAATATATTGCTGAAAGTGAATGTTTGAAGAATTTGACTTGTTTGGACCTGTATTACAATGAAATTGGTAATGAAGGTGCAAAATATATTGCCACAAGTGAGTGCTTGAAGAATTTGACTTCTTTGAATCTAGATGGGAATCAAATTGGTGTTGAAGGTGTTAAATATATTGCTACAACTGAATGGTTGAAGAATTTGACTTATTTGAATCTGGGATGGAATGAAATTGACAACGAAGGTGTCAAATATATTGCTTCAAGTGAATCATTGAAGAATTTGATTTCTTTGAATCTGTATCACAACATATTTGACGATGAAGGTATCAAATATATTGCCATGAGTGCGTCCTTGAAAAAGGTGACTTCTTTGAATCTGAGTAGGAATGGAATTGGTAGAGAAGGTGCTAAGTATATTGCTACAAGTGAATGCTTGAAGAATTTGTTTTCTTTGGATCTGGGTTACAATCAAATTGGCAATGAAGGCGTTAAATATATTGCCGCAAGCGAATGGTTGAAGAATTTGACATCTTTACATCTGGCTAGCAATGAAATTGATAGTGAAGGTGTTAGATATATCGCCACAAGCGAGTCCTTGAAGAATTTGTCTTCGTTGAATCTGAGTTACAATAGAATTGGCAATGAAGGTTTCAATTATATTGTCACAAGTGACTGGTTGAAAAATTTGACTTCTTTGAATCTGGTATGGAATGGAATTGGTAGTGAAGGCGTTAAACATATTGGTGCCAGTGAATCCTTGAAGAATATGATTTCTTTGGATCTGAATGACAATCAAATCGGTAGTGAAGGTGTCAAATATATTGCTGAAAGTGAATCATTGAAGAATTTGACATCTTTGAATCTGAATAGCAATCAAATCGGTAGTGAAGGTATCAAATATATTGCCACAAGTGAATGGTTAAATTTGACCTCTTGGAATCTGAATGGCAATGAAATTGGCAATGAAGGTGTTAAATATATTGCCACAAGTGAGCGCTTGAAGAATTTGACCTCTTTGAATCTAGGCGGAAATCAAATTGGCAGCGAAGGTGTTGAATATATTGCTGAAAGTGAATCCTTGGAAAATTTGACTTCTTTGAATCTGGGACGGAATGGAATTAGTAATGAAGGTGTTAAATATATTGCTATGAGTGCATGTTTGAAAAATTTGACTTCCTTGAATCTGGTTAGCAATGAAATTGGCAGTGAAGGTGCTAAATATATTGCCAATAGTGAGTGGTTGAAGAATTTGACTTCTTTGGATCTGAGTAATAATGACATTGACAATGAAGGTGTAAAATATATTGCCACAAGTGAATGCTTGAAGAATTTGACCTCTTTGGATCTTTATTACAATAGAATTCTCAGAGAAGATGTCAAATATTTTGCTACGAGTGAATGGTGGAAGAAAATGGCAATTGGAGTTGAAGAAGAATGAGTGACTGATTGATAATTAATACTTCACTCGGCTAATGTAAAGGAATTTCGAATACCGCTCACCATGGCATTCGATTTCTCTCTAAAATTTCATTTAACTAAACAACAACGCTACAAACAACACTACATCCACCTGAGCAGTTTGACTGCCTAGAATACTTCGAATTCGAATTACGACTAAATCCTTACTACAAAAGATCAGGCCAAAATATTGCATACTACAGTCAGTGACACCGGATCCAGCTGCGGAGTGGTGGATCCGAAACAAGGATTTTGTAAAAACTTTATATCCATCCACAACTAGCCACCATGTAACTGATCTTCCTACACCAATTTCTGGTGGTTTGGTTGTTTGTCAATTTCAAACAAAGATCAACGACTTGTTTCCATCAGAGGGTTGTTGGTCGAATCACAAAGAAGTATTCTTGAAGTATTCTTCTTGGCTGAATGTTCAAGAAATGACAACAGTCGCGTGTTAAATTGTTTGGCTTCAATGATTATGGATATGGCTCTTGGGACCAATTCAACGCTGATGAAACAAAGTTCGACCAATGCTTTCTGGATGGTTGGCTGTCTTCATGTAATTCAATATTTCCAAACTCCCAAGTTGAGTGGGACAAGAAATCTCATATTGGCATCAACAAGAGGTTGTTTAAATTTATTTACAAATAGACAGAGTTGGATGGAATTGTAAAATTTAAACCTGGCTTCATTATTTCGAGAGGTTTGATTAAATGTTCCAAACAGGATCAAATCCTTACTTTACATGCCTGACCTTAATAATGAAATGAATGGTCCAATATGGTTGCATGTTGTCGTGATAACCATTTTATTAAGATTTATCATGTGTGAGAGCAACTTTGTCCTTATCCATATCAACCACACTCATCCATCGATTACCGGGTAGCGCCACCGTTTCCTAATGATAGTTATCACCTTTACAGTCATAATAAATTCTACTAGATTCTGCTCCAGTGTTTCCTGTGTGGAAATGTTGTGGCATTTCTTGTTCGGAAGATTTCGTTTCTAATGAAACACCTAACGACAGATATGTCCGTGCAGTACATGAGCGAATTGAACATTTGCCGTCATGTAAGAATACACTCGTCCTTACTAGTACAGAAAGACAATTATCTTCCACTATGAAAGCCATGAATCCTTTTGCCATTGTATTTGAACCCTATCGAGCTAAGGCCTCGTCCAAAGTGTTCACTCTTGAATCTTTCATTGCAGCTTGTAAGATTGGTGAAAAAGTTTTGAAGGAAATTTCATCCGAAGATCTCATGATCAGTATTATGGTGAAGGAATACAAAAACAAGGCTCTACATGATTACGAGACGTTGATGTTAAGGTTATCATTTCCAATGTCTGGTGCAAGTTTGAAGGAGTGTCATGAACAAAATGCTTTAAAATCGGCTATAGAAAATATCATGTCTCTTCCCATGCTAAAGATCTTAATGAATGACCATCAAATACAAGATTTGATTTCTCGTGTGAACTCTTCCATTCAGAAAGAGAAATACTCAACCGATCTTCATGGAAATTCCTACTCAGCTCAAGAATGGTTTGTAATGAAAACAATACAGCCACTCGCGAGAAAGGTACAGAAATTCGAAACGAAATGATCAAACATTTACAGAGAAGTGTGGACATTTTAAACAATCAAAGACAAGAACATTCTTACAAGGACAATTGTTATCAAATATTACAACGAATTTGGTTGGAACAAGAGAAATCGGTGTATAGTCTTTTTTCGAAACAAATTGTTGGCAGTTCTCAAATTATTTCAGAAGAGTTAAATGTTCTTTGCGAGACACTTGTGAATTTGATTCAAATTTCTGCAGCGATGAAGGGAGACGGAAAAGATGAGTTGATACGTAATCTTCGCCTCTCTTATGAAAAACATTCAATTTGTTTTCAGTAAATGTGCCACGAGTTAATATCACACCTCAATCAAGGAGGTATTTAGTGTTGAGTTTGAACAATGGTTCATTAGCGGTTGAAGCAAGCATGATGGCCCTACGTCAAAAGAACACTGATCTTTGAGTTTGTATGTGATATTTCTTTTTCTCCGGTTAAATAGATCATCAGGGAGGGGGATTGAGAGTGTATGCAATCAGACTTTTGCCTTCCATTTTGGGCCTAACGATATTTGTACATCTTAACACACGAACTGTGCATAATGAATCATATACTGCGCGTACATAAGGGTACGTGTACCTTATTGGAAGGTAATGTAGATCGTTATATGAGTTTCTATTATTTTTCTTTTTTGATCAAACTCATCCAAGTAGATTTACACCTGAGTTTTTCGCATCACAACTCTCGTCAACAGCAAGAAATCAGTGTCTCGAAATCAAAATGCAGCAAGATACTAATGTGACCCGCCAAACTTTCCTCAATGCAAGTATAATGCACAATAATTGTGTATAATTAAAGTCTCGACATCCATGTCCTCAATTACCGAGAACTCTTTGGCTAAGATCGACGAATAAAGTTAGGCCCAATATGGAATTTAGCTTGCTGATTGAGTCGATGGTAGCTACGCTCTCGATCCCCGTAGACATAGATCATTGTTTTGTTTAAAATTGAAGATTACTATTGTCTTTCATTCTAAATTATGTCATAAATGTAGCTTTTCCTAAATAGTTCAAAGTACAAATTAAGAGTATTTCTATGGCCAATGATTGTTACACATTTATAATCATTCCATTGTTGAGCAAGGGAAAGCTTGAGACTGTGTGATGATTGTGTGGGCTGATTGTGTAATTGATTGTATGGCTGATTGTGTGACGTTAATATCTGACCTTCAAGCAATTTTTAAATACAATTAATTTTATCGACAAAAGTTGTTTTCTGTGATCGAAGTCTCATCAATAAAGTGCAGATGATGGGGTTAATCGATTTTCAATTTTTGTCGGTTACGAAACAACAAAACTATAATGACCTCAAATTCATCGTTGAGCATACAACGCCATTGGAACATCGCGCGTAGATGAACTGCCGGCTATTATGCTCCGATAGACAGAGAAGCCATTTAATGAATATTTTTTTTTAATTTCTTCGACACTTAATACTCCCTTTAACGCTCAATCATACAGACGCAAGGGAAACAAAGAATCAGTAAAGGAAAGCTAGGTCTCTATTCCAAACAGTAGGAATAATGGAACATCTTGATTGTGGAGCTCCAAAGCACTTTAAATTCAACGGTGCAATTGCAAACGTTACTCTTCTATTGGCTGCATCTAAGTTGAGTTTGAACACTGTAGTTTTTTCTAATAAATTTCGATCCTCGTCATTTAAATGCTCTTTGAACGTTCGTTTTTTAAAATACCTTTACCCATTCTATATGGCTCGGAATCATTTCACGCACAACTTGTACTAAATTACAATAAACAATATTATGTTTTTCAATGTGACATATGGCATAGTCTATAATAGTTTTAATACCATTCACTGATAAAGCGTCAGAAAGCGTTGAAATTGGGGTGTTGTGTTACAGGGTACTTTGTACAAATTTGAATTCCAGCAACTGTTTTGCCCTTTTTTTCTTTAAGGATTTTTTTTCTCTAATTTTTTTTTTCTTGTCTCACTCTTTGCCAGAGGGTTCTATTGTTTCTTTTTCACTTTCTGATGTTTCATTAGATTCATCCTCTTCAATATCAACCCTTCATGCTCCTTGGATTACCTGGATATATAATCACAAACTGAACTACTTTGCCGGCAATGTATTAATTTGTCATAAGTTGTAACAATCTTTCTCATCGTCCGAATCTTCCTTCAACTCTTGATAGATGGTTTTGAGGAAAATAATCTATTATTAAAGATAGTTAAAGAGAGAAATCATCGATCCCAGTATTAAACAATAATTCAAAAATTTGCAAACGCAGACAGTGCCAAGTTTGATCTTACTACACGAACCCCAAGTATTAATATTAAAAAAATTGAAAAAATATTAATATTCCCACTGTTGATTGAAGGCTCTTCCGACAAGCAAAAGGATTGCCTGGATATGTCCAGTGGTTGATGATATCGTGTTTCCTTCTTGTGAAATATGCCTCTGAGTTAAGTAGGATTCCTTATACAAATAATACGGAAATTGTTGGAGTATAAATTTTCATTGCTATCATGGAAAATTAGTTCTTTCTAGTCGTTTAGGAGTTTTGTTATTTGTTGCTTGGCAAATAATCGTTCTTCGGATAACAGTTTGCAACGAGTGGAGTAGTGTTCAATGGTTCCTGTGCAATTACATTTTGGACATGTATGGGTTGGTTTAATTGTTCTCATATGTGATGATCCATCATACATGTTTCTCAAATTGCATATTTTTGTTGTGGGGATATCGTTTTGGATTTCAGAAGTTGAATGATGATTGGAAGATGTAAGAAGGGTTGAATTGTTCTTTCTCTTCAAAACTATTGAATCATTCCATTTCTGAATTTGATTGTTTGTGATGAATGTAGCGATACCCAGTGTTTTTGGTATTTGAGAATGTTTAATAAGTTGTCTGTGGGGTGTTATTAGTTTGCCTTGAGAGCATCCTTCTTTGGCTAATTTGTCTACGTTGATATTTCCTTTGTCGGTGTGACCTTTGACTTTGATTAAGGTTAATCTGGAGGTTTTTTGAGTTTTTGAGGTGTTCATAATCAATTTTTAGTGGTAAGTATTGCACGATTCGGCAGCATTCTGAGAGAGTAGATGTTGCTGTATATTGGGTCTAACTTGAATTTGTGTCTTGTTGTGGCGTTTTTTGATTGGATGGCTATACTAAAACCTGTTCCTCGGTTATTCTTTGATCCTTCTGTATTTTAAGGAGTTTTCATGGTTGAGAAATATAGTTACAATTATCTACCTTAAATCCATTCAGGCAATTTACGCAGTTGTATATAAGTGGAGTGAGTGGGCAACCTTGAGGGATTCCTCTTGTTTTAGTGAATTTTTCAGTTAGAGTGTGGTTTATTCGGAGTCTATATCCAATATTCATGATAATGATGGTCTTTGTATTCAGTAATGATATCTTTTTTGCCTATTAATTTAATCCATCCCTGTTTCCAGCATTTAGGAATATCTTGGAGTTAGATCATATTATTGTCATATTGATGAAGCCCAAAGAGTGAAATTGGAACAAATTAGAATATGTTCAAAGAAAGGCCATGTTATTCTGGTGATGTAATGAATATGATACACGTTCCTCACAAGCAAGGCAACACAATTTTATGCACTAAGAAGCATCGGCATTTCATTACCTCACACTAAAACCCTAAAAAGTCGAAGAATTGTTCATATCAATAATTTTCATATGAAGGTTGCGGGATGATGTCAAGATTGGACCAAGTCTTTGACTGCTGAAAATTGAAGACTATTTTCATGATTACATTTAATTGGGGACAATAATGATCTCTTAGCGCATGTAGTTTGTAATTAGACAAATTCGTCAAGGAAGATAACCAACATTCCATCTTGGTAAAAGATACTGATGTGAAGAGTTCAACTAAGTCACTCGTTTTGAATAAAGTTTGGCCAGAACTTGAGTGTTTCAAGCAACAAAATACTGGATATAAAAAAATTTTGAGATTATTTGGTGGCTGTTGCTTCAATTAAGCAGTATTTTAGCAATCATCCCCATCCGAGCTATTATCTGCGAAGCCCCTTCATTCTTACTCCTTGTCAACACAACGTAACGCTTTACACGTGTCTCTTATTGGAACAAGTTTACGAAATGCAATTCATTTCATTTGAATCTCATAAAAAAGATCAAGCACAATGAAGATGGTGAACAAATTCGATCACCTTAAAAGCCAAACCAACAACAAAAGTAACCATGATTTGCAACATCAAGATTTGGATCGTTTTGGAGACAATTCGGATTAAGAACCACGGTAATGGTGATCTGTATCTAAAAAGATCCCGTAAGATAAGTCCTACACTGTACACCTTTAACGAACTTGAACACTAATCAGTTGTTTAAAGAGTTATATGACTGTCATTTGGCTAGCAATAAATCCTGCAAGAGTCACATGTTTTTTGCATACTTGGTCATTTGACTTTATTAAGCCTAGTCCTAATCATTAAGGGTTTAAAATACAAAAAACCGCTCTGCTGAAAATACAAGAAGAAACCAAAGAAAGGCAAGGAAGTAAGAAAAAAGATGATGAAGTGATGAATATCTCGATTATTATTATAGACATCAATCGAGGTAAAGTCTTACTCATCTAAAATAAATAAAATATTAAGGTTAAAAAGCTATTTTCAGTCGGAGCCGTTAAAAAAATACAGTGCCGCTGTGAGATTAGACATGTTGGTCCAAGCCCTCATTTCAACCAAACTGATGAAGAAGAGATGGAGCGCGATTAGATTACGTTGTCATAAATAAACCAAGTATCAATGGTCGTGACAATAATAATGTCAAATTAAAAAGCGTGTGTTCAATTACTTGTCGAAAAGATTCGAACAAGGCTACCCCGCACTGTCCACCACAAGAACATTAAGGATCAGCGAAAAAGGAACTAGAAAAGCTTAAGAAAGCATGATAGGGGTGGGAAGTCAGTAAGCAAAGCAAAGGGAGACGAGGTACTAGTATGGAGCATAATACTTTTTTCAAATACATATTTGTAGTTTGCGCGGGGCGGAAGAAATCGCCCATCGAAATAGCCCGGATGGGGATGATTGCTAAAATACTGCTTAATTGCAGCAACTCCAGCAAAAACAGCCACCGAACAATCCCGAAATTTTTTTATTCCAGTAACTGATAGATTTATTGTTGCTTGAAACAGTTGTACGGCCAAACTTTATTCACAACAAGTGGCTGACTTGGCAACGTCGACCACAACGTTGTTGCGTTCAACATGGAATGTTGGGAACACTAGTTGGTGACTTTGGTTGTTCATTCTTTACATTCAGTATCTTTTACCAATATGGAATATAGATGATCATCTACGTTTCGTTGTTATCTTCTATATTGCAAACTTCATACACTGAGACATCACCGTTGTTCTCCAATTTAATGTACAATTGAAACATTTCTGCCTTCACTACGTTCAAGTTGTTAAGGTAACTTCTGTACATCCAAGCTGTAAATCTTTGACTATTTAAAGAAAGCTCTTTTATAGGGTGGTTCTTAAAAAAATTTGCATGAATTACTCAAATGTTTGAACTTAAACAACAAAGAATTAAATAGAGTTAAAAGTCATTTAAAACAACACATCCTAAAAATCCAGAATCTCAAACAAATAAAAGTGCCAATATTGTTCACTTATAAACCAAATCAAAAACAAATACTTAACTATGGTCACAGCAAAACCAATGTTCTCTCCTAGGAGACTCAATTCAGGCTCTCCTATGCTTGAAAAAACGAAAATTCAAACCAAAATTAAAAAGAAAAAGAGAACAGAGATCAAACACAAGATTGCTTTTCGAGAAACTGACTATATACCTCACCCAGGCGATCTGGAATACGTTGACGAAAAGTTTGAACTTCCGTCAAAAGTGGATGGCATGTTTTTAATGGAAAATCGACGTTTCATTGCTCTCGACATCGGTTCAAGTCGAACAAAGATCAACTTGATCGAAAATGATAATAAGGACCGCATGTACACTCAAGCCAATTTGGGCGGTCGTGAGATAATCGTTCCATCAAGACTTTGGTATTCCAGAACGTATGAGCCTTCGACAAATGAGTATATAGAAGAGTATAGAGTTGGAGATCCTCCTTCAGTTAATCCTCAGGATTGGATTGAAATAGAAAATGTTAAAAGATTGTTTTTAATTAATGAATTATTTGAAATTAATATCAAAGGTATTACATTGAGAATAGCAACTCTTATGTATGAGCTAATTAAGGGAATGCTTGATTTGAAAGCAATAAGGACTGAAAATTGTGATTCCAAATCCTTAAAACGCTATAGTGGAGTAATTGTATCATGCCCAACTGGAACATCATCTTATATCAGAAAAGTGTTTTATAATTGTGTTTATTGTGATTTTCGAAAAAGTGCGAATAAAAAATCGACGATTTTTTCGCGATTTTTTTCGAGATCGAAATGAGCGACATTGATGCGTTGTCGTTTTGACTTGATGTTGATTAACATCGAAATCCTTCAAAATCGATTTCGATCAAACTCGAAATTTATTAAGTTTTTGTCTCATCATGCCAGATTTCCTTGCAATGATGAACAAACGATTTGATTAACTTGGGTGTAACTTGATCAAACACCTGCTCCATTATCTCTTCGAGAGAGTCAACCGAATGTTCATAGTTTTTCAACTGTGTTTTCATCCATCCGAAAAGCAATTCAATGGGATTGAAGTCAGGAGAGTATGGGCTTTGCCAAAACACACTCTCCATACTTTCCACACACCAATTTAATGAACTCAATTTGTTCTGGGGCTAATTTTTGACCTTGGATATATGGTCTTAGTTTTTGAGATATTTGAAACACCTGTCTTTTGTTTGAAAACTCGTCTTTCATCGTTTGTGAATCGATGTTGAGTTGCTTTTACCATGTGGAAATCGATTTTTTCGAGCAAAATTGATAAGAAATTGTTGAGAAAATCAATTCTGCTCGATTATGTTGAATTGTTTAATGTTCTCATATCGAAAATGTTGAATTGAACTACATTGATTTGTGCGATTGTGTCAACGTCAAAAAACAATAACAACGGTTTTCTCACTGAAAAAAAATGGGCAAAGACAAAACAAAGTGGAACACGTTTGATCGTTTTTGCGAAATACTCGCAACCACATTACCTATTTGTTCAAATGAGCTCTATTCTCATGGAATGACAAATTCAAAAGCAGCAAGCAAAGTTTTCAAGAAGCTCCAATTAGAAACAAAAAAAAATACAAATTTCACATTTCCTACTGCTAAAGGTTCAAGAAAATACAAAGATGGTTTACCAGCAACATGCAACGCCCCAAAAGATGACAAACGTGTGAAAGATTTTTTTGATACTTTCATTCAAGAAAACAAGAAATGGATTGTTAACGAGATTGAAAAAGAGATTTCTGCTCACTCCAACAAAAAACAATCATTGGCTTCACAAATTCAAGGTGACAGTAGTGACAGCGAATCAGAACATTCAGATCCGGATGATGAGAAAGATGATTTGGATTGGATTGATGATAATGGCAACGATTTGCAGGAAGTTATGTATAAAGAAGCGCAAGATAAATATGTGGCATGGATTTGCATGATATGTTTGATATTGATCCAAAACCTGAGTCAACACCACAAGTTACTACGTTCAAATCACCTGTTTTAGAATTCCAGATTTTCAAATTGGATCAGTTAAAGAAGCAAATTTTTATTAACGCTAAACAAGACTGTGATACTAATGATAAGGATATGCAAAATTCGACAAAGTTTTTAAAAACTATGAAAGACATGGAAGAAAATAATTCAAAAGTTATTGCAGATCAATTATTGAAAATTCAGAAAGAAAAGGAGGAGTTGCTTGAGAGATTTAAAAAACAAGAAGAAGATATTGCTAAACAAGAGGAACAGTATGTAAAACCTTTGACCAAATTGGTGAATGAAGTTGCAAAATTGATTGAGGTAAAGAAAGAGAAGATTAGACAAAAAGAGGAAGAGGAGAAAAATCAAATAGAAGCAAATTATCAGAGTTTATTTGATTAAAGGTTCTTCATGATCGATTTTTTCAACTCTGACGATCAAGAAAATCGATTCAGGTCGATCATAATTGATTTTTTCGATTTTGGACGAAAAACATCGACGTTGAGAAATGAATCGTGTTGAGGTAATCGATTCAGGTCGATCGTAATCGATTTTTTCGACTTTGCACGAATAGCATCAACATCGTATCTCGTCAACATCAAGCAAAATCGTTTTCGGGAAGAAACGTCCAAAAAATGAGGGTTGACCGAATTTGAGCAAGTCGTTTTCGATTTTACTCGATTTTTTTTCGCACTTTTTGGAAAATCACAATACAAAGCACTATCAAATTTTGAAACCTCACCAGAAATATTTGCCAATATTCTCATTGTGGAAGAAGACGCGTTATCTCATTTCTTGATTGTAAAACGGTCCAACCTCGTAAAAGGAATCACTCTTATTGCTGATATTGGACATGAAAGTGTGGATATTTGTGTTGAAGAGAGGACTGAAAAAGAGACCAAGGTTATTTATAGAAATGGAGAATTCACTGGCTTAAGAAGTATCCATGATATTATTAAGAAAAAGTTTCCCAAAGAAAATTCTTTTAAGATCATGGAAAAGTTTTTCTTGGAAAGTGAAATAATTAACCTGCCACTTGCGAAACCTCAACCAATTTTCCCACTACTTGAAGATTGTAAAACAGAAATAGTGAACGCAATCAAATCCATAGTAATGTCCATAGGTTTAACAGCTGCTTATTGTTGCGTACAGGAGATTCATGTGATTGGTGCTGTAACAAGTTCCCCTTTTTTTATGTATCACATTACTCAAGAATTAAGTGAAGCGAAAGTGAATGAAACTCTCGACCGTTTACGGTTACATCTGAAGGATGATTATCAGAACATGAGATTCTGTGGTTGTCGTTTTTATTTTAATCCCTTAGACCGAAGTCCATTATTAGAGGGCATGTTATACATGATCAACACAGCTCTGAAATTGGAGAAACCTGTGTCGTTCTGCTTTGAACAAGCTATACCGAAAGAAAATAAGCCTCAATATGTCCTTGGATTTTTGGATATAGATGATAATGGTCAGTATGGACTGAACGTTCAGAAAGATTGGAACAGTTTATTTCTCACATTTGATTTTGAACTTGCAATTTTGGGTCTATTTCCAATCGTTGACCTGAAGAAAATTGGACGCATAACCCAAAACAACTTCCATCAATGGGGGATCTTTTCGTTTGAAAGATTCGGAACTGTGTTTGCCGAAGTGGACCCGTCTTTCGAAACTACAAAACGAAAGTTCTTAATCTCTGGTGAAGTGCAAAAGGACACAGTGACCATTGAAATAATTTTTAGTGGTTTGGGTGGTTATCGACAATGTGAACTTGAGATTGGAAGAAACGGGCGTATGGAGCGGGTTTCTATTAGTGACGTTCCCAAGGTTGTACTTGCAACAAAAGAAAAAGATTTCAAAACGTGGTACGGTAGTCATTACAAGATCTCAATCACAATTTCAGAGAAAAATTCATTCCTACTCTCCAGCAACCAAAGAACGCTCAAAGAGGAAAAATTCGGAGATGACTTTGAAAGAATTCGTATTCGTAAAGATAGTAATCACCGTGCCATAGTGAAAAAGATAGTAAATTATACAATAAAAAAGAGAAAATAATGTAAGTAAGAAATCAAGTAACCGTTGGAGCGGAGAGGAGCTTATGGTTCACCTCTAGTTGACAATTTGAGATTTCAAGTCCAGCCTTTCCGTTTGCGCATCTTTCTGGGGCGACAACAGCTTGACCGATACAAATAAAAGAAATCTTTTTTTTGATCTAATTTTTGCGCTTGATATTTTACACTACCAATGGCGAGAGAAATGGTCTGCTTGTTCCAAGTTTCAGACGTTGAAAACATAGCATCAGATATTTTTGGACCATGTATGATTGTAAAATTTTTGAATTTTCGATAAAAATCATTAAGGGCTTGTTTGCCTTAAAGACGAACATGTAATGTAAGGTTTTCACATCACAGCCATGGTTTAATTTCAAAAACCATCTAGATCTTAATGTTCTTGTGGTAAGGAAGAAAATTAAGACAATACAAGACTGCCTTGTTCGAATCTTCTCGACAAGAAAGTGAACATTAACTTTACAAACTTATTTTAAACCCGGCTTCATTATTTCGAGAGGTTTGATTAAATACTCTAAATAGGATAAAATTCTTACTTTACAAGCCTGCCTTAATAACGAATTTTTATGGCCAAATGTGGTTGCATGTTGTTGTGATAACCATTTTGTCCAGATTAACGGTAAATGGATAGGTGTAAGAGCAGCTTTGTCCTCCTCCCATACCAACCACACTCATCCATCGATTACCTTATGGCGCCAACATTCCCCAACGATGTTTATCACCTTCTAATTGTTGTCAGTTCTCAAATTATTTCAGAAGAGTTAAAAGATCTTTGCGACCCTTGTGAATTTGATTCAAATTTCTGCAGAGATGAAGGGAGACGGAAAAGATGAGTTGATATGTAATCTTCGCCTCTCTTATGAAAAACATTCAATTTATTTTCAGTAAATGTACCGCGAGTTAATAAAACACCTCCAATTGATTTGTTCTGTTGAATATTGAAATATTGCACTTTTCAGCTTTTACAAGTTCCTTTTTCGCTGATCCTTAATGTTCTTGTGGTAAGAGGAACATTATGAAAGTGCAGGACTACCAATTGGTAGATGAAACATTCTAATCACTAATTGTATTAAGTGACCAACTCACAAAGGGAATTCGGCTTGGTTGTCGGTCGAGCTTTGAGTGGGCTGAAGAAACTCAGCTGCGAATCATTTTGAACAAATTGAGAACTCTTGTGAGAAAAAATTACAAAATATTTTAAAAAAAATATCGACTTGTTCTTTCGTTAATGAAAATGATCAGTGTCGGAAAAGATGATTTCTCTCCGACAAGTTTAAACGAACACAACAATGGACCATTTATTGATGATATTATTTTTGAAATTCTTCATTTCCTTGATTCATTGTTTATTATTCACATTTGTATGAAAATTTCAAAACAATGGAGACGTATATCATTTCAAATTCCTCTCTCATTATCATTCCCACAAAATCACTTCAAACAAGATGTTAAATCCATCAAACTATTAACAGATCGTGAATGTTTGAAAAATTTGACTTGTTTGGATCTGTATTACAACGGAATTGGTAGCGAAGGTGTTAAATTTGTTGCTATGAGTGAATGCTTGAAGAATTTGACTTCTTTAAATCTGGGTTTGAATCAAATTGGCAGTGAAGGTGTTAAATATATTGCCAATAGTGAGTGGTTGAAGAATTTGACATCTTTACATCTGAATGGCAATCGAATTGGCAATGAAGGTGCTAAGCATATTGCTACAAGTGAATACTTGAATTTGATTTCTTTGAGTCTGCGTAGCAATCAAATTGACAGTGAAGGTGCTAAATATATTGGTGCAAGTGAGTCCTTGAAGAATTTGACTTCTTTGGATCTGTATTACAATGGAATTGGTAGCGAAGGTGTTAAATATATTGCTACAAGTGAATACTTGAATTTGACTTCTTTGAGCCTGCGTAGCAATCGAATTGGCAGTGAAGGTGCTAAATATATTGCAACAAGTGAGTCCTTGAAGAATTTGACTTTTTTGAATCTGGAACGGAATGGAATTAGTAATGAAGGTGTTAAATATATTGGTGCAAGTGAATCCTTGAAAAAGTTGACTTTTTTGAATCTGGGACGGAATGGAATTAGTAATGAAGGTGTTAAATACATTGCTATGAGTGCATGTTTGAAAAATTTGACTTTGTTGAATCTGGTTGGCAATGAAATTGGCAGTGGAGGAGCTAAATATATTGCCAATAGCGAGTGTTTGAAGAATTTGATTTCTTTGGATCTGAGTAATAATGACATTGACAATGAAGGTGTAAAATATATTGCCGCAAGTGAGTGCTTGAAGAATTTGACCTCTTTGGATCTTTATTATAATAGAATTCTCAGAGAGGAAGTCAAATATTTTGCTACGAGTGAATGGTGGAAGAAAATGGCAATTGGAGTTGAAGAAGAATGAGTGACTGATTGATTATTAATACTAAACTCGCCCGATTGAAAATTATGCTTGCATTACAAGAGAAGAAGACGAATATGTGGGTGAAAATAAGTGCATTCACAGCCACTAAACCAAGCATCATCAAAATTAAGACATGTGGTACAAACAGTAAATTTTTATAAATCCCACGATGTCCTGTTGGCTATGCAAGTATTTGCACAATAAATTCACTATTGGCAATACATTTGATAGTTGTGGATTCTTTAGGAATTATCAACCAAAAATTAATGAACAATACAACCACACGGTCTGAATTACCCCCCCTGCGCAATCGAGAGGGGTACTCAACTGTCACAGCGCAGCTGGCTCGCAAAAAATTTTTTTAATTTCTGGTGTAAGGAATTACTTCGCGCAACCTTTTCTCAAGAAATTTGTGAAGAGTGGTTGTATTGTTTAGAAAATTTTTCACTCGGAACTGTTTTCAGAAAACTATTTTGTCACGATATTGAGGATCAACACCGAGCAAGTTGTAATATTTTGGAGAAAATCTTCCACATCCTCCGAGTGATCATGTAATTGCATATATCAAAGATTATATGAAAACAATTAAATCCAAAGACTGAATTGTATTTGATGCTAAAGGAAGCAAATTAGACTCTAAGGATTTGGTACAGAATGGGGTTTTGACGTTAGTTTGATAATAAATGATGATCTTGCTTCCGTGTTGTTTGGTGCTGTTGCACTATTATTGACTCGACTTGTATTTTTTTGTAAAAAAATCCGAAACCAGTCTTGAAAGATTCGACTCCCTCAATACCATGAGATGATGACAGAGGTGAAATGGTAATTAATTCCCTTGCAAATCGAATAGTGATGAGGTGATCATTTCATACACATTTTCTTGATCAAATTCGTTTGTATGAAAAAACAAGAACTCATTAATTCCCATTTCTAGAAAAACACCAAAAAGAAACTCAAGAAGAAACCAACCCATTTTGCGATTGTTGTTTGAGTTACAAATTAGACATTCAACAGCAATAAGAATGAATCGACACCCTTTTGAAAGTAAAGAAGGCAGTACTAGCGGAAAAACGACCACAACAACAACAGAAGAGCACCACGAACATTTTAAAGCGTTTCAAGGAGAAGGCAGAACTCTGAAGGGAGATGTTGTGGCTCCATCGGATCACATTCCTGCAGAAAAATCACACAAGGATCAAGTTCCTCTCTTTGACAATCCAATTGATTCAACACGTTCCACGAGTTTTAACGTTAAATATTAAAAGCTTTGGTACAGGAGGACCCTACGGATGGTGATGGTGTGGCTGCTGTGTTTGCATGATGTTGGAGCAATTATTATGAAATTAATTTTCGAGAGGAATCTTGAGAAATTATAATTTGAACTCTAATAATCATGATATATTCAATTTAATAAACAATATATTCAAAAACTCCACAATAAACAACCACTGCCATTCGTAAATATTTGCCATTTTGTAAATTGATTATTTCTTCTGTGTAACATCAACGTTGAAGACATGATTTGTCCATTCGGAAAATGTTTACATGTTCTATTTAACTTTTGGAGCAATAAAGTATCCAGCCTTGATGTCCTTGGTATTGCTCTGAATAATATTCTTTCGACGTGCAATAGACTCGGCATCGGAAGTATTCGTCGAGGCTACATCCTCTCTCCATCGATTGCTTCTCATCTTGTAAAATTGCATCGGACTGTACATGGGCTGAATTTCATCATTCACTGGAGATTGTTGCAAAATATCTAAACACATCATGATATTATTAACATCTTGGGTGAGTTTGTTTAATTGAGATTTTTCTTGAATAGATACTCGGGAAAGTAAACATAATTTGTTAATTTGTTCTGCAGAAACCGATGTCCGATTATTCACTGAGGATTCCAAAGAGGTGTTTGTTGTTGTACTTGATGCCTCTGTCGTAAGGTTGTTCACTTTCATTAATTGAGCAATTGAAAAACAACTGGATGGCATCAACGAGGACTGTTTCCGAAGCTGGCGCAACGTTTTAGAACTGAGATGAGAGAGCACTCGTGAGTTCATTTTTTTTATAATACAGGGGAGAAACTTAAAAACCTTAATCCACCAGGACAGATTGATATTCTTCACTCTGTAAAATCGCTGGGTAGATGAGGATTAATAATATAATTAGGGGCTTTTTAAGTTTTTCAGGTACTTTTTTTGAATTTACAATTTCGCTTCTTCTGTTACCTCAGGTTCACTTAACAGTTTCTATCAGTGAATCCAATCGATCAAAAAATGAAACGAAACCTGTTGTTGTCAATTCTGTCATCTCGATTGACAAGAGCAAGTGCTCGCCAAGAATTGGGTCATCCTTTCAAATTCTTGAAGGCTTCCACACCAGTTGTTGCACTTGGTTGGAAGTCTCTCTTTCCGAATCATCATCATGGAATGAGTCAGATCTCTGCATATGATCCACAACAAGAAGAACGACGAGCTTTTCATTCCTCTCTTCGCTTCTTCGAACAACAAGAACGAACATCCAATCATGAGTGTTCCAGCCTAACATTACTAGAAGAACAATTTCAACAAGTGATCCAACAAATACATTCGGAAATGTCCCAATGGAATGATGATCATCCTCCTTCCTCCACACCTAAAACCTCACACCATCGAAAACTCTCCAATATTCTCTTGATGGAATTATTTCGTTTGGTGGATCTGGGTCCGGGTGCCATGTTGAGTAAATTGCAAGAAGTAGACTCAGCGTTTGATCGCATGCGAGACTATTTGCTCTATCGAGAACTTCATTTGATATTTCTGAAAGGACTCTTTCAAGAGTGGTTTGATATACAGAAATTGCAAACGCTTTTTGAACATGATAATCCTCATGGAGGTATTTACAAGTATCCGAAATTAGCAGCAACAGACACCACAGTACAACCATGCTACAAGGACGAGACGCACTTTTTATGTTGTGTTTGGGATTCAAAAGTAGCAATTGCCGCTGCTTTACCTCGAGGAGTCGGCAACAGGAGAGTATTCACCAAGCAAGACCTTATTGCAAACTTTTATTGGTTGTTTACTCGGTTTAGGGACATGCCAACAGAGAAACAAGCTCTCATCGATTATGCCAAAATGGTGTTGAATGGTTATAAGGAAACAAAGGAAGCTTATTTGAAAAGTGTGAGGAGAGAGAATGTCGACGATTTCAACACTCGAATGTATGATGTTATGGAGAATGTATTTGCATTTACGAGAGAAACTTTCACAGAAGATGAATTTGATTGGTTTGAAGATTTGGAAACAAATTTACCATTGCATTTGGGAGCTTGTTTGAAGGCTATTGAAATTCTCTCTCAATTTAAACATTATCAAGACTATTCCCAAATGTTGAAAGACTTGGATAACTGTGTTAAAATCAATCCAAACAATCCCTATATTTTATACTTGAAAGCATCACTATGTAGACATTTAATGAGCGATCCAAGACAAGAGACTGTTGCTTTTTATCAAGCTGGAATTGAATCTTGCAATGCCGCATTGGATGTCATGAAAAATCACGTGAATATTCATTTCACATCAGCATCACCACAAAGAGATCGATTGACAAAAACCAGATTCGATGCTGAGAATGATATTAATTCCAATGAAGAAGATGAGCTGGCACAAGAACCAATTCCAGATCTAAAATTCACACCAATTCTCTTTTTACGGGCTGGAATTTATAATTTATATGCTGCTAACCCTTCACTTCATCCTTCGTCAAAAATACGAGCTGGAATGAGTGCTTTAAATGATTTGAAACAAGTGGAAAGATTTTCCAGAATGCCCAGCGAATCCAGTTTTTTGAACACAAAAGGATATGCCTACTATTGTTCTCAACAATTTGAAAAAGCGGCTACATGCTTTGCTGCAATTGAGAAATTTGAACATGTCATTAGTCGTGCTTCGATTATTCAAGCCATTTGTTCGACTGCGACCTGTGTGATGGAATTGGGTTATACTGATTTTTGCTTGGAAAAATTAGAGGAATATATTGTTAAATATAATCATCATCCATCATTGGTTGCACACAAATTGGATTGTCATCGAGTATCATGCCGTTCCAAAGATGATTTGAAAAATCTGTTACCCATGCTCCATAATTTTGCAAATTCTTTGAAAAATACTTCACAAACAGATCCAGAAAACTTCAAGAGATACTATGCAGAGACAATAGGATATATTGAAAAATTTCAGAAGATTGTTGATAATCCATCTTTTCCAGAGAGGTGGGGTTAATTTGTTGTAACTGTGACATATGAATGCACACATCACTTTATTCATTGAAACTCAAGTGAAATTTGCACAATAATTTGGTCATTCTACAACTTTCCATATTCACAACATTTGGATCTATTTATTTGGCATTTCCAATATTCATTTTCACGAAATTATTTCAAACAAAATGCAGCATATTCAGTTGGACATGAGCATGCTTTCAAGGTTCTCACAGTTCCATTCAAATCGGAGACATGGAATGAATTGGCGCTTGTGGATGCAGAGAGAGCCAATGAACGAGGAGCCAACACAGAAAACCTTGCCAATATTTCATCCTCAGATAACACATCTCGTCTTCCATTACCACCGACCGTTCGAATCACGCCAGTACCCATTTCAACTTTTCTCACTCGATTATTATCAGTATCTGCAATGAAAATTCCAAAACTTGTGGCAATGACACTTTGTGGATTGTTAAGAGTAGCATTGGTTGCAGCGCCATTGTCGCCTGAATATCCTTGATTTCCATTTCCTGCAATGGTGGTAATCACTCCAGAAGAGGATACTTTTCTGACACGGTGACCGTCTGGGAAGTATAATTCATTCGAGGAAGAAACAAACAGAGAAGGAACACTGGAAATTCGAGCACTGATAGCCAAACCTGAATCTCCACTGAAACCATTCACTCCATTTCCTACCACAGTAGAAATGACTCCTGAAGTGGCATTGATTCTACGAATTCGATAATTTCCAAAATCAACAATGAACACATCACCTGTGACACTATTCAATGCAAGTCCTCTTGGAAAGTTCAACTTGGCATTGGTCGCTGCTCCACCGTCGCCACTGTATCCTTGTAAACCAGTACCGGCAACTGTTGAAACAATTCCTGAAGTGGAAATTTTTCTCACCTTATGACTAGAAGTTTCGACAAACAAAATTTCTCCATTCTTCTTGACAACAACAGCTGTTGGACCATTGAGCTGAGTTTGTAAGGCAGAGTAGCCATCACCAAGAGCACCGTTTGGATTACCTGCAATGGTGGTGACTTGACCAGTCTTGGACACCTTTCTCAACAAGTTATTGGCAGTATCTGCCACGTAAATTTCACCATTGTATTCATAGAGAGACATGTCATAACTGAAGGTTGCTGATTTGGCACTCACTGCATTACCAAAATAGGAAGGTTCGAAATTTCCTGCCACATTGTACACCAAATTGTCTGCAGCATTCACTCTAGCCACTCTGTTATTGAAAGTATCACAGAAATACAAATCATTATTAGGAGCAAATGCGAGACCAAATGGTGAATTCAATTGAATTTCAGAAGTAGATGTTCCATCATTGACGTAACCATAATCGGCACCGGCAAATACAGACAAAGTGGTTCCAGAAGAAGAAGCTTTAAATATTCTACTGTAGGCGTTGTCTGAAATGAAGAGTTCACCAGTGGATGCTTTCAATGCAAGCCCAGTTGGATTTCCCATTTTGATACTACTCGTTGTTTGTTTTACATGAGTAGAAATGACACCACCTGACACTTTTCTGACAACAGCATTTCCAGAATCGGTAAAATATACAACACCTGAGGAAGTGACCACGACCGAGAAGGGATTATTCAAGGAAGCAGCAGTGGCTACACCACCATCACCGCTATATCCTTTTTTACCATTTCCTGCAACTGTTTTAAGTTTTCCATCGGTGCCAATCATTTTCACTTTACGATTTCCAGAATCTGTAAAGTAAATGACCTTACTGGAAGTAACAAAGATGGATTTTGGAAAATTGAGTAATGCACTGGTCGCTACGGTACCGTCTGGAGAATCACCTTTTGTGGTGGCTGATCCAGCTAACACGGTCAAAGCTCCATTAGTGGCGTTGACTTTGAAAATTTGAGTCATGCTTGAGGCATAAATTTCACCATTGTCAGCCACATGAACAGCATAGAAAGCAGTAGGAGTTGATCCAACGAGAGTTGAAACGACCTTACTTGGTGAGACTTTTCTAATTTTCTTGTGGTTGTAATCTGTGAAAAATACCTCATTGGTCAACTTGGAATAGGCAACGGAAATGGGTTGGTCCAAACTGGCCGAGACAGCAGAGAATGAATCACCCCAAGTGCGAACAGATCCTGCCACACGAGTTGAAAGGAAATTCAAATTGGTGGTATCTTGAGTAGTGGCAGGTACTCCTGGAATGCAACTCAAAATGGGCTGTGTTCCTTGAGCATGAATGAATGAGTGAGACACAACGAGCGACAAACAAAAGAGACTCACGAGTGTGAGTGCAAGAATGGTTTTCATGTTCCAATGATATTGGTTGATGATGATCTGTTTAGATGTTTTTTTTGGATGATGACTTATCACTGTGTGAATAACTGAACCTGTTTTAATTCAATTTCCATCCATATCACATACAGCGAGAGGTCATGATGCTTGCTTTTCACAACCATTGCATGACGAGGCATGTCCTCGAGTTATTATTAAAACACAAACACCTCGCGCGTACTTGAGAAATCATGGGAGACTTTCATTTGTAAAACAGACGTCATGAATCATTAATACAACGATCTTGAACACAAGATCTGCAAGCTCTGGAATATCCCGAGAACATTTTTCGCTTTGTTTTCAGATCTTGCTCAAGATCTCGTGATTCCAAATCTGTGATTGCCTTACACTTGGATTTTACAATTTTATCACCAATAGTAATTTTCTCTTTTAATGAACCAAAAGTCAATTTTCCAGCCCTGTTCTCCCAACACTTGCAGTTTAGCTCCCTTACATTAACACTTTTTCAATAATTAAACATTGATCTACCCATTGGACCAAGTACTTGTCGGAACTGTAAGCAGAACTCGTGAAAAAATTGTCCAAAAATTCGGCCTCACTCCGACACAATGGAAAATCGTGTCGTGCTGATGTTACTTTCGGATCTCAGCCCGACCACTATCATTGACGATCATCATGCTGTTTGCATGGAATTATTAAAAAAGAAATTTTCATTGCAACAACTCGGAAAGAGGAAATGGCTTGAAAATAGACAAGTAAAATTTGAAAATTTCCTTCCTGTTGAGTTTATGAATGACCGAGAATTTGTGTTGAATCATATCAAAAAGTACGGTTATGGATTAAAATTTGCATCCAATACACTAAGAAAAGACAGAAATTTTGTGTTGCAAGTAGTTGAACAACAAGGGTCAGAATTACCATTTGCAAGCAACACTATCCACAATGATCGTGAAGTGTTACTGGCAGCCATCAAACAACATCCCTATGCAGTGACGTTTGTACCAGATGAAATTCGAAAGGACAAATCATTTATGTTGCAAGTTGTAGGACTAAATGGACACGCTCTCGGGTTTTCTCGTGTTTATGCCATCAAGAAAGACCGAGATGTTGTGTTAACTGCTGTAAGGCAAAACGGTCTAGTATTGGATCGAGTTCTGGAGCCAGAAATGAAGAACGACAAGGAAATAATTTTAGAAGCGATCAAACAAAATAAGAAGGCACTTGAATTCGTGCCAAAAAATCGCCTCCAGGATCACGATTTCATGTTTCAACTTCTGAGAGTAATTTTTCCAGAGTATGAAACTTTAGGTTCTTTTAATCAAAATAGTTCAATCCTGGCTCAAGAACCCTACTCAATTTACTCAAACAAAGAAATAATGCTGAAATTAGTTCAAGAATTTTCATTCTTACTTGAATTTGCATCGAATGATCTCAAGAACGATCGAGATATTGTTTTAAACGCAGTTAGGAATGATCCTTGGTCCCTACGATTTGCCTCTGATAATTTAAAGAATGACCTAGAAATTGCCTCTCAGGCCATTCAAAACGGCTTTTCATTGAAATATGCTTCTCAAGAATTGCAGTCAAACAAAGATTTCGTTTTAACTGTTGTAAATCAATATGGACATGATCTTGAATTTGCATCTGATGAACTGAGGAATGATAAAGAGGTTGTTTTGAAAGCTGTCAGACAATATGGATATGCATTACAACATGCCTCGAAACAGATGAAGAGTGATAGAGAAGTGGTACTGACAGCTGTGACGCAACATGGTGGAGCTCTACACTATGTAGATGAAAATATGAAAAGTGATCATGAAATTGTATTGAAAGCCGTTCATCAAGATCATACAGCCATCCAGTATGTTTCCAAGAACTTGTTGTGTGATCAGCAATTCTTATTAGATGCGATTAAGGTTGGGGCTCGACATGCTTTCGGATATGCACCACAGAAGTATATTAATGACAAGCAATTTGTGTTAACAGCAATCAAACACAACAGCCTTGCTGTTACAGAGTCTACGTATTTCTATTTTAACTGGGATAAAGAGATCATGTTGGAAGCAGTGAGAAATAATGGATATGCATTAAGTGCGGCCAGTTATGACCTGCAACAAAATCAAGAACTTGTGACAGAAGCTCTCAGAAACAATGGTTACGTGACAACATACAGTGATGAATTATATCAAGAAAGAATGCAACGTTGCTATTATGGAGCTTATTTGGGAAAAAGTGAACGTTAAGAACAATATCACAAGATTGTTTTGTTGACAGACAGAACTACTACGATTGAATTTGACAAATTCAATCTCATGATGAAGTCAACAAGAAGCTGACCATGTCATCAAATTATGGAAATATTAATCAATTGAAGTATTTATTGATGTGATGCATCCATATCGACGCAACCACATGTTGTAGTTATCAATTTTCATATTTCGTAACAGTGAATCCATTATACAACACGAAACAATATTCAGCCCTTACATTTTAAAATTGATGGAGCATATTCAATAAGCAATGTCCTCTTCATTAGCCTTTTTCAACTGAAACGCCAATAGACTATCCGAAAAATTTGGGCAGTGATTAATTCAAGCTTGTCACTGTCATCATTGAGCTACAAAGATGGGCTATTGGTTTCTAGGTATGTCTTTAAATGAGTCGTAAAAGTTGACACATTCTTTAACATGAGCAATAAAGTATCGTCCAATGAAAAGAGTAAAACATTAAGGTTCGTGTTTGAAGAGCAAAACGCTCGAATGTCTTCTGCAACTTGTTTTGTAATTGTTTCTAGGTCTTGCAAAGGGCCACTTGTCAACAATTCAAACGTCAAACTTGCACGCTCATAAGTATAACATGAACGTAAAGGATATTTAAATCACGTTTCAAATATCAATATTCAAATCTAAGAACCATATTAAGAGGTTATGGAAGAAATGATGGGGAAGTGTGTGTCCACCACTCCCTGCAGAATTATTACTTAAATCAAGGTAAGTCAATTTTCTGAAATTATCAGTCCTTGAAAGATGGAACACTCCTTCCCTGCTAATATTAGTGCCGTTGATGAAACAAGTTGGACGAGCTTATAGGTGCAAACAAAAGAGTCTAACATGATCCTAAAACAAAGAAAAGGAAGAAATGCTAGTTTTGCAGCGGCTTTTGTTTAATCCTTGAAATAAAAAATTCAGCCTGCTCTTTGTCTTCCGCTGACAAGGGATTGTCTACTATTTTTTGAAACATGTCCAATAAAAACTCTGTCACTCTTTCCACCTTCTCGGATGCTGTGGTTGATGGTGTGGTTGGTGGATCTGTGTTGGTTTCCTTTTGTGTTGGGCTGTCATTAGCGCATTGCTCGAATCCTCTCTTGTATGATTTGAAGCTAGGTTTTGCTGAAGAAGATTTTTCAGTGTGCTTTGATTTTTTGGCACGCTTTATGCGCTTTTTGTGGTTGAGCGACGCGTTGTCGTTCCTGCGAAGAGCGTTGGAGCCTGATGGCGGCCCATCAAGTGGTGCTGTTGTGCTCATTTTTGGGGTTGGTTGTGGGTTGAATTTTTTTTGTAAAATTGGTTGCGTCGCTTCAAAATTGTTGGACGTTAAAAATAGTATTTTGACCAGATAGAAAAAGCTTCGTGAGTTCGTCAACGTCGCCAAGAACGGTTGGGTATTGGCTGGTTGCTCACGCTTTGGCTCACCTCCCTGATGGATGAAGAGTTAGTTCGTTTATTATTCCTTGCTTGTTTGACTTGCTCTATTTGCATTTTAATTAAATCCTTCTGATTGAAAGAGGTGTTGGTGTCGATTTCATTTCCATGGAGGAGGGCGCTGATGGATTTCGAACGAATGGATGTCCATGCAGATTGTGTTGAATGATTGAATGATCCTCGAGAATGTTCACTATTGGATGTCATCACTGTTTGGAAATTCCAATTGGTACATGAACTTGTTTCTGGCATAGAATTTCAATCTGAACAGATGGTCTATCTAACCCAGTAGTAGCAGTTGGAATCTGACTGGCTCCTTGCCTTGGATTTTCGAGATTCCAATTGGTAGTAGTAGTGACGTTTGTTTTTCTTGATTGTTGCAACGTTTGATTTCGTTTTCCAATATAAATAACCAAAAATGGTAATCAATTAATAAAATAATACCACCTATTGAGCCACCAGCAACAATTCCAGTGATCGCTCCGGGACTCAATTCAGATTCTTTCTTTTTCTCTGCTTCTGATGACCTCATACATTGGGATTGATAACAGACATATCCTCGAGAGTAACAAAAATAATCTCGAGAGGAGCAAGTTGGACCTGTTTGGCAACGTTGAGCAAGAGTGGGACATTCAAAGGTAGAACAGACTCCTCTCACTCATCACAATACTCCTCACGATCAAAACAAAACTCATCTACGAAATCCTAGTCTCACATAATACTTTAACAACAAACATTGAAAAAAAATGCAACTCGATGAACAGCCTCGTACCGAATCGGAACAAGAATCCAATGATCGTTTGAAAATCTTAAAACAAAGAAATATTTCATTTCTTGCTGGAATTGTATTGCGGATGATTGTCATTGTGTATAGCTTGTGGCATGACAGGAATTGTAGGTATTGAAAAGATGATGAAAAAATTGATGAATGAAAAATTGATAATGTTCATGAATAATGTTCGGAAATGTATAATGATGCTTATGGAATTTAAAATCAATAATATATATATTGGAATGAAAATATAATCATGAATGATTTGATTACAAACCATGATGATGGACGATCACAAAAAATTGAAAGTTATGGTCAAGTATACAGATGTAGATTATCAAGTTTTTACAGATGCTGCAGAATTTGTGGTGAATGGAGAATCGCCCTTTAAAAGAGGAACCTATCGTTATACTCCATTATTGTAAGTGTGAAATGTCCTATTCCAAAAAATGAAATGAAATTTTGAACATGTCACTACCATTCATGGAAATATTACAATGACATTCTGAAAATGTTTCACAAAAACAATAGGAGCTACATCATGATTCCAAACATTTTAATTCATCCAATCATGGGGAAACTATTATTTTGTTTGGTAGATTTACTTGTTGCATGGCTTGTTTACGAATTGTTAAACATGAATTTTAACAAATTTTACCTCAAAGAGAATAAGGACAACAATATTAGTCTCATTCTTACCAATGCAACAATTCTCTTCAATCCAATACTAGTGAATGTATCTACTCGAGGCAATGCCGACCAATGCATTGTTTTATTGGTACTACTTTCGCTCTATTCATTCCAGAAACGACAACTCGTGCGATCAAGTATTTGGTTTGGTCTCGCTGTTCACTTTAAAATTTATCCTATCATTTATCTTCCAACCATTTTGATATACATTTATTTTTACATGGATTTTACATCAGTCACAGAGAAAATCAAAGCATGTGTTTGGTATTGCTTATTGAGTGGAGGAACATGCTTGGCACTGATTGCACTGTTTTACCAATTTTATGGATATCAATTTCTATACGAGTCGTATCTGTACCATGTCGTGAGGAGTGACAATCGACACAATTTTTCAATTTATTTCTATTATTTATATTTGGATGGAGCATTGATTGAGAAGAGTTCAAAAATTATTTCTCTACTGGCATTTCTCCCTCAATTCCTCTCTCTATTGGCTCTCTCATGGAATACGACACGAAAGAATTTTTTTTGTACGATTTTCTCTCAAACATTCCTATTTGTCATGTTTAACAAAGTGTGCACTGTACAATATTTTGTTTGGTTCATTTCCATATTTGGATTCACATTACAGAGTTACTTTTATGACAAGATGAAAAACAACACAACGCGCTTCTCTCTTTTCGTTCTGTTCACATGGATTGCCTTGTGGTTTGTTGGGCAAGGAGTTTGGCTCTCAACAGCCTATCGATTGGAATTTTTAGGAGAAAATACGTTTCGAGAAATTTGGATGAGCAGTCTTCTGTTTTTCATCATTAATACTGGAATAGCTCTGTATTTTAGACCTCTTTAATTTAATTTTATTGATTTTGCTCAAGAAGTAGTAGACTTCATAATTGGCCCAATAGCGATTCAAGGGAGCTGAATATGGCATTCGTTGGATTGTGTGGTAAACATTTCGCGTAATAAGGCCCTAATGGACTTGGCGAGTTGATCCTGCTCATTGTAAAGGAGGTCCATTTCTTGTTGGAGATTGATAATAACCTCCTTTTCTCTAGTTTCATCCCAGTTCGTGTTTTCTTGCGTCTGGGTGAAACTTGTAGATTTAAGGAGCTTAAACTCGGTGCATCATTCGATATTTTTTTCTTTTTAAATTCTTGGATACAAGGAGTAAGATCAGCTTGCGATTCATGATGAGGACGAATCATCATCTGAATTCATTTCCATTATATCCACCCTTATTTTTTTTCCAACAGGATTTAAAACGCAAGTCGATAAACACATAGATACAATTACAAATATTTTCATCTATTTATCATCTTTATTTCGATAGACACGGACACGAATTTACATTGTACAAGCAAAATCATATTAAAGTCAATATCGTCAATACAAATGTTCGGTGGTGGGCAATGATGGTGGCACAGAGTATGACTCTGTCCACAATCTGAAAAGTGTCATTTCAACCTTGTCAGAATTTTAAGGTAGCAAAGAGTTGTCTCTCATAGTGAGTTAGCATCGGATAAATGCCTCATCTTGTTTTCTTCATCATTTGAAGGTTTTATGAGCTCTTTTCAGAATGTGGACCAGATGTTCAGCCATTGTTCCTGACTCGGTAATCATCATTGCCCACCACCAGTGATTACACTAGTGATACTTTACCTCTGTTGGATATTGGACAACCTGGATGAGGATAAAAGTACAAGAATGTCAATAAAATGTTGTTCGGGGTGGTCATGATGAAGACTGGAGGAGAAAATGATACAAAAACCATGACAAGATTGGTTCGGAGCAGGTTAAACGACTTGAATCATCATCACTTTCAAAGTTTTTCTCTGTTATAATCAGCCAATAAAAGCCAAATGTAATTTTTGTCTGCACATTATCAGTCAGACTCGTCATTTACTTCGTCATCATTTGAAAGAAGAGAAAAAGCCAAGATTGCAATGTTGATTCAAGAGTTATGACCCGACTGTCCTTTCCAAACCTTGTCCAATTCTTGCACGAATTCGCCAGCCACTTCTGACCACCCCACAAAACCTCTGATACATACCACACTCAATTCTACTGCAAGCAGAGCATCTCTGAATATTTTTTTGAGTTGTTCGAGTTGTCTGGCAAACCTAGTGTTAAACAATTTACAATCAATTTAATGCGTTCATCAAAATTGTTGAAAGGATGAACATTACGCGGTGAAGGCAACGTACAACAGAAAGTGAAGTTTTCATGGACAGAAAGAGAGGAGTTCCATTTGGAACGAGTCATGGTGGACCAAGTCAACAACATCATCCATTTGGGTACAAAATTCAAATGATGATATCTCGTGTATACGATATTATGAATATTGAATTTGATATTTTACTTTGAACAAGTGTAGAGCCAACTATTTGTTATCCTCTCCGATATTATTTGATGTGTTGAGTTGTTGTGCAACATTTTGCGTAAATTATCGTTGCATTTATGAAAATTCATCATCATGAGGTTGTTATTGATATCCATGAATTTGATGAGAATTTGACTGCTCGTATGAAATATTGAATTATTATTCAATTTAATAATTTTCGCCAGGCTTCTTAAACATTTGAGAGAAGAGAGCGAGAAGCTCTGGATCCGATCTCAATTTCATCAGCTCCTCAGTTGTTTTTCTCTCCAAATCCTCTTTAGCTAAATTACATGCACTCACTACAAGATCTTCAATAGTCTCCAAACTCTTTCCCGATAATTTATCATCAAGCTCCAATTTTTCAATTTTTCCGTGTCCAGTCATGACCACACGAACCAATCCGCCAGCTTCTCCTTGTCCTCTTAGTGCAGTGAGTTTTTCACCGATTTTTCCCATCCGACTTGTTTGGAATAAGTGAAAAAATTTACTAATGTTTCCTGGATTGAACATTTTTTTCGTTTTTGATGGTGATGAACAAGATGTGAAGGCAAATACGAATGCAATAGACTCTCCCTTCACAGCACTACATTTGAATCGACATCATGTCATCTTTTACCGGGCAGATGAAGATGTGGATACGATTTTTCATTTCATCCCTTTTCAATCGGCAATGAATGTAAAATTTCCCTTCCATTGTAAACTCTCATATTAGGTTGACCTGTAAATTTTAAAAAAGTTGTTGAAAAAAAATACGTCAAAACACCCTATCCATCATCTCCAATGGCCAAAGAGACTCAAACTCAAACCAAGTTTTTGAAACCAGGTAAAATCGTCATTATTTTGCAAGGTAGATATGCTGGTAGAAAGGCTGTGATCGTCAAGAACTTTGATGAGGCCGCTAACGACAAGACCTTCCCTCACGCTGTTGTTGTCGGTATTGATCAATATCCAAAGCCAGTCACTAAATCCATGTCTTTGACTTCACTCAAGAAGAGAAGCAAGCTCACTGTTTTCATCAAGGCTGTCAACTACCAACACTTGATGCCAACAAGACACACATTGGATATGGACTTTAAGGGATTGGTTGCTGATAAGACACCAGAAGATCCAACACAAAAGAAGGAAGCAAAGAGACAAATCAAGAAGAAGTTTGAAGCAAGATACCTCAAGGGTGGTAAGGCCATGAAGGAATTCTTCTCTCCATTGAAGTTCTAAACGCACCAACAATAAATAATATTATATTAAAATTCTTTTGGCGAGGTGTTGGTTCTTTTCCGATATTTCGAACAACATTCAAAATTCACGAGGGTTGTTGAAATTTTTAACTCTCAGCAGGTTTACGTGGTTTGTGAACCACCATTTAATGTTAATAATTCTCACTTTATTGCAATGGAATTGAAACCCTCAATACATTTGAAATCTTGCCAAGTATTGATTAAGCATGGCTTCACTCGTAATTCTATATCCAAAATCTAATTCATACACCGAGAATTGGCTTGGATCTTTCTTAGCTCCAAAGCTTGAATCTCGTCCCATAATTTTAATGCAATACGAATCAATGTGGAAAATGAAAAAATCGCTCAAATTCAAGCCATAACCCTTCTCTAACATGGACACAATTCGTTGTGGATTGCCATTCAATCGACTAATGATTGCTCTAATGTTTGGTGTCGATGCAAGAGGATCTGGAAGAACCTGATCAGTTAAATGATCCAAACTTTCCACTTGTTTCATTTCATTTCCAACTTCCACATGGAACGCCGATTTCACAACCTTAATTTTGAAAATTCTTGCATTCTTCTTTTTCATTTGTACTGACACATTGGGATGCATTCTGAATTGTTCTGTCCAAATTTGATGAAAAGCATTCGAGTCTTCAGGAATGTATTCGAGTGTGCAAGACAAGACAGCACGAGGGGGAAATCTTTCAATTTTCCTAAACATGGATGAAATTGCTTGATCCGTGTGTCCAGTGGCCACGCTAACCATTGCGCTCTCATCAGCATTGAGTTTCCTTCTGAGTTGAAATGGCTCTGGGCAATGAGACAAATTCTTTAAATGTTCACTTGATTCTGGCATGCATAGATACAAGTCCCAATTTTTGAGAATATTTCCATCGTCATCAAATCCATAAAAATCCAAATCTTCATAATATTTAATTCCTTCAAGTGGATCCGCACCTTGTGGAGAGACTTTCTTTTTTGATTTGAATTCTTCCAAATAAATATTTGAGACTTGTTTTTTAACAACGGCCATCGGAAGCACAGACGTCTTGACGTGGTCCAAACTTTCGGTTTCTGCGCCTCCAAATGTTGAGAGTTGGCAACTATTGTTTGAATGAAACAGGTCGACAATCTTTTGTGCTACATCTTTGGAGTGTTTTTCATATTGCGTTTTATAATCACTGTTTGGATTATTGCTGCTCACACTCGGATTTGATGATAAAGTATTTGACGATTTCATTGCAGCAGAATGTGATTTAACTCGGAGGCAAGTTGTATTCAATAACAATGGTGTATTTCCGCTCAATGATGATGATGATAAATATTTATCCAAACCATGTCCGTTCTTACTTTTCTTCAGAATGCTAATGTAACGTCTTGCACAAGTTTTCATTTTTTTTTTATTAAAAATTATTTAACAAAACTATGACAATTTTAATTAGTTCTTCAATAATATTTCAAACATTCATAGTATTTCTTACAACTTCATCATGTTAAGGAATTGATGGACAAACGATGGTGGCTATTGTTGAGAGAACGAGTTTAAAACTTGACCATTGTTAAATGTTTCAAATGTTCACTATTCTTAATAACATTCATACCATGAGAGCCAATACCATTTCCATTCAAATCTAGAAACGTTAGCTTGGTCAAGTATGGACTATTCGCAATAGATTGAGCTCCTTCTGAGAATATTTGATTGGAACTCAAGCTTAATGATTTTAAATTGTTCATGTATGGACTGTTGGCAATGTGATGGACACCTTTTGAGCCAATTCTATTGCAAGATAAATCTAATAAAGTGAAGTGTTGGGAATTTTCACTTTCAGCCATGAATTTGATTCCTTCTAAACCAATTCCATTGGTATTCAAGTTTAAACAAGTTAAATGCTTCAGATATTGGCTAGTTGCAATAAAGTAAGCTCCTTCCGATTCAATTTCATTGTCATTTAAATCTAACAATGTTAAATGTTTTAAATTTTCGCTTTCTGCCATCGATTTGACACCTTTGGAATCAATTTGATTGTGAACAGAATGTAGTGAAGTTAAATTCTTCAACGTGTCACTATTAGCAATAAATTGGATACCGTTTGAACCAATTCGATTTCGAGATATATCCAAACTTGTCAAGCTCATCAAATTTTGACTATTTGCCAAAAAGAAAGCACCCTCTGATTCCATACAAGTGCCACACAAATTCAGTGTGGTTAAATTCTTCAAGTATGGACTATTTGCAATATAATGAACTCCTTTTGAACCAAGTTCATTATGTTTCAAATCCAACCATGTTAAATTTTGTAAATTTTCACTATTTGCAATGGAATAAGCTCCTTCTTCATCAATTTGATTGAACGACAAGTTTAAAGAAATTAAATGTTTCAAGTTTGAACTATTTGCAATAGAAGCAGCACCTATAGAACCAATAGTGTTGAGTGAAACATCTAACAATGTGAGATTCTTTACATTTTCACTCTTCACAATCCATGTAGCACCATCCGACTCCATTTGATTATAATTTAATTGTAAGCAAGTTAAATTTCTCAAATGTTCACTGTTGGCAATGAATTTGACACTTTTTGCACCCATTCGATTGTACGAAAAAGTTAGGGATGTTAAATTTTTCAAACATTCACTTTTCGAAATTCGTTCCACAAGATTTGAATTCACATTCTCTGATTTGCGAAATGAGTGTTCATCCGTGGTGGCACCAAACTTTAAGGTTAATGGAATTTTGAATGAAATTTCTCTCCATGATTTTGATATTCTCATACACGTTCCGATGATGGTGATGGAATCTAGAAAGTGAAGAATTTCATAAATAATATCATCAACAAAAGGTAATTCAGTGGTGTGATAGTAATGAGTATTTGTTGTTGTTGACAACGTTTGTAACATGATGATGGCATTTGTTTAGGAATTTTTTTCAACAACTTTGAAATTGAATTTGGGAGATCCATGGTTTTGCAAGTCTCCATTCCAACATGATGATCGAGAATAAAATGTATTTTGAATTAAAACGAGGAAATTGTTGAGATGTGTTTTATGAACAACAGCAAACTCATTACTTTTTGAAAAGGTCCAATAAATGTTCAATGGTTCGTTTTGAAGATGTAGTGGAACTTTGGTCACCAAGTTTCACTTCATCCAATTCCAATAATTCACTATCAGAGTCCACTTGTGGAATGGGTGAATAGGTAATAATAGAAGATTTGCTTCTCTTTTCTCTCGTTTGAAAAGTAGTCGAGTTCACACTACTACCAATTGGTGGCTGTCCAATGCTTTCCTGATTTCGTTTTTCCAATTTTAAGGAATTTCTCTTCCAAGTCGATCCATAATTTTTGTTCGTGTCGTTTCTGTGTGTTAAATATTCATGTTCATGAATAAGCTTCACAAGAGTGGTGTCAATTCGATAAAAGTGATGGTCGCTCAACATGTCGTCAAATGTTTTTCCTCCCAAATAAAATACTTGTTTCGTTTCTTGACAATACACACTCGATAATCCAACAAGTTTTGGCATGTGAGATCCAAAGAAGAATTCTGTCAAGCTGTACCATTTCATCTCTTTCACATTGAGCATGTAGACATGAGGATCATAATCCGAATTGTGAACAACGTCACAACCTCCCGTGAGAATTAAATTACAAGATCCAATTGGACACATGGTGTGAGAGGCCCTTGCTCTAGGAACAAATGTATTTTCTGAGGCCATTCGTGGTCTTCGCCATTCCATAGTGTCCATATCCAACACAAATAACATGTTGGAAGGTTGATGATGTTCCATTTCCTCATTTGCAAAAAGTCCTCCAAAAACAAAAACTTCATTTTCAATTAAATTTGCTGAAAAGCAACAAAAACGTTCTGGTTTTTGAATGTGACATTCATTTTGGTTCGAATCATGAACCACGGCATTGAAATGTCTTGAAGATTCTTCCATGTAATCAGAACATTCGGCACAAGTGGTCTCAATGATTTTCCATGTATTTGACTCGATGGTATATTCATACAATGTGGAAAAATAAAGAGAACGACCTTGACATCCTCCTACGAGGTACAACTTTCCATTGTAATACCACATTTGAGCTCCAGCTAGTTGTAAAATGCAATCACATGTTGAACAGTTGCAATTCCAAATGAAATAGTTTTTGAAAAATACAAATTCCATTTTCCGCAATTATTTTCACTTCACAATCATTTAAAAACACTCACCTCTTGGATCGGGCCACAATCCATTAGGGTTATTTTCAATATGTATCCATTCGTTTGTTTCCGTGTCAAAATAATACAATCCATTGTAAACAACATGAGTAGGTGGAGAAGAGTGATCATGATGATGAACATGAGATGGATTTTCAGAATTTGTTGGTGAAGAGGAATATCCTCCAAAGACGTAAATTTTCTTTCCCACTACACATGAGGCAGCCATAGATCGAGGAGTGGGAGCATTTCCTTTAGGATGTTCGAGACATGTCCAATTTTGGTTAATCAAGTCAAAGATGAAGACAGAGTTGGGATTTGCTTTGGAATTCCTTTGACCGAGAAGGACGTAGCACTGAGGTGTGTATCAATCGAAAGAGATCATGTGTTTTTGAAAGATTTTTAGAATATTGACAGTTCTTTACAATTACCAAATTAGTCCCTCAAAAAGGTACATACGTTGGAACCAATAACCTCCATGACGTGATAGCAAATACCTCCTGGACCGCTGCCAGTTGCCTCTACTTGAAATATCTTCATTTTTTTATGGTTTGATTTTCTCTTGACCAAATTTGTTTTTGACGATTTCGTTTGGACACCTCTTGAAATGTTTTACAGAACTTCCACAAATTTTAACGCATATCTGTTCTTTATTTTGACACACAAAAAGAAATCAAGTATTTGAGGTCCGTGAGAACATATTTGCAGGCTCGTGTCCAATTTTCATCATTGCCAAGCTTGATGCTCTTTCCTCCAATCTTGTCATCAGTAATTCTGTCACATGTTCAATTAGAAAAAAGCAAAATAATGAAAAAATTATTATACGATGAAATCAGGTCAAGGATCACGCATTACTTACTTGTAGGGCAATTCAAAATAGGTGTCTTGCTTTTCAGCAAATGTACCAATCTCTTTTAGACAATATAAAAATGCAACCATGGCCTTATCGAACTTGGATTGCCAAAATAAACCTCCGTTACTTCCTCCTCCAAATAAATCATAACTATTCTTATTGTCCAGAGTCTCAATTTTTGAAAAGCTTCCCATAGGAATAATCTTATATTTTGAAAATGCAAAATGTTTGTGTTTGGAAAGCGAGAATAGTAATAAAGCTGCTTGTCCCCAAGCTGCATTAATTTCGTTCCATTCCACATTTTGAGTCGACAGTTTTCCCAGCCTAAAGTTGTTAATGGTTCCAAAGTGACCTTCATACCAAATGTGAAATGCATCGTTGAAAATGTTTGTACTGTTCAACTTTTCCATTTCTTTTGAAACGTGAACAATTCGTTGTTGTACTGCTTCTCGCTCCTCATTGTAAAGTAAGAGTTCATTGTGAAAATCATTGTACTCTTTCCAATATCGTTGTTGAAGGTCTGAAAATTGCTCTTCCTTGCTCATTTGACTCCTCTCGAGGGTTGACAAGTCTTCTTCCTGTCTTTGAAGCATGTCTAACTCTAATCGAAGCAGTTTTTCCTCTTCTTCCAATTGATGCAATTCATTTTCCAAATCAGTTTCACTTTCATTTCGTCGATTATCGTGTAAAAGTTTTGAATAGTGATCTTGATAAATGTTCTCTTCTTCCTTGCTCTTTTCAAGCTGAATATTCAACTGGCTAGCAACTTGCTCCATGCATTCCATACAAAGAGGTGTATCTATTTGTACAGTATTTGACACATATTGGTACAACTGTTTTACAAACTCTACATTCATTTCATATTCCTCATTCGAAATTACACAAGGCTCTAATTGCTCTACCTCTTCTGTTAATTGTGTCATCCGCTGTTGAAATTTCAATTGTTGCTCTTCTTTTTGTTTCTCCAGTTGGAGTTGTTTTTGTTGAGCTTCCTTTTTTTTTGCATTGGGATTAAATGAAAATCTCTTCTTGTCTTGTTTTTCTTGTTGTGACAACTTGGATGTTGGAGTTTTGATATTTGCAAATGATTCACGGAAAAGGGGATTCATGTCAAGTGGTGATTTCTTGGTTGGTGCAGTTGGAGGAAGAGCAAACGTAACTGCTCTTGTGTGTGGAGTGGAAGGTTGTTGTGAGGTAGAAGAAGAATTATTTTCACTTGACATGCTTGATAGCTCTGATAAATTACTGGTATTCACCGATAAGAGTGGTGATTCTGGTGGAGTGTGTTGGCTCATAATATTATTGTTGTTCGCTTCATTCATCAGATTGCTATTGCTATTCAAAAATGATGAAGAAGGATCCAATGAAGATGACACTGCTGGCGATGAAACAGTCTCTTTATGAACGCTCTCGGTTGCTGCCAGTGCTACTGAGCTTGCTTCATTAGTGTCAACAGAAGATGGTGGGACCCCTTCCGTATTGTTGCTGCCACTGGTAGAAGTACCATCATTGTCGGAATATAGTGATAAATTATAATTATTGGGATCGTAGACTTTTAAAAGTGCTTGTTTTGGTGCTACACCACTTTCATTATTGACTTCAAATGCAATCTGAATAATCTGATGTTTACATCGGTAACAAACAGCACTGTGCGTAGCCTTTTTATATTTTGGGAAATATAACATTTCAGATAATTGTTGTACATCATCGACCGATAATTGGGGAGTCTCCGATGACAATGAATTTAATAAATGTTGATGATGAGGAGGGAGAGGTGTGTGAGCATAATAATAACTGAGAGCAGTGGTCGCTTGCGTGAGATTATTGGATGCTGTTGTTGTGGTGGTGGAAGTGGTTGTCGGTGGCGGATGATGAGCATTCGTACCCGATGAAGAGGATTGTTGAGTTTTGAGAGCCGAAAGATTGGGAACCGACTTGGTAGATGCAAGCGAACCCTTTGGTTTGAACATTTTTTTCTCTGATGTGATCTTATGGTCAATATCTCATAAGGGACTGCTCGTTGGTTCCTCATCAAATGATCGTGTAGTAGTTCGTGATTATTCTTGTTGTCCTATACTCCTGAATGTATACAGAGAACGTTTATTTGACAGACCACAAAAAAACAAAAAAAATGTCCAAGCTCACTGACAAGCAGTTGGAAGAATTGCTCAAGGAACGAATCGGAGCCACGTTTGTGCAAGTCATCGATCAAAGGTAATAATATTCAAAATTTCAAATTTAGATTGTTGTTGATGATGATGATGAAATTGAATCGGTATATAATGGAAATATAATTTTAATTGGATTAACTTGAAAAATAATAATTTTTCATGTGTTGAACATGTCATGGTTTCTAAAACAAATTCGCATATTGAAAAAACGATCAATCCAAATTTCAAACTTTATGGCTTAAATAATATTTTCATATATACATGGTGAAAATAAATTAAATAATGACTGTGTGAGCAGTGGAGGTTGTGGAAGTGCATTTCAAGTGTTTGTAGTGAGTCCAGAATTTCAAGATAAAAAGCTGCTTGAAAGACAGAGACTTGTGATGAATAAGCTTCAAGAAGAAATGAAAGGAATCCATGCCTTGTCTTTTTCAAAATGCCTAACACCACAGCAATATGAGGAATATCTCAAACAGCAGCAACCTCAGCAACAATAAATACGGTTTCATAAAAAGAATTGAAAAGGAAAAGTGGCATTAGAGTAAATATGGAATTATTGGCATATTTCCAAAAAATATTTCCTGACAGCATATTGTCCTCTCAGAAATTGGATTGTCATTGAAGGATTTGAGCTATTCATTGTTATTTGTGCTGCCCTCCTTCAATGAGTTCTTTAAATCGTCATGATTCGTACCAATTTGGTTGGACTATTGTGCTGAAGCTACTATTAAAAGGTTACAAGTCAACCCTAAATTTGAGAACGTTTCTAACGTCCTCCAAATGTCTCAATGCTTCCAATAAAGGAAGCAAGTTAAGCAATGCTCTATCATGTTCATTCTCGCCCATCCAATTCGATATTGGTATTGCATTTTCTTGATACCACATGTAGGATATAGGGCTGTTGTCAACAATCATACATTTAGCGAGATTATCCGTGACAGTTTTAAGATCCTTGATATAAACTCCATGTTCTGTTACGTAACACGACTATGTATATTGTTTGTCCACAACACATTGTTTGCGAGTAATATTGTTGTCAAGTTGTCACCCATGTTCGTAAATGATAATTTTGTACGAATATTTTGACCATTGTAAAATCATGAAAATTGTATTGATTTGCGTCGTTTGCCACCAGCATTGTTTAACATGTACCATATCGTTTTCCAATTAATATTAGATAACAACAATATTTTGAAAATAAACCTACCGATCGGAAGAGCCGGTCAACAATTTTATCCGAATGATAGAGTCTATCAATAACGGGATTGGCATAACTTTTCACACTTGCAGTAAATACTGTTCCAAGTGATTGTGAATAAGTTAGTTAATTTCAATTCCATTCGTATTGTTTCGTGTGTGTAAACAATCTTTTTTCATTGCTCACAATTACTTACTCACAACATTGTACCATTCACAGACTTTTTCCATGAAGAGCTTCAAATGAGGTCTTTCCGAAACGTAAAATGTACAATTTACCTGGTCAATCAATACTTCCAGGACATAATTATAAAGCCTCTCATGGTCTGGTCTTGGAGGGGTGGTACTGGCATGAATGAGTGTCTCATCCAAGTCAAGAATTAAATAAGGTTTGGGAAGTGAAGGGTTGCAGGCACTCGAGTTTGATCTACTTGTTCGGCCAGAGAGAAGAGAAAGAAATTCGAAAGGAGAGGATTGGGAGGTAGACGAAGATGTCGACATTGACAATTCAGTAGACGGCGAAGATGAGTTGGTAGTGCTTTGTTTGTGTGGAAGAGAATCTCGTTGTTGGTGTTTGGTTGTGACCTGGGAGAGAGAAGATGATAAAGTCGTCCTAGATTGTGTGCCACTTTTAGAACGTTCTCTATTCTTCTGTGTGCTAACACCTAAAACTGCACACTGTAAATAGCTCCAAATCCAAACAATAAAGTACCACATATTTTCCAAAGCAACTCCCAAAACTGTAATGAATTGATATCCAATATTATAGATAGAGGAAACTTGTTGTTCTTTGGATGTTTCTTTTGTATCCTCTGTTGAGGATGAAGATGTGCTTGTCAATACTTTGTTCGTGACATTGTTTTGTTGGATGGATGCTCCATACGGCAGTGATTCGTTCAAGGAAGAATTTTCGGAGGTTTGTTGTATTGGTTGTTTCGAAAGGATGGTAGTGGTTGAAGGATTGTAATTTTCCGATGATGATGATGAAATATTCGGAATCATCATCAGGGCAGCAGTAGACCCCATCATGGATGCTGTTGTTGATGCCGAGGCTGTTGATGTGGTTGTTGTAGTAGTAGGCGAAGTACTCGCAGAAATCAACGAGGAAGAAGCACCTCCTCTTCCACCCGTTCCACCATAAATCATCATGTTGTTGCTATGGTTGCCAGGAGTACTTCAAGCTCGAATCTCTCACGCGGAAACGTGATGACGAACGATTCCTCGTTTTAATAAATTTTGAGAGTGGTTACCGTTATTCGGTCAGCTTTTGACGACTGGGTTTATTTTTTTGGGCGATTCTCTCTTATGGGGCAGTATATCAAACATGGATATTAAGGAAGTCGCTTCCATCTTCTTCAATTGTACTTTCACATCATCATTCTTTAAGTGACGACCTACCTTCCACGACAAAATTTTACAAGATAACTCAACAAGAACAAAAAACCACCTGGATTTTCAAAAGGTCGTCCTGACATGCACATGAACGATGCAAGAAAAGAAAGTCAATTGTGTACCTTCTCAAAACAAGACACATGTCTTGTTCGAATTAGAAAAAATCTTGGAACAGAAAGTCACTTGACAACTCAAGCGTCTTTGGAATCAAGAAAATTGCCTTTCAAAAAATGCCTCGAGAAGTGTTTTCGTTCCAGCAACTCTTCTCATCATCCGAACAACCTTTATCGAAAATACCACACCAATTATCAACATTTGCATCATCATCATCATGGCTGGTGGAGTATATTGTGAATCAATGGAATGATCTTCAACAGCAACTATTGATGCCAACATTCGTGGAAGACCACTCGGCAAAAAATCTTTTTCGTTCCGATAGGGTGCTCATGAACTCGGATTCTGTGAGCCTTGGCAAAGTAATTTCATCAAAATTGGATCAAGCTAGCGCAACTTCTCGCAATTCGACCATTACTGCAACGAAAGCAATTGTGAACATTTCAATTTGGGGAGTGGAAGATTTATTATTTTTAATAATTTCTCTAGTGGCCCTGATTTTAATTTTACGATTACTGTATTTCAAGAGAAATAGCAGAAATTCGGGACAACATAGCATTCCATCATCACCACCAACAACAGCTATCAACGAAAATCCTGCATTAATTGGAGCAACAACAAAACCCAGCCCTTCTGAGATAATGTCCAAAACTACCTCAAAGGTTGTACACGCTTCTCACGCTAACAGCAGGGAGAGTTATTTCTTTCCACATAGCTATGCCCTATTCATCAATATTATTCTACTATGCTTATCGTATTGTACCATCCTAACATTACAATGTGTATACATGGGACAAGAGGCATACAATATTTTCAATGAGAAAAATAAGCACAGTAATGAAGCCATTCTCTCCATAGAAAGTACTGTGAGAGGACTATTTTCTGTTGTGTTCGTTTTCCAGAGAACTTTGAGCCTTAATTACTTTTTCATCCTCTACAGTTATGGACACAAAAAAGTAATTCACAAAATTGTTTTCGGATCATTACTAATTTTATCATTCATTGACATCATTCTGAACACTGTGTCTCATATTTTAAAAATCCTAATGACTTATTACGATATTCGATTTGCTGGGCAGGACACAAAATATATTGAACAACTCATGATTCTCATTTCAGCATCATTTTCCATCTTCATGTCACTCAGTATTGCTGCTCTTTCACTAATTTATGGCATGTTCCAGAACCATTCTTTGAGAAAATGTAAAATAAGAATACTATTGTTCATTTTCATGCATCAATTTGTGTGGGTGATTTATGAAACATATAGGATCATTTCACAGTTCGATATTTTATTTGGAATCCAATTAGTGTCATGGGCTGACCTTATTATGCAATGCATCCTTTTCTTCTTGATGATTATTTACTTGCTATTTGTTGTCATTACGATTGGAGTTTTTAACCGAGTGCATAATCATGTTCTCATTCATGATGAATGGATGGCTCTTGTGGAGGACGAGGAAGATGGCGAACCAACCATATTCGATTTTCAATCAAAATCTCGTGCTATTCAAAGCAATTCAAGATCACATTTATTCGATCAAGTTCCAACACATTCACTTTCTCCTACTCGATCATTCCTTAATGATACCAGCGAGGGTACCTATGGAGCGATGGGTTATGGAAGTTTGACTTTGGGTACGAGAAAAGCAACACCAAACACGAGTTTAGGGCTTGAAAGTTCTGCCTATTCCACCAAACCAACACAACCATCAAATAGTGCTCGTGTGAACGTGTCACATAGGTCTGAGAATGTTCCCATACTTAAAGAAGAACCACCACCAGCGAATACATTGAGTTCGAGTGTTCATTCTTCCTCGTCGTCAAGTTGGCACAAATAGAAATCATTATGAATTATTTTGGCCCCTCGATTAAACCTGAATTGGCAACTAGCTGCATATGATGTTGAGATTTTCTTGGAATTTTGTTCACCCTTAATCCTTCTTTTTTAAACTTGTCTCCTTGCTATATAGCGAAAATATGCTACGGGCTTCGAGTACTCGAAAAAAAAAGTTTTCTCTGTAGAGCCGGCTTAATGCTGAAGAGCTCTTGCTATTCAAAATTGATCAAGTTCGTTCGATTTGATCAATAAACGAATAAAACTATAATCTCGAGTTGATTTAATTGCTTCCTCGTATCTCGAAATCGAATGAAAAGTTTACGTCAATTATTTTCATTTTTCGAATCTCCTAATGTAACAACAATCAAACTGAAATCGTTTCAAATCACAAATCGATTTTCATCTCTGAATTCCTTTCCTCCTAATCCTTCTCTTACCGAATTGAGCTCAATCAATTAATTAAATTTGTTGACCTTTCAGTGAGAGACGTGAGAGCAATTGTGCAAGGAGCATGTCATCTCAAGAAATTAGTGTTGAAACGAAATAGATTGGAACAACGTGGAATTTATGAAATTGTGAACTGCTTCTCGTTATCGAAGAATTTGGAATACTTACAGATTTCTGAAATAGGATTAGAGAGTGTTAAGACGATACTGCAACCTCAATATGTGCTTGAAAAGCTTACAACACTCATCATTGATTATGGCAATGAATTAGAAACGACAATATTTGGAATCCCAAACTTTGAACCTGAAAAGTTCGCAATTTGAATTTAATGTGGTTAGACATTAATAGTCTGAAAAGCATTCTCAATAATAATACCATTCAGTTATCAGTCCTAAAAATGAGATTACCAACGGACTAGTATTACTCAAATCATTTTCAACAAATTTCAAAAATATCGGTTCTCAAGCAGTCAATCAAAGCTCAAAGAATTAAGAAAATCAAAGGATGTGGAAGTACACACACGGAGAATCTAAGTTCAACACCATCCACAAATACTGTAAAATTTTACAGTAGAGGATGGAAATTATGTCTCGTCTCACCTTAAAAAAATGGAAAAACAAAACGACGCGGAGGAAGTGTATGAAGACGATTGGGATCATACAACCTCGGAGGGAATGTATGCATCGAATGTTGCAGCTCGGATGCATGTGGCTTGTGGCAGAGGTGATATTGAAACGATGAGAAAATTATTGTCAGGACAAGACGTAGATGTTAATGAACGGGTGAGTAACGTCGTTATGAAATTTCTCTATGACTGGAATCACATTTGGACGTTGTAGTATGTAAGTATTTCAATAACTAATTCAGAAAGTGTGGACGATGAAGAAAACAGTTTGTAAGTGAGTGGGAATAAGAGATCGAATTTGAATGAAAATAATCATACGATCTAGATTGTACGTGTGGTAGTTTGTTTGTATGTTCTTTCCTTAGTTGCCAACTATTGTAGGGAGTACGTAGTTCAATATGGCTCATCGCGCTTTGAACTGGTCAGACGGTAGGTGAGAATAGAGATTAGACAGTTCGGGCTCAAGTGTTGTATTTCATAGACTGTACGTGTTGATTTGTATGTTCACTATTTTCGCTCTTATTACTTCCTTATGATCAGAATGTAAGTATTTCTTATCCAGTATAAGAGTGAACGGTCCAACATGCTGTTCAAGTCTGTAAGTCTCTTCGAACTCTTTGATGGAATGTTCCAACCATGAACAACATATTTCACCAGTTTGTAAGTACTCACACTAGGACAGGAAGAATTCACCACCACCATGTTATGATAGACTCCATTGTACATGGCTTGTTATGAAGGACACTTGGAAATTGTTCAATTAATATTATCCCAACAACAAGTGGATGTAAATAAGGGTGTAAGTGGCTCTGGTGTGGTCATGTTTTACAAAATTTCGAAATTGAACTACAGCAAGTAAGTTAGAGCTTTTTGTTCGAAATCATTCCAATGTATGCCTTTAGCAAGTAAGTAGTACTCATTGCCAACAATTTTATGGTCAATTGAACCTTAAAATTTATCAGCTTGTAAGTGTTTTTCAGTTCTCTCACATTTTGACATTCTTTGACAGGAGGTAGGTTTTGCTTTGAAAACTGCATGGGTGTGAACATGAGAAGGATGTGGTACGTTCTTCGCTTTTGAGGTTTTACCATCTTCTCTTTAGGATGTAAGTAGTTCAGAATGTTAACTTCATGTATACCGACAATCACGTCTCAGTGTGTAAGTGGTTGTTCTATGAATGTTTATGTTTTAACTAATCCCAATAGGAGGTAAGCAGCTTGTTTTTTGAATAAGGAGTGTTCACCATTAGAAGGATGTCGTTGTAAGTTTTAACTAATTCCATAAAGAGCACTGAGAATTGTTCCAACGGAGCAGGAGCTTGTACGTATCAATGTGAAATGTATGATTGTTCACCATTTATAAATTCAAGATTGTAAGTAGTTGATACAATCGTTTGGTATAGTTAACAAATTCATCAGGATGTAAGTAGATATGAGCAGGATGGACTTCATGGCTGAGCAAGAAATATAGACACCTTTATATGCTGCTTGTGAAAATGGACATACTGAGATTGTCAAACTTTTGTTGTCCCATTCAGAAATTAATGTTGACTTGGGAAAGGTAAGAATTGAAGTTTGCTTGAAAATATTTTTACCTTACGACTCTATGGTAACAGAACGTAAGTGTTTACGATGAGGTGCTTTGTTGTTTTATTACTACTTCAACAAAGATTCCTTTGCATGTAGCCATTCAAAATGGATCACAAGAAATTGTTTCAATGCTGCTTAAACATGGAGCAAAATGCAATCTTGTGGATGCTAATGGTCATACAGCATTATCTTTGGCCAATGAACTTGGATTGGATTTACAAAGCTTCCGCAAATGAAAGAACGAAATTCAAAATTCAAGCAAAATTGCAGCTAAAGAATACCATCTATCAGTAAAGCTTGGTAATTTCACGCTTTAACTTTTACTTGTTCATTGTTCTCAACATCAACCTAGGTTCATACTTTCTCAATACATAATGAATAGACCTTAATTATCATGCGAAAGTAATCGTTATTATCATGCGTTAATCAAATCGAAAAACAGACATCACCAAAAAATTTGCCGCCTTTCAAAAATTTCACGTTCAAAAAATTCAACAAAATCAGCATGAGCGCCTCCACTGCTTTCACAACGAATTTTGAAATTCCTCTAGAACCCACCGATCTAGAGAAGGAATCCGATAAATACTTTTGTGTGGATGATATAGAAGTGAATAATTTTTCACGTTCCGAGTTGGATTCAACGCTGGATGGTAAGTTGTTTGTTCATGATATAGAATTAGAAAATATTGAAACGATGGTCCAACGTTGAATATGGAAAATTATTCACATCTGTTATGGTGCTGCTATAATGATTGGTCTTCATCACACGACATTGTGTGTGCTCGCACGGTAGAAATTGAGAACAAACTTTCCGATAAAGCTTATTCCATAACGAACAAGGACTTGTTCAGTCAAATCTACAGTTGTGTAAAACACTTTTCATCATTGGAAGATAACTCGAGAATTAGGCTGGTAGATAGTTTAAATAATAATCTGCTGTCGCTGCTGGCGAGCGTAGGTAAACTGCTCTCAACTGGGGTCGAGTCCGACAGTAATTTGGATCATGTCATTAGTATTCACAAGAATGCACTCAAAATGTTTGTGTTTTTATTATACTGGGTGATATCAAAATATGAAAAGGAAGAGGTAGAATATGTCAAATCGAAAAAAGACGAGGAGCTTAGCAAATCAAAAAAGAAACGAGGAACTAAGGCTCGAAGAAAAAGTATAATTGAAATGGACAGCTGGAAAGAAGGAATTCTGCATACTCTATGCTCTGTTCTCAAATATGATAACCTACCAAAGCTTTGGAAAAAAGATCGTGTCGAAGATGCCTTTATACTCTTATTCTTCAAAATATCCTTTTCCTTGATGGAAAATCATGATAATATCAAGTCAACTCTAATCAAGGAAGCAATTTTTAAACTAATTACCAACGCTCTACAAATACCTTCTGATAATTTACAAACTGTAGTATCCACCATACTCCACATGATTATGAATGATGAACAAATGACAAATATTATTGTAGAATTAATCGATCATATTGGAAAGAATACATCACGTGCCACGAATGATAGCTGTAGTACAATTGAAAAACTTTTTGTGAGCGAGCTTTTCAGAGAAATTGGTAGTCTAGAGTTGAACAATGATACACCTGGCACCAAGTTTCTCTCACAATTCATTTCTACCATTGGTGAGCGAGTTCCAACAGCAATTTTGTCGAATATGAGCGTTGTAATTTCTCACCTCAACGATGAGTCGTACAATATTAGAAATGCAATTATTCATGCCATATCGAGAGTCATTCCAACCGTACTCAAACAAACCTCTGATGAGAACAATAGTAGAAATACCACCTCTGAAAACCTCACAAAGAAGACCAGAGACCAACTTCTCAGCATTCTTGAGGAAAGACTTCAGGATATCAATGCATACACACGAAGCAAAGCTATACAGTGTTGGTGTTATTTGTGTGAAGAGAAATCCATTCCCTTGAAGACCCTCCCAAAAATTTTAGAAACTGTACTCGGTCGATTATACGACAAGACTTCATCGGTACGAAAGTCTGCCATTCACTTTTTATCAACTCTACTTGAAAATAATCCATATGGAGCAGATTTGAAATTAGCCAAGTTTACCGAAGAAGCAGCGTCTGCTAAACGAATTGTGGAGAGCTTACCTAAACACACTGAGGAAGAATTGGAGAATTTGCCAGATCTTGAGCAAAAAGAAATTCGCTTAACTCGTGACAATGCATTCAAATTGTATCTATTTTACAAGGAAGGGGTAGACTTTATTAATAAGGTACATGATACCATACCATCCGTGTGCCTACTTCTTAGCTCTGAAACAATTACGGATGTAGTGGAATGCATTGATTATTTGGTCAAGTGTTTCATGTTCAAAATAGAGATTTCATCATTTGGCTTGAAGAAAGTTCTTAAACTTGTGTGGTCGCCTCACCAATCCATTAAGGATGCAGCTTCTGAGGCAATTCAACACATATTTATGAATGCTGAAAGACTCAGCAGAAGCGCAGAAGAATGCATTGAGGTTGCGAAACAATTCACCGAGTTTGTCACGGAGTGTAGCCAGTCTGAATTGTCAGCCCTAGAGTGTATTGTGAACATGCTGGTCCTCAAGAATGAGTTTTCCAAGAATCTGTTCTTGTCACTTTTAGAAATTATTTCTCCAAAATACTCTGAGAAGAATTGCATAGGAGCCTTAATTTTACTGAATATGATAGCAACCGCAAGACCAGAGGCACTTCGGAAAAAGATCAAGTCTCTCATTAAGGACTGTTTCGGAAGAACAGAAAAGCAGAGTTTCCTCATTGCTCATTATGCATGCAAAATATTTCAAAAGATGGCCATTGATGATTCGAGCGATGCTTACAAGGCTGAAGAAAAAAAGAAATCGAAAGCATCATCAACAGCTGACAATGAAGACATGCTTCGATATGCAGGAGGAAATGACAACTTTAAGCTAACGGACGATCACAAATTATTTGAAATACTATTAGAGTACACAATTGATAAGGAACAACACTTTCCAATTTATGAGTGGATGATATTAGCAGAATCAGCCATCACCACCATCTATTCATTGTGCATGAATCCAGAGCAACTCTCAGCTCACATTATCAAACAGGTTTCTCTGAATACGAACTTGTCAGGAAGTAATAATGAAGCAGACTCTCAAACCTTGGCTGTATCTCCTGTTGAGCTCACCAAGCTGTTCTTCATTCTTGGAACGTGCGCCATTCAAGAATTAGTGCACTTGGAACGTCAGTTTAAGAAAGCAAAGGAGTTGAACAAGACTGCCAACATTGAAAAGCAACAAAAGGCTTCCTCAAAGAAGTCTAAAAAATCATCATCAAAAAAGAAGAGAGACCGATCAGAGATTGACAAAGAGGAAGAAGAAGACTCCAACACAACCGTGATCGAGAAAGAGCTAGGATTGGATCCCTCCAATATGGACATTCACTCACTAGAAGAAGCCTTTAAGGAAAAAGAAAACAATATTATCACAGAGTCATCACTCTATGGATCCTATCTTCCACTCATTCTCAATATTTGTTGTGACAACACAAACATGTACAAATACTCTGTTCTCAGAAGAAGTGCTATATTGGCTCTCTGTAAATATATGTCTGTCAGCCAATCAGTATGTGAGCAACATTTGCAACTTCTCTTTACCATCCTTATCAAATTACCAAAAGAAATGCACTCCAAATCATCCATTGATGGTTACGCCACAATTAGAAACAATATCATTGTGACCATTGGCGATCTTGCATGTCGATTTCCAAACTCTGTAGAACGATATATCCATCACTTGTATAGCTGCCTTAGGGATACAGATCAAAGAGTTCGAAAGAATACCCTTCTAGTGCTATCACATCTTGTCCTCAATGATATGATTAAGGTGAAGGCAAACATTTTTGAAATTGTGAGATGTATTGTAGATACCAATGATGAAATCTCTCAGCTGTCAAAAGCATTCTTCACCAAATTGGCTGACAAGGCTTCAGGAAACAACAATCCCATTTACAATCTATTACCAACCATCCTAAGCAACTTGTCTCAAAAGAGTGCCAACATTTCTCCGACCTCTTTCCAAAACATTATGGAATTCCTATTGTCGTTTGTCAAGAAAGTTCTGCACAAGGAAAAGCTTGTTGAAAAATTGTGTAGAAGATTTGATTTGGTCAGGATTTCATCTTCTATTCAAGCCAACGATGAAGTTTATGAAAAAACAATTCAAGAGGAAGATATATTACAAGATTTAGATATTACTTCTCAACCTGAAGCAGCTCAAGAGGATGACATGAAATTGGATCACGACGAAGAGATTGTTCAACAATGGAGAAATCTTGCTTTTTGTCTTACTCAGCTGTCCATGAACGATAAGTGTATTCAAATTATGATTTCTGAAAATTGTGTAAAATGCTACAAGAAGGCTCTCATTGACTTTGAAGTATACGACATGTTATCCTCCATTACAGCCAAGTTCAAAAAGACGGCATCCACCAAGACTGGAAAGAAAGCCAATAGTGAGGTGGGAGTATTAAGTCCAGAACTCAAAGACTCCATTGAGGAATGGGAGAAACAAATTCGACAAACTCACCTCAAAATGTGTGAAGAGAGTGGCGTGAAATCAAAGCTTTTGGAGAGCGATGACGATGAAAATGACGATGATGACGATACATCAGCAACTGAAAACACTCGAGGAGGCAAAAAAGTCATTAAACGAAGAGGTAAAAAGACATCTACCAACAAGAAATCAAAATCCAAGAAGGGTCGAAAAACAGTTGATGACGACGAGGAGGAAGAGATTGATTTTTCTGATGAAGATGAAGACGACGAAGAGGCCATCAATGAGCTTCTAGAAAGTGATGGTGAGGACGCCAAGGATGCAGGCTCTGATTTAGAACTATTCGACAGTGAGGATGATAAGGAACAACAAGTTGACGAGGAAGCAAGTAACCAGACAGGGAGTGTAACCAATGCAGATGACACAAACGACGAGGAAGAACAAATTGTCAAAAAGAGATCTCGCCCAAAAAGACGATAATTTAGTGTCATTACGCATTAACTCATGACTCAACGAGCATGTGAAAATTGTTTCTTTTAAGTTTCTCGTGTTTTCTATCTCCCTTAATTAATAACACATATGCCAGCAAGCTATTAATTTGAGCAATCCATTCGCCATAGAAAAGTGAAATTAAATAAGGTCATGTTTTGAAAATTTCAAAAACAGAAGATTTCCAATTTTACCCACCGAACACATTTGAGAAATATCCAAAAGGAATCGTCTTAAGTATTGCCACAATAGGAAATTGCAAAGGTTTTTCAAGGTTCCACCATATTCCGCACTGCCTGCCCAAGCAATACAACAACAAAATGCCTGAACAATCGATTGAAAAACTCAAGAGTCTTATCAAAGATATCAAATATTGCATGCTTGCCACTTGGACCACAAGCAAACTTGGAGAAAAGTACATTCATTCAAGACCTATGAATGTCTTGTGGAAAGAAGATGCCCTTGCCGAACAAAAATTGTACTTGTTCTCATCAAAGGGTATGTTATTTTGGAAAATTGTAACAGTGCTCATTTGTGATGCCTTTCGACAACAATGGACATTTGAAACCATGCTTGTTGCTGTTTTAAAACCATGTTAATCAGACTCTTGGAAAAATAAGGAAATTGGCCAAAATCATGAGGTGAATCTTGCGTTTTCAGATCCAAACAATCAAACCTATGTTTCGTTGGCATGTACATGTTATTGTGACGACTCAAACAGGGAGCTTATGAAAGAGCTGTGGAATCCTTATTGCGAGATTTATTTCCCAAAGGGTGTCAATGACCCAAATCTATGTCTCTTGGTTTGTGACATTCACCATGCAGGTATGTTTGAAGTATTTTTTTGCAAAGCCGATTTTCTCATCAATTCATGAATTGACAACAATGGATCATGCACGCTCACATTTCAACACTCGAACATGACAGAATATTGGGATGTCAAACAAGGATCCATGATGAGCCTCATTACATCTTACATCAAGGCAGGTCTCGGAATCAAAGAACCAATTTCACAAGAGCACGAAAAAGTTGTTCTTCAAAACATTTAGCATGATGGAGGTCCAATCTACAAAAATTGAGTGCACCAATCAATAAAGTTGTTTTGAGAGTTATTGTCCTCATTTATTTCTGTAGATCCAAGAATATTTCATTCTTCATTAATTTTGCAAGAACAAAAATTCCATCAAAATTTTAGAAAAATTGCACAAGATGTACAACAGAGCCTCGTCATCAGGAAATTCTCTGCTAAAACAAACGCTGGAACCATTGATTTTAAACCATAACAAACAAACGGAAACGGTGTATGGCTATATCGGAAATATAACAGAATTAGCAAAAGAAATCGAGTCGTTACATAAACCCGGTGATCCCGAGTATGATTCACTACAAGAACATATTCAACAATTGGATGGATGTGTGCGAGAATATTTGGACATGTTGAGAATATCCGAAGGACATACCAAAACACTTCAACAAATTGTTGAAAGCAATACTAGTGTAAGTTTTGAAAGAAGGTTGTTCCTGTTTTAATAATAATCTTTAAAATTTTATTATAATTATTATTATTTTTCAATTCATGTGGAACATTTTAAACGAACGGATAACCTCTGGGATTCAATTACGAATATTATCATTTCTTATCTTGTGCAATATCATTTGATGACATTTAATTCTCGTCACGATTGGCAATATTCCGATGGTTTTCGTGAAATGCATCATTCCACGTGACACAAACACAGGATCTTTCAAAATTAGAAGAAACATACGATCGATTGTCGAAAGCAAATACTGCAAAACCATTGGACGATGATAGCATCAAACAAGATGAAATGTATCAAACATTTAGATTAGAAGTCCTCCGAGTGCACGATCCAACAGGAGAATTAGACTGGAATAAGCCTCAAGACGATGATGAGATTATGCTCACACAACAGACTCTAGTCGTTACATGCCCTTGGACAAGGACTCACTTTAATGATCCTATTGAGTGCATTCGTTGTCATCATTTTTATGAAAAGTCAGAGGCCATATCACGAATTAGGAAACATGGGTACATTGATTGCCCTGTTGCTGGTTGCAGCGAAAAACGAATTCTGGAAGCTAATTTGAAGCCAAATCCAAAGATGGCATATAGGATTAAGCAAGAAATTGCTAGAATTGAAAAAGAGAAACGAGAAAAGGCAGCACAACAGGCTGTTGAATTAACTGATGATTAAAAACTATTTAACCAACAAAACGATCGTTCAGCACTCTCAATTTCGGCTTTACAATTTTTAAAAAAAATCAAGACAAGAGGATTGCTCTTACCCTGTCATTTTTTCTTTTCAAAAAGATAACACGTGTTGTGTGAATCATTCCTCGTGCTTGACTTTTAGATCCGCGACCGAAATAGTTTCAAGATACTTAGCAAACCATGCTGCTTTATTTGTTGGTACCTGTAGCTCTGGCTGCAGTTGTATTCTTCTTTTTGGGAACTAGTAATAAGAGTATGTTTTCTTTGTTTCAAAATTTGATTGTAACACTGATTCAACATCATCATCACCATGATGGAAATTTTTGTACAAACCCATCAATGATGAACCCGGCTTGCTTTGAAAATTTGGATAATCTTTTTGCTTTCATTATTGATTTCAACATGCGATCATCATCAAATAATGATATTTTCAATAACAAATTTCATCGTGTTGTGCTTTCTGTGGAATCCACGATTCGTCGCATCATCATATGACATCCATTCCAAACACAACAAAAGGAACCTATGAAAACAAGGTCGACTTACTCAACAAGCCTGTAGACTCGAAAAAGAAGAAGACGGAAAAGAAGAAGCAGCCCAAGTTAATTGTCAATGAGGATGAAATTGAGCAAGCATCCAATGCTAAACTCACTGAAATTGACGTTGCTGAAATGTACGGATTGAACAAGAAGAAGAAGCCTGCCGTGGTAGCCCAAGAAAAGAGCAAGCCTTCCAAGAAGCAACAAGCAAAAGAGGAACAACAACAAGAACAACAACAACCAACAGAAGATGAAGATGCTAGCAAGAATGAAGGATTCCTTTTAGTGAAAAAGCCAGAATTGACCGGACGTAAGAAGGAAGAAAAGAAGGTCGACAAGAAGGACAAGAAGAAGGATGAAAAGAAGAAGAACAAATCCATCTTTAAAAAGCTTGTGAATGACGATTCTGCCAAGCCACCAGGTGTCGGTGAGAAGAAGGAAGAAGCAGCTGCTGCTTCCGAAGAAGAAGGTAGTAAAAAGAAAAAGTCATCTGAAAAGTCCTCCGATGAAAAGTCGATGACTGAAAAGAAGACTGAAAAGACCACCAAAAAGGCCCCACAAACCGAGGAGAAGAATGGAAAGAAGGAAAAGGCTTCTAAAAGCAGTGCATCTCAAACTGGCGAGGTAGAGTCTGACGCTTCACCAAAAGAAGAAAAGAAGGCTGCTTCCGAAGAAAAGAAACCTGAAAAGAAGCCAATCACTGTTGTGAAGGATCCATACGCTACACAAGACGATTTCTGGGATGAAAACATTAGAGAGGTCGAACCACCAAAGCCAAAGACCAAGACTCCAAAAGATCAAAACACTGTTGAGAAAACTAAGGAACCAAAAGAACCAAAAGAAAAGAAGGAACCAAAAGAACCTAGAGAAAAGAAGGAACCAAAGGAGCCAAAACAACCAAAGGAAAAGAAGGAATCAACGGAACCAAAGAAGACTGAAAAGTCAAAGGAACTCACTACTTCAAGCAAGAAGAAGGACAAGATTACTTCTGTTAAAATCCATGTCAATGCTGACGCTTCAAGCTCAACTGCAACATGGAACTCATCTTCTCCTTCTACCACAGGAGCAGAGTCGTCTTCAGACGATTCCAACTTCCCCAAGGTTGGTGCAAAGAAGGTGAAACCACCAAAACCAGCAGCATCCTCTTCATCTTCTGAGACAGCTCAAGATCACGAGAACCCACTCAAGAGAGAGAGCGAAACTAAATTTGAAATTGAGTATGCTTCCCCTGAAGAAAAGAGAGTTAAAATGACTGAAAGTGAAGAGCAATAATTTTTTGAAAATTCTTAGGTAATACTAAGTTTTACCCTTTTTGGTACAAGCAACAAGCGACGCAAATACCACTAAAATCATTTGTAAATCTATCATTAATTATACCATAATATTATTAAACACAAAATTTTGTTCATGAGAATGGTTGTTGGGCTTTATCTGAGAGACACAGATCATGCAATATAAAAGAAATACAAAAAATGAGCCAAAATCCGTCACCATTTCCGCTTTCATCGTCAGCCAAGGAATACCATCTCAACTCCATTCCACTCAACAACAATACAAATACCAACATCACACCCATCAATACACTGTCGTCGTCTCTTCCACATGAAACTATATTTTTTGAAAATTATAAAAACTACTCGGGAAAATCTTATTACTCGTCCAATGCTAGCAGTACTGCAAATACTCCTCTCGGTGGAGTGATCATTAATCATGGTGGCTCGGAATTAATTTCAAATTCCGAGGTGTTTATTAGTGATTGTCCACTTATTAATCAAAGTGTGTTTGTGAAATGGCTGCAAGGATTATCCATTGAAACAACATCAAAATATTTACTCGAAAAACAGCGATCATCATACATGGAATATTTTACAAAATTTTCCTTCTTTGTTGACAGTTATTACCAACTCATCACCAATGAAGTAGCCTATCAGTACCGAATATTTAACGATTTTCAACCTTATTTACAAAATCCTTTATTATTCATGAGCTGCAATACCATTCTTCAAGTTGCTCCCAGCGTAAAGCACTTACTTATACAGCAATATTTCGACTTTGATGAAAGAGTTTACAGAGAATTAATGGGAAAAAAGCTCACTTCAAAACTGAGAAGAGATTTGGAAGAAATTAGCGAAAAGTATGGCATTGAAATTATTTCCGTATGTGTTTAATGTATTGAATTTGATGAAAAATCTAACATGATGGATGATATCATGATCTTGATTACTGATCACTGTTAAATTCACATCATTTAGGTGCGAAGGCAATTTGACAATTTAAAAGCCATCTTTAAATTTTTCAAATCTTCTGCATCTAGTCCTTTAGCGGATCTTGTCTCTCTGGAAAAGTCTGACGATGGTCAATCTATTCTTTCAAAAATTATACAAGAAAAATTTATTCTTTCTGAAAGATTGGCAGAGTAAGTATTTCATGAAATGTGTTTCTGAACAAACTTGCGCACTAACTCATGTTCAACGAATTTAACTTGGTATCCAATTATAATGTATCAAAAATTGTTACAGAAAATATGCCACACTTGTATTTATGACCTATCAACGATTTGAAACCTCCAGAAAATTCATGAAAGATTTCAATTTTCAAGATTTGTACTTTTTGTGTAGCCAAATTTTGAAACATTGGACCTATGAAGCAAGAGGTATCAATGCAACAAGTTCGATTAAGCCTCCTATCATTAGCTTTGCCAACGAGTCGTCGAGTCCAATTAATATTTCTACAAGTATTGCGCAACATCTTCCAGAGGAAGAACCAATCACAGTTTTTGATGCTCATCAAATTTCTTTGGATTTTATCAAATTTCGAGACATTAAGACTGTCATTTTCTCTGACAAGACACGACTCAAGGAATATGTGGCGCTAATTATCAAACAACTATCTGAGGACAAGGCCTTCTCCGATGGAAGTTTGGAAAAAATTGAGGTAAGTTTGCCTATTAGGTCACAAATTTACTAACCCCCTACTTGATACTCAACAATATGTTCCTGTAGGAAATTATCGTGGAAATGCTAAAAACTTTACTACAAATTGGGCAAGGACTCATCAGTGCTAAGGAAATGAGAGATATATTCATTGATTTGGCAGAAAAGTTTATTGAGCCAATTGAGAGGATTGGTTTAACAGGTCATCAGTTCTTTCAGTTATTGGAGGCCATTAGAGAATGTTTTCCCAAAATTTCAACAGTCAAACCACAACACATTCTCAAGTACAATCCAACATTTTCGCAGTACATGCTCGTCATTAGAGACCTTTCTGTCTTTATGTATAAAAAGTTTAACTATTAAAAAGAGAATGCACATTAAGAGGAGTGCGACTTGCAAGACTTTGTCATTAATGCCTGAATCCAGTTTGAGTTTAATACAAACATAACACATCCCAAGCATTGGTTAAAATAATCACGCATGTCGACCTAACCTGATTTGTCAGTGAAATTAACACGCCTGACAAATGTCATTGTTCGCATCTTCGAGCACTGAAAAAATGCCTGGGCACATGTTCGGCAAACGAAGCGGAAGCTTCAACAGAGACGAAGGTGTTGTGCTCTCTGGTTATTTATTCAAGGTAGGTGTGTGATTCATCGCTCACTAATGTTGTTTTCTGATATGAAACCAATGTCATTTGTAAATGATCACGAAAATATTTTCTCAACACGTTTCATTGAAAATCATAACAACACAATTACTATAATATTTGGACACGCTTGTGATGATCCAATGTCACGACGTTCATTCATCATCATCACATTGGTCATCATGGTGTTTTCTCGGGACGGAAATGAATTCATTAGAGAGGAACGGTGAACACGAGCTGGAAAAAGGTATGTATCATACTAAATGTTTGTGAAAGGAGTGGTGGTGTGAAATTTGACACACACATGTCATGCCTCAACCTCACATATTTTCGCACATTCATCTTTCCATTGTCATTCAACTTTCACACAATCTTCACTATTCCTATTGTTTTGAATATATTCAAAATCAAACATTCAATAACAACAACAACAACAACTCTTATCGCAGCGATATTTCGAATTACTGAGCGATCACACTTTGGTCTATTTCAAAACCAAAGTCACAGAAAAAAAGAAAGATGAATCAAAACTTGGATGTCTCTATTTGGATCCTTCAAATACCATTGTTGAGATTTTCCATAATGAAAGTGATCAATTGTTTCATTCGAATCATAACAACAACAACAACAACAACAATAATCACAACAATAACCAAAATCATAACAATAATAACAACCATCCCAATTCAAATTCCAACTCTTCATCATTGGTCCAAAATGGAAAATCCACAGAAATTGTCGTGTCACCTCAAATTTATGACATTAAGAAAATCAAAGAGGAACAAGAATACATGTTAAATTCAAAAATGATTCAATGTATTTATAGAGAGAGAAAAAAGAAACAAAATTCATTTCGAAAAGATCGAAAACAATCAGTCTTTTCGAGACTTTCCAAACGATTGCAATCCCCACTAGACATTTTGTCATCGATGGACAGCTCTGCACAATTAACCACTTCAAAGAAATCCTCAGGTTCCATCTTGCAATCGAATTTGCAAATTCACTCCACAACCACCACTTCAACGTCATTGTACTTTTTCAAAAAAGTGAAAAAGTATAAATTTTCAATTTGTGTGGGAAAGAGTACGAGTGGAGAAAAAACACACAAGGATCGAAAATATGTATTTTATTGTGAATCAGAAGAAGAACGAGATATGTGGATTAAGGCAATTATTTCGAGTATTGAGAAACAAGTGAAAACTCAAATTAAGAAACCTTATACCTTTGAGACGGCTCGACACTATTCGAAATTTTTGAATTTTATTGCAGACGCTCCTCAAGATTATTTGATTCTTGCGTTGAATAGTATACGACATCCAGTGCAAGAGTCGTTTTTAGTGTCGTGGATGGTATTGATGGATTGTTTTTCATTTCACAAGGTATGTGTTTCAATGAATATGAACAGCAACATTTAAAACAAGTATGGCAATTCGATTTATTGGTTTTGCGATTGATTTTTGAACATGTGAAATGAACCATGTATGATAACATCCAAGTCATGTACACAACTCGTGAAAGCAGCTATTAAGGTAGAGTTGGAACTCACCAAGCATCCAGAGACTCTTTTCAGAAGGTAGGTTTTTTTTCTGGTCAGGAGGACACTTTATATTGATGCAATGATCACTGACAACCATTTTGATAGAAATTCCATTTCCACAAAATTGGTTCAACTCTTTTTCAAAATTCACGGACAAGCATTCTTAAAATCCACTCTTCAGCCACTCGTTGCCAAAGTTTGTGTTGCTGATGAATATTTAGAAATTGAAGAGAGTCGTCTGTTAGAATTTCTCAACAAGGAATTAGACGAAATTGAACATCCAGAAAAACCCAGTGGTGAAATTATTCATCAAATTATTGCTTCTCGACAACAACGAAACAAAACTCGAATTATTGACCTCTCCAAGAAATTCTTGTCAAGAATTATTGAAAATACGATCGAAGAAGGACCTTTTGAAATTTGTGAAATTCTTGAATTTACATTTGCAGAAAGCAAAAAATATTTTCCTGAAAGTACAGAGATTGCCGTTGGAGGACTCTTTTTCCTTCGATTTGTTTGTCCTGCCATTGTTGCTCCTCATTTACAGGGAGTACTTTCAGTTCAGCCTCAATCGAATGCACAACGAACATTGACACTCATTACAAAAGTCATTCAAAATATTGCCAATCAAGTCTATGAACACAATTCAAAAGAAGAATATATGGGACTCTTATCCGAATTTGTCACATCCAATATTGAACCAGTGAAGGAATTTATTCGTGACATTTCACATTTGGATCAAGATGCTAAAAAATTTGAAATGAATAAGCGAGTGACCATGAAATTTAGTGATTCCAATGCCGATTTAGAATTGAATTGTTATCATGTCATTCATGAATTTTTCCATACCATTGAAGAATCCAAAAAATTCAACACGTCAGATCCTGACTTGTTCAAATTTTATAAGGAACTGTTATCGACCTGTAATGAAATGGTGAAAAGTGAACTACAAGCAAACAAGAAGGATAGTTCACATCAGCAGCAGCAACAACCACTGTCAGCATCTCAACAACAAAATGACGTTGTTCCAATGATGGTGTCACCATCCACTTTGAGTTCATCCTTACCAAATTCATCTACACTTCTGAAAGAATCATTATTTCAAGAGACGAGCGTGTCCTCTCAATCGACTCGAACGATCGTTCCTTCTAAATCCAATCTCACTCATGTTGAACCTTCCAATACATTTTTCAATATGGACAAGAGAAGACGAGGCGCCACGCGAGTTCCCTCTCAAGAATCTTCATACCATTCAACACCTGAAGTCGAGACAGCTTCATCACTGTTACGAAATGCATTCACAAATGCATCGACCTTGTCACCTGGAAATTCACCTCCTGCAAGTTCACACGAACAGCAACAACAACAATTAGCAAGAAGACGACGAAGAGGAATTGGAAATTCAACATTTACTCCACCGACGAGTCCACTTTCAAGTGATTCTGTTGGATTATCATTGAATCCATTTGATTCTACAGAGAATGGATCGAATATCCATGAAAAAGAAGAAGTAATAGATCCAAACAAGATACCTCTTAAAACTCCATTTCATGTCTCTATGAGTGTATCGAGTCCAAATTCTTCCATCGATTTGACCACTGACGAAGACATTGACGAAGACGAAAAATTAATTTTGGAACAAATTGAAAGCAAATCACGATTGACAACAGATTCACAATTTGGATCGGAACATGTCATTGTGCATGATGTGTTTCATAGTTCAAGTGACGTGAAATCTCCATCAACTTCGTCTTCAGAAGAAGAATTGGATGACGATCTTGACGATGATGAAGAAAATGTCTATCATTTGTTAGAAATATTCAGTAAGGGAGACGAAATGGAAGAATCTGAATTTATTTCACTCGTTTGTTCGTTTATTGAACAAGGTTTTAGAGAAATTTCAAATTATATCAATTCACACATTAAGCCAACTACTGTGACACTTGTGAAAACTACTTCGACCGCAACTCATACTCAAAACACAAGTGTTGATTTGACCACAAATATTCAAGTCAATCCACAATTTAAGAAACATTTAGAACTTTTATTCAAAAACAAGTTAATCATTTCCATCATTTCACTCTTTTCGATTCGATTGAAAAAGGAGACTGGAGTTTGGGAATTAATGATTGCACTCGCGGAAGGAACACAAGACGAGAGAATTTTGGAAATTTGTCAAAATGTGTGTGATCAAGTGGAGGGACATCCAAACTTTTTTGAAATGGATCGAAATCAACAACAGTATATTTGTTTTTGCTCGTTTTTATGTCGATTGAACAATGCGCAGTTATTGTTTGAAGGCATGACATTTTTACTGAATTTACCAAATTTGGATGAATTGTTGGGAGACTTTTATAACGTGGAGGATAGTCAAGAAATTAGTACATTTCCTATTATTGTTGGAAAACAGTCATTGTTGGCCACGTTACATGAGCTGTCACTTTTCAAAATGTCACTTGCCTGCGATTTTGATTCTTGTAACATTTCCTTCATGTAGAATATTTGCTTCAAGCTTTTAGACTCTCATAGAATTTGAATTCCAATAAACTATTTCCACACAAAAAATTCAAAAACAAATTTTTCAAACATGTGAATTCAATCTTTTCTCACTGCTCGTCTGGTTTTTCAGGTGAGCCTCTCAACACTCTCCTCAACAAGGAAATGATCAGAATTTCCAACAATACCAACACGAACATTCCAAATAACGAATTTTTCAAAATAAATTCCAATAAGGTCGAACCTTCCCAACAAAATACTTGACATGAAATTTGCAGCAAATACAAGCTCAAAAAAAGAAGATGAAGGAATAATGGAACGGTACAGTTACGAGTGATGAATTGAAGGAATGGTCTAAGGTATCGATGAGAAATTCGACATTCTTCCATCCATTCCAATTTTTTAATAATGACAGAACCAATGGCACTGTAAACAAAGAAACCAAACGAAAAGATTCGAATCGCATGAATAGTAATACAGCTGGCAATTAGTAACCAGCCGTCACTTAAAAATGTCATTGAGGATGTGGTTGGAGCTGTGCCATGAAAAGAAGGATTTTGAATTCCAAATAGTCCCAAAAAATTCTTTTTGTAATAAAGAGCTAAATACTCATTTCTATTGAAACTATTGAATGATGACGAGTACAGAGAAATATTTTCATCTTGTCCGACCGTTATTGCATCCAAATTTAGAATTTCAATATTCGGGCATTCCCAATGCTGATGCATGACATTCAACCATCCCGAGTAATGCATGAGTATTAACGAATACAGAAGCCATATACTTTGTTTGACCAATGAAAATACAAGTGAAGACATTTTCTTGGGTGTGATTGTGGAAAACAAGTCATACAAGTTCGTATATGGTTGTTTGTTATTATGGAATGGCATGAAGAAAACAATTGTCCACAAATGATCAATGTTCATAAAAGGAAATAGACCAACTAATAGTATGTTGTTGCCATGTTATGCATAAGGAGTTTTTGAAATTGAGACTGCGTAGTGTTATTAACACTCTACAATTTTCTAAATAATTAATAAGTAATTCATTATTGAAACTTTAAGGTTCATCTCTATTCCTCAGTAAATGCCATCACAGAAATATCACACAATTGGTAATTTTGATACTTTTGACAAAGTTTGGTTTTAAAAGTTGAGCTCTCCTCTCTCAAATATTCCAATACTAAATATTTACAAAAGTATCTAACGAGGTCATGCGAAAGTTGATTACCATGAGAAAAACCATACCAAGGCGTGAACATGACTCTCTCCGTTTTGTGAATTAGCATACAAAGCTTTTTACCTTCTTCTGCTTGAGCAAGAATGTGCCAATTTGAAATGTCCGTACAACTTGTAATAGATAGACCAGAAAGATATGTATTGGCAAGAGCTACCTTTTTGTGTTTCTCATTTTGAATAAATAAATCTGGATGCTTGGCTTTAAATTCGAGTAAAATGTCGCTTTTCATACATGTTTCGTTCAATACTTCAACGTTGATATCAACGGTTTCACATGTAAAATCCACAAAGCCCTTTTGTATATCAGTATAGACGTAACCAAGCCTACTAGGTACACTGTATTCATTACTTCCTCTTAAGAATAGAGCTGCAACACGTTTTGATGAAATTAACTCTTTCATGATGTTCATAATTTCACTAAATATTGGAGCCAAAGGAGCAGAAATAAAGCATCCAGCATATAACGGAAATACCACAAAATCATAATCAAAATGAAATCTAAAAATTTCAATATTGATTTAAAACATCCACACAACTTAAAAAAGCAAATGAATCATCGGGTTGGTATGGGTTAAATTTAGCTTTGGGCTCCCATTCGAACCTCTTCCATTCAAACACTTCAGGATTTTTTACAAAACCATTAAATTTCTCACAAATACATGTAAAAAAGTGATCCGGCTCTTTTCCTCGTATAATCAAAACTTTTTTCAATTTTTTGGTATTGATCGGATCTTTAGTTTGAGCAATACGTCGAAATAGGTCTGTTCCTTGGCTCGACATTTTTTTTTTATTTTTAATATTCCAAAAGCTGCTGTGTGAACACTAGCGAATAGAAATTGGATCAAGGATACGTCGTCATCTTGAAGGACAGAAGGATTCAAGTTTAAAAGATGATCTCTCGTTAAGGAAGAAGCCTTCTTGATCTTTTTGAATATTCGTAATCAGATTTTGAATAAAGGCGCGATGGAGTTACGGCAAAAAAAAATATAAACATCATCTCTCTCGTCAAAATTCCAATGGACCAAGACAATCCTTTGTTTGAGGCTTATACTCTCACACCCTCTCAGATTACCTCATCATCGGATAGTTTATTCTCAGGAACGAACAATGATCAAGCAATGATTCCGTTAGGGAATCAATTGATGGCGGCCAAAAATGTATCCTCAAACAATCATTTGCAAGAAGATGGAGTGGTTGTGATTGAGGAGCCTTCCGTACCCAAGCTTGCCAAAATCGCCAATGAAGTGATCAGAGCTCAACAAGTATCGTCATCGGAAAAGAAGAGGTTAACGGTGGTGCCACCCTTACCTATTCCACCAGCAGCTGTAGTGATTGAGCAAGAAAAAACAATGCCGGATTTATCAAAGACTATATCATCACCAACAACAACAACAGCGTCAGTTGAACAACGGCCATCTATGAGCAACAACAGCACACAACAGCAGGCTTCTTCCATGACACCTACTACAACAGCATCAATTCTGTTTGAGCCAACCAGGGAGATTGAAACCACTAAGGATCAATCAGAAAACATCAACATTATGGATGACAATAACTCAAACATCATGGATCATAATGACTCCGATCATTACCAACAATACGAGGCTACTTTAGGCGAACATCAAGTGGATCCCGTCGAAAAATCCAGCAATCCCAATACTCCCAAGCTAGATATGAGCCTTCATTTGTCAGCTCTCTCTTCACCAACGAAGCCCATCTCTACAACTACTTTGAAAAAAGAGGACTCAAATCTTCATCATTTGAAGGAACCATCTTCTTCATCGCCTCCGAGAAGACCAGCATCAGCCTCTTCAACTCGTTCGACATTGAGTCAAAACCCCAACTATATGAATTCTACCATTACTTGGTCGTCAAAAGAAAGCAACAAGAGCATTGTTGATTTGAAAGGTAGGTATTGAAAATTATAATATGGGCTTTTTTTCACCAAATCAACACTTTACAATTGAATCGCTGTTACTGTTAGCTTCCATTAACGAGCCAAGAAATATCATGCGGTTTGGAATGGCCTCTTATCAAAACAAGCCTACCTTAAATACAAGAGCACCATCTCCATCCGTAACAAAACGGAGAGTAACACCAAGAAGAGAACGTATTTTTACCAGTATTCCCGATCTCAATCTTGAGAATGTTTCCTTTTCAACTGGTTTGGGAGTAAGTATTTCATCTTGTATATGGTCTAACATTTTCGTGCCTTAATGCAACAATCGGTGAATTGCAACTCACGGTCGCCATAGACAATTTCCCTTCCAAATTACAGATTAACTTCTCTTAAAGGATTAGGCGTAAGAAATGACTTGAAAATTTTGTACATCCAAAATAACTATCTGACCTCATTCAAATATTTAGAAAAGCAGCCCAATCTAGAAGTATTGTACGTGGCCAATAATTGTATTTCCTCATTATATGGATTTTCGGAGCAACCCAAGTTGAAATTAATAAGTTTGGAAGGAAATCCAATCACAAAACATCCCAATTACAGGTTGATGGTTCTCATTGCAGGAGGGCTTCAGCTTAAGAAAATTGACGGAGAATTAGTTCAATATAAGGAAAGAGAATTTGTGAAGCAATATGTGGCATCGAATGAAAAATGTGTAGAAGCAATAAGGGCGGGATGGCTTCTCGATACAACACCAAGAACCACCGAAGAATTCGAGCAAATCATTGCTGACCTTAACACCAAAAATATGGATGATAGGGACGAAGTTCGAAATTCTGACTTGTTCAAGGACTTGGTTAGTGGCGCTCTTGTCAAGACAGTCACTTCACCAGACCTCAGCCAATATGAGGAGAAAAAAGTTACAAAATCTGTGCCGATCGTAACACCATCGACAACTTCTTTCATCTCTTACGATGGCAAGGAATTATCTCGAGATGAACCTCCCTCATCTTTCAGCAATACCTTTCTGACCAATTATGTTAACGAAATCAAAAATCTCAAGCTTCAATTGGAAAAGAAAGACAAGGAGCTTGAAGCTGAGAGGAAGAAGAATAAGGAGCTGAAAGAAACGAGCTTGCTGTTGGAGGATTTGCAACACATTTACAAGTCTGATATTAATGGTCTCTCCATTTCTCTAAATTCAACTTTTGACATGATTAACAACGTTTCAGCATCTCTCAACAATGAAAGTATGAATATTTACAAGGCATCGAATGACTTGCTTAAACGAATAGATTATGACAAGGTTACACGAACGAGTCTGCTAGTTGACGAAAAGAAAATGTTCCGTATTCATATTAGAGTGTCCAATAGTGAGCTCATTGATGTGATTACCACGGATCAGAAGAAGGCACTCGCAGTCTACAAGATTCTTCATATGAAAGTTGCTCTTTTCAACAAACTTAAAAAGCAAAAAACCGCTCAACAATAAAGAGCTATTGGTTGGCACTTTGATGATTATATAAAATGATTCCAGATACTATTTTCAACGGTAATTCCATATAATTGTGTTAGGAATAATAATTTCACAACACATATCACTACAACACTCACCCATGAGAATATTCTTTGCAACTTCAATTGAAGTCTCCAATGTGGCTTGCTTGGTGAAAATTGAGTCATAAATTTCCATTTGCAACATGTTGTCTTGATGCATGAAACTAGATGGGTTTTGGAGAAGAGCATCAAATTGATCCAGATCAATGACATGGCAAGCTGGAATACCAAAGTATGAACATTGTGAATCTTTTTGCTTTCGAATTGTCTGTCGAATGGTTTGCTCTGGAGGAAAGTTGGCATTAACACACAACGTTTCCGGTATGACTCGCAATGCCTTAACAAAACATTCAATTCCAGCTGCCTCTAACAATGGTTGATCTTGTTTTCCATGCAATAACCATTGTTCCAACTGCCACATGCAATACAATTCAAACGAGCCACCTCCTGTGACAAATATTTGCTGTGATCTTGATGCCATTAGGTCGTGTTGTGCATCATTACTCTCGGCACGTTCACATATGGTTTGTTTGGACATCTTCTTGTTGCATTCTGTAAGAGTGACCATACATGTATAGAGAGCGTCTTGAGCATGTCGAACAAATTCTTCACACTGTTCCATCGTGCTCCCACGAATGATGGTCGTACATGTCGTGGGTTTCTCAATTTGGTATTTCTGATCATTCCACGCTTTAATGATGGTGGAAAGAACTTGCTGATGAGAGAGATCTCCATTCATTTGATATAATTCACACGACTCGACAAGTCCTAAATACTTTTGAGAAATCTTGTTACTTTTCTCGTCTAGATCAATCATTTCTCGACATTCATTCTGTAACTCTTCAATGGATTGAACATATTGAATGTTGAGAGTTTTGCATGTGAATTTACAAAGCTCTGATGGAACATTTTCAAGACATAAAATTCCAAATGATTGTAAATAATGTGAAACAAGGTCATGAACGACTCCTTTACAAATGACAATATTGGCATGAATAGATTTGATAGTTTCTGCCATTCTTTTGAAAACCATCTCTTCTTCAACCTGTGATTGTATTGATGGGTGGCCAAGTATTAGTAATTTCATTCATAAAGCATGAGGATTATTATAAAAAAGTGTCATTAATCCATACCTTCCACTTTTCAAGATTTTCCACAGTATCAAGAATGGCATAATGTTTTGTTTTTGTACGTTGTCTTTGCAATGGTCCATGAATGACCAACAATTTGTACGGAGACTCTCGTTTTGTCAGTACTTCAGTAGAGGTGACTGAGGTCGTTGGAACAATAACTGTTTTTGGAAGACATTCTGTTGTACCAAAAAGACCTGGTATTTTCAAGAGCATTATATTTTGTATATCAAAAGTGTTCCCATCCATAACACTTGTTTTTCATTGATTTTATATTTGATCGCTCGATTCTATTCCACAATTCAATATTTACACCTACCTCAAAATTGAATTTGTTAATAACGTTGCCAAATATTTGGCATGAATATGTACAGCCGTTTTTGACGAGAGTGCTGAATTGACAATGTTAAAGATGTTCTTTTTTCTGTTGTTCTCGAAATCCTCCTCCACGACAATTGAAGCTTTTGGAATAATTTCAGACTTGATAAATTCCAAGCACCAATCATATCCTTGCAAAATGTATTTCATTGGATAATTTTCTTTTCTATGTTTTGCATATGCTTGTTCACTGGAGTGTCCAGTAATGACCACAAGTGTTTGTTCATACATTATCGAAATTCAAAAATTCACTCACTAACACATACATTAAAGAACACGCTAATAGAGCTGTACTAGTGGTTCCGTCTCCAATAAATTTATCAAGTGATAAAACTGCTTCTACTAAAATACTAGCAGCAGCTTGCTGTACATTTAATTGCTTCAAAAGAAAGGCTCCGTCTTGACTGACAGTTACTCTGTCGCAAGACATGTTCAAAATAATTCAATGGGTTATGCATTCATTTTCAGCATTCCGATGAATCATTCACGCAGTCAGTTATCATCATTTCGGAAATGTTCAAATAATAATATATTAAAATTGTTAAATGATCATGATGAAAATATAAATCTTCCTTTCTCCATTATTATTATTTTATATCTACCTTTTATGAGGATCCACAATTAATTTACTTCTCGCATTAGGTCCCAATGAACTTTTCAAAATATCTTTCAATGCTCCGATGGCCATCACATTTTCATGAAGTGCATCGGATCGAATCTTATTTTGCATTTTTTCTCTACAAGCTGTTGTAAACTTTGTGAAATCCGAACAAACCACTACTGCATTCGTAATATCACCAATCACGAACCTATTTTCGTTGTTGAAATTAGTTCATGAAAGTTCAGATACTATTTTCTTGCTTTTGTTTGGAGGTAATCAAAAAAAAAAATGTGTTCACTACTAATAATAAGGATCCTTCCACCAATTTTAAATATTATTAGGAACAACCAGCTGAAATATTCATGGTTGGCATCCACAAGGAACCATTCTTTTTTTCAACACAAATTTATAACGCTCTTGATGATGATTTTCATATCATTATCATTTATAATGAGCTTTCGGAATTTTGATCATCACTCTTTGGTTTATGCACAACGATCATCAGGTCAAAAACGAATAGACTTTGAAATGTCACAATCATACGGGCACTCGGTCAATGATGGCTATCAAAGAGTGATTCATTCTGGAGCTCGGAATGTCAATAATATGGAAACATCGTTTGGAGCACATTTTAGAAATTGTTGGAATATGTCTCAAAGCATGAGTAATCAGTTGCCCTTTACACGTTCCATGGTCACTGAGCAGTGGATTCCGAGTTCATTTGGATGTTCCAATATTTCACTATGGACGAAATATGGAGTTCCGAAATATTGGGCCAATACCGAAGTTGAACCTTTGTTTTACTCGAGTTTTATCTATTTTGATAATTCGGGAGAGAGTTATGATTTGTGTTCAAAAGTTGGAAATTGGGAGAAGAAATTGAAATTGTCATGTGATGAAATATTGTGTGGAAGTGTTGAAAATTTGAGCGCATTCGTTCAAGAATTAACAGAAAAAGAAACAAACATCTTTGATTGGATCAATTATTGTCAATACTGCTCGAAAAACAACACATTGAGGTCGTATCAACAAAAATTGGAACCTACTCGAGGATGTTTTCCAAAAGACAAGACAGTGAATGAAATGATCAATCGATTTCCAAGCTCCCTTACGTTTTGTGGAAATTACGATTTTGGAATACCTCTCATTATTAACACGAGTGCTCTAGTTCCAAACGTTATACAAAACAACCTAAATTTTGCATATATTTGCTATTGCAGGGACAATTTATTCACTTTCAAGTGTGCCGGTAATGATGTCCAATATGCAACGGGTCAGGCCATTTCCTATGGATCATTTGCCATTCATGCATTTTCATTCATACTGACCTTCACATTGACCTTCCTACCGAAATTGAAATCCGTGATTAAGCAACGAAAATTCTTTCGATTTGTGACCATTGCTGTGGTATTGTTCACTGAAATTATTCTCTCACTGACTTTTACACTCTCTGCAGCATGGGCAACCAATATTGTGACCACCATTCTTGGAAACACTGCTCTTTCATTGGTGTTTTTCACACTGTTTGCATGGGTCGCCTATTGGGTTCGGTTAGTCCTTTATGTGAAAACTAAAAAAACCACACTTGCCATCCTATTATATATTGGCTTTGGATTGTTATGGCTGATCGTTGGAGTTGTAATACCATGTATCATTGGTGCATTAGGAAATTCATTGTACGAAACTGCTCAATTCTATGCAATCTATATGGGTTCCTTATCATTGATAGCATGTATTATATTTGTTTCAACTTCCACCTGGATTTATTGGGCCATGAAAAAAGTGTCGGATGTCAACATGTTGAACACATCGGTAAGTATGTTCGAGTGTGAAATAATGATTGACCTTAATTCATCCTTACTGCTCCTTAATTGTGTGTTAATTTATGTATGCTCAATCATGTATTTCAATAATTATTACGTTTACCAGTTCATCCGATTTGTCATTTACTCCTCCATCTCCACTCTCGTCCTCTCCAGTGCCTATCTAATCATGACTCAGGTGGCAGGAGCTTTCTTCATTGGAGTGCTGTCTGGATCCTTTAGCATTGTCACTCACGTTTCCATTGCCTCAATTACTTTGGGCCTCACATATATGGAATTTGAAAAGGAAGAATTTATGGAATTTTATGCATGTTGTTGTCATTGTTGTACTAACGAGAAACGAGATTCCACTCCTCCAACCGATCAGCACAGCCATTCCAACAAGGATTATTCAACCTTTTATGGAGATGAAGATCCAACGAGTACAAGTAACACAGGTAACACATACTATTCCAAAATGCCTATCAATGACTCGGATGACTAAACTGGATCATGTGGGGTGTTTCAAAAACAGATGATGATTACAATCTTGATGTAGTGTTCTAACATTTTTTAATTGAAGTTTATTCCGTTAACAACAACGACGATTGATGAAAAAATGTGTTCAAGCGAAAAACGACCAACAGTTGTCATGATGAAGACGTTAATGAAATACATGATTGTTGAAATAATATTCTGCTTCTTTTTATTGGTAGTTCATGATGACCACCCATTCAATCGGAGCTTTGTTTTTGCAATATCATCATCTCGGAGAGATCCAGCAACAGGCTTTGAGCTGAAACAAACCCCAGCACCCGTGAACGACACGTTGCAAACGGAACATTTGACACAACTTTCACAATTCTTTAACAATTGTTGGGACGTTACTCGATATATGAGCGACCAAAATTGGTTTATTGCAGCCATTGGTACAGAACAATGGTTTCCGAGCTCGTTTGGATGTTCCAATGTTTCGCTGTGGACCAAATACGGAGTGAATCGACTTTTTGAAGCGACACAACAACCATTGAGATATTATTCGTTTATTTACTTTGAAAAACGTGGAGAGAGTTATGATTTGTGTTCAAAAGTTGGATATTGGGAAATGAAATTGAAATTGGCGTGTGGTGAATTACTGTGTGAAAATGATCATGTTGATAATTTGAGTGCGTATGTGGAAGAAATTACACAAAAACAAACAAACATCTTTGATTGGATCAATTATTGTCAATACTGCTCTAGAAACAACACATTGAGGTCGCATCAACAAAAATTGGGACCTACTCGAGGATGTTTTCCCAAAGACCAAACAGTCAGCGACATGATTAACAAATTTCCACAATCGCTTGGTTATTGTGGAAATATAGAGCTTGGAATTCCTATTGTTGTCAACAGTAGCGATGTTGAGCCACGAGGTATCTTAAATTTTCCCTACTCTTACATTTGTTATTGCCGCTCTAACATTACTGCCATCAAGTGTGATTACAATGTCGCCCAATTTGTGTCCATTCAGACAATTTCTTTTGGTGCATTCAGCATTCACGCCATTTCATTTTTCGTAACCTTATTTTTCACATTCTTGCCCAAACTGAAATCTTCGATCAGACAAAAGAAATCTGTGCGCTTTGTTACAATAGCAACTGTGTTGGAAACTGAGCTAGTGCTCGCAGTTGCCTTCTTACTCTCTGCGACATGGGGAACAAATATTGCAACCACGATTTTTGGAAACATTGCAATATCATGCGTATTTTTCACGCTCTTTGCATGGGTCGCCTATTGGTTTCGATTAGTTCTTTATGTGAAAACGAAGAAAACAAAACCTGCCATACTATTATACGTTGGACTTGTGCTCTTATCCCTTACTGTTGGAATTGTAGTACCTTCTATTGTGACACGTGCTAAAGCCCTTTCTGAGATTGTTGAATTCTTTACATACTACATTTTTGCACTCTCTGTGTTGGCTCTGATCATGTTTGTGCTCTCTTCGGTATGGATTTATTGGGCCATGAAAAAGGTTTCCGATGTCAACATGTTGAACACTTCGGTGAGTATTTTACAGATTTGTTTTTTCTCAAAACACACAACTAACCGTTTGAATATTGACCACAATCGACCAATATTCACAAATTGAAAACTCGTTCAGTTTCTAAGATTTGTCATTTATTCCTCCACTTCAATCCTTGTTTTTTCCATAGGCTACTTTATTATAACTCAAATCTCAGGTGGCTTCTTTATTGGAATTATTTCTGGAATATTTAGTATCGTTACCCATACAACTATAGCATCGATTACTTTGGGAATCACTTACATGGAATTTGAAAAGGAAGATTTCATGGAATTTTATTCGTGTTGCTATTTGAAAGGAAAAACATCAGCAGCAGTATCCACGACTCTAAGCTTTGATAAGAATAGTTCTAATACTACTAGCTCCGAACAAGAGCAACATGATACGGGAGCAACAAGTTCAAACACTTACTATTCCAAAATTTCTGATTGAACGTGGTAGACCCCCCGAATTTAGAAAAATTTCATCCTTTTAAAAAAATCATCAGCCTCGAGAGCACCCTGCAGCCGATCCGAAGCCATGACGATGATCCAATCGATAACTCTTGTTTTCATGACGTTGATAGTCGGAGGGCTTCTCATGATCTATAGCCTTATTGAGGCAAAGGTTGTGAATTATAATGGTAGGGCCTTAATACCTCACTCAGAAACAAAGGTTCACTCCGATCATCGAGAAGGCTTGATATATTATTCACCCGAATTTTCAAATTGTTGGAACCTTTCGACCTATATGGCAAATAGAGCAGATTTTTATCAAACAACTGGACAAGAACTATTCATTCCTAATGAATTTGGATGTTCAAATGTTACTCTTTGGACAAAGTTTGGAGTACCTTCATATTTCGAAGATCTTGATATTTCACAATTTTACTCGTTTCTAATGTTCCACAATGATGGTGAGAGTTATGATTTGTGTTCCAAAGTTGGAAATTGGGAGAAGAATTTAAAATTGTCATGTGATGAACTGTTATGTGAAAATAATGATCGTGTTGATAATTTGAGTGGGTATGTGGAAGAAATTACACAAAACCAAACGACCATTGTTGATTGGATCAATTATTGTCAATACTGTTCCAATAACCACACATTACGATCTTACAAACATACACTCACACTTGGTAGAGGATGTTTTCCAAAAGACATCACAGTGAGCGCCATGATCAATCAATTTCCAAGCTCCATCACTTTTTGTGGCACGGCTGATTTTGGAATTCCTATTCTTGTGAACAATACAAATATTGCAGCTGATCCATTTATGACTCGAAACGGATACTCCTATATATGCTATTGCGCACATGACCAATATTTTAGCCTAAAATGTGCAAACAATGCGATCAACTTGTTGGTACTGCAAGCCATTTCAACAGGTCTCTCAGTCATTCACCTCATTTCATGTTGCCTCACCTTTTTCATGACCTTTTTACCAAAGTACACAGCCAGCTTTAGAGAAAAGAGACCGTTTAACACCATTACCATTACTTGCGTGATCATTGGTGAGATATTATTATTTTTCACAACAGTGTTTTCTCAATACTTGGGTTCAAGTTTTTCAATGACTATACTCGGTAACTTTGCTCTTTCACTCCTCATCTTTAGCCTTTTCACATGGGTCTTAAATTGGTGCAGATTAATTGTATATGTGAAAACAAAGAAAGCGACACCATTTATCATCATTTACCTCGTGTTAGCGTTGGTTTTCCTTGTGTTATATGTGGCAATCCCAATATTAATTTCAGTACTGGTTTGTGATGACATGACGTCCGTTAATGTATTCTTTGCATATTATAATTCCTCTTTAACCTTTCTTGCATGTGCTGCATTCATAGCCCTCACTGTATGGATTTATTGGACTATGAAAAAGGTTTCTGACATCAACATGTTGAATTCTTCAGTAAGTTTGTGAGATTGAGATGTGAATCAATTTCAACATATTTATGCTAATGTCAAAACACTCATTGTTTTATTAGTGTTTGAGATTTGTAATTGTAGCCTCAATTTCTATCGTTGTGTTTGCTGCAACCAATTTAATTATTAGAATAACAGTCCTACACTCGAATCTGTTAGCACAGGGAATATTTCTCGTAGTATACAACACAAGCACGATATTTATTACTTGTGGACTCACCATTATGGAATTTGACAAGGAAGAATTCCGAGACTTTTATCGTTGCACCACATGTTGGGCCAAAATGCAAAAGACAAAGCAAAAGCATGGAAAAGATGAATCTCTACTTGCTGATAACTCGGACAACTTGGTCACGACAAATAATGAAGACTCCTCCACATCACACAGTACCTACTACAGTCTTGTGAAACATTAAGCATTTCTTTTGAGAGAACACAATAGATGAGTGCTAAATTTCAGTACTCATCACTGTCTGAGTGGTGAGAGATGGATGAAGGCTTCACCATGATATTCATGTTGGTTGTGGAGGGAAGAGGTCTTGACCTTCGTGGTTGTTGTTGTTGTGAACTAGTTGTTGCTACTGTAGATCTATTTCGATCGAATTCCTCTTTCCTTGTAGATTGTTCATTTTGTTGGCCTTGCACTGACAGTCGTGAACGTTCGATGGCTTTCTGAAGTGATTTTTGATGTCCTCTTTGAATTGGAGTTAAAGGAAGAGGTCTTTGTACATTTGTAGAATTCGAGTTTTCACGAGTCGATCTCGAATCAGATGTTTGAGCAACCCTTGGTTGTGAGGAATGATCTTCCTCAACCATCGCCATTGTTCCTTCTTCGTTGTTGGTTGCCACTGAAGAATGGATTTGAGTTTTGCTTGCAATACGACTCTGGAGTGGAGTAGAAGGTTCTTTCGATACGCCTTCATCTTCTTCATGACTGGATTCATGGTGGTCATCTTCATCGTCATCACTACTCGACATGATATTTCCATTCAAAGCTTTCATTCTCTCTTTCATCTTCTTGGCTCTCTTACTTCTCTCCTTTTCCATGATTTGTGAATAGTATTCCATAAACTCTTCGTTGGAAGCCATTTCCATTTCAAGCTCTGCCACTTGTCTCTTTCTCTGTATGATTCGAGTCATGTCAATACTGACAGAAACCACCGTTGTAAATACGAATATTACCATACTCACGACCAATACGATACTTGTAGCATCTCGTTTAAACACCAAATCATAATATGAATCGACAATCGAATTGGAATAGCGTTCAAATTGCCACATTCCATTCACACAAATCATTCCATTTGAGAAATTTCTCGATTGCTCTTCACATTGTCGACATTTATGATGAATACATTGTAAGACATTTTGTTGATACGAGTTTTCGACTTGTTGTTTCAATAGAGTTTCTCGAGAGGATGATGGATTTGATGAGGAATAAGGAGTAGTGGATATGGGAGGAGTGAATTCTCCACACACCTTATTCGATGGAACCACTTCATTCCTCGAACAATTACTATTCCATTTAGGATGAAGCGTGAGTAACACACATTGCAGAGTTTTTGCTGAGCAGTATTCACCAGGACGACAATCGGGATGAACGGGATAGGAAATGGAGAGAGGAAGCATTTTGCAATGATTGCTGGAAGCAGGTAATGAGGAGGCGAATGTGAAACCATGACAAGATGTGATGAAGAGGAGAAGGAAGGAAATATATGCAATTATTACATGAGAATTCGTAAGAACGTTTGGTTGCTGTAGTTGTGGAAGCATCTTCTTTTTAAATGGTGATATAAAATAAGAAATTTCCTTATTTAGATCTAAAATCTTTAAAATCTTTGAGCTATCTACAAAAATTCATTCTCTTCAGAAGCACATGGTGCTGCGTCCGCTGCTACTCCAATATGAGCTTTTCCTGCTAGCCCATTTGCATGCATTTTGTTTTTAAACACTGTAATTGTTTTTGTTGATTGCAAATAAATGGCATTCTTTGAATGATTACTGAATACGCTCCTCTCTATTTTCACATCAGAATCATTCATACAAATGATGGCATGTCCCTCATTCTTTTGGAATATAGATTTGCTAATTTCGCCTTGAGAGTCGTCACAAAATTTGATTCCATGAATTTTGTTACACTCAATGTGACATTCAGAAACCATGAGTTTTGTAGGTTCTATTGGAGGTTTTTTCACTGGCATGTCTGACGATGGAGATGATGACGAAGAATTTGAGGAATGTTGAGCAGCTTGATCAAGCTGTAATTGATTTTCATCGGAGGTGTGAATTGGAGCATCTGTGCTCGACGATGAAGTCCCCGAGTTGGATGTCATCGTCGTCGTCGTTACACCATTGACAGGTGCTTCTGCCTTTTTCCTCAATCGATTATTTACAACAATTCCATTTCCATAACCACCTCGTATCACGACATGATCCAATTTACAAATTCCAGAAACAACTTCCAAACAACTGGTATTCTCATAAAACAAGATGGTATCTTTCGAAGCATTTTGTGTCAATGTCAAATGTTCCACACAAACCACATTTCGATCAATTCCTAATAATCTCTGTTTTTCCAATTCTTGAACTGTTAAATTTTCATTCCAAGCATCAATCTTCATAATGGTCTTGACTCCTTCACACGAACAAATGTGAACGAGATCCATATCTGGATACACTCCTCGAATCGTTAATGGTTTTTTGACCATCAATGTTTCATTGAGTTTGTAAATTCCACTTCGCAACACAATATGATCTCCGTCTTTGGCTTGATCGATGGCTTTTTGTAAATCATGGAATGTGCAATCTTCAGTCGAATCGGGATCGACAACATGTAATCGATAATCGGAATTTCTCATGGATGAATTATTAATTTCCTTAATCCATCGCTCTTGTTCATTCATGTCTTCACATGCCAAATAATAGGTTCGATGGGGTGAAATGATTTTAATTCCATATTTTTTTTTGTAATTGGATAATTCGACGCCTTCACACGTGAGACCTTGAATGTTGATCATTCCTTTGGGTTTGGTGTCTTTTTGTGAGACATAGTAATAGAGTTTTCCTCTGTTTTTTGGATTCCATCATAATAATTTTGAAATAATAATTTCAATAATTTAAAAAATAGAAAATAAATTTAAACAATCCGAACGTTGATGAGAATTGAAATGTTTGGACATGGTAATGATCGAACAGTGATTATTGTTGGTGTTACAAGTTAATTGTTGATTCGAACATTTTGTTCATACATACTGATGTAGAATACACAATCGATCATGCCATGTTTTAATAGATCCTCCTTGTTTGGCCTTGTTTGATGTGATGACATCAACAAATTACAAATTCGAACGTGTCACGATCATCGTGTATTCAATGAATTTGAAAATTCCATCATTCGTTTCTCATTCATACAACACTTTGGATTTCTACTAACACACAAAAACCTACCAACGTTCCCATATAATCATGATCTCTCATTAATTCAGTTGCCGATACTTTGGGTGGTTCTTCAAGGATCTCTTTCCACTTCTTGCCGGCCTTCTTCACCTTCTTTTCGCTAGACATTTTTTTTAAAAAGTTGACAGATGGCAGTTGTTTTTGGCGAATGGTTTCTTTTTGAACAACTTTCAATTAAGGAATACTGTCGACAAAGGGAGTTGTAATTCTAGCATTGGTAGATGAATGTGTTTATTGTTGGTCAGTATGACGATAGTTGTCGCCTCCTCCATGGTAGTTGTTGTAATCGTTCTTATGATAAGGCATCATGTTCTTCTTGTAGTCAGATGAATAGGTCGACGACTTTTTCTCTCTTCGTTGGTATGCAATCTTCCTGTATTTTTTAGTGCCTTCCAATTCTTTCTTTGCACGGATGGCATCCTTAACATGAGCAAAATTGACAAATGCACACTTTTGGTCACGCAACAAGTTTAAGCTGTCAATAGGGCCAAACTTTTCAAAATCGCTGTGAATTGTTGTGTAGTCCATTTTCATATTGTGGAATCGACCAACCCATAAATGCCTAGTTGGCTCTGTGGCCTCAGGAATATGATCTTCTTTTTCATTGTAGTCCATATTCACATTATCTCCGTGTAAATCAGCTCCAGGTGGTGGAGGTGGAGGTGGTTGAACGTCCGAAGTTGGAACATTCTTTGGTGAAGTTTCTGGAATGTTTGGAGCATTATAAGATCTTCTTGGACCATTGCCGTAATGATGAGGCTTTCGATAATAGCTGTCACCTCCACTGTAATCGTCCATATTGCTATAAGATGACATGGTTGAATAATTGTCAGGACGTCGATTATAAGAACCCATTGGGCCACCTGTGCTTCCGTTACCTGGTTGATATCTGTCATCGCCATACTTTTTATATGGTCGTTGATTGCGATCATATTCGTCATGATATGTTTCTTCCTTGTAATATGGTTTAGAATATGGCTTATTGGAGTAGCCAAAGTTGGCAGAGTCAGGTCTCCTTGGTGGCACAATTGGAGGAGACGTTTGTTGTGGTGGTGGCTGATAAGAGTGAGGAGGATATGTATTTGATCTGGAGAACCCAGAAGTAGGTGGTCCACCACTGTAAGCATGATGACCCGACGATGAAACCATTGGAGGTGGTGGTGATGATGGTGGAGGTGGTGGAGGAACACTAGAAGTTGGTGGAGGTTTTCTAATTGGAGATGATGGATAAGATCTATGATAAATGTCATGAGGGGGTGGAGGAGGCTGCGCTGAGCTTGGAGGCATTGGAATTGGAGACACGTCATGATGTGGTGACTGATAAGTTGGATATTGAACTCCATATGGACCATCTTTTCTTCTCTTTGGTGAAATTGGTCGTGCTTGAGGCTCCACATATGCATTCGTCATTCTCTTTCTCTTCAACTCGTTATCATACGTGTCGTAATGTCGCATGTCCATAGGCATTGAGGAATGGCTTGGAGGCATTGTTTGTTGTTGCATGTGCATTGGAGGATAATTGCTTGACGTGGTGCTATGGCTATATTGATCTGGAACCATGTTATGAGGTGGATAATTTGGAGGCATTGTATTTTCTTGAGGAGGATATCTTCCGAGTGATTGAGGCATCGTCTGTTGATAATTGCCATCTTGTGGAATTTGAGGTTTTTCGTAGAGATTGCTCTGAGGTGGTGGAGGTGGTGTTTGTTGTGACATGTGCATACCTGGAGCAATATTGCTTGAAGGAGGTATCACAGGCATTTCCGTACCAACAGCATTCTTAGGTAAATTACTATACATGAGTGGATTCGTATAGCCTGGAGGGCTGTTGCTTGTCATTGAGGCTGGTGGCATTGTTGGAGTACGAACCGCAGTAGTAGGTGTATAACTTGTTGGAGTAACTGCAGCTATAGCGTTCAGTAAAGATGAAACTGACGAAGAATCGAGTGGTTTGACATCTGCTGCGAATGCATTCTCCATCTGCACTGGAGTTTCTCCTGTTGGAGTGCTCAAGGTTGCTTTGTTTTTTGGAATTTTAGGGATGGATAATAATGATAATTGCTTCTTCTTAATATCTTCATCGTTTGATGTTGGTGACTTAGGTGTTGTTAATATTGGAGTGCTACTGGAGGAAGTCTTTTTGTTCTTTTTCGAGGTTCTCTCAGGACTTGAATCATCCTTCATCATCAGAGCTCCAATAAATTTGCTTGGATCATCCTGAACTTCAGTTAGACCCAATGGTTTCAAAAATCTACTCTTTTTTGGTATAAATAATAGAATTCTGTCATCAAATGATATCGATCCAACACAGTTTTCTCTCTCCAAAACGTTGTACATTTCTTCAAGCTTATCCTCCTCTGATTTACTCCTAGACGAAAATGATAGAATATAAAACGATGAACTTTCAATATCCTCAACCTTGTCCAATGCAATTTTTTGATTCACCTCCACTGTGGAACCAACGTCCAATTCAAATGACGAGTCTGATCCTAGAAGCGACACATCAAATGAGCCAAGAGTTCTTCCCTTGTACTTGACGGTTAGTTTTTCAACTTTTGTCCATGGTGAAGATTTCTTCTTTACCAATTTCCTCTTGCTAGTTTTCTTTGGCTTTTTAACCTCCACCGACTCATCACTATCAAAATCTAGTGATACTGGTGGCTCCTCTTCTTTCTCTTCTTCCTCTTCTACTTCTTCTTTAATGTCAGTATCACCTTCCTTTTTTTCCTCCAATTTTTTGAGATAGAGTATTTGTTGTCGTGAAGTCATTTTAACTGAATCATCTTTAGCAGTCTCTTTTTTGTCTTGTGTTGTTTGTTGCTGTTGTTGTTGTTGTTGTTGGAGCTTGTCCGCTTTTCTTGGCCTTCCTGGTCTTCGCTTCACAGGTTGGGCTGGTTCAACTACTGCAGGTGGAGTTGGAGGTTTTGTTGTGGTTGTTGTTGTTGTTTCGGCAGCTTTATCACTCTCCTGAGACATGGTTGCCAAAAAACGTTTCTTTAGTGGATATAATGGTGTTGCGGGTGAAACTGGTGTTGTTAAATTATGTAGCAGCTCTTCATCAGCTTTAATTGAACCTGGATCAAGGTCAGCGTCGTTGAGAGCCAATACTGCTGCCTGTCCCAGAGATAACAGTCCACCATCTAGAAGAGTATCCTCCATTGGGGATATAGGCTTGGTGGGTGTTGGTGTTGTAACTACAATTGGATTCTTTCTTGGTCTACCTCGTGGTCTACCTGTTGGTGCTTTTTTCGGTTTGGGTTCGTTTTTTGGTTTTCTTCCTCTCTTCTTTTGACCCGTGGTGGTGGTTGTTGTTGATGATGTCGTTATAGGTTCGCTTGTTCGGTTATTTGTTACTGATGATGATTTACTGGGTGCTGATGATGTTTCTTCCTCTTCATCGACTAGATCCGAAAAATTATCAGAGGATTGGCTATCATTTTCATCTTCGTACGTCTCATCCATATCATCATCGATTGTTTTTCTTCTTGGCATTATATTGTTAAAATAAAATAATAACCGCAATAATAATTTAATACTCTTCTGATGAGAGTAAAATATATCAATAATATTTGTTTTGTTTGATGGATGCTACACTATAATTATTAAAATTTGTTGTGCCGCAATAATTAACGTCAAAATGATTGTGGATGATATGCTGGTTACTCTCCAACAAAAATGTGATGGGGTGATCGTTATTTTTTTTACAAACAAAATTTTTTTTCGTCTATGGCTTGTGGTGATGGCGGATTTTGTCTTTCAATCCTTGGGTTGGAAGAATTATAATATGATGATAATCGTTTATTTTGAATAATACTGAGTGATTAAAATTGGATGTATTCATCAATAGTTCATCAAAAAGTGTCGTGTTAAAAATTTCGGGATGGGATTCGAACTCACACAATAATATTCTTTTCAAATTTCATTCCCTTTAAGAGCAAACGTGCACATTGTGTGTGAGTGGCAACAACAAACGCACCATTTTCTCAGTTTATGAGCTAAAGACAACCCATGGCTGACAAGGTCAATATCTTCAAGAAGGACTTGTGAATAGTTATAATTATTATTTAATCATCATTGATGAATTTTGTTTTTCACAATTTTGAACCAGCCCTCAACATTCAACGAGTGTGCACAAGCCAGGTCTTTCGTGGGCAACTCTTCAATCTGATCCAAGCTTTCAACGAATTCACAACAGGTTCAATCTAATTGATTGTTTGACTATCTCTCTCACTTTGCTTGGCCACAAGAGAGATAGATGTTATCCAATGATCAAGTGACCATCATGTAATTTCCAATTTTGAGCTCAACAACTGTAGTGTAATGAAAGCATTGCTTTTGAATCAATAATGCAAGTAACTTCCTCTCTCGTGCAATAGATATATATTAACTTGTTATATATTGAGATGCATCTCAGCAGCACACCACAGAGAATTCTTCCGTGTTACGAAGTGTGAGTGAGCAATGCATTACTTTAAACTTCTCAATTTTCCATATTTAAAGGTTTACCAAAAATTTCTTTTGGAATTCACTGCATACAAACAGAATGGATTCATAATGAATGTATACAATAATATCTCTTCAACTAACATTGAATGCCCATAGCAAGAATTTCACTATGTATGACTCGATCAAAAGTGAAAAGTCTTCTTATCAAGAGTTTGTAAACATGTAAGACACAAAGAGGGTTAACTGACATAAATGTACTTTTGTCTTTCAGATCCCAAATGAGAAGAGAGTTTTTGTCATACAATATAAGAACGATTGGTACATTTGATAAGACAAGGCAGAACCATTCATTTCAAAGTCTGATTTTGAAACATGTAGTCGTTGTGTGTTGTTGGCTGCAATTAATTGTGGACTAGTCCAATAGTTATGCATGAAACATCACATGGTTAAGATCGTTCCACTCATCATGAAACGTTTCAGACCTCTCTCACAATTCAATTGTTCTCTCTCTCTTCTTCAAAAGGCGTTAGCACTGCTCTGTAAAAACAACGAAACGCACAATTTTAAGATTCTCAGGTTTTATTGCTACTGTAACTGCAAGTCCACCACTTTTAACCAACTTCCCATCAAGCCTTTGATGCCTCCCACTATACAACCTCCACACGTGGAAAAACTCCAAACTTGAGCTCCACATCAAAGCCTTGAGGTGATGCATCCAGCTGTGTAGTGATGGTCGTTGGTTGAGCTCAGAGGAATTTAAAATCAACCGATGCATCAAGGGATTATTTTGAAGAAGAAAAAAAAACAACAACGTATCCATTCTTGTGCGCACGTACCGCTTGTAGCCAACAGCAGAACAAAATATTTTTGCTTAAAGCAGCTCTTGTTGACCGACTCGAATTGGACTCTCACGAAGAAGAAGAACACAACAACCAACTCTCTCTCAACAGCACATACACAGAGAGGGCCTCCCATTCATTGAAGTAACGAGTTCTCATCATTAGAAGCAGTCTTGTATCCAATCCGTAGCAAGCTTGAAAGCAGCTCAGCACAAGCCTTTTGCGAATCCGATACAAAAGCTCGATAATTTTGAAGAACACACCAACACCTTCGACCACACCATACGCACGCATCTCAAGTATAGATCGTTATTGGCTTTATACTTCATCAGCATTATAGGTTATCTCTGGTTCTAGTTAACACCAAATACGTGTCTCAGCATCATCCCCAGAGAGAAACATTTGCCAGCTCATCAAGCAATTTCGAACCAAGCTCAAAATTTCCGGACGAATTCATTCACAGCCAAGCCAAACGTTCATCTTTGATCCATTGTTAACAACAATACCAGCAACAACACTCTATTCTACTACAACAGCATCTTCGTGCACTCACATTATTATTCATCTTACTCTCCTGCCAACAATAGGAAGCATTCCAAAACAGGACAATAGCAATTCCTTTCCTTGCGAACCAACAACAACATTCAATCAGTTTGAGTAAGAAGCATCACACAACCATCATACACAACAACAACACAAAGCATACGTTTATTATTATCGTCATACCAGTAGCCACAACACAAAATGACTCGTTTTGCATTCAGAGCATCAGCCATGGAACCTTCTGCTGCTGACACCAACAACACTTCTGACGAAATGCCAACAATGGATGTTACTTCTCCTTCTTCGGCAACCAGCAATGTGATTGACACCACCACCACCAACAACATGAATGTCCATAATATTGCTGTTGTTGATACCACGAACAACAACAACAATACCTCTGATGAGACTTCTTCGAAGGATGACGAACCTTACACTGAAGACAACTCCGTCGAGGATGAAGAGGAATACTTGGAAGATGACGACGCCGACTCTTCCAAAGGAAAGGGCAAAAAGAAGAGGAAATCTCACGTTGAAACCAAGCACAGAAAGACCTTCATGTCTATTGACGTCATTGCCATGAGATCATGCTTGCATCTCAACCAAAAGGAAGCAGCAAAGAAGCTCAATGTTTCTTTGAGTACACTCAAAAGAAGGTATGTATTAAGCTCATTGCATTCATAATTCGAGTAATCACGCTAACCATTTCTTGATTGTCGTTATTTGTGTGTGTACTTTGATAATAATGCTATGTGTACAATTCCATTCACATTGACTTGCATCTCATTTGCCATGATTCATCGTCCTCTCCATCAGATTTTACGAAATGAGACATGAATTGGGATGTGACAAATGGCCCTACCCTCCACATAAACCAACCTCTGGTACTGGCAAGAGAAAGCACGCAGCAGACTCTTCTGATGAAGATGCAAATATGCCTTCCGATGAAGAAACCAATTCTGACGGTGAACAAGAAATGATCACCTCGTACAGAGCCAAGACAAGGAGGCAATCAGTCTCTTCAGCCCTCAACAAGAGAAGAGACTCGATTCAGGCAGACTATGTTTCCCAACCCCCTCTAGACGATGTCACTCAAGACACCAACCACAGTTTCCATTATGATTACAAATCCGCTAACTCTTATGAACGCAATTCCAAAAAGCTCAAAGCTACCCACACTGGCTTCCTGTCCTCTTCCCTCCCTGAACCATACGGTAAGCAGCCTTCTACTTCCTCGACTCAGCATGCTCCTCATCAAGAGAACCCTGAGTTTGTTTTCTACAAGGACAGTTACGAGGAACAGAACTCTTCTGATGGTGATCAATCAAGCTCAGCTCCAGAAATGGTCTCGGACGACGAGTATCTCCAAGTTGCTCAGAGAGCAGCCAAGGCAACTAGTGCTAGTATGGTCACAAAGAAGAAGGTAACCTGTGACCTCAACGAGATCACTAAAAAGACACAATCTCTCGACAATCCTCGTGAGAAGGAGATTTATAGTGGAGCCATACTGTTGATGGCCTTCAAACAACAACAAATCCTTTCCAATACCCTCTAATCTACTTAAGCCTGACAGCCTTGCGATGCACTCACTAGGTTGTTCTTTTTCTTCACCCTTATTAACATTATTTCCACAATCCCTTACTTCCCTGTAAAGATCCATCTTTTCACCCTTATCCTACATCCTATTGAGAGAATGTAAATAAAACAAACTCCAATTATCTTTAATTTGATTTTTGTGCAATTTGAAAATGCATTTTGATTTGGCTATTCTGATGATTTCTGTGGCCACAGAAAGATTTTCACACTCCGAGAAAAAATTGCAATCATACAACCATGATTTTCCCAGGTATGTTTCATCGATGAGCAACATCATCATGATGGTGACTTATATTATTGCAGGTGAGCATGAAAAGCACGAAAGTATTTGGATGGCTTTAGGTAGGTGTGTTATTATTTTCATGATTTTTCACAATATATTGTGAAACCACACATATTAAAAAGGTCCAACAAGTAGTGAAAATAATTATGAATATACTTTCAAGAAATGTGAAGAGGACCCTCTCCGATACAGTCCTTTTCATCAAGTTCAGTAAGTATATTGGCATTTTCACCAATTTGATGATGGAAATATTATTATATATATTTCAATTAAATTATTTTTCTAATTCAATGCGAATTGACAAGACTGCCAATGATTGAAGCTCTTCTCTCTGGAAATAATCCAGTCCATCTCGAAAACAATGACATCAAGCATGAAAAATTTTACATTGACTTGATCATTCATCAAGATCAAGATAAGGACTATGTGAAAAATTGTCTCAGAAAAAGAAACAACATTCACTCGACCTTAATTGAAGAACACATACGATTTCATGTCATTGAACATTTGGACATGTGGATGAGAGACAATGGACCAATTTTTGTCGTCAATAGAGAACAAGGAACTCGAGCCATTGTTGATTTTGGATTTACCTTATGGTCGTATTGCAAACAACAGGACGAAGAGGCCATCATTGAGGAAGCTGTCGATCGTAAAGTTGCTCATTTACTCAATATCCCTGTCATTCGTTCTCATCTCATCAGTGAAGGTGGAAATCGAGAATTCAATGGACGTGGAATTCTCATGATGGTCGAACATGTCGAAATGCAACGAAACAAATGCAATCAAATCACACACCGTACTCAAATCGAACAAGAAATGAAGAGAGTATTTGGAGAGAATTCGGCACGACACATCATTTGGCTCGAAACTGAAGGTCTCGTTGAAGATGCCCATGCCTATCGAGGTCTCATTCCCAACACGGATGTGTTGTGTTCCATGGGAACAGGTGGACACATTGATGAGTGGTGTCGATTTGCCAATGAATCGACCATTCTATTGGCTCAAGTTCCAGATTCGTTGCAAGATTCCATTTCAGTAGAGAATCGAAAGAGATTGGAACAAAATTATGAATTATTATTGAAAAAGTGTGAAGTTGAATTGAAAGAGGAACAAGTATTGAAAATTTTACGAGTTCCTACAGCGCCTCATATCATTCATCATATTTCTGAAGGTGATGGAGTCTATGAAACTCTCAAATTACTCGAATTTGAAGATGGTTTTGATTTGGAAAAGCATGCAAACAATTCTCTCAAATTTATTATTGCATCGAGTTATTTGAATTTTCTCGTGAGTAATCGAGTTGTGTTAATTTCCAAGTATTATCGTGAGGGTCTTCCAGAGAGTGTTCGACAATTGGATGAACAAGTGTTGCAAATATTTAAGGAGGTGTATCCTGATCGAACGGTGGTACAAATTGCAACTGAGGTGTTGAATATGGGTGGAGGAGGAATGCATTGTATCACTCAACAAATGCCAGCTCTCTAAGTGTGTATTCATGGTGTTCTGTTGATTGTTTCAATAAATTTGTTTCATGAAACACGTGCCAGGCTTGAAAGGGTTTGTCAGGAAGAAAAAAATGTCTACCGCCCAATATCATAGTCCCGTGGATCCAAACAGTTACCCAACACTTGCTGTGGTGCTTACATCGATTGGATTAATGTTTATGGCTTTGTTTTTGGTGTAAGTAAAAAGTAATGGTTGAATGAACGAGTGTGTTGAAACAAATTCCGAACTTGTGATTATTTGTTTTGGACGTGATGATGATGGTGAAATTCAATGATGATGATGATCTAACTTATGGAAATAACCAAAATATAATTTATGATTTGGCTTACCGATGGTGATGATAAATATTAATCAAAATTCAATTCATCATGAATTATTTAAATGGCACGATCGTTTCAACTTTTTGATGATTTTTGATTCATGTTTTTCGTATGTGCCCACGGGATCATCACCAAACACTGCTACATATACATCATCAAACACATTTTGATACACAAACAATACATCCATTAGTTATGAGGCTACCACTACCAAACAACACCGAAATCTCTTCAAAGAACTCACTCTCGCTTCTCTATCATCAGTCATCTTAGGATTAGGATTGTTTTTCACATTATTGTGGACTGGTGTTTATGTGTAAGCCAGCATTACCATCACGAAATTTTCATGTTCCAACGCGATTGACCACAACATCTCGCAAAACCTTTATTATTAAACACGCAACAACGTTGATCATCAGCTCACTATTTTCCGTTTCAATTTTCATTGGTTTCGGGCTACTTTCTCATGTCCAGCACGATATCATTTTCCCATGTCGCAACAATTCATGTTAGCTCTAAACTTTCAAACTCGAAAAACAGAAACAAGTAATTTCCAAATATGTGAGGTACAATAATTCATGAATTTGGTCAAAGAGCAGCACATGCCCCCTTAATAAGTCATTACTTTAACCCATATGACCGACCAAAACGTGTCGTAACGGTCAAAAAACAGGTCATGATTCGAGTTCTTGGATTCACTGCCTTAAACCAACACAAAAAGAACACCCAAACTCAAGAACTACCCGGGTACTCGGACTGATTCGAAACCACGATCGTTTTATCACAACAGATTCAATCAACATTCTCTGTACCAGCTTGTTAACGGTTAGAAATTTAACAACTGCCACGCGTGATTAAGGTTGACCCTTTTTCTCATCCCATACAGAATCATCATTCCATGTCATCATCAACGACAAGTGCAACCTCAAATGTTCGAGGTAGCATGAAACAGAACAGCATGCATCCCATCCACCATGCAACGAATAGCAAACGTTCTTCTTCTTCCTCGTCTTCTTCTTCAATGAGTCCTCAACACAATTCCACGACGATGGTTGTCAACGGCAAGACTCAAACCACACATTCATCATCCAAGAAGCCACTCCCACGAGATTCTCAACAACCACAAGAGAATCCCAGTCGTTGTTCCCTTCCGTCTGAAATCTCCACCAAGGACCTGAAAGAATCATCTGGTGGCTCTACTTCAACCGTACCCAACCTTCATCCGTTGCTTCCAACGTCATTCTCACTCGTTCCAACCCAACCTTCATCCATCTCTGAAATGACTATACCTACAACGATTCGATCTCCTTCGATTCCGTTACCACCTCCTCCCTTAGGTGCAAGCACTCCTCGTGTTGAAACTAGTTCGAGTGGTATTGTTGAAAACTCTCCAAAACTTTCAAAGCATTTACCTTCTTTCTCACCATCGTTACAGAATCATACTTGTTCAGTGGCATCTCCTCGACCAAATACGACCTCGAACGCCTCAACAACAACATCTTCTCCTCTTTCTTCTTATAAACCTCCTTTGAAGAAAGATGATCTCATTTGGGTTGAAATTAAAGACAAGTATTACTTGGCCAAAGTTTCTGGAATGATTAAGAATGTTCAAGTCATGTACAATGAGAGAGGTTTATCAAGGAATGACTTTACCAAGAATGATCAAGTCGATCTGACCAAATGTTTTCATGTCGATTTGGTGAGTTTGAATGGTCTCGAACGAGAGAATCTTCTTTGGATTTGTCCAGGATGCCATTCATTGCCTCAAGTCACACATACTTGGCTTTCCGTCGTGAACAAGTCGTATGAAGATCAAAAACGATCTAGTCAAGTGTTTACTGTAAGTTGGAATAGTTAATATTCGAGATAATTTTAATAACATTGAACGGGAATGAACAATATTTTCAACCATCGAACAACACCACACACTTTTTATTTCAACAAATTCCAGATGCACATGGGTGAGAGAAACATTCTCTTAAAGAATCCAGACTTTTCCTTTCTCAACAAGACACAGGCTTCTGCCATTAAACGAAACGGTCAAGACTTGGTCGATTATATTCAAACTCAACTCAGACTCAACACGACTCGTCATTTGAATCTAATCCTGTTGGGAGAAGGTTCCAAAGAAAAGCAAGTGACGTTGCAACAAGTGGTCATGTCATTGCTCCATAAGAATTTATTACCTTACCTCAGCGCTAATGAGAAGAGCTCCATTTCCAATCAATCTTCTCAAATGTTCCAAAATCAATCGGATTACGTTAAGGAAATTCGAGTAACGATTGGTTCTGCTTTGAACTTCCTCTTAATCTTCTCGAATAACTTGTATGAAAAGGCACTCACTCAAACACACATGAGACAAGTCGTCCTGAGTTGTGATTCTCAAACGAATCGAGTTTGTGGATTGAGAATTCATTCGATCGCGAGAGAGAGAATGCTTTCGACCATTTCGAGCCATGTGTCTGGTTCGTCTCTTTCCAAACGAAATCTTCCCCTCTATCAAATTTTCTTATTAATGATTAGTGGAGGAGAAGATGAGGAACATCATGTGGTGGGAGATATGAATCATTACAAACTCTTTCAAAAACACAAAGTGAATTATAAGGATTTGAATTTTATGAAGATGGATCTTGGTAAATTGAATTCTTATTTCTCCAAATTTGGGATTAGCACACAAGAAGCAGACTTGGTGTACAGAATTCTCTCTGCCTGTATGTGGCTCTATAATTTAGAGTTCAATAGTACTTCCACCACAAATCTAGAGAGCGGTACAGCAGTAGCCTCATCAGAGAATTCACAAACTCTTCAAGTCGTGAGTGAACTTTTAGGAATTTCTCGACAAGAATGCGAATCCATTTTCACATGTTCCAATCAAGTGAATTTGGTTTTTGATTACTTGTATGGTGCTGTTTTGCATTTCATTGAGAGTAGAATCAATTCCAAAATTCATACTCTAATAACTTCATGGAGATTTAACAGTCATTGCTTCTCGAATGACACCTCCAACTGTAAGGAAATTTGTGTCTATGATTTACCTGCAGCCACTGAGAATAAGAATCTCTCGGATCAATTTGTCGATCTTTTTAACAAGATTGCCAACGAGACCAACATGTTGAATGAATTGACCCTTATTGAGAAATTACTTCAAAAAGATCAGCTCCCCAATGTGAAGGATATTCTTTCATCGTTTTCATCCTCAATACTCGAGTCATTGGATGAAAATGAATTGATTCGAGATATGAATCCGTTAAGTGAAGACAACATTCACAAATTGTGTGAAGAAATTTCCACCTCTCAATCTCTGAATCAACTCTTTCATGAAGAGAATAAGAATGATTACGATCGATATTTAGGTCAGAATTACATGACACGAGTCGTGAATAATTTCATGAATTCACTTCTCTCACCCAATACTGAAACGAAAAGCTTCTTTATTCATTGCATGACTTTTTCAATGGAAAAGAAAACTTCCAATGCGTTGTTGAATGATTGCATTTCCTCTATCCGTACTACTGGTTTCAACAACCTCCTTAATCTCTATTCAGGATATGACAAGTATAACTTCAAGATGACTTTGGAAGATTTTTCACAATTTGAAAAGTACTTTTCATTACTCACTGGAACAGAAGACAAGACCTCAACAACTGTCATTAAGGGTAAGGAATTTGTCTATTTCCAAGACTCATGCTTATTGAGAACCTTGGAAAATATGAAATCCTTTGAGGAGGAAAAGATCATGCTCTTAGCATCACTTCACTTCGTCACGGATGAATTCCATGATCTCTTTGAGAATAAGCGTGTGAAAATGGAAAATATTTTCTCATCCGAAACAAACCATGATGATCAAAGCAATAATAATATTCTTGAAGAGGAGGAGGAGGACGATCATGATTTTACCTCACCATCTGTACCTCTTCCTCCCAAGGATTTACTTTTTGCAGATCCTCGACATTTAACAGAAAATATTTTAGAACAAGACACCATCATGATGATGGATATGAAATCCAATCACCACCCTTCTGAGGGCTGGGCACTTTTTAACATTCCAGAACAAGAATTGCCCTACCATTCTGCTTGTTTGGGATTGACTGCCTTCTCGAGTCAATATTTCTCTCCAAACTCATGCGAAGAAGGAAAGTTCAAGTCTCAACACAACACGTCCATGACATCCATAGCTACAAGTAGCCATTCGTCCAAGAATCAACATTCTACATCGGGCGGCTCTTCATTACAACAATTACTTCAACAACGAAGACTTTCATTGAACAGTAGTATCAGCAGTAGTATTGGAATTCGTTCTTCACCCATGAAAGCGCTTCAGTGTGTCCATAAATGTCGCAGTGACGAAGGAGTTACCTCGTTTTCGTTCGATTCCATTGCATCGTTGGACTTTCGAGATTCTACGAAAATGGAAATGGCGTCAAATTCTCCTTCATCCACAATGAAAAAGAATTCCTCTCGAAGAATGCAAGAATGTGTCATTCTGGACCATGGCCGTGCTCTGAAACAATTGAAACCTAATTTCAACGTCTTTTCTGGAATTAAGGAAATTCAAACTTCACACCATACAAAATTAATGTTCGAATCGTTGAGTGAACAATTGGAAGAATATGACAACTCGTATGTGTTGGATGTGAGACCCAAACAACTTGCTTCATTCATTACCTTTGTTGCAGATTATTGGTATACTTTCATGCAAGATGAGAAGAATACCTTGTCGTTTATGAATATGAACAACAAGGAACAAGATCATCAGCATGGAGAGAATTTTGAAAATGTACATGAAGTCTTAATGTGTCTCATGGAATGTATCAAATTATTGAATTTTGTAATGACCTTCTCAAGACAACGTACCGAAGTGGTGAAAAGTATTCGAAGTGAAGGACTTTTAATCATGTTGTGTGAAAGTGCTATTCGATGCCATGCCAAGTTGGAGCATTTGAATCAAACAGAATCCACTCAAGAGTTGAAGAGCCCTGAATTCTTACTCTTCCAACAATTGGTGGTATTGGCCATTCTCAATTGTGTGAAACATGACAAGATGACTTGTGGTTTTTTAGTTCAAGAAAATTTGTTTTGGAGTTTGTTCTCATGTCTCTATACTCTCAATAGTGAATGGAACGAAGAAAAGAATCCATTATCGCACACAACCACAGATGCTATGTTTGGATCGACAATTCTGACAGAAGATGTACGCAAAGTATCTCATCAGTTATGCAAATTTTACATGGAAATACTCTCGATATTGATCTCTGATCCTCATAGTTATCAATTCTTAAATGTTCAAGTCAAGGAAACCTTTTCGAATGGAACATTGCAAAATGTCAAATCAAAATTAGTGAGATCTTTTTCAGGAATATCTGAACAAATCACTCCTCTCATTAATGCACAATTCTACAAGGATACTGCTCAACAGATTCTTTCAATAATACAACGTCATGATTTGAAGAATGAGCAAGTGAGAGTATTTGTGAATTTCATTCAACAGATCATTCCTCTCTTTTCATTCAACTCGAATCTCGTATTCGCTTTAATACAAGAATGGATTTCACAAATGGAGTGTCGATCGATTCACTTTGTCTGTCAATGCTTACGTTCATTAGGAAAGATTCATGAAAAATTAAGACAAGAACAAGGAACAACGTCCAAAATTTTGGGTTTTGTGTTTTCCAATCGTGACGGAGTGATGGGACAAATCTTGGACAAGACCAATTTATTTGAGATTTTGACTTTGAGAATGCTTCAGGTCCATGAGCATTCACAGTTGGAAGAAGAAGAAGGTGTAACTATGGAAGAGTTCACACAACGAAATCATGAATCAAGAAATACATCTCATTCACGACATGGAGCTCCACTAGAAAGTATCATATATGCCCTCTTGTATTTGTGTGTCTTGTATCCTAATGTGAGAACAAAATTTGTAGAGTATGTATTTCAGACTTCATCTAAAGAGAATCAACAACCTCATGAGAAAAGTAATGGAAATTATATGGGAAATAAGAATATAAGGCGAGTAGCGCTTGAACAGAGTGATCTTTCTAAGGAGAATATTGAGCGTTGTCTTTCAAAATTGGATTCGGCACCTGAGGAGTTTTCACAATTTTCACAACAACTCGCTCAGCAACTTTTAAGTCATGAATCGAGCAGAAAAGTTCACAATCAAGCTTCATCGATGAAGAGAAATAATGTTTCAAAGCAAGTAAGCTTTAACGATTCTGCAGAATGGTCGAAACGAAGTTTATGGAGCGTACATTCACTTCTCAATGATCCACAAAGCCTAACTGCAAGCTATTGACGTGGCCAAACATTTGTAAATACAATTCAAAGTTTCAACAGACTTGACATTACATTGTAAATAAAATAATATTTTGAAACAAGCATTTTCAAATTGCATACATAAAATTACTTCCAAATTAAATGCAACCATAACATGATCAGTACCTGCTGCTACTCATTCCTTTTGAACCCTCACCAATACTTATTAATCTCGAGGCAAGTAGTGTAATTCTAACACCGCGATCTGCTCATCACTCAGAAGCGACTGGTGGCGTAAATCCACCCTTGCCTTTTTGCTTTTTAAACAAACCTCAAAAAATGGCTTTATTTGATGCACCGTCAGTACGTTCTCAGAACCGAGTGATGCGATGGGTTCTTGGTTTGGGAGTGTTCTATGCATTTATTTCCATCAAGGATTATTTGAATAGGAAAAGAGAAGAGAAACGGACTTTTAAAATGGGACTGTATCTTCGGGATTACAGATAGTTTTGAATTTCAAATTCTTTATTATTACAATTTGTTGGTTACATCTTGAACACTCTTCAAATCCCAATTTTAACTTCTAAAATAGTTGTTATTGTTGTCCATCATCATGGCAACACCAAATAATCATAGAAAAAAATAATCAATTGACCCGACCATACCTTGGCCAGCTCTTTATTCTCAAAACTGTCATGGCACTTGCAACATCATCATCTAATTCAACCTTTGGAGATTTAGACCTCCGATACATGCCAGCCTATTCGTGGTGTTCCGAGAGCAAACAATGGAGAGATGCATCAGTAGCAGACTCTTCCATTTTCCAACCAGTTTATTGGAATGAAACTCAAGAATTAAAGTGTGCCACATTTAATGTTTTATTCGACATTTATCAAAATAATATTGTGCAGAGCGATATACGATATGCAGTTCAAATAAGAATGCTTGAGAAATTACAACTCGATGTGCTGTCTTTGAATGAAATGACACCACCCTATCTTGTGAAATTCATGAATGAGAAATGGGTTCAAGACAATTATTACATTTCTGAGACTGAAACTGGAGAAAAGAAAGAATCAGGTCATTCAACAATTGTACCGTATGGCAACTTGTTAATGTTATCCAAACACAAGTTTAATAATGTTAAATTTTTAAAGTAGGTTGATTCGTGTATGAAGTGACACAATTTTTCGATAGAGAATGAAACTTTTAACGGAAGATACAAATTTTCAAACCCTAGTACATTCTCGAGGAGAGCAGTTCTTTCATTAGCGACGCTTAAAACAAGCTCTGGACAAGATATTAATATTTGTTTTGGATCTGTACATTTAAAAGCAAAAAAGGAATGTTTTGATACCCGAAAAAAACAATGCCAAGAGTTGTACACAATTGCCAAATATTTAATAGAGAAGAATTTTTGTAAAGAATTAATTTATTTGGGAGATTGGAATTTAAACATGCCTTTCGAAACTCACTTCATTTCACACAATAAGGAATTTACTGATCTATGGTTGAAACATTACGATATTGAAAAGGAAGAAGAAAAAGGATTTACGATGGATGCTACCCTCAATCCCATGATTGAGAAAATGAATCCAGGCGACACGGGAAAACGGCTTCGCCTCGACAGAGTTGTTCAATGGAATTCCAACAACGAATCAATTCTCAAGTGCAGCTCAATCAAACTCTTTGCTACAAATTCCGTAAAGAAACTCCTTCGAAACAAACTTTTATTTACAGAGGAAGAAGCTAAAAACCATCTCATTCTTTCAAAAGATTATCTGTATTGTAGTGATCATTTTGGAATTTACTTTACTCTTCGAGTCTAATAAGACATTTTGATATTGAGCTGAACTTGCAAGAATGAATTGGTTTCCCAATCAGTTCAATGAGAAAAATTAAATTTGAAAAAAAAATATCCAATTACCGGTTCTATGGATAACAATTTATGATATTTTGTTGACTCGTCATCATTCAATTCTACAACTGCTTCTGAGCGCACAGTTACCTATTATCATCCAAATTTTACCCATTTATCATCTAGAAAAACTTTAATCAATTTTCCATATCGGTAGTAATTATTATATTTCTGTAATGAACAAGCCTTGTTGTTTTAAATATACAAGACGTGTTGCCATTTCGGTATTTGTATTAATTGTTGTTTATACGTTGATTTTTACAACAACATCCAACGGTTCATCCTCCTCCCTTCAAAGAGATGAAATTACTCATGTTGTTTCCGTTTCATCATCTGCAAAGGTCGGACCAAATGATGAAAAGATGACAATGAATGAACAACAACATTCACCAAGAGCCTACAAAACATCATCCAAAATTCAATATTTTGTTGGTTTGCGTGGTATGATTACTCGTAATGTTACGTTGTATGTTCCAGAAGAATCATCATCCCCCAATGGCCATGGTACCGATTCAGTCATGTCTTCTGGATCCAAAGAAACATCCGATTCAAGACCCAACAATCCTCTATGTGTGGATAACATCAAAGAGTCATCGGTTCAATTAATATTGTTGTGGTTGTGTTTGGCTGCATCTCTGGTCATTATGTATATTTTGCACAGATTCCATGCAGCATGGTTTCCAGAAAGTATTGGAGTGTTGTTCTTGGGAGTCATTGTTGGTATCATTGCAAGATATGCCATTCCGTCTTCGTGGGTTCAAGTTGAGGTTTTCACACAACTCGATCCTGGAATTTTCTTCTCATTCTTCTTGCCAGCAATTATTTTCGATGCCGGATTTACTCTGGATAGAGCTGGATTCTTTGGAAACATTGGAGGTTTGTATGAAGTTTTTGTGAACTAATTGTTGTTGACCGTTTTGTTAATTGAAATTTAATTGTTAATGAATGACATGAATTAATTCAATTGTATTTTAATGCTGCAAAATTTGTATTTGCCATCATATCTACTGATGATTGTATTTTAATGCTTTTTATCAATGTTGCTTTATCCATGCTTATATTGCAACACAAATTTTAACAGGAATTATTTTGTATGCATTGGTTGGAACATTTACTTCATCACTCGTAGTAGGATGTGGTCTCTACATTCTTGGTTACTACGGACTAAGTATCGAGTTAGGATTAGTGGAATCCCTGATGTTTGGCTCACTCATTTCAGCCACAGATCCAGTTGCAACTTTGGCTATTTTCTGTGCATTGGGAGTACCATCCACATTACACTATCTTGTTTTTGGTGAATCCATTGTCAACGATGCTATTGCTATTGTGTTATATGAAACCTTTGAAAAATTCAGAGAAGCTGGTAAGGACGATTTGGTACTTGTCACCTTCAAGAGTATGGGCCAATTTTTATACGTATCCATTGGTTCCATACTTGTAGCCCTAGTTTTTGGAATTCTTTCTAGTTTAATTTTCAAATATGGAGCTTTGAGACATACTCCAAAATTAGAGATGGCTATTTTCTTTGTATTGGCATATTTATCTTATTTAGTTTCGCTTCCCTATCTCAGTGGTATCATGACCATTCTTGTGGTTGGTATTTTAATGAATCAATACTCAAAGCCAAACCTCTCAGAGCAAACAGCCACTGCACTTCTCACAGTTTCCAATGCACTCGCCATGATTTGTGAAACATTTACTTTTCTTTACATTGGATTTGCATTGTTTGCCTTTGAAAACAACAAGTGGGATGTTCGTTTCATTGTATTCACTATTTTGTTGTGTCTCATTGGAAGATTTCTAAACATTGTTCCTCTCTCTGGAATTCTCAACATGTATAGAGAGCACAAGATTAGTATGAAATATCAATTTATTATGTGGTTTTCAGGTAGGTTGATGATGGTCTGAATGATGGGAATGTTTTTTAACATGTTCATAACAATGATTATTCTCGGTTTGGCATATTTTCCTATCGAACACAACAACGACATTGAACTATGTCATCCATTCACACAGGTTTGAGAGGAGCCATTGCCTTTGCATTATCCATGTCGTTAAAGTCTGAAGGAGGTAAAGGAGAGTACATTTTCACGACCACTCTCGCCACTGTATTCTTTACAATCATTTTCTTAGGTATGTGTGGTTGAAATATTTCAACATTACTCTTATCTACAAATTCTACATTTCTTGGTATTGGTATCTGTGTGACTTACACTCTTGGTAAACCATATCACCATTCCTTGTTTTATATCTTTAACATTTATCAAAATTTTTAAAGGTGGAGGAACATTCCCCGTTCTCAAGATTACCAAAGTGCAACAGGAAAATCAAATAGTTGCCCCACAAGCCTTAGTCAAGAAAGATCACTGGCTTGTTAAACTCGATAAAAATTATTTCCAGAAGTGGTTCATAAGACAAGATGTTAGGGAGCAAATGCTCGCTCAAGAACAAGCAGCCATTGCAGAATACAAGGAAAAAAAGGAAGAGCAACAGAAACAAGAGGAGGAAGAAGCTTTGAAAAGACTTGAAACCTCTGGAAATGAAAGCTCTGGCAATGACCATGAGGCACCAGAAAAATTCGTTGAAATTGAGCTTCATGAGAACCCAATTGCAAATCGAATGTAATATGGCTGCTCTCGATCCCACTTCAAGAATATATTATGAACAATAATGTTATTAAGAATTAAAGCAATGTTTTATTACAACACTATTCAACCAACACCAAATAAGGTTTCTAAAGATTTCTTTCCGAAAGATCTGCTTTTGGGAAGAAAATTTCCTCTCTCTTTAAAACTGGTATGTTGGCCTTTCTCAACTCGGACGAGTATTCTGACAACTTTTCGTGGTCTATCTTGTTTTGTTGACAATAATTGACCAACACGTCATAAAAGATTGGCAAATATCTATCTTTCGATCCATATTGTTCCACACGTAAATCAATAGCATTGTCCAATAGAGAAATAATTTCATGAGGCGCGGCTTGTTCGCTCAAAATTAATGCCTCAGCCTCTCTTCTTAACAATGAGGCATAAACAGGAGAAAAGTATCCATTGTTAAAGTGTATCTCTTTGGCTTGTGCGATGTAGTTGAGAGCAGCGTCAAGTTGGCCTCTTGAAGTGAAGAGATCAATCAAGACAAGGGTAACGTAGTTTTTAACCTGTGGAGTTGTTTCAGTGTTATCTGGTTTGATCATCTTCATGTAGGCATGAATGTCAAGTGCTGGATTACGCTTCTTGGTTGAGTAGAGCAATAAATTGAGTGCTATTGTGGATAATTGTTGAAGATCTTTTGAAATGGCAGCATATGACTTGGTCATTTGTTGTTGTGCCTCAACAAAAAGCTTGATTGCTTCTTCTTGCTGATCTCCTTGAATAGCTAAAATGGAAGCTTTTGAAACCTTGAAAATTACGTTAGAGAATGTACCTAACAATTTAGCATCTCGAAGCTTGCTATCCAACCAGGCAAGAATAGAATTTGCAGATCCTTCGTTCATGGCAATATTATAAAGCACTTGAACGTTAATAATTTGAGTTTCAACTTGCATTCTTTCCAATTGGGCCTCAATATTTGCAGTGATAGGTTCAATACCGAAATATATGTCAAATTCTGGGGCTTTTCGAGATGAAGGGAATGTAATATCTTGTTCTTGTTGCAATTCATAAATCTTATTCACAACTTCTTCCACAGAGTCTCTTGCTTTTAATTGTCTTTGATTTTTTCTATACTGTTCCACAGCGATACCAATGGTTGCTGCTTCTTTTTCTTCTTTTTCAACTTCTGCACGTCTCTTTTCGTAGAAGGCTCTCACTTGAGAAATCTTTGTCAGCAATTGTTCACATGCAACTCGGGCCGTTTCGTAATCACCCAATGCAATACTTGCTCGAACCTTAGCCTTTAACACAGTAAGAGAGTAATAAATTGGAAAGTTGTGGGACTTTCCGACATGAGGTTCCTCTAGCAAGACTTGTAAGAATTTTTCTGCCTTCTCTCCGATAAGTAAAGGCTGAACCAATTTGTAAAGCCCATTGTCGAGAGTGAGTTGTTGAATGGCAAGTACCCACTTTAAGAGAAGAGAGAAACGTGATTTCAGACCGGAGATGGCTTCATCATTGTTTTGTGTGGTGGTAGTGGACGATTCATTCAAAATTGCATCAACTTGCTGTTGAAAGGTTTCAATTTCCTTTTGAATGTGGTGTTCAACGGAATAGAGATAGTACAATTGTTCTCGAGTTTTATCTGTTGTTCTCTTTTCCATTGGTTCAACTTTCATTTCATTCAGCTGGTTAATAAATTCAGAAACACTCTTGCTACTAAAATCAATATTTTCAATTTGTTTTACTCCTTCCATGGCACGGAATTGATGATGAAATAAACGATGAGAAGTTGTAGTGGAGGAGCTAGTTGTTGCTGTAGAATGATTAATCATGGCAATAGCAGCAGCCGAGGAACGACTACGAGGTGCGACAACGGATGATGAAACACATTTGCAAACAGAAGAGGAAGCGAAAATTCTTTTCATTTTTTTTTCTTTTTCAAAGATTTCAACAGCTCTCTTGTTGTTCGATACAAAAAGAACGAGTTGTGTTTTGAATATATAATTTTATGTTTGGTGGGATAGATTTATTGTTGCTTGACGGTTTCTTCGGTGAATTTACCCTTGTTAGCTTGGGTTGTTTGGGCTCTAGCTTCAGCCTTTCTCTTCAACAAATTCTTTCTATCCTTATCGAGGTGGAGCTTTGTGATTTGTACTGTGCTTGGTTTAACTGCGACATCAAAAGTCTTTCCACCGAGTTTTTCTCCTTGAACACCTTCAACATAGACAGACCACTTCAATCTGACAACCTTCTTTACTTTACCGACGACTCCCTTGAATTTACCCTTCAAGATCTTGACTTCGTCACCCTTTCTGATTGGAACAGCACGAACATTGTGTTCATCTCTCAATTTCTTGGTGAGAGGTGCGCTCATGATGACTCTACGGACTGAAGATGGAGCAGTGAAGTGAGCCTTTCTGGCCTTGCTTCTCTTGCTTGAGACGGAATTGTTGACGGAGACCATTGCGTGATGAGTTTTGGCTTATTTTTTTTCAAACGAATTTTTAAAAAATCACTATCAACATTTTACAATGAAAATTTTTTTCAGCCAAAATTTGACCTGCTCCAGTTGCAGCAAGCTTTTAAATTGAGTGACCAAAATCGTTGTCAAACATCTAGAACCAGTTCAAGCATCGTGAACACATTGTGGAACACATGTGCAAGTGCTTTCATTTGTTTAGAATTTTCAGCACAGCGCAACTCCAGATGAACGTGTCTGCCAGCAAATGCCACCGTTTTTTGGAAATGCAGAAAAAAATTCGATTCTCGGTTTGCTGGTCGAGGCTGTGCTCCGAAATTAACGTTTTATTCAACAAGTCCAAAATCATCATCAATTGATTTGCCGATATTACAGCAGGATACTGATCCGAAATTAGCTTCAGCTGAATTAGGTTGATTTTCTGTTTGGAAATCATTGCTATCATGCAAGAATCGGGACAACAACAGCAAGCGGTAGAAAGTACAACTACCACTCCAAGATCAAAAAAGCCCAAGAAAAACAAACCAACAAATTTAATATTGACACCAACAATAGAGGAAAACTCAGCAATTTCTATAGAAGTTATAAAGAAGGCGGAAGAAACCTACGTGGATGAAGCTGTGAAAATGTTTGTATATTTGAATTTTTTGATTGGTATCGGTACGAGTTCAAAGTTCATTAACGATTTAACGACAACAACGTTCACAATGCATTCGCTATCGTGAAATCATTCAACACAATTATTATTGTCACAGAAATGATGGACGCTTTCGATTCGGAGACCAAATTGAAATTGGTCAAGATGGAATTTATTCCATGATGACGCAAGAAACATTTGAAACAGAATCCAGTATGCTCGAAGTTCCAGATAATTCCTCCATTACAACTGTAAATTCACCAAGTACAGCATCCACTTTTTATTTAAATCCAGACCAACATATGCAATATGAAGACCTGCAAGAAGTTTGTAAATTAGGAAGAGGTGCCTCTGCCACAGTTTCCAAAGTTGTAAATAAGAAAACTAATCAAGTGTATGCCATGAAGAGAATTAATGTGGATTTACAGGATCAAAAACCAAAACTTATTGTATCAGAATTTAAAGCACTGTATAACTGTGAGTGCCCCTATGTCATGACACTGTACGACGCTTACTATAGACAGGGATGTATTTTTATGATTCTAGAGTTTATGGGTATGTATGGACTTCAACAACATGTCATGGTTGAAAATTTTTAATCTTTTTTAAGATTGTGGATCTTTAGAAGACATTTTAAAAACTGTAGGAAAAATTCCAGAGGTCATACTTTCACGAATGTGTGAACAAATGCTGATAGGGCTCAACTACCTCCATACTGTTAAAAAGATAGTTCATCGTGATATTGTAAGTATTGCCCAACAATGAATGTGAACTGACTCGTTTCTTATTTCTGATTGACAATTATTAGAAACCTGCAAACGTTCTTGGTGAGTATTGTTTATGCGAATGAATGTATGAATTTGAAACTTTTACTTTTGCTACACCAACAGTCCACAGTAGTGGAAGAGTCTGTATTGCAGACTTTGGCATGTCTGGAATGGCTAAATCTCAAAAGTACGTTCAGGCTATTCAACAAACCGCTAAATGGGAAACATTCTGTGGAACGTATGTTTATATGAGCCCTGAAAGGATAAAAGGTCAGCCCCACTCGTATGACAGCGATATTTGGTAAGCATTGATTTTATTTCTTGCATTCATGAATAATGACACAACTTGTGACTCAATTTTCATGTTATTATTTCAAATCAAATTTTGTGTCGTCACGTCAAACAGGGCGTTTGGACTGACCGTGGCAGAGATGTTTTTGGGATTTTTCCCTTTCATACTGAGCTCAAGTTCCACCATTTGGGACATGATCAATCATTTGGAAAAGACTAACGAAGCTCCATTTCCTCTTGAGGGTGCTTCAGACGATTTTAAGGATTTTGTTTATTCAACTTTGAGGTTTCACAGAAAAGAGCGACCTTCTGCTGCATCTCTTCTCTCTCATCCTTTCATAACGAAGTACAAGCACAAGAAGCCATCATTTGTTGAAAAATGGCTCTATTACTCGTACATCATTCCAAAACAATTGGCAAAAGGAAAAACTATGATGAAAGCTGAACAAGATGGTGTTCATTCGTGTGAGGATCTTTTAATTAAGGACACTCTTACCAATGCAGAGTAGTGGCTTGCTCTGGATCGGCAGGAAACACATGCACCACTAACATCTCTTTCCTTCTCCCGAAATAACGGACACCATTCAATAATCGAAAAGTTGACATAAATGTTCCTCTTTCTTTTTTCACTTTTTCATAGGTGTATTGAGTGTGAAACTCGTTCTGCTCAATACGTTCGCATTGCTTTGTGACTCCAGTTTTGCAATTTAACGGCTAACCCAGTCAAACGTCAACAAACACAAATTTTTTAACAAAATATTTTCAAATCATCACAAAAAAATTCTTTTTAGCCCGAATCCAAACAAGTTTTTTTTGAACAGATCATCATCCATTATTATAAATTCTTGGATCATCACAAATTATCATCTTCACCACCGATAAAACCAAAGTATTGTGAAGAATCATTTGCCGATAAACATGTTCAAGAAATTACAAAACAAAGTTGCCCAACAGGTAACCAATAGAGAGGCTTTCAAGTTTCAATTTAACCTTTCGATTGATTACTTGAGCGACCTGAAGGAAAAGAAGAAAGATGAGTGCACGTATGCTGTATGTACATTTAATATTATTATTTCTTGAGCATCATGGTATGAATGTGATTACAAACAACAACAACCACTGTTTGACCTAACTCCGATGACATCATGCCGTTATTATAATTACCGATGATTACTTTCTAATTTCTCATCATCATCATCATTTCATCCACACAACAACTCTCTCTCTTTGAACACCCACAACCGACAATCAACATGACGATGATGATTCATAAATAATAATTATTTGTTTCCTCGTATGCCACAGATTTCTTGGAAAAGAGGAAAGAAGAGAAAGGGTGAAACCGATTTCCACAAGGCGGAGGGTTCTCGTGTCGTATGGAACACATCATTCAAATTCAACGGAACTCTCTACTTTAAGAAGGGTAAATTTCAAAAGAAAGACCTTCAAATAACTCTAGAGGAAAAGGGAAAGAACAACAAAACGACTACCATTGCAAAGGAAACATTGGATTTGGCTCTTCTTGTCGATGAAGATTCCGAACAAACAAACACAAAAGATGTTGAACTTGTCACTAAGGACAGCAAGGCCAAATTAAAGTTGGTCATCAACTCGAAATGTCTCAAAGATCAAAATCCAAAGTAAGTTTACTACTTATTAATCGAATTCTCATGGTGACATTCTCTGTCTATAGTGATGACGATTTTACAGCAGTGAGTACTTATACAGGACCTGGTGAAGAAGCTGCCGATGATGAAGGAACCAACAATGTACGTATCAAAATTCAATTATTGAGAATGAGCATATTGTCGTTATTGAATGAATTTTGTGAAACATTAATCGTAATACTAATGTACTTTTTCAACACAAAACAAATATTTTTAATTTTTGGACGATTCATTAATGTTAGGATGTTGACAAGGATGAAGATATTGAGGAACACGACTACAATGATCATCACTTTGATGAGGAAGACGACCACAATAAGCATGAAGACATTGAAGAGGAGTATAACCTCGGTGACGAGAAAGACGAGCATGATGAAGAGCCAGTTGCCGATGTCGATGAGGAACTTCAGAAAATTGAGGAAGAAATAGGAGGCGTTGAGGAAGAAGAGGAGCCTGAAGAAAATCACAGTGACACCAATCACACTGAGGAAAGAACGGATGAATCTGCTCATGCCAACACTTCCGAAGTCACAAATCAGGAAATTGCCGAGCTTGAAAAACAACTCTCTAACCAAAAGAAGAAGATGAAATTGCTTTTGAGACAAATCAAAGAGTTGAAAGCAAACGACAAAACTAATTTGGTAAGTTTTTGAAATGCAATGAGGCGAAATGACCACGAGCAATCATACAAATAGCTCAAAAAAACGCAAAGAGAGAGAGACTCGCTATTGGAAAAGCTCAAATCAATGCAAAAGGAAAATGAAGAGCTCAAAGTACAACGTGACAAGGCTCAAGAAGCTCAACAAGAAGTTGATGGTAAATTGTTTGAACTTTCCCTCAAACAAAAGCAAAGCCAAAAGAACGAGGCTGAAATCAAAAAGCTTAAAGATAGAATCAAGCAGGTATGTAAATTCTGTCCAAACATATTCAAAAGAGATAACCTCTCGGTAATTCTCTACTCGAACATCTCAACGATAATATTAGCTCGAAGAAGAGAATGAATCTGGTCGCTCTTCCTCCTCCAAGCAAAAACAAGCCATTTCATTCGAGTACGATGAAAAGATTCAAAATTTGGAAGATGAAATTTCCACATTGAGGGAGAAAGCCAGGGAATATCAAGAAAGTGTCACTGAAGATAAGAAGCAAATCGAAAAGTTGAAGAAGGACAATGATCGGATGCAGGAAGAATTGAAAGCACAAAAGGTAACGTAATCGAGAGCAACACATCACACAACACACCTACACCTACACAATACACCTTCACACTACTAACGCAACCTAACTGTATCATTCCAACCCCCAATCACTTGTTAAGTTGATTTTTAATATGTTTGAGATCTTAAGACATCCTAACTATTAATTACAGGTTAATTATGAAAGTGAACTCACCTCCCATGATACAAGATATCAGAAAGAAATTGATAATTTGAAGCAGGAACTTTTGAAGGAGAAAGAAGAGAGAAAAACCGAGACCAACAGTTTGAAACAAGATGCAGCAAGATTGAAAGAAGAAAGAAAGAATTTGGCCGAGCTTGTCACACAACAGGGCAAAGAAATTACACTAGCATCGAAACAGCGAGAGCTTCTCTTGTCATGCCTCACAGAATTCAAATCTCTAAAATCAAAGGTACAAAATACACTCGTGAATACAGCCTCTTCTCTTGGAAATAACGAGGAGATTGCTTCCGTTCTCATGCATTCAGACTCTTTCAGCGAAATCCTGGAAATGATGAAAAATGGTACTGAAGAAAGCATTCAAAAAGCAAAACTTCAATTAGAGAACGAAGTGAAAGAGGAAATTTCAGCCATATCAGACGTACTTGTAATGAAACTCGCTCAACTCGAGAATCAATCTTCCATTGTTAGAGAACAAAATGACTCATTACAAGAGTCTCTTCGTATCTCAAAACAAGAAAAGGACGATAAGTTGAAAGAAATTGCTACTCTCCAAGAATCACTGAAGGAGATCACTAATCAACAGAACGAATTGCTCCAATCACTCACTAACGAACGGCAGTTGTATAAGGAAGAACTTGACTCTTACATGAAAAAGTTGGCAACGAAGGAGGAAGAAATTACTCAAATGCAATCGGAAAAGAAGCACTTATTGAGCTCAACTCAAGACGAGATAAACAAGCTAAAGGAGTCTCTTCTAGCCATGGAGAAAGAGAGAAATGCTTTAAAGATAGAGTCTGAAAATCTTGGCACAGAGATGACTTCACTTCAACAGAATAAGGAGCTTCTTGAACATACTCTGAACCAACAAATTGTCAACCTCAAGAATCAACTCGATGAAGCAAAGAAACAACAATCGTCCAACGAGAGCGAAGCAATCTTAGACTTGACTTCCAAATTGTCTGATTCAAGAGAAAAGTTACAGCTTACTGAAAAACAAAATATTGAGAATATCTTCAAAGTTGAATCTCAAGAGAAAACCATTTCATCTCTTCAGACACGTATTTCCAGTCTCACCACAGAATTAGAAGAAATTCAAAACAAGTATGACCAAATTGCCAAATCTGAACAACAAAAAGACACTTCCATTAGAGATTTGGAACAACAACTCTCGAATCTCAACCAAAAGTATCAGGAGCAAGAGGATTTAAGAGTGAAGGCTGAAGACTCGCTGAAAGAGGAGCTCAATAGCCTCAGAGATATGACCACAAAGTTAAATAGTGTGCATGACTCAAACTCGGCATCTAAAACTTCTGAAAGGCAACATGCGAAGATTTCTCCACTGGAATTGAGCAATGAAGCTCAAAAACTAAAGGTACATATCATACATTACACACTCCAGTTCTGCAGAGAATGCAGCTCGTTTTTCAACGACATCAAATCTCTAACTGACTAATACTATCTCTAACTTGAGAGAAATCCGCCACAATAGCCACAGGCTAGAGTTGCTGATTGCTCTCTAACTAACTGTACTAACTCTTTTGATTACACTTTTCACATTTAAAATTTATTGAACAACATACTAACATTTTATATATACATGTAATTTAAATTATTTTGCATATATATAGAATGTGGAAATTGACTTGAATAAGTTAATTGAGACATTGAGACAAGAGAGAATGAACTTGGACGGTCAAATTACAGAATTGAAAAGCAATAATGAGATGTTGCAGAGCAAATTAAACGAGAAGGAACATTTGCTCAATGAAAAGTCTGAAGAAATTGCTCAACTCTCAAAGAACTCTGCCTCAATGGACGACTTGGTAAAGAAGCAAAAAGTTAATCTCGAAAAGAAGTTAGCTGATACTGAAAATCAGTTGAAAGAGCATGAGAAGCAAATTAGTGCACTCAATCAGTCATTGGAAGAAAAGAATGAAGAAGTGAGCACCCTTGAGAAGGAGCTTGAGACAGCAAAGGAAGAGAACAAGTCACACTTGCTCGAAGTTAAGAAATTAGAGAAGCACATACAGATTCTACAAGATGACAATGCAGAGAAGGATAGTAGAATTGAACAGATCGAGAATGACCTTTCAGAAATGGAGGAAAAGTTGTACAAGGCAGAGAAGTCATGTTCCGAGCTTGAAGAGGAGTTGGCAACAAAAGAAAAGGAGATTAAGAGCTTGAAGAAGAACAGCGACAAGACTAAGAACGACGAAGACAAGATCAGAGAGAAAGAGAGAGTTATTGAAGAACTAGAAGAAAAATTACAAGAATTTGAACAACAAAAGGCAAATATCTTCAACACATTTACACTGACACACTCACTCACAAATCACATATGTTCTTTTTTCAATTTTTATTGTACTTACTTTCTACTAACTTTTTATACATAATGTTTGAAACAAATTCATATACTTGTAATTTCACAAATATGTGCAGATTGAATTATCTCAGATTAAGCAGGAAAGAAAGGAATTGGAGACAGATATTGAAAAGTGGAAAGAAGAAAACGACGAGTTGAATCAAAAGATTGAATATCTGGACGAAAGAAACTCAGAGCTTGAGAGCAAATTAAAGAAGAGCAAAACCACTATTGTAGAGTTAGAAGAAGAAGTGGAAGAGCTGAAATCTCAATCTTCCAAATTCAACAAACAATTAGAGGAAAGTCAAAAGGCAAATATCAACACTAACTTTCACACACACTTACACATCTAACTTTCAAACTAACTTCAACATAATTTCACTTGTTTTTTTTATTGAACTTACAACTTACTAACTTTATATTCAACATGACATTTTAATTGTTATTCATAACAAACAGTCAAAGTCAGTGAATGATCAAGATGTGAAGAAGATCAAAGAACAACTATCTAACTTGCAAACACAAGAATGTGAAAGATTCCTAGTGGAGTCTGCCATCATTCACAGTCAAGCAGGTGATTTCTTGGGCAGTAGCAAAGTACCTTGCCCAGCCAAGATACTATTCTTGTCAGCCCTAAGATTCTCTCCTGAAACACACAAATATTTCTGTACAAATGTTATCAAAGCATTGTCCTATATTGTACATAGATATGCTAGAGATGAGGAAATGATGATTTATTGGGTAAATTGCATGTATAGAATTCTCAACTTGATACAAAACAGTGGAAATGAAAGTCAAGTACATCACTCGTTGGAGAATATGGAACCTGTCAATGTGAATGCAGTACTTTCTAGCCAAAACACTGAAACTGCTGTGTACGTTGAACCACCAACATTCTCCTCCAATGAAGGTGATGAGGTACTTGTGTCTGATATTCAAGAGTTCACAGATGCTATTTGTGAACAACTCTCCATTGCATATCTCAACTTGTGTACTCGAATTGTTCAACAATTGAAGGAGAGGCTTTTGAAGGCAGTTTTCAATCCTAAACAAGCTTCATCGAAATCTACTGACGGAGGTCCAGACATGAGAATTTGCTGTTCCATTCTGAACGACGTTTACCAACGCTTTGAACAACAAAAGCTTGATAAGCGAGTTACCAATCATCTCTTTGAAAACTTGGCATGCTGTTTGGACTCGTTAATATTTAACCAATTTGTGAGAGATAACACTTCAGCGTCTAAAGGTTTGCAAGTTAAAATGAGCGTCACATTCTTGGAAAATTGGTTTACTTCAAAGGGAATTGTTCAAACATTGAGAAAGAACTTTGCTGATGACGAGGAACTTGAGGAAGAGAAACTACAAGTCTACTTTACACTGTCAAGGCAAGCTGCAGATATTTGTGTCATTGCTCAAACGGTTCTGTTGCAAGATGAGGACACAAGAAGAATGGTTTGCCCCGAGTTAACCGTTCAACAAATTGCTTTTATTTATTCAGTGTATAAGGCAGATGAGTATTCGACCTCTTCCTTCTCACAACGTGACATTGAGGAAATTATTGGCAAGAGGATTCCACACATTGACGCTGTGTTGTCTGTACCAGTCATTGATTTCCAAACCTATACAGACATTTCGAGTAAGAGTCCTCATCACGGAAATGTTTTCATGTTTGATCTGGTTGATGGTCACGGCAAATTGAACTCTCTAGAAATACCTAAGAGATTTTTCCCTACAAAGTTTGCTGATCAACTTGGCTTCCTTAAATAAATCACTTGCGTGATTCACAATTTATCATTTACTTATCATTTATTCTTATCCACAAATCATTTGCCAGCCATTATATTCCAAGCGTGATTTCTTAAAAAGTTACGCTGAGGTCAATCGTTTTTCGCTTTAATAAAAGGTTGACTTTATCTAGAACTCATTAATTATTTTAAAAACAAATTGGGAATTACAGTCCATACCCAGAAACAAGATGATGGTATTACAACATGCTTATTTTAAACTTCCATGTTGTCGAAATGCTGCAAATATCATTTACAAAACTAATGAGGCTGCATTTGGCCTTGTATTACTTTCGTTGGACCGCATTTGTAGCTTTGGAACTTCTGTTGCATCAAATATCAAAGAACGAACAGTTCCCCAGCAACAACAAAAAAAAGAATCCACAAAACTCCACTGTTCTTGCAAAAGTTCATCCCCTACAGCTGCTATAACTCAATTGCAACTCAAAAGTTTTCACTCCTTGTTGTATCATCTTCGATTGATACAAATTCTCGACCACAATTATAGAACGACATACATGCCTTCTCCAAACATGTCTCTGAAATCATTCCTTTGGCTCATGTGTGGTGGGTGGTTGTACATGTGCCTCGTCACGCAACACATGTGTGCCTTCTGTTTTAAAATGCCAAGCAACATCCTGTCAAGTTACACCACTGTCAACAACACTGGCAGCATTCATGTAAAGCATCATAAAGTGGTTGGTTCCTTCGTTTACTTTGCTGGTTACTTTAAAGAATCGATCAATCTCTCTCCTACAATTTCATTATTCCATCCGAAAGATGTTCGAGATGACTGTAATGTATTTATTGCCAAAATGTCACTCTTTTCCAACACTATCATTTGGTACCAAACAGAGGCATTACAAGCATGTGATCCCTATTTTTACTCCATGGAAACATCTCAAGAACTTGAACATGGAGATTGTGATTACGTGGCTATTGCATTCAATACAGGATATCCTTGTTGTAATTTTATCAAGTTTGGTGGACCTGGATTCATTCTTTATAATGCAACGAATGGACTGAAGTTGCGTTCAGAACAATTGATTGTCTATTTGGGAGCTATCACATCTCTTGGATTTGACAAATCTGGTTTCTATGTGGGAGGTCATGTTTTAGAAGGGAACTTTTTTGGTGTGGAAGGTTTTACAGATGAACGTTCGGGTGGAAGAATTTATAATACGTTTGTGAGAAAGTATTCATTGCCATCGTTGAAACCTGAATGGCTCATTCAATCTGTGGATACCAGTAACACTGCGAATACCACTCCACTCTCGAGACAAGTGACAGGAATTGTTCCAGTGAAAATGAATGGACAGAATGTCGTGGTTGTGGCAGGATCTTTTTCTTCCTTAGATTCTACAACGTGGAGAGATTTTTCTCGTCAATTGGTTCATGTGAAAAAGAGAGATGGACTGTATGGAAATTACTTGCTTTTTGTTCATGAAAATGGAACCATTTGGACACATTTTTCAACCAGAGTGAGTTCTTTCTTTGTTAAGAGAGAACAATCAATCGTCTTGTGTGGTGTGAATTCAGGAATGGCAGAATGTGAAGAAATTAGTTTACCTTATATAGGGATCAAAAATGTCATGAATTCCAAGCAATTCAGTTCAGATTGTACATCCACCATTTATTCAGTGACAGGCAATGAACATCAAATCTTTATTGCCGCTCAATTCGACGCATCATGTAAACAATATCAAGGCATGATCATTCAGTCATTGGATTCACGTTTAAGGGATGCCTCTTGGAAAATTAATGTCACTGCTTCACAATTGGACTTTATTTCTCTGTCTGCCAATCATGAAAACATCTCCGTGTCCTTTCTTTACAATGAAACCTTGACAGATATTCTTGGAACGAATTATTATTATCCCAAGATGAATTTATTGATGCAATTGTTTGCTGTGAACTCCTCGACTTCTTGTTTTGGTGTACAGTATACGGACTCGAAGGTTTGTTCCTCCCATGGAGTGTGTTATTCTGCAGATTATTGTATTTGTGATTATGGATACATGAATGAGGATTGTTCTCAATTTACTTGTTTTGGAAATGTGAACAATGGGTGTCATAATGGTTCGTGTGTTGGAGTCGATACCTGTGAATGCGATGAAGGGTTTTTAGGTCCTCATTGTAATTTGACGAGTTGCTTTGGAATTCTCTCGACGGATCCATCGACATGCAGCGGAAAAGGAAATTGTGTGAAATTTGACACTTGTCAATGCAAGGAAGGTTATGTCGGAGAACAATGTGATTCCTTTTCATGTCATTTAATACCATCATGGAAAACTACTCAAGTATGTTCTGGAAGAGGACAATGTATTGCCATGGACACTTGTCAATGTCACGAGAATTACTTTGGACCTCTTTGTGAACACACTCGTTGCTTTGGAATTGATTCCAATAACATTACCGTGTGTGGACGTTATGGATTATGTACTTCCTATAACCATTGTGAATGTCCAGAGGATAGATATGGTCAGGATTGTTCCATTCATTCATGTTATTCCAAACTCTCAACGGACCCAACGGTTTGCAATGGAAATGGAACGTGTGTCAGTGATGACAATTGTGTATGTCACAAATTTAACAATAGCTTACCCAAGTTTGTTGGAGACGCATGTGAACACACGGTGTGTTTTGGTAAAATTGGAAATGAAGCTTGTTCTGGAAATGGAATTTGTATTGGGCCAGACGAATGTCAATGCAAGATTGGGTTTTCAGGAGAAGTTTGCAATGTCAATGACGGTTTGCTGGTTCAAATACTGGTACCTATTGGAGGAGTGATTGCATTTCTTGTTTGTGTTTCATTGTCTAGTTTGACTTGTTATCTTTACAAAATCAATTATTGGAATAAGAGAACCAAAACAGAAAAGGAAATGGAACAAAAGTTATTGGAAATGGAATTGGAACTGGAAAATGAAAGAAGTCAAAATGTGTCTTATTTGATACCTGTTGAAGAATTGGAATTGGTTGAGAAAATTGGTTCTGGTGGTTTTGGTCACGTGTTCAAAGCTCGTTGGAAACAAGTATTGGTTGCTGTCAAGTGTGTCGATTCTAAAAATTCGAACCGTTCAGAAGAAGAATCATTCGAACACGATTCGAATGAAGATGACACTTTTGAAAAAGAAGTTCTCTTACTCAATAGTTTGAAACATCCCAATGTCATTCAATTCTTTGGAGTTTGCATGACGGAACGTAAAAAATTGATGGTCATGGAATATCTTGGTGGAGGATCTTTGGATAAATTGGTCTATGAATTGAAAATCAAGAAACGAAGAATTTCATTGAGAAACAAGTTACAAATTTTGTTTGGAGTGGCCAATGGTCTCTGTTATTTACATGATTTGAAACCCAATGCAATTATTCACAGAGATTTGAAAAGTGGAAATATTTTACTTGAAGAAAATTTGCAGCCCAAAGTGTGTGATTTTGGATTATCGAAATTGGTTGGAAATAATAATAACATCTCGAACTCCTTGACCACGAATATGGGAACTTTATTTTATATGGCTGTAAGTTTATTATTATTTATAACGACTTAATATTTCACACACAAGATTTATAATTCTTAAATTATACAATAACCAACGTTAAATATATAGCCTGTAAGTTGAATATCATTTTCAAAATTCTCTAATTTCATTTAGGAAGTGATTGGTGGAGATAATTCCAACATGACAATTACCAACAAAATCGATGTATATAGTTTTGGTATTGTCATGTATGAATTATTCTTTGAGGACAATCCATTCATTAATTATCACTCTCAGAAAATTCATAAATTCTCCCAACCTGACATTTCAGATCACAACGTTTACAGTATTCCTTTAAAGGTTTCGAAAGGTTTGAGACCTAAAATTCCATTTTCGAATCGAGAAGAACAAGTATTGTGGATTCAAGAATACATGAAAGAAGATGAAAAATCTTTTGGAATGAGTGAATTGTGTTGGCTCGTGGATCGATTTATGGAATTGATGAAATCATGTTGGGATCAGAATCCAAGTAGAAGACCTTCGTTTGATGATGTGGCAGATCGATTAGCAAATTTACTCTCGAAATGTAATGTGTAATTATTATTCCAAACGAGATTCACATCTTGTAAAATGTCATCCATGGTGTCAATGAGGAGTGGGATTTGGCTGTGACATTTGTGTTTTCATAAACAACCCATTGTATAGGAACGTATTGTTGTGAATGGATATTTGAATATCTTTCATCGATGGATTTTCAATAATATTCTCAATCTAAGCATGTTGAAAATCTTGTCGAATGGACAATAAAAACGTTTCTAACATTTTTGAAGCTTCTGTACTTCCTCGTCTTCCAACTTGATTCAACACATTCCATGCGTGCATTTTCTTCAACATTCCGATCAATTTGTTTCTATGAATAGAGAATCTTTGATCTTCCAATACTTCCAAATATGGAGTGTTAAATAAATAGGATTGTTGTCTCCAAAATTCAACCTCTCTCGTGTTCAAGGAATGAGAAAAACTCTTTCCAACTTCTTCTTGATTTTCAGTTTTTGTATAATTGTAGACCAAAATTAAAAATCGAACTCGGTCACAATATTTGGAAAACATTTCCTTGATTTTGAATGCATTTGTAGAATTTCCGTTATATCCAACATTGATCAACAGCACACACGTTGCGCCATGACCTTCCTTTAAATGGCTGTCATTGGCTAATTTTCCAAATTTGGATTGATACGTGTGACCATTCAATGACACCAACACGTGTGAATGTTCTATTGTCGTCATTTGTTGAATTTCTTCATGTTCTGTATCGACCTTACACATGTAGAAAAATTCATGAACTGGCACTGAATTTCTTGTTGTGGATTCCATGTGAGGTGTGAAAAATTGCACCACTTGACACTCCATGTGTTTCCATTGACAGTTATATTTGATATGAAAACACAATTCCTTCCAATCTCTGACATGGATGTGACTCGATAAAAACGGTCGATATTTCACAAAATGTGTCATGATTTGAGTTCGTTTCAATCGTTTCCACCAAAACTGTTCATCTCCAAACCAATACAACCATGTCAATTGACATGTCAATGCCAAACTACAGCAATCTTGCAATGGTAAATAACTTTTAATCATTTCAATAATATCTCCAGTAATATATTGAGTATTCAATAATTTACAATTTTTCTGTTCGAACATATTCGTATATTCATCGTGTCGTTCATAAAAACTTCTTCGATACACAATAAATTCAGTACTTAATTCAATTGTTTTCATGTCTTGTTCGTGATCATCATTTCTAAAAATGGATAATGATGTTGCTTTCATCATATTGCTACCTTGTTCTCTACCACTCTCCCAAGTCCGTTTCAATTTTGAAAATACAGAATTCGAGACTCGTCGAATGGTACTTTTTCGAGAACAATGAGCGTTTCGATCATGGTTGGAAGATGATGATGATTCCGAGTGATTGATTTTGGAATCCGTGTGTCCATGTTGTTGTTGTTGTTGTTGCTCGACGACGTGATGACTACCATGGTCAACAATGGAGGAAGAGGTCGCTCCGTGGTGTGAATTTCCCATAATTTTTTTGTAAGAGGTCGTAATGGAAACAGTGAGAGAAATGGACAGGAACTTGTATGGACTCCATTTCGTGGTTGTCTTTAATTTACACTCGAGTGAAATTTGACATTGTAAACATCAAGACCAAAAATATTTATTGACAACCAGATCATTAAGGTTGAATTTCATAAAACAGAACTCAACATTCAGTATTTATCAAAAAGTTGTTGAAAATCTCGTTCCAAATTTATTGAAATTGAATGGTTACAAAATTAATCTCTTCTTTCCTTGACATGAAGGTACCTACTCAAATCCATGGGAGCTCATATTGAAAAGAATTTTCATCCACGTGCTTGGTAACCTCCTTTGAACTAGCTGCCAAGTTTTGGAGTGACAATATGTGTAGAGCTTTCCCAAAAAGAGAGAGATACTTGTCCAAGGTTGGTGTTAAATAACGTCCATTGAAATTTCAAAGACATTCATTGGTAATACTCCGTTTCTTGAGCACGTCTCGCGTGAAATAGACAATTGAGGGTCAAGGCTGAGATCATTACTGGATGCCTTTTATAAAAATGCCACCTGTCAGGTCCAAAAATGGATAATGTTGCCTGCTCATTTCCTTTTGCCGAACCTCCAACTTGTCTGTCAACAGCAGCTGATCAAAATCTCTCGAACAAGAATCTTCAACAAAAAAAACCTCAATTCCTCTCTCTCAGCAGTGTTCTCGTTGGTTTGACATTGTCGTTGAATCTAAATTCTTCACTAAAATCATTAGCGAAAGGGAATATTCTCGACATATTTGGTCTTCTTGTTCGCCATTCAAGAACAATATTAGGAGGAAAGGAGAACAATTCCATTTCTGTGAATTTCATCTTTGAAAAATTTATCAAACTCCACCAACCTCAAAAACGAACGCGTTCAAATGTCATCTTCACGACCTTCAGAAGGAGCGCAACTTCTTCCCTTCTCCACACTTCTCAATCATTATTACACATTGCATCCTTCTTCCTCATGGAATCATCACAACAACAGAATGATGATGATGGAACATGAAATTCCGTCATTCATTCAATATCTATGGACTTCATTGGTTGAAATTTCTGCAAATTCAACAACAACGAATAATAATAATACAGCAGTCGTTCCTGTTGCTCAATTCGTTGGTGAAATATCCATTACTATTCTTCAATTGCTTTCGTTTGTGGTATTACTTGTATTTGTATTAATCTTGTTGACATGTTTCACACGAGAATCCAAAACCAAAACCAACAACAACACATTGAATCCTTCCAAATCAGCGAAAGGTCAACAACAACAACCGAATTCACATCGAAATGACAATGATTTATTGAGAAGAGCTCATCATCAACGATTTGTTGCTCAACATCAACATGGATCAACACAAAATTGTTCGGATTCAACGCTAGCGAGTGTTGGCGATCATGAATCCATTTCTCCACCCAATTCTCCCAATTTATCTACTACCACAAGTAGTATTAATTCTCCTTTCATGGTTCAAAATCATGCTTCATCATCATCATTGAATTCACAAAATGCAAAATTTGTAAATGAATCTCCAAATTTAACAACCAACATTTCACAACCTATGAAAAGAAAGGTTTCGAAAAATAAGGTCATTCTCTTCTCACTCATGCTTCCAAGTGTTGTTATTTTAATTTTATTGTTTGGTGTCAGAATTTTGACAATGGGAGCGTTTCCTGTGGATACATTTCTAGTTGAGGAGAAACCATTGCATGTGAGGGTGTTGAATGGATTGGTGTATTGTGGATGGGCTTTGAATGATTTAATGTTGGTGGTGCAGTTTTTGTTTATTTCATACATCTTGTAAGTGAAATTGTGTAATATTGAAAATGACAATTGACAATGATGTCCTCAAATGAATAGTTTGCAAACTTCAAGAAAACTCAAGTACATTTCACAACGAGTGTATAAGGTTCTAGTAATTTCCATGATCATCACTCCTGTCATCTTGTCATGTTCCGTTTTAGGATACGTTATTGCAGTCATGACAGATCAAATTACAAAACCTCAACAAGCAGATGGAAGTGCGGCCAATGTCAGACCAGCTCTCATTTTCTTTTATTCCATCTCTACCATTATTTTCATTGGCTCTTTGTTCGTTGCTTTGAGTTATGTCATTTGGACCACAGTTCAATTAGTGCGACACTTGACAGCTGCCAGCATTGGAGCTGGAATGCAATTACAACAAACCACACGAACAGCCGTTCGAAAAGTGGTCGTAATTGTGACTCTTGTTTCAGTCATTGCTGTGTTTATGTGTATTATGGAATTGATTGCCTTAATTGGAGAATTGTCCAACGTTTCCGTATACTTTGCTGTCATTTCTTTGATCGGAAAAGCATTAGCGACATGGATTTACATTGCTGGTTTGTGTTTACTATTTGGCCCATTGAGTAGTTTAAAGAAATATGTGAAGGATATTTTCAATCATGCCAATGAAAAGAATTCCATGGAAGCTCTAATGATGCATATTAATAATGATAGTGGTGCTGCTGCTTCTGGTATTAGCACAGACAGAACACATGATTCAGAAGAAGATCCACAATTCAAAGGCTCAAACATGATGGATCAGTCGCAATTGTCAGACATGGAATCTCCTTCCAACAACACACAAATTCTTGACCACACAACACCATCAGCTGTGAATACTACAATGGTTCATGACGAGAATGAGAATGCGATAGGGAAACCACAACAAGAATCAATACCTACACAGCAAGAGCCATCATCTGCCTTAATGGTTTAATTAGTCGTCGCCAAAGATGACTTTTTGTAAATTGTAACTATTATCAAAAAACTAAGTAAAATATTTTCATCTTATTACTTAACGATATCTTGCTCACTTGCTGTAATAATTTCTTCGACCGGTGTAGATGTCATCAATTCATTCGGAGAATGCATCGTTGTTGACAATGCTACGATTGCAGCAGGTTGTTCGATTCGAGTGACGAACACATTTTCGTCAATCAACGCACTCACATGATGATGACTTTTAAGCAAGTAGGTTTTACACGTTCCTTTCCCTTTCACTTCAACCATTCGTTCCTCAAATTCAAAACCTAAATCATACACTCGCTCATAGGTCGATCTAGAAATTTGTATCTTGCCCGGTAGAGATGTGGACTCCTGGTTTAAAAATTAGGCGTGACATTGAAATAACATCAAAGATTACGTACCATTCGTGATGAAATGTTGATGGTATCCCCCCACTAGTTTGTGTTGAAAAGAGTTCAAACAACTTCTTATGTTCTTAACATCATACTTACAAGATCATAGGCAAACTTCTTCTTTCCAATCACTCCAGCGACAGCACTTCCAGTATTAATACCCACACGAATATTGATTTGGTGACCATATTTTTGTCGATTTTCATCGTTACATGATCGAACGACATCGAAAATGTTGATGGCAAACTTTAAGGTCCTTTCAGGATGATCCGATTGCGTGTTTCCAATACTAATGATGGAGAGTATGATACGAACAAATTAGTAAAATGGTGGTAAATAATAAAATGGTAAATAAAGTGTGAATCGAGTATAATAAACTTACCCTCCCTTAATAGCGTTTTAGAACAACTACAACAATGTTTCCAACTTACCACACAAAAATAAGCATCTCCAATGGTTTTAATTTTCTCCAGTTGGTACCTATCGGTTAAAACATCATATCTAAATGGAAAATTATTTCGTCAAGAACACGATGAAAGCATGAAATTGTGTGAACTTACCCATTCACAATGGAGTTGAGCATGGTCACTAGCTCTGTTGGATTCATTTGGCTACTCATTGTAGTAAATCCAACCCTATTCATAAAATACCATCGTGTAAAAGAACATCAAGTAATTTGTCATATTTGCGCGAATCCACCAAATGTTGTTGCTATCAACTCACTACTTACATATCACTAAACAAGCAAGTAATATCATTGAACTTTTCAGCAATAAACGTCTCGCCAGCTTTCAGTCTATTTGCAACAGATTCTGGCAGAATGTTCCGTAATAACATGTCTGAATTCTTCTTCTCTTCTGCCAACAAACTATTTTGTTTCTTTTCCATAGTAATGTCTTTAACAAAACATGATATAATCTTTGTTCCAGCTCCTGTCTTTGTAACAAATAAATTCACCATACCAGGAAATGTGGTCTGATTCTTTCGAATACATTCCAGTTCAAAAATGTCACCATGTTTCTTGTCCATGGCATCGACCTGATTCTTGAATTGATGACACACCTTCTTCAAAAACTCTTCCTTATTGGGATCAAAAAGAGAATATAGAGGCAAGCCAAGAACATCAGAGAGTGCTTTGCCAAACATTTTTTGAGCTGCTTCATTAAAAAGAGTAATCTCTCCTTTTTCGTTGGCCAACACAGCGCCTTCTACCATGGAAGACAATAGGTTAGTAATGGAATCTTCACTATTGCTTTGCTTGGCCCTCGTGTGAGAAGAAAGAGCATGATGTAATACAAAGTTCTTCAAATTCTCATCATTTTCCAGATGATCGATCGGAACAAAATTAAGAAAGAATCTTAGGGTGGTGATTTCTTCGTCATGTTTTCGAAATTCTCCAAAGATCAAGTAGCTCAATAGTATTAAGGTGACTATTCCGACAGTAAAACAGCATGCAGTTAAGGCTCTGGTTACTGATTGAGTGTAACTCACGAGATGTTCTAAAAGTTCAAGCATTCTTTTAAATACTTCATCTGTGAAATTAAATAGCTCCAAGTATTGGAAAAAGACTTCGGATCTTTTTGCAAAGTTAAGATTCCATAGATCATCACCCCACTTGACCGAATATACAGTAAATTTAGAAAGAACAGCTTGAAGAGTCATACATGTGGACTTGTTTTCACACTTGTAAACACCCAAAATAATTTCATCAATTCGTGGATATTTTCCAATTAATGGGGATGATTGAGAACTTCCATAAAATAATGCATTGTACATGTTTTGAATATCGAGCGAATATTGTTTGACATCGCTTCTAAAAGTAGCCAGCTGTGAAGCACTACCCACAGCAGGGTTGTTGATGAATTTACCAGATTGAATACCATTGAAGGCAAAGAATTCACTCAAACGAACAGATATTCTAACAGCAGACCTCATGATGGAAGTGGCAATATCAATTTGCCACATGGTCTCAGAAGTGGTCGTAATAACCATGTACATGTCATAGTACATGAGCCCTATACAAAGCGTGACAATTAAAATCACCAGGCTCGCGTAAATAATAATCTTATTCTTTGATGAAATACCACGTCCAAGTTGCTTGAAATCTTGTGAGTTCTTTTTTTGCAATTCTTGATAAATTCCACCAATAATGTCTTTAGGTATTCTCTTGTAAAGGTGAAGAATTTTGTTGATGTTATACATATCGATACGTGCCACAACAATCAACCCTCCATAAAGGAGTATGAATATTCCATTTGAAATGAAGAGATAAAGCTTGAGGGTGTTTTCAATTTGTTGATTCATGGTTCTTGCTGTTTGGAATTTCGAGCAAAACACAGCATATGCGTCAGCAGCCGTTCGTCTATTGAGATATAGATACATGAATGGATAGGAAGTGGTTGTCTTGTTGAAGTCTTCATCGTTCCACTTGAGAAAGAGATCCGTAAAGTGAATGAGCTCTTGAGTGATTTCGCTTAACGAATTATTTTGCTTGAAACTGTTGGTGTATTCAATGGTCGTGCCTTCAGTAGCGACTGGAATGTTCAGTAAATTTTCTGGTATTGTGTAATCGGTATATATTTTGGTGCTATACTTATTTGAAACTGAGTTTGTAATTAACTTTTCCAAATAGTTTCTATAGTTATGAAATCTATGTATGTAATTTTGTTGATATGCGAGAAAGTGAATGCCCTCAGTAGTTAAATTATTTTGAGGTATTGATCGGTTTTGGTTGACAAAAAGCTCAATCATGATTTGTTTCATTCTCACTTCTCTAATGAGAGATGATGGCACCACACCAGGCAAACAACTTTCCAAAGCAAGAGGAATTTCAGACTCGACTCTTCCTAAACTCAAACATAATGCTAGAGAAACGACAAATATTGCGACTGAAATAGCTGCTGCTGATATAAACGATATGTTTTTCAAAGTAGAACGGTATGGAATGCTTAGTGTAGTTCTGAAGAAGACCTGCTTCTTATCCACTTGTTGGTTTTCAATTCCTTCAAAACTTTCCTCGGCAGCCGCCACTTCTTTTTCATTGTTAATAGCAATAGGAATGGTACCAATACTGGAGACGCTTGTAGCTTTTACAGAGATCATTGGCAATACTTTGTTTTTTGGATATTTTTGGAAGTGTTTTGACTTGGACTCTTCTTCTTCAAGTTGGTTCGCTTCTTCATACAAAAAGTTTGCGTACTCCTTGTCAAATTTAAACTGTTCAACATAGCTTGCAAACAGACGCAGCACTCGTTTGTTGTGCCTGAAATTTGACATTAAATGGCGATACATCTTGTCGCAAAATTGAGTGAGTTGATTTGCTTTTCTGTTGATCATTGCAATCTTTTTGATATCGGGTACGTCACTCAAAAACTCTTTCCAAAATGTTTTGTGAGTAGTTAAGAGATCTTCTTGCTTTTTTTCCAGCTTCATGATGACTGACTTTAACTCTACTCCATTTCTTCCGAGTGCAGATGTAGAAGAAAGTTCTAATTCAATATCCAGTAAACACTCTTGAATACGGGTAAGCATCCATGCATTGTCACACAAGTTGACGGCTTTTTTCAGCAATGCATTAGCCATAACATAATTATTATTTTCAGCACATTCACAAGAAATAACGCAGCTTGCTGATAAGAGAAGAGAACAGTCCTTCAACAGCCTCTGATGAAAAGCACTTTTAACGAATGAACATGCCACGTTGAGGTAATCTTGTGAATGAAATATTGAGAATCTAAGAAAGAGGTTCAAAGATCTGATGGATTCTCCCTCAAGAGTATAAACATTAGAGCTCTCTACATTAGTATTTTCATGTTGTGTTTCAACAATTGACAATTTTCTTCTTACTTGGCGACAAACAAGACGTGTATAAATTTCACATCCCACACCACCTACCACTCCTCCAAGCAAACACAGCGCCAATGTAAGAGCCATCAGTCCTAGACCTAAATCAGTACTCATTGATGAAGCAGATGAATTAAAAATTGCGCTGCTTATTAACATGCCAATGCTTGAAGCTACTCTTCCGCTCAATCCAAACACGAATAATGAATTTTCACAACGTCTAAAGAATGGTAGATACATTAAAAATATACCTAGTTGAATCACTGAGCTAATCAATTGTAATGCTGCTCGAACATATAAATAGGTAGGAGGTATTAGAAATTTGATCATTACTTCCGAGGCGATAGAAACAAATTGTACTGATATCACTAAATTATCAGAATTGATAAACCATAGTCCATTCTTTGGGTTATTCAATGGAAGTAACATGCTCGCCACAAACAAACAAAACAGCACAAACAACATGCTAAAAAACGATAGCACAAAGAAGGGTAATGTTTGCTCCCCAAGATATGTCATTAAGGGAAGACGTGTTAAGGTAGACTGAATTCCATACTTTTCCGAGTACAAGAGTTCGCTCGGATTTGCATCCACAAAAGTAGTCATTAGAAAGATGGAAACAGGAGCAATGAGTACAATCACAATACCCAAAAACGAATTCAGTATTTGAATTTTGTGTTGGAAATTTCCTTTCGTGCTCTTGAACTGGATGATTAACGAGATGAGATAGAGGGCATTCATTGCGGTAGCTACACAACACAGAGCGACAAAAGCCTCCAACGAGTTGATAGCGTCTAAGGAAAAGGTAACTCCGTAACTCAAAATACGCATGACAAAGTCGCCGTAGACCCCAAACGGAGAGCTGTTCTTATTCGTAGTAAACAATGAATTGGTATATGATGAGAAGGAGCATGTAATAGGAATGATTAAATTCAAGTATACATAATAGAGAAAGATGAATGTATATAATGCTTTCTGCAGTCCATAATACATGACTTCGTTCGTTTTCAGCTCGAGATAAATATTACGCACTTTTCCCGTGACGATTTTAAGAGGAGAGTTGAAAGAGGAGGCTGATGAAGTATGTACTGTATGGTCCGAGGAAGTTAAGGAGCCATGATAGCTAATATGTGTTTCGGATCTTTCAGCAATGGGTTGTTGTTGTTGCAATTGAGGGTTATGAAGAGAGTCTAAGGAAAGCATCGAGCTTGATCCGACAACGTTATGAATGGAGTTTCTGTGCTGCTCGAATACCCTTGCGTCTGCCGAGAGGGACATGAATTCAGAGGTCAAACGATGCAGCAATGTTTTTCGGCGAAATGTTTCCTCAAAGCGAAAAAGGATGATCAAGTACGAGTGTTATGTTCTGTTCAACAAACTTTCGGTATTCGTGTGGTAGCAATGAAACTCTCGGACTTAGTCCTATCAGCAATTCCCGATCGAAAAAATAATAAACTCGGAAATCACCAACACTCCAATACCAATTGCATCATAACATTTTTCACAATTTGATTTGGCACAAGCAAGTTCTTCATAACGGCCGAATTGGCGCCTTCATTTTTTATTTAAAAAAAATGAAAAAATTGGAGCAAGGGAATCATCTGCTCCTCGTGGGCGATGATGGAAACGGGGAAGAGGATTTTCCAAAGGAATTGACCATTGATAACATTAAGGTAATGATGCAAAGTATTGAAAAGAATGTGATGGACTTGAAGGACGCTCTGGAAGAGGTGTCGTTAGAAAAGGATGAAAATTCGGAAGAGTTGATTTCTGAATTAAGGCTCGCGTTGGAACAGAGCGAGATGCTATTGAAAAAAATTGAAAATATTGAGATTGAATACAAGAAGGCGATCAAAAACGACACTGTTCTCCCTACGGATGTTGCAGATTTGTCTGAACAATTGGGATTTGTTGTACCAACTCACTTGACGAGGCCTGTAATGATGAACGATCTTCACTCCGGAGAGAAGGATCCACAAGAACATACCGAAGATTTGAAACTCAATGATAATGATCCGTCCGAATCGATAGCAGAATTAGAAGAGCTGAAGGAAGCTCTTGAAGGTTCCATTAACGAAAATGATTACAAATTTGTTTCGTTTGACGAGTTGGAAAAGTATTTGGTGGGTCCCCTTTCTTCAGAATGCGAGGAAGAGGAAGACCAAACAACCAAGACCCCTCAAGCTGTGATCGAGAAGAATGCACCCATCATTTCGGCAAAAACAAAAGATGAGCCATTTCCTGTAACACCTGAATTTTGCAAAGAGCTACAAAAAGAAGTGCTCAAAAGCAGTGTGAATTCAAGTAGTAAGGCATCGTTTCAATCTCCAGAATCTATTGTATCCACCTCTCCCAATCCTCAAAATGATACTGAAATTGAAGAAAATAGTTTTTCTCTCACTGAGGAACAGCAACAACTGATTGAAGAACAAGACGTTAATCATCTGCTAAAACAGCTTCAACTATTCACACAAGGGTTTGGATCTGATTCTCCAAAGAGTACAATCCCTATTCGTTCAAGTTTGACTGTAAGCAATTGTCCTCTGTATGTTGAAAAAACATATCCAAGCGAATCCAACCAAAACACTGAAAAAGACAGCAAAGAACTTGAAAATGACGTTCAAATTGAGGAATTATTGCCTTCGGCTGTGTACAAACAACAGGTTGCAAATCTCTCTCAACAACTCGAAATTCTCTCTCACAAGCTTTCGGAGTCGGAGAAGGAGAAGGAAATACTTCGCAATGCTGTCGAGGATTATCAAAAAGGTAGAGATGAATTAATTCATGAGCTGGATGAAATGAAAGAAAAAGAGTAAGTATTATGTTTATACTCAGTCTAACGAGCTGTTTTCAATTTTAGGAAAAAATTCAGTGTCATTGCTGAATCGTTGGGTGAGCACATTGAATTCCAACAAGCAGCAATTGAAAAGCTCAAGAATGAGAGAGATAGTAAATATGTAAAGCAATCTGAGCAACTAACGTTGATAATAGAAACTCTAATAAGAAAAGAAAACGCATTATTGAACAATTTGGTTGAGCAAATGCAGAGTGAAGTAAAGAGCAGAAAAGTGTTGCTCAATGAAGAGATGTCTAAGATAAAACAACTTGTGATTGAATGTCTGGGGTCAGAAGATGATCATAATGTAGAATTAAACGCAAGTGATGTATCCATGTTCAATGAGGAGCTGAAAGATCTTGAGGAATACCAATACGGAGAATTGCAGTATACTTCTGATCCAAACGACGAAATTGATGTAGCAGTTGTGAAAACCCTGAATGATCTTAGGTGTCCGGTCCCCATTGAAATAGAGCGCATTGGACCTGGAGAGTATTTTTGTGATAGAAAAATTGATGTTAAACTTGGACCAAACGGAGAAGCTCTTGTTAAAACAGGCAATAGCTTTTTCACATTAAGCTCGTACCTCAAAAGGTTGTATGCTCCATTTTTTACTACCGAAAAGCAGATAGACGAGAATCTTAATAGAGGCAATCCTACAGACGTATTACTTCAGAAAATTGCCAAAACAAGGGAATTTGTCAGCAACATGCAAATTAAGTCGAGTGAGACGTCATCATCATCTAATTCTTCACCACCTATTTCACCTCGAAGAATCTCTCCCCAACTACACCGAATTTCAGATAGCTCGAGTATCGCAAGCTCTGTTCGTGAAGATGAAGAAAGTTCTCCTCGTCTCCGCCTGCAACAAGCTCCTAGCCATGACATGAATGATTCCAAAGAGAGTCGGCCTTCTTCAGCGCCTCCAAAAAACAACAGATACATATCTATACTGCAGCAGGCTGAAAAGAACAAAAAGCTTCGACCCATTAAACCTGCTCCTCAAACCAGAAGACCTCCTCCAAACAGCATGTTAAATGACAGGCGAAACAGCCCTCTTCCGCCCAATTACGTGATGCGTAACAACGATCTCCTATTTGTAAAGAACCAAACGAGCACCTATCATTACGAAGATACACCTAAATTGCAATCGAAAAAACCAATTTCCAAGAATGCGTTATCCTCACATAAGGGAAATGCTGCGTCTCCACATACCAGCTCATTATTTGGAGATGCTGACCTTTCTGACCCCAAACAATTAGCTAAAATGAAAAAAGAAGCTCTCAAAATGCAAATTCGTCAGTTCAGCCATAAATAAGAAATAATAAGACATGATACTGTTGCAAAACGTAAAAAAATGCATTCACCACTCATTCGCTTTGAAGAAATTCATCTTTCGGAGCAAGCATCGATCGATCAACCAATTGCCCACTCATCGTTGAGCCATCATGTGGAAGCAAACACTGTCTACTTGATTCAACGGGATGGAACCATATCTTTTTTTAAATACTCAAACATTCCACATCAACGGAAATTGGAGTCTCTTCACCTTCATCAACAACAAGACTTATGGACCAATCGATATGTATATTGTGTAGCATCACGAATCTCTCCGAGTGGAAATTTATTCATGATTATACAAGAGCAATATTCTCGTCGTATTTGCAAAATCAATATTTACTTGAGAAATTGGGAAATATTAAACGTTCAAGATCCATGCACTTCTCTCACGTACAATTCGATAGAATATGTTCGATTGGCTGATGAAGAAAATGCTTGCAGAGAATATTTAATGTTTTATGGAGCTAGGTTTAAGAGCTCTCAAAGTTATTTGACAAAATTCGATATTGTACGCAAAACGTTTTCACAACTAACGACCTGTGCTTGTCTAGACCAAGACGATGAAATTAACTTTCAATATCCTGATCCAACATTAACCTATTATGACGAACGTCATGGGAGATGTATTTGTGTTGGCTCTACAAGTTTTGGAATGCAAGCATTTGGCGATTCCTTTGAGGATTTACATATTTGGTATTGTGATTTCAAGAAGAATGAAAATCCAACCTTCAAGATGATAGAAACAAATGCTTATTTCCGAAATGACATCATTTCCTTGGGAGTAGCCAATCCATTGACATGTCTTCTTCCCTTATCCACTCGTGGAGATTTTGTACATTTTATGTTTGGAGATTACAATGACCAAGATGCAGTATCGACTGAAAACATTTTTCAAATTATCATTCCACACGACTTGGAGAATTACAATCAACAACTATTGAAATGGATCAATATTACGCCACATTGTTTTGAAAAAGAATCGGACTTGGTTCTTTGGAATAGTATTCCTAAACAAGCGTGTTGTCAATGTGTACCTATTGAAATGGACATTTTCCATCAATACTATCGACTTTTATTTTTATTCACGAATGGAAATTGGTTCACGATTGAAATTTCATGGGACGCAAAGAAATGTAGAACAAGAAACAACAACAACTTTCACACCAACTTGATGGAGAATCCCAATTTCTCCTCTTCATGCACGATTCATGTTAACATGGAATGTACTTTCGAGAAACATTAAGGTTCAACGTTCTTCGAAAGGAATGGCCTTATTGTCTTGTGTGGATTCAAGCACTACAAGCTTGTTAGTTGTTGAGAAGCAAAAAAAATGACCAGACACTCACTACAGGACGTGATCAAGGAACAACACCAAAAAGCAGCTTCAGCACCTCCTCTACCCAAACAAGGATGGTTTGCTCGGATGTTATATGCGGACAAGAGTGCAAAGGGTTGGTCTCCAACGAGACAGTTATCAGTTTTTGTTCCGACCTTGTTTGTGTGTATGATGGCAACCACGTTGGTGATGAAGAGTAAACTTTCAGTAAAATTCGAAGATATTGATGAGGAGTCGAAAAAGAAATGTGAAGGTGGGTTTTGTATCTCGATAGAGTAAATATTTTGGAACAATGGAAATAATTTGTTATTGGAATTTACATGATGACGCGTGTAATAATTATTATTTTTTGCTCCGACATTATTTCATCAAAAGTTCACCGCAAAACTGTGAATGAATTATTCCGAGAAAAACGAGAAAAGGATATGGATGAAGTATTACTAGATTATGAAGTGAGGTTATGGTCGAACGGATATCAAAACAAACCTGTACCTCGCTCCATAGAGAATACATTCAACGACGACGATGATGATGCTGGTGACGATTAGCCCGTTTGGATTTGTGTTGCTCAATTAATCGACAATATTTTACTTGAAGAAAATGATGATCAAAACAATGAAAAGCTAAGAACCAATTGTTAGATGGTTCCTGAAAGAAGAAAATTTATCCATACAATTTACTTATAATAATAATTAGTTAAAATTCAGCTTTAATTTGGCGAAAACATTTGATATTATTGTTTACATATTGAATCAACACTAAGATAATATCAATTGTTTGTGATCGAGTGACATTTGATCATCGTTAGAAGATTGAGTAGTCCTGAATGTTAGAGTTCCCGTATTCAAAATGTGGATCATTAAAACAGTTCCTGCGGTCGTATGGAAAAAGGTGAAGAGGGAATTGGCTCTTGGGAAAACCTCAATTGACATTGTTTTGGAATTGACAGCAGAGAACCTTTCATCTTTCCAAACCATAGTTCCAGCCTTGATATCCAAACAGTAGAGAAGGTATTTCTCATGCTGATGATGAGATGTGTCCAATTCTTCGTCATCTTCGTCATTTTCTTCACTGCGATCGTTCTCATCGGCTTGTTCTTCTTCGTCATCATTCGTTTCTTCACTTGTGGTTGAACCTTTGCGTTTGCCAGATGGAATGGCACAAACAAAATACAGGTAATCTCCATACAAGTAAAACGATCGGGGCATAGAAGCCTGCAGGGACCAAGGTACTCCAATCGGTACTGCCCATTGAATTGAAGGTACGAGCTTTGCCTCAACTACTTTCTCTTGAGCTCTAAAGTGACGTTCATATTCCACATTCACAGCCACTGATTTGAAACATGAGCACCGTCTTAATTCTTCCACCGCTCCAAAAGCATTCTGTTTCTCAATCTTTCCAAATTTTGAAAGATGGATGAATCCTCCAAGAGAAAATTCTTTATCTTCGTAGATCACTAAGGGAGTGCCGCTCGCGAGCTGATTTCTATCTCTGTCAAAACCTGCAAAAGTTTGTTTCAGTTCGTCAATATCAAATACAGAAGAGCCGGCAAATATGTTGTGATGCGTCACATGAAGTGATTCCGTTGTAAAATCCATCACGTTTTTCCCAGTAGTCGTCCACAAAGAATACGCACCATTTGAGCTCTCTGCTAAAATATACAATTCGTCTTCAGTCTTGATGGGACATATGAAATTTCGAATGTCCGTTCCAATGTCCTTCATTACAAATACTATTTTAAGGGTTTGTCTATCGAGCAGCATGACATTATTGCTTTGAGTTTTCAAAATGTAGAATTTTTCCAATGGAAGTATTGGAGTTACAGCTTCTTCAATAATTTCTTCTTTTTGAGTTGTGGACACAAGTGTGACATGGTTCTTGCAATTTCCTGTTTTAGGGTCAATACTGACAATATAGTTTCCAAACTCTAAAATGATATTCTTCGTCGAGTGATCGTAAAATGCAAAAATTAAAGTATCTGCAAAAAACTTTTTCCTCTCAGATTCAACGAGATTCTGGAATTCAGATGACTCTTCAAACTTTCTGGTATCATTGGCTTCATTTTGTAACAGAATGAGTCGTTGTTGCCATTCCACGCTGTTAACTGCAGTCTTTTGAAGCTTCATTTGCTCATTGAACTCCTGTTTCAATCTGTCTCTTCTTTCTTTATCTTTTTTCAGTAAGAGTTCTCGGCGGAAGGTTGTAAATGCTCTTTCTTGCTTCATCTTTACATCAATTGGCTTAATTTCATTGAAGGTATGTTCACTGAATCGTAAAATAACACTTCCTGTTGGGACATCAATCGCTTGAAATACGTCACTGGTTTCAGCAATACCATTCGTATTTACAATAAACACCATTTCTGTTCCTGTATAGACTCTCTTTTTAACAGCTCCTGATACCGTATAAACATTAAAATAATCATGAATGTATGATGAGTGTATCGAGGTCATTTCGTAAATGGATTGAATTGGCTCGCTTAACACATAAGCCGTCTTATTTTGCAACAAATCAAAACATGTTTTTCCATCCGATGAAAAAGTGTACCGATCTCTATTCTTTACACTTCCCTTGAGACACATTACATTCCATGATCGTGATACTAATCTACAATTTTGAATCTCCTCCAAGGTAAGAAAACCCAACGAGGCAGCAATACAATCCTCTACAACTAACTGTGATAACTCGGAAGAAGGCTTACTACCCATCACCAAGAATACAATATTCTTTCTCTTTAGAGATGATAGTACAACATCATCAGCCAGAATCTTTCCCGAATTGATGATTTTAGTTCTGGATGGAGGTATTTGAAAATCCTGTTGTAATTCTTGTTTAATTCTTCCAATCGTGATACTACCATCCAATTCCAATGTACATTTTGTTTTCTTGCTTAAAATATTAAACGTAACAGAAACCGATGAGTTACTAGTGCTGATCATTTCCGAAACTCTATTTTTTTTGTAATGTTTTTTTTTAAAATTTCCAAGTTCCGCATCAAGGCTTGATGTTTTATTCAAGAAGGGAAGTAATTACAACAACAATTTATTGGTAGCTCAACTCTGAATTACATGAAAACAATCCACTTGCCAATTCCACGACAACAATATATTTAATCAACTCCATATTTCAATGAGTTTCATAGAAGGAAGCAATATTAGAAATGACACGTTGCTTATCCTCTTCATTCTCAACAGCCAAGACCATCTTTCTAAAGACCTTCTTCTTCTTCTTTTTAGATGAAGCTCTCAATGACTCTTCCACAGAAAGTTCTTCCTCTTCAGCTGCTGCTGCTGATGAGCTACTACCAGCTCCTTGTTGAGTACGAGTCTTTTCAGTCTCTTGCAAATATTTAGTGACAGCCCGAGCCAATGCAATACCAAATTTAGAAGTTTCTTCTTCTTCCTTCTTTAACTTTCTAAAGAATACTTGTTCACACAAAGGAAGACCTAGAGTTCCAACACTGTCATGTTTCAAAGCTTGAATGAAAGCAGCGACATAGGTCTCAACAAGACATTCCATCGAAGCATCAATTCCTTCTTCTTCCTTAAAGGCCATGACAGTAGCATTAAAAGTGAATCGATCAAATTCTGGATCATTCTTTTCTTCATCGGTCAACTCAATGGTAGAAACAGAGTGTTGAAGAGGACCTTTCTGATGACCCATTTGTTGAGATTTCTTTTCAAGTGATTTCTCAGGTTCTTTCACTTCAATACGAGGACGTTCACAAGTTGTTGTTGCTTGACCTTGTTCAAATTTACGTAAAGTAATCAAGACATCGAGAATGGCATCGACAAAGAGACCTTGAACACCCTTTGGATTGACACTCAAATGAATGAGTTTCTTCTCTTCGATATGACTCGTGGTACATTGAGCCATATATTGGAAGAATTCTTGAGCAATTTGTTTATCACTCAATTGAGAATTATTGCAGAGAATGTGTGCAATTTTGAACTTGTCACCAACAATTTCCAATTCACCTACATAGAGTAATTCATCCTTGTTTTTCACAATGAAATATTGACCTCTATCGTTGTAAAAACCAAAGACATTGTTGTTGCGGAATGAAAAACTATGTTTCATCAATTCCTCATAACTCAATGTGAGTAAATGTTCGGGAACGACTTGCCAAGTTCCATGTTCCATTTCTTCTTTTCTTTTGGACAATCGTTTGAATCGAGAATATCTTTCAAGATCGGCCTCTCTCTCTTCTTTACTCTTTTTAGCTCGAGAACGAACATCGAGTTTGAGTTTTTTCAAATCGTGTTGTTTGAGAAATTCTTCATCTTCTGCGGTCAGTTCTTTGGGTTTTCTCTTAATTTTCACTTGTCTCACATTGGGAGCAATTTGAGTATTCAACAAATCTCGTTGTTTCTCAAGTGAAAAGACTCCAGAAGATTGTTGATTGGGAGTGAGCATTTTGATATGTTCCCAAACTTTTTCAATCACGATGGTTTGTTTGTACAATTTTCGACAATCAATTCCCATTCCTTTGAAATGAAGAATGGTTTTCGATTCCTTTTCATCAGAGCCAATTTCAGCATCTTCTTTTTCAGCACTCGAACTTGTTTTACTCAATAAGGCAATTGTGGCTGGAGAGGAAGCAGCATCGTGTCGAGCATAGAGTTGTCTCACTAAGGGTTCCCAAGCAATATCGTGATGAGCAATGGTAGCAATACGGAAACGACGACAGGTGAGTTCAATCGAGAGAGCAATGTCTTTGGCAGTGAGGAAGGAGAAGATGTGTGCTAAGAGAGTGTCTTGATGTTCTCCTTTTTCATTGATGAATGATCTGGAGAAAAAAACGAGTAGTATAAATTTGTTGAAAATTGTACAAATACCAACCAATTGTCATTGATCATGATATGACAATGATAATAAATTTGATAAAGTCAAGACAAGGTCACATCAAGATGGACATTTTTGGTAATTTGATGAAAATGTGATGAAAATATTTGTAAATGATCAAGATGTAATCATCATGATGAACATTCTCATCGCCATCATTATTATGAATACTTACTTGAATACACCCAATTCTTTAGGTTTTAACACTTTAAACTTTTCTGCATGTGTATCACGTTCAATCACCATGGTAATCGTTTGATTATTTCTCACCGATAAATCCCACAAGGTAATATCATTGGATGTTAATTCGACATTGTTGAAATAACAAATGACTTTATCGGTTGGTGTTAAATTGGTTTCTTGATGGACAAGTTTTTTAATTTCGGCAATGGTGGTTGAGTTTTCAACATTGTCGAATTTGAGAGAATCGACAATGTTAGCACCGAGTAATCTGATGAAAATGATCATCTTGATGTGTGTGGTTGGAACGAGAGAGATATCACACGCTGACCGTTAAATTTTTTTTTTCTTGAAAATGAAATTTTTTAATTGGCATGTGACGGGACAACGTCAATCAACCCATCAAACCAGATGGTGATGGACAGTCGCAAATTCAAGAGACATGGTGTTCATTTGACATTCCACACAACAACCATTCACACTTTCTTTGAAAAAATTATTTGTTGCATTCTTGAACGTTACATCATGTCTCACGATTTATTCTTCATATTTCGAATTTGGTGTTGTTACAAAATTGTTTCAAAATTTTTCAAGAAAACTCAAAATTGCAAAACTTAATGCTTCTTATCATCCTTCTTTGCATCTGGTTTGTACACATCAATCTTGTTACAAATCTTCTTCCATTTAGCACACTTGGAGACTTGAGCAAATTTACGACATTCCTTCTTTCCACCCACAAAGTTATACTTGACACAAATCTTTTGACCTGGTGAGAAATGAGCACAAACTTGCTTGAATTTCTTCTTGATACATCTTGGCTTCAATGTCTTGAATTGAGTACAATATGGCTTGGCCTTGTAATTGCAACAGAATTTTTGATGGTCATACTTCTTACACACTCTAATCTTTTCTCGGCGAGTACAGAAACGACTTCGACTCCACTTGGTACAGAATCTAATCTTCTTCTTGGCCACACAGAACTTCTTGGTAATAACCTTGACGCACTTCTTGGTGTATCCAATCTTCTTGGAGAATTTAACATTTTGAGTTCTGACACAAGTCTTCTTCTTGGAGAAGGCAACACAAATCTTTCTACGCTTGGTGAACAACACTTGACGATAGTACTTGTCGACCCATCCCTTGTAGTGCTTACCCTTCACAAGAACCCATTTTTGAACAGTTCTCTTGAGAGTCTTGTATTTAGAACAGTATTGATGAACGGCATATTTGGCACATCTCTTCTTGAAGAAGTAGGAAATCTTTGGAACAAAGGTCTTGACAGCACATCGTGAGGCACTATCGTATTTGGTACAAATAAAGTGATAAGCGTATTGATCACAGGCGTTATTGGATCCCTTCTTCTTACAAGCTTCCTTCCAAACCCACTTGGAACAAATCTTGTGTTTGGTAACCTTATTACAGAATTGTTTGTAAGCGTGACCCAAACAGATTTTTCTCTTCTTGCTGTATTTCACACACTTGCCAACCTTCTTGTAGAGATCACATTTTCCTTTACCAACGGTCTTCCATTGGCAGCATTCCTTCTTGGTTCCGACCCATTCAAAGTCGACACACTTTCCTTTGACCTTTGTGTAGTGTGTACATTTCTTGAAGCAATGTTGAGCATGTTCTCCATAGGAATCTACTGGCTTTGGGTTAGCCATGACTACGGCCGCAGCCATTAAAGTCAGGACGAGAGCGAAAAGAAGTGTTTTCATTTCGTCTTGTTAAAGAGATGTTGTACTTTTTGTTTTTTTCTGATGTTTTTGGAGTGTTTGCCAATCAAGTGTGGTATTTAAATCGTTGGAATGTGTAGTATCATGATGAAAGAACGGCTGAATTTCATCAATCACACCCAATGAGGAGTTTGAGAACATTGGTTTCAAAAGCTCTAAAAATCCAAAACCATTTCCGAGAATTTGGAAAAAAATAGTTGGACAGTTGACAATTTTTGGGACTTGCGGATTGGAAAACATGACTTTAAGAGCTAGTTGATGGTCGGTTTTTAAAATCTCTGAGCCAACTGTAGACAAACTCGAGTTTTCTTTCATAAATGGAGCTTCGATGGACTGTTCTGGCACTTTAAATGAATTTGGTTGAAATTACCAAAATGTCGTCGGTGTAGGTTAGGTTATTGTACTTGTATTGATGAGCTCCTTGTCAATTTAACAGTTGAAGGTTAAACAAAAGATCCCTCACATTTAATACGTAAGCGCTTACATGGAGAGGTAATCATGAACCACACGGCCTGCTGGCATAATCATGTCACAAATAAAGTTGAAACCGCTCACAACATTTCTCACTGGTAAATCATTGATTGGTGCATTGACATGATCAGACAAGCTTAGTTTTGCTTGTCCTTTCCAAGCACTTGAAACTTTAACATTGGCATGTTCCATCCTAACGAGTTGGGCCACCGTTGGTAAGCCACGAACATCAGGAATAAATTTCAAGTAATACTGTGGTGTAGAGAGGAAGCTAACAACATCCTCTACTGGCATATGCTCGTGCTTGTAGGACATTGTTCCAGTCGCAACTCGGATACCATTATAGTTAAGAGTACCCTTGATGGTATCATGATGAGCCGCAAAAGATACCGAGTCTTTAGAATTCAATAATTAATAAATAATATAAATGTTCACACCACTTACCAGAGAACTTTTGAGGGAAGCCTAAACATTCTCGACCGTACGTGATGGGAGAAGATGAATTGAGGAAGCTCATGGCATTAAAATGTACAGCATTTCCAAACAAGTCAGTACATGGAATGATAACGTCTACCTTATCATAGCTACCTATACCAGTTCCTTGTGTTTTCACAAATTCCAAGATGACAATATTGTCGTCATTTGGGAATAATTGATCAGGAATTTTCTCAAGCAACTTTTCTCTGTCAGTTTGATATTTAATAACCATGTACTCTCTGTTCTGGAGCTTTGAAGCAGAAGGTTTGTAAGAAGGGCATGTGACTGGCATTGCCAAACATTCCTCCTTAATACGTTGTTCTGTAAAGGCTGATCGTTTTTGTCCCGATTGGCAATATTGCTCTTCGAATTTCTGCGACCACAACTTGTTTTCAGGTGTAGGATTCAAATAATCATGCAAAACATTTCCATAAGGTAAAAGAATATCTATAGATTTGAGGAACATTCAGTAAAACATGTCACAACAAACACAACAAATCACGTACCTGCCATAATATGCTTTCCTTGCACAATTTTCTTGACTGGCAAATCGGCGACTGGTGCATTTACGTTTTCAATCAAGTGCAACCGAGCAGGTCCTTCATAGGCAAAATGCAGCTTCTTCACTTGCAAATTGTAAGAGACAATTTGAGCAATTTTTGGCTTAAAATCAACATCAGGAATAACTTTCAAATTCACATTAGTTTTTCCAAGAGATGCAAGAACTGGTTCAGGATCCATCTCTGTGTGCTTGTATGCCATAGTTCCTGTAGCAACAGTTTCTCCTTTATAGTTCATGACACCCACCACTGTGTCTTGGACAGCTTTCATTTCGGGATGAGCATGTTTCTTTGGAAATCCCCAAATCTCTCTTCCTGCTGCAATTGGAGGCTCTATATCCAAATACCTTAATTTCCCACAATCATGTATCAAAAAATTGTCACGTCTATCTGTGAAACTGCCATGATACACTTACATTTGTAACGTCAAATTCACTGGCTGACCATTGTACAAGCAAGGAATAACTATACCACTCTCCGAATAGCTACCAAAGCCTGAAGAGTCAGGCATATTGATCCATTCATACAAGACTTGATTCTTTTCATTGGGTACCAAAGGCTCTGGTACCAATTCACGAATGGCGTCCTTGTCCGATTCATAGGTTATGATAAAGTATTCTCTATTCTTGAAAAAATATGGACCTATCATGAAAAACATTTAAAAATTTGTATTCGTATTTGGATGATATCTTGTACTCACCTCTCGGATAAGATGGGCTCATAATTGGTGTCGAGGGTAATCCCAATATCATTTCCTTGGTGAACTTTCCTCTCTCGGAGCCAGGTTTAATGATGGATCTGTATGCTCTCTCTATCACTTGAGATGATGCAAGACGTTTCATTTTGTGGTGTTCGCTGATGTTGAGTCGAATGACTTTCCAATGGCGAGAATGCAAAAACGCTCAATTTTTTGGTGTTGAAAAATTCGCGAAGTTTCCTTTTGGAGATCTTTCGCGTTTTTTTGCTGGCTCGCATATATTGCCATTAACGGAAGTTGGCAATGCTCAATTTTTTGGTGTTGAAAGACTTCTTGCTCTCTGCTGACCAGTCTGTCAAAAAGTTTCACACAATCATTCCACGAGGGCCAAAAGGATTTGTAATTTGTCCTGATTTTTGTTTTGAAAATAGTTGAGTGTGGGAAACCATTGTTTCACCTGTTGTTTCCTTGATAGCTTTTTCTGAAGCGGTTTTTCATACGGCTGCAATTCTTGTTCTGTAGTTGATACAATAAATTCATGAAATTTAAAAATGGTAAGCATAGACCAAATCTTTTCAAACTCAGAATCGTTAGATATAAATTTCTTATCATTCTTGGATACATGATTATTGACGAGATGTTTTAGAAATCTCGCATAAAGTTCATGTCTAAAGAATTCACTTGACAAGGCAACTGTGGCTTCATAATTTGAAACATCCGGCAACACTGGCCAAAAAGTAAACATTACATGTTCAAAAAAAGCCTCTTCTAATTTGAAAGTATATGCTAATGAGCGCTTTTGAGCAAATATTCCAATCTCAATAGCTAGATCATTAAATTTTTGCAGAATGTTCTTTGGAGCTGGATCTGAAGGAGGAAGGTGTCGAAGTTTTTTCAATGGAGTTACCAGTCGGTTATACTTCTTCGCCATCAGTTGATCAAGATAACCCTCTATGAAATAATGTATCCAGTGACGAGAAACCGGAAGGTTGTAAGTTCTAATCATGTAAATGGTTTGTCTCAATACGTCAAATATACACTTTCCTGTCAATCTCCAATCTCTTTCCGCAAGTCTTAATAGAGCGCTGTTATAGCTTACATTGATGCTCGTTCTATGGAAGTGAAATCTCCTAACAATGTCCTTTCTCGTAGCTTGGTCTTTAAAGTTGCCTTCAGAGAGATAATGTTTTACAGGACCTAATAGTGCTTCAATATTCAACTTTCGATAATAAATCGTTACATGAGATTTGAGTGTATTGTTCAGTCGCATGTAGAATCGTTGTTTTGGAAACATTTTCCATCGTTTAGTGATCGGAGGTTCATTTTTCAAAAGTTCTTCAATTCCATTAATATATCTCAACATGATCAACTCTGACCTCACAAAAGACAATAATTTGATTCCAACGATGTCTTTGCTTGTGAGCCATGATTGCAAAGTCGGAAAGTCGATAAATGAAAAAATCAGGCTCACCATCTCATCAGGAAGAATTTGGTGTTGAGTCATTTTTTTTACTGTTGAGAGGCAATTGGAATTACTCTTTTTGCAGTACACGCTCAGACCAATTTGCCTTTGCCAATTAATATCTAAAATTCCAATGAAACAACGTTATTAACACATTTGATAACGAAAATGTTTTTTTAATAACAATTTTTAATTGGAATTAAAAAAAAATGACACTTCATCAATTCATTAGGAAGAGCGTCAATAAGAAAAAGTACATACTCTCCATGTTTCCCTATCCTTCGGGTAATCTACACATGGGTCATGTCAGAGTGTACACCATCTCGGATCTACTTGCAAGGACTCACAAAATGTTGGGCTACAACGTCATTCATCCTTTCGGATTTGATGCTTTCGGATTACCTGCAGAGAACGCTGCTATTGAAAGAGGTGTTTCTCCTGCTGATTGGACCTATAAGAATATTGCTCACATGAAGGAACAAATTAAAGCATTGGATTTTGATTTTGATTGGGATAGAGAAGTCATTACGTGCAATCCCGAATATTACAAGTGGACACAATGGTTATTTCTTCAATTATTTTCAAAAGGATTAGCCTATCAACAAGAGGCTTTGGTAAATTGGGACCCAGTTGATCAGACCGTGCTGGCGAATGAGCAAGTAGATAGTCAAGGACGGTCGTGGCGATCTGGAGCTTTGGTGGAACGGAAAAATTTAAAACAATGGTTTTTCAAAATTCGTGAATTTGCACATGTATGTTGACTGCCAGTTTTGTATCATTTACACTAGCGTGGATTAACATGATGAAACTTGTTAATTCTCTAATGATTTAATGTTCATCCTACATTGATATTTTGTGATGGGGAACATATTGAAATCAATTATTTATTTTCATTCCATTGAAACTCGTGGTGATGACTGAATATACATCCCAAATCTTGGAATTAATAGGAGTTATTAACAGATGCAGACACGCTAGAAAATTGGCCTCTCAATGTCAGAACCATGCAAAAGCAATGGATTGGAAAATCTGAGGGAGCAGAATTTACCTTTAAAACAACATGTGGAAATTCACTGACTGTTTTTACCACACGACCAGACACAATATATGGAGTAACATACATTGCAGTTGCTCCAGAAAACGACAAACTTATTTCGAATATGGTACCTGAGGCCAGAAAGCCAGAGGTGGAAGCTTTTATTAAAAGATTATCGTCATTGACAAGCGTCAAAAGAAATGAAACGGCTGCCAACTCTAAAGAGGGATGTTATATTGGTGTTGACGCCATACATCCCATTACCAAAGAGGCCATTCCAATCTATGTGGCAGACTATGTCATTTCTGATTTTGCTGAAGGATGTGTTATGGGAGTACCTGCACATGATACACGAGATTTTGAATTTGCCCAAACGCACTCTATTCCAATCAAATATGTCATTAAGTCACAAGACACTCTGGATGATTTTCATGACAGTTGCTACTCTGAAAAGAATGGTATTTTAATTAACTCTGATAAATTTAATGGAATGAAAATTGAAGAGGCAGCACCTAAAATCATTCAGTACGCAGAGAAAGAAGGATTTGGTAGGCCATCTGTTCAATACAGATTGAGAGACTGGCTTGTATCAAGACAACGATATTGGGGGGCTCCAATTCCTATTATTCATTGCCCTCAATGTGGCGTAAGTATTTTTTGTGACTGCAGTGAATGAGCTTAATCTTAACAATTTTCCAACCATGAATATAATTGAAAATGGTTCAATCCTATTCCTATACTGTTAATTTGTTCACGCAGCCTGTTCCTGTCCCAGAGAAAGATTTGCCTGTTTTGTTACCTACAAATATTGAATTTACAGGCAAGGGTCCATCTCCTTTAGCAAAAGCAACTGAGTGGATGAATGTGAAATGTCCATGTGGGAAAGGAGTGGATTGTACACGAGACACCGACACAATGGATACGTTTGTGGACTCTTCCTGGTATTTCCACAGATATACCGATGCCAAAAACGACAAGGAGGCGTTCAACATTGAAAAGGCCAATAAGGAAATGAACGTTGATATTTACATTGGTGGTATTGAACATGCCATCCTTCACTTGTTATACTCGAGATTTATTCACAAATTCCTTCACAGAGAAGGCTATATGAAAGACCGAGAGCCATTTAACACACTTCTCACGCAAGGCATGGTTCAAGGAGAAACATTCAAAGACTTGGAAACGAACAAATATTACAAGACTGAAGAAATGGAACGTAATGAAGAGGGTATTGTGGTTGATAAGATCACAAAAAAACCTTTAACAAGCGTGTGGGAAAAGATGTCAAAATCAAAATATAACGGCGTGGATCCAGAAGCTGTCACAAAAGAATTTGGATCTGACACTGTACGTCTCTATATTCTATTCAAAGCTCCATATGACAAGGAATTGATGTGGGAGCAAAATCAAATATTAGGTCAAGAGAGATTTTTGGTAAGAATGGAAAACTTAGTCAATAATTTTGCCACGCTTAAAAAAGCTCAGAAGAGCGAAGACGCGACATCTGATGATGAGTTTAAATTCCTTAAAGAAATTTACACATTGATCGAGCAGATAAGAGAGGGAGTTACCTCTCGCTTCACATTCAATGTTTGTGTATCAAACCTCCACAAATATGGAATTGCTTTGCAAGAATATGAAGACAAGATTGGTACCACTAAATCATACGAAGATGCCATGTTGTTACTACCCTCTGTGATGGCTCCATTCACCCCTCAATTTGCAGAAAAGGCTTTCAAAATTGTGACCGCTCACTTGCCCTCCACTCATCCACTAAAACAAGTCACAAGTGTTCATGAAACAGCTTTCCCCAATGTTTCACCCAATAATATCCAACTCGAAAAGAAGACTCAAATTTGTGTCATTCAAGTGAATGGCAAGAGAAAGGACGAACTTCAATTACCCATGTCGCTTTTACAAGTAGCCATTCCATCCGAAAGACAAGCTCAAATTGAGTCCTTCATTTCACAACAATCCAAAGCTGTCATGAAACTCTCCCAAACCTCCATTAAGAAGATCATTCACGTTGATAAGATGAAAAATCAATACGTTATTAATTATATTGTCTCCTCATCTGACGAGTAAGTCAGGATCATGACTCCTTTTCATTTCATAAGCATCAAACATTTAATTCAATAAATTCCATAAAACAAAAAATGAGCCAAAGCACAGAGAACAAGGACGCACCAACAACACGAATGGAAAGAGTCGTGGTATGGGAAGGAGAATGGGCTCCTGTCCGGCGATTTTTCCATCATGTCTTGGTTTTGAAGGACAAGATTATAAAGACGTCCGTAGATACTGTAGATAGTACCACTAAAACACTCTGTGAAACAAAGACATCCGTCGTAAAGACCACGGAATGTAAGTTTTTTGTTGCAATGATGAGAGCATGTGGGTTGAATGGAGAGGAATTTTAAATCATACTATTGATGTGATCCCTGATCGGTATGAACATAACTATACGATGAAAATCATTCGGATTTATTTTCATCATCATCATCCACATTGGAAAAATCATCATCTCTAAATTTTCATCATTCACCATTCCATTGCATTGAATTCTCTTCAAAACCAACACTCAGCATCTCTTCATCAAACACTCCAATGGAAGGATTCAAATCCTGCTTTGGTCATTCCAGCCGTTTCAGCACTCGTCCTCTTCATTAACCGTAATCCAAGAATTTTCGTGAGAAACTTTGTTTTAGCGTCGGCTTTCGTTTCTGCAGCTTTATATCCAAAGATCTTCGTTCAAGCCTTCTATAAGCCAAAGGAATTCTTAGAGAACTCTTTCGTTTCCTATGAGAAGAGAGCTGAAGAAAGAAAGGCTGCTCAACAAGCTTTACAAACAACAACAGCACCATCAACTGCAACAACAGCAACTACAGAAACAGTGATTGAAAAACCACCAAAGGAAGATAGTGTCTTATCGGAGGTGCCTCAACAAACGGTCGTCGTAGACACTACCACAACAACCACTCCAAATGTTGTTGAGGAAAATAAGGCTTAAATGTGTGTATTCTCTTCAATTCATTACTACTACTGCTACTGCAATCATGTGAACAATATATACGAACTGAATGTTGTGGTTGTTGTAGAGGAAGGACAAATTATTTAACACTGTTGACAAGTTGCTCTCAGTATTGGACAAGATTGGAATAAATTCATAATAATGGTTCTAAGGAATTCACAATAACAACAGCAGATTAAGAGTGGAGTTGTGTGTGATCGTATACGACGATAAATGCGCCGAGATTGAGAAGTGGCATCAAAGTTATGCAAGTATGTATTCCAAACGTTGAAACATTATTGAACCACCATTGTCATCGAGTTACAATTTCCTTTTCAACAATTTTACCAAATCAAGACAAGCAAAGATAACACCCTCCACTCGAACGACGACTAACTGCTTGATTGATCACAACACATGATCAAAAACAATATTGTGAACACTTCATTGCATCACACACACACACACAGAATGAGTACTCATTATCTTCTTCATTATCCTTCCAAACCTTCTTCATGCATGATGAGTGTGATTGTCCTATTCGTTTACGTGTGTTGTTGCTGCCTTCTTCTTCATGGACATTCCCATGAACGTGTGTGCTCCTCCTCATGTTTCGTCTCTGCCACCTCCACACCTTCAACCTTGGGTACCGTATTCAAAAACATCGTGGTTCCCAATTCTCCAAAGCTTGATCAACAAGTTCAAAAACGCCCAATGATCATTTCCAACAATCAACCACAAGCATTGGTAAAATTTCTACTTCGTCATCATGCAACAACTCCTGAACCTCGTGCAGCCACAACTTCCACAACTTCTTCCTTACAAAATTCCACACTTCCTCAAACTGAAGACAATATCAAAACCATTCATGAAACTCGAATTATGGGTGGAAGACAAGTGCTAGATGAACATGCGTATCCTCATATGGCCTCACTCCAACTTGTGGCCAATGAGAGAGGTTATCATTTATGTGGAGCTTCATTAATTGATAAGAAATGGCTTGTATCTGCTTCTCATTGTTTCTTTGATGAGAGTGGCTCGTTCTTGGACCCTGAAAATTTGAGTATTGTCATTGGGAATTCCAACTTGTCAAAATGTCCAGGTGCCAAAGTTGAAAATTCCAGAAGACCACGATATGGATGCATTCGAAGAAAAGTACACCGATTCATTACACATCCATTGTATGATTCAAAAGTAGTGGTAAATGATATTGCATTGATTGAATTGGAAGAAGAAGTGGAATTCTCAACAAGTATTCGACCCATTCAAATTCCAGATTATGTGCCACTGGTCGGAACTGAGTTGACCTTGACAGGATGGGGACATGATCCAAGTGAAAAGACCAAGACTGTCTTGTTGGAACAAGTTTCATTTCCATTGATGAAGGAAGATGCTTGTACGAGTATTGGTTTGAGAATGAGTGTGAGGAAGGGACAAGTGTGTGCAGGAAGTGAAACTGGTGATGCATGCAGGTAAGTGGTTGAAATGGTTTCAGAAAAAAGTTGATGAAAATTTTCATGCATCATTCTGTTGGTGTTGTCTTGTGGATGACTTGTGAAAATAGTGGTGACAGTGGAAGCCCTTTATTACTTCCTTTGGGTTCGTGTGCATCAGATTCCAAGTTTTACTGTTATTCAATTGTGGGATTAGTTTCTTATGGTATGTACAATTTAAAAAAGAGATTGACATGGATGTTGTTTAAAATTAATAAGGAATTTCTTGCTCAAACACCAGAGTCGCGAATCGAGTAGGTGTTTACACTTCGGTCCCGTATTTCAAGAAGTGGATTCAACAGAACGCTCAAGTGGGCCAATATAATGAAGATGACTTGGACGATTTGAGAAAGAACAATGACACCAGTAATGCAATATCTATGCATAGAGCACAGCAAGCTCTTTTCTTGAGTGTGGTCATATCCTTACTCTTCAACATGTTTATTTGGCCCATCGTTGTTGGACTGTAGCCCTTGAGCTGGTACTGTGTGAAGTTTTGTGCGCATTCGTAGATTGAGTAAATTTTTAATAGTTTATTGTTTCATTTGGAATTCTATTCCCTTTTAGAACACAACTTCAAAATAACCTTAAAGTGTTCTGTGTTGATAAAAGCAACCACATGCATAGACTACAGAGCCCATGATTTAATGGTATGATCAGTCGATCCAGTCACCAATTTTGTTGAGCTAAAATCTAAACTATTTACAGATCCAACATGTCCAAAGAATTCTCGTGTTGTTTTTTTCGTTTCCAAATTGTACTCGATTGGATTCAGGCAAAGGAAAGAGCGGCCATTCATTTTACATGCTACCCTGGGTGATGCAAGTCCAAAGTCGTTGCTGTTGTTGCTATTCGTTAAATGATGCCTGTGGAAAGCTGAAGTAATCGGTACAGTTGAGGAGAATATGAGTCTGGACCCAATGAACTTCAACCCAGAAATTGGACCACCATGACTTGCAAGATTATCCAAAAGTTTACCTGCTTTTAGATCATAGTCCAATATTTGTCCACTTTGACATCCAACAATGATTCTATCATCTGTGAATTGAAGCACATTGATAGTATCGTGTGCATTGATTCGTTTGGTACATTTTCCAGAACGCAAGTCCCATAACCGAATACACTTGTCACCGCCTCCTGTGATAAGTGCATGTGATTTAAATTGCAGAGTTTTCACGTATCGTTCATGACCAATTAAGGTTTGAACGCACTCACTTTGATTTCTGTCCCAAACTTTCACTGTCTTGTCCACACTACTACTCACAATCACTCCATTGGTATCACTCTTCACGCATGTAACTCCTCCCTCATGTCCCTTGAGGACCTTAATGCACTTTTCCTCAATATCGGGATTACTCACGTCCCATAGCCGTATGGTACCATCTCCTGAACCACTGACAACAAATTTCAAATCATCAATTAGTCTTTCATATTCGTCCGTTTCTGCGTTGAAGTCAGAAATGTCAGAGGTCACAGACCGAACCCAACCTGTATGGCCAGTTAGAGTTTGAATCAGTGATTTAGAATGTAAATCCCAAACTCTAACCGTACAATCTGCAGAGCCTGAAATTACAAATCTTGATCCAATGAGGTGAATGGCAGTAATGGACTTGGTATGGCCTCTCAGAGTACATTCAGACAAATCAAAAGGTGTGTCTGAATTGGCCAATTCTTTTAAGACTTTCTTTCTGTAGGTTCTTGGAGTAATTTGTCCGTATGATTGTTGAAAATTAAACGATGCTGAACGTGTTCTGAATTGAGTATTAAAAACAACATCGTCCAAAGTATGATGATGGTAAGCTCTGTGCTTGTTCCTATTTAGAGATGGAGGCCTTCCTTGTTGATTCAACGAGTTATAGTGTTGATTTCCCTTACTCATGTGATGTGAAATATTGGCTGGCAGTGAAACTCTCGAAGCAATACTTAAATCACTTCCAGCGCTTGTGTAACTCCAAGCATCATCGTCCATGTCATCCTCAAGAACATCGTCTAAATTTTGAGATTCGTTATCGTCCTCAGAAATTCCATCAGGAATAATATTGGTGTTATTATTTTCAGGAGGTAGAGGAATGTCTTGTGCAGTTTGGGATAAAGCATCGGTTAATGCTTCATCTCCCAATGGAGGGGTTGTTGAGGTCCACTCTCGTTTGTCCTCTTCGTTAGCTAATGGGTTGTTGTTAACATGATTAGTGGTATTGTTGATTGTGGTATTGGATGAGTTATTTTTCACATCCTCAAAATTTCGTGGTGATTGCTCTTCAAGTTTAAAAAGCTTTTCCTGTACAACTTTCACTATATTATGCCAAATTTAAATATTAATGACAATTAATTTCACAAACGTTCAATTAATAAATAATATGATTTCCACACGTACGCTTTTGTTTGATATTATTTTGTAATTTATCCAATCTCTTTTCTTTATCTTCCAAAAAAGATTTCTTTTCTTGACACTTAAATATAACTTCTTCCAAATGTCCCACTTCGTTTCTCAATTGAGTCTAATAATAATGCAAATTGGAAACATTAGAGATGTTGATCTGAAAGCATACATACCTTCTGATCTTTCAATTTTTGAGCTTGTTGTGAAAGTACTTGAAATTCCATTCGTAATTCTGTGAAATACGAGGATTGGGAAGGATTATGGATGGCATTTCCTCTAATACTTCCTCTGGGTGTTGGTTGATGAGTTGTTTGTTGAGGATAGGAATTTCCCCACACTCCGTTATGATTCAAAGCGCTACTATTGCCAGATCCGTATGGATGTGATTGTGGAAATATTTGAGGATGCGAAGGTTGATGATAGCTACTATTGCTCGTGGGATTGTTAAAATTGTTATGGTAATTTCCCTCCGTGATGCCATTTGTATTGTGATGCATGATAGGTTGTTGATGATTATTATTGTGCTGAAATTGTTGTTGTTGATGGTTAGATTGAATATTTCCTGTGTTATACATCATCATTGCCGGAGGTGATGAACCTATTCTACTATGACGTTGTCCATTACTATGATTATATTGATTTATTTGTACATAAGGTGGAGAAGATCTATTTGCAGCTCCTTGATTCATAAATTGTGGTGGTAGCGATGATGAAGGAGCATATTTAGGAGAGGAAGAAGAGGACGGAGAAGGATTTTCTTGAGAACCCGTCATCATCATCATGTTATTGGAATGAACTGGCACAGAGAATGAATTTCCAACGACTGGTGGCGATGTTGAAGGTGGTACAGAAGGAATAGGCTGTTGAACATTGAGAAGCGAATGGTGCTGATGATGCGAATGAGGATGATTCAACTGCCCATTTTGAATCATTTTTATTTCTTGCCCGAATTGAGTGATGGTTGGGTCTTGATCATGATGATCGAGATGATCCTGGAAGGAATAGATGGAGCAAGATCGATACGAAGAATTCATTGTATTCACTTTTGTTCCAATAAGAATTGTTATTGTTTATAGCTTCATTGAACTAACAAAATAAATGATTGAACACCATTCCAGAGGTGAAACTTGATAAATTTCATTTTGATTTCAAGATCAACAAGAGTTTTTCAAATTGATTGAACGAGTTAAGGCACAAGTAATTACGTCCAAATCCATTTCTTTAATAACATTTCTTTTCATCACGATCACGTTTATCATCGAGTGGAAACACATGTTGTTTATGGTTTACTTTCTGGATCGCTTTCAATGACCTTCAACAATCCAACCCTCTTGGCAGCACTCTTTCTAAAATCAATTTCCCATTCTGGATAATTCTTGGCTTCTTCATAGGCCGTGTACAACAATTTGATATCATGTTCATCAAAGTCATCTTGTAATTGAGGAAGAATTTCATTCCATTCGGGAACATATAGATCTCGAACAGCATCTCCTTTCACTCCACTCAAGCTCAATTCATTTCTCATTTGTGAAGAACCACCAATCAATAAATATACACATACAAAGGATTCCCACAAGTAATACAGAATTTGTTCTTGAATGTTCGAATCATGAATGTAGGGCAATAAAAGTCTCACTGCAAAGCATCCAGTAATGCAATGCAAAGTTCCAATATCAAACTTGACAGGTCCTTTCAAATACATATCGAGAGCCATTCGCTCAAAATCTTTTAAGGTAAATCTTGGAGAAGGAGTCGTTCTTGATTGGTCGTTCATGTAAAAGAAGGAACAAATTTTAGCATAGTGACGAGGTTTAAGGCCATCTTTCAAACTATTCATGAGGTTATGAATGAGAAAATTGGCTTTCTTGAAACTCTCTGTTCTGAATCGTTCTGTAAAGTACTCGGGATACAATTCTTCAATGTTCTTCAATAATTGATTCATTGAGAAGTGTTGATTTTTGGAAATGGCTTCATCTTCTTCCTTCGAATTTACATATTCTCTCAATACTGTTTCATTGGGAGCAAGACTATTGTAGGCATACATGGCATAACCCAAAGCCGTGAGAATGGTTGAAGTATGGAACTGTTGTAACACACCATACGACAACATGATGATAGGATGAAAGGCTCCTCCTGAAACTCCTCCGAATAATTCAAGGACAATTGGATCAGAGAGAATACTTTCGAATACCTCTTGGGAGAGATGTTTGGAGAGAGTGAGTGTTGGTACGTTCGAATTTTCTGAGGTAGTAGTTGTGTTAATGATCAAAGTACTGTCATTGGAGTTGGATTGACACTTGATCTTGATGGCATGTAACAAGATCAAGTGTTGCATAAAACGTTGATAGATGAGATAATCTGGTCTATTGGTGGAGGGCTTTCCTGTGAAAATACTATCAAACAGTTGCCTTAATTGAGTAGATATAAGCTTTGATACAGAAACGCCCAACTCTGAACCAATATTTCCAATATTAATCTTGGAGAGTAAGGGTTGTAACTTGTCACGTTCCCAATTTGTGAGAATTTCAGCTTGATCCGTCTGTGGCAAATAAGTATCCAATAATTCCAATTTTTGTGAGCTCATTTCAACATTTTTCAAATACACATCCAGAGTAATGGGTGGTTTTTGAACATGATCTGAATGTTTGAATTGATACAAGGCGCTAAGAACCATTGGAACATGATTGGCCAATCCATCTGGAACTCTTTCACTCAATCCAAAAGTGGGATAAAAGATGGAATTTACAGTATCTAACAACTCATCCAAAAACACATCCTCGCTTTTGGTGCCATATTTTTCACGTAACTTGTCCAAAATAAAACGAATCTTGCGTTCCTTTTCTTTTTTCTCATTTTCTTCAGAGTATTCATTGTACACTCGAGAAGCTGTTTTTGCTCCAAAATAGGAAGCAGCCAATCCCGATGCTAAAACACCATACTTGATGTATGGATTTTGTAAGAGAGAAGCGAGACTGCCAAACCAAGAAGAGGAAGTGTCTTGAGACATTTTTTAAATAGTTGTTTTGTTTGTGAGAAATTTGCATTCGTTGTGAATAGTATTTATATCCTTCATGCAAAAGATTGTTTTTTGTCTCAAAATGGATTCTTACTGCAATAGTTGGACCTCTTGAACTGTTTGTCCGTGGTTATGTATTTTGATTGCTGGAAAAACTGTTTGTGCTTGCATTCATGAGGAAGGACAAATTTAAGAATCTTTGTAAATTTTTACAATAAAAAGCCAGGACACTCTCTTGTGTTATCGCTGCTGTGTTTATGATCAATAATAATTTGAAGAGATGGTGTTGGTAGTAAAGGAGTGGTGGTGAATGTTCGTTATCGTTTATGTCTCATTCCCGTTGTGACTATGTAAGAATCAGGCTAAACATTCAGCGCAGTCATGACATTTTTGAATGTTCCCAACTCATGTTAGTCTCGTACTCAAATGTATGTATCAACTCAACGATAGTTCAATGTTCATATTGTTCCATGAGCCAGCTACAAGAATAAATGACAGCCATTCCTACAATGTGTGCCAACAGGCAATGCAACAATGAATACACTCGATTCTGTGAAAAAGCAATTGAAAGATATTGCAAACTTGTCGGTATCAGTTCTGTGAAACAAATCATGGTCATGATTCCTCCACAACCAGCCAACATGTAATACACTAAATAATGAGGTAAAAATCCAACATAAATTAATAAGCCAAAAAATGCAGCACCAATAGGTTCACACAATCCACTTAGAAAAGAGTATTTGAGGGCTTGATAGATGGAGTTGGTGGCAGCGTAAACTGCAATGGATACAGCCATTCCTTCTGGCACGTTGTGCAAACCAATGGCCAATGCAATCATAAGTCCAAGTCTGTACTGTGTTAAGGTGGACGTATAGACAGCCATTCCTTCAGGTAAATTGTGAATGGAGAGTCCAAGTGTGACAATGATGGCAGTGTGATAAAGTCTTTTCTTGCTGAGATGTTGTTGCTTTGTGGATGTTGCTGTTGAAGTGGATGGTGTGGACGCTCCCGTTTTTGGAGTGCTCTTTTGTGTATCTTGATCCACATGGTCAGACATGTCTTCTTTAGAATCAATTTCTTGGTCGCTAGCCTTACTCTTTTTCAAAGTCTTTTTGGGACTATCTTCTGTAATTTCTTTGGATGAAGTAGCATGTTGTAAAATAAAGTCCTCTTGATCAGTATCTCCAAGTAAGGTTTTGCTAATGAACATGAAAATAGCGCATCCCAAAATGAAAGAAATTGCACTTTTGAAATAACCAATATCTTCAATACTCTCAGGAATTAAGTGAAATACCGAAACGAACATCATGACACCTGAAATATTTCAGTTACAGTTCGGGATTTCCGTAATATTCATTATTAAAGGAGAAAGGAAAACATGTTTTTTGATATCATCCATCTTGTCTTTTTTTCAATAAATCACATACCACTTGCAAATCCCATCATGTGTCCAATTTTTGAATCTGATGGCTTACCAATACATGCAATAATAAATCCACCAATAAACGTAGAAAATCCAGCAATTAGACTGAACGAGAGAGCCAATAAATGTGTGGATGCTGATTCCGATGATGAAAGTTTCCTATCATAGTGCAAATTGGCTTCATGTGTAAGTTTATGAGGCTGTTTAACTGTCGGTGAAGAAGCAGTGGTCGTGGCTAAAGTTTCCCAAATAACCAATGCATATGAATTTGAAATCAATAATATGAATAATAGCAAAAAGCTCGCGAACAAGCACCTCGAAGAGAGAAACATTTTTTTTGATCTTCAAAGTTCTCGAGGTAAGATCGTTTTCGGAAAGAAAGATGAAACATGGCCATGCTGCAGTAAAAGTCAATAAGGGTCATCATGTTAAAGATCTGGTTTGGAATAAAAAATCAATTGATAATTCAATCTTGGTTTCATAGCTCCCCACAGACGGCGCAGGTAAGAAAAGAGGTTTCGTCTGTCAAGTGTCATTAAAATCATCAAAAAAAATTATTTAACATCATCACAATGGTTGATAGACTCACCGACGAACAAATTCAAGAATACAAGGAGGCCTTCTCCCTCTTCGATTCTGATTCAGATGGTACCATCGTGACCAAAGAATTGGGTACCGTCATGAGAGCTTTGGGTTTAAATCCTTCTCAAACCGAACTCGATGAAATGATCAAGGATATTGACGTTAACAATACTGGTACTATTGATTTCAAGGACTTCCTTGTCCTCATGCAAAAGAAGATGACCGATAACGACTCAGAAGATGAAATTAAAGAAGCATTCAAAGTGTTTGACAGAGATAACGATGGAATAATTAGTGCTGCTGAATTGAGACACATTCTCACATCTATGGGTGAAAAGTTTAATGAAGATGAGGCTGAGGACTTTATTAGAGAAGCCGATACGAACGGTGATGGTCAAATTAAATACGGTAAGTGTGTGAGAGTGAATGAGGAGGAATTTATCAATGGTTGATCATCATCACGATGACATTATTTTGATTTCAATATTTGATATTTTGATGTTTGTAATGACCATGTTCGGATCGATGATTTTATAATGACCCGATGATTTTCTAATGTCTAATATTGTTTGTTGCACCAAAACTTGTACTTTGATGAAATGATGTGAATATTCAACAGAGGATTTCTGCCGAATTATGATGTCCAACTAACTCGAGTCATCTAGTAGTAGTTAGTGTTGTAGTTATGATCTCCAATGTACTCTTTCATCATCATCTTATTCCGAGAGCACTCCTAAGTGCTCATCATCATCATCTTCCCAACTATTCAAATGAATAAATCAAAATCCTATCTGTAAATATCACTACATGAATCAGATTATCCTTACTCATTCATCATCAAGAGCGTTCCCGACACGAGTTGTTACAACATTTTTCATCCAACCCTTATCCTCCTTCTCTTTAATTATTTGAAGTCAAAGAGCCCAATAATAAGGCTTACAAAAAAAATGTTTCTACCCAAGTGCTGCTTGTGTATGCGAGATGCTGGAGCCTCAGTGGAGTTCTTCTTCTTGGAGTGTGGTCATTTTGTGTGTGAGGCTTGTATTTCAGTAACTCCTCCTACACAGATGCATATGGCTCATGGCAATACTTCATCTTTGAGTGGGTTTTGCTCCAGTTGCAACAGACAAAGTCAGGCAATTTCTCTGGCGGATTCGGTAAGTTGATCATGACGAATTCTTGAACAACAAATTTCAAACAATCGAATACAAATGTACAAATGTACTATACCTTGAAAGAAAGGAATACCCAGAAACATTTATGAATATGTAAGCTCCAACTATCGTAACTTGTTCAACGAGGCCTTTTCAAAACTGGACTCGGTCTTGAAATTTCAGCACCAACACTATGAACAGGTGATTGGACAACTACGAACCGAGAATTTAAGGCTAAAAGAATCCTTAGAGCATTTCAATACAGCAAGCACCGCTTCCATGCTGAGGCAACAGCACTCTCAAAGGACACCCCCAAAGTTCCCATTTTCCAACATGATAGAACCTCCACTATCTACAACACCCTCACATTCACCATACCATTATTCATCACATTTGCAGCATGCACAAGATGTCCTTAGCACGCCAAGACTTTCTTCGTCCAACATGTCGTCCTTCATGTCACCTCATCGAACAGGAATTGGCACTCCCATGCCCCATACCAACTCGATTCGTTTGCCAACACCGTCTCCAAAAGTACCTGGTGTGAGCCCAATACGGCCAAGCACTGCATTGAATGATAGTTTTAACCAAATGACAGTGCATCATCATCCGCAACAGGACAATCAAGAACTTTCAGAGATCATGGCAGAAACAGCACCAAGCATGAACACACCAAGAAAGCAGCCTTCCAATGATGAGACTAGCAACGACTCATCGATGACACAGATTTCGACAATTTCACGAACCAAGTCTTTGGTTCCAAAAGCGTTGAGTAGACCACCCCCACAACATCAATCCACCCCATTGATACAAAGCGTAAAGCAAACCACAATTCCCGCTCAACCAGGTAGCAAAGGAAGGTCCACAGTCAGAGCGGATACACCATTACTAATTTCCAACAGGTCTTCTCCGCATCAGCAAGAAAAGAAAGGATTGTTATTGAGGAAACATTTAGTTGGACAAGCTGACCAATTGATTGAGCAAAATGTGCGACCTCAAACACGATCGACTACAAATGATGAAAATATGGATCCATCTTTATCTAGCACCACCTCTGATCAAAATGTCATTGATAAGCAAGCCAGTGTGTTAGGACTTCCCAAAAGAGTTTCAACAGGACACAAAGATGTTTCTCCAAGCTCCAAAACCAAATCACCCCCAACTTCAATTCAAAAGCAAAACAAAACATCTGCACTGGCTCCCCATAATACTCCGGTCAACCCAAGACAGCTGCTTTCCCTTGCCACACCATCCAGACAAAGACCTCAGTCCAGTCGAGGTCTTGCAAACAACACTCGTCAATAACATTGTTGTGACCAATGACTGTTATCAAGAAAGACCTTGCTTAATCACATGTCAAGTGACACTAGTTCAAAATTCCCTCATTAAAAAATGACTGAAACCGAACGTTAGACACCGGTTCTTTGCTTCATATTTTACAATTCTTCTCGATGAATGAATTGAACACACTGGCTGGATTAGTTTTTCATTCCAACTCGGAATGCATCAAGAATGAATGTTATCACTCATCACAAATACAATTTCCTTCCGATGGAGCTTCCGTCATTTACAACAATAATTTTGGATTTCAAATCATGCTCGCTTCTTGGCACGATTATTTGTGGAGCAAGTTCATCACAGAAAGAATTAACTTTTTAAATGAAAACGTGTTACTACCATTGAGAAACAATCATAACACGAATGAAAATAACAATCATGAAGAGGATACCTTTGTATTAACAATTCCACAAAACAATTTTCGACGTGAGTTTTTGAAACAAATTTGGAATCGTGTGGAACAATTGCAGAATCGAATTTTTAGAGAAAGAGAAGAAAGAAAAAGGTATTTTGAGTCACTTGTCAAACAAATTGAAACTGAAGCTGCCCAACATACACCTACCAAGCTTGATTTAAATTCACTACCTGATATTCGATCAGATGATTCTCATATTCACACTCCAAAAGTTGCATTCTCAATCCAAAAACAACGAGAATTAAGAGAACACGTTCTCACAGAACACAATATCAATCACGTCAACATTCAAAGCTCGTCATTACATGATGCACTTAAAGATCATCACAGCCTAAAATGGTTGATTGTGGGTCAAAGTGGTATTGGAAAAACATGTTTAATGTTTATGACTAGTCGTAACTTATATCCTGATTGGAGTCCATCCATTGTTGATGCATTCGTCTGCGATGACATTGTAGTTCCTTTTTTCAATGAGAAATTAGAAAAAACATGTGAAAAAACATTTGCAATGGGATACTGGGACACTTGTGAAAGGGAAGAACAGCACAAAATATTAAATCGGTTGAGCTATCCAAGTACTGATATCGTGACCCTGGCATTTAGTTTGGACAATTGGAAGTCTCTGAAATATTTAGCTGAACGCATGGTTTGGGATATTCACGCTTTCATTCCAAGCGCCACCATCATGGTGTTAGGTTTGAAGAAAGATTTGAGAAAAATTCAAATGTGGAAATCGTTATTGCTTTCCAATGTTGAAGAGCCAATATCCTTTGAAGAGGGGCTTGAATTTTCCAAAGTAATTGGAGCTGTTGCTTATTTAGAAGCCAGTGCCAAAGAAAATATTGGATTGGAAAGATGGAATCAAAAGCTGACAATTTTGAGACTCGTGGATCTTGTAAATAAGCATGAAAACGCATCACATACTCAAGGTACAAAGACCAAGTCAAAGAAATCTTGTGATGTGCAGTAGTTATAGACAACTTTATGCGTACCAGCATTTTGAAAAAAAAGAGTCATTTATTGATCTTCTGTCTTGTTCTTATCTTTTCGTCGGCCTAATTTTTGGATTACACGAAATGGTACTCCTCCTAAATCGAACTCCTCTCGAATAGCATTTACAATTTGTCTTTCAAAGTTAGGAGGGAATTTCTTGTTTTGTGTGTGGATGCAAAATGTGGGCGGTCTAATGGCCACTTGTGACAGATATCTAATTTTTGGATAACTAGCTGGGATTGGTTTCGTTTCTAAATATTGTCTTATAAAAGCATTAAGTTTGTTGGTTGGTACTTTGGATGCCCATTTTTGGTAGGCTTTTTCACATTCTTTGAGAAGTAAGGCCAAGTTCTTTCCTGACTTGGCTGAACAAACAACTACAGAAATTCCTTGCAATTGAGCAAGAGAGCTCTCTATTTGTGATTCAACTTGTTGAGCTACTACATATGGTTGTTTGACAAGATCCCACTTGTTGCATGCAATGACGAGAGCTCGTCCTTCTTGTTCAACCATTCTGGCAATATCCAAATCTTGTTGTGTGAGGCCGTAACTCGAAGTTGCTGCATTCTGTGTTGGATCAACCACAAGACAGCACACATTAGCATATTTGATCGTTCTATATGTGTCTTGCAGCGACATTTTCTCAATTCTATCTGTTTCGGTATACTTCTTTTTTCGTATACCTGCAGTGTCACAAATAATATAATGCTGACCTGTCTTTTCATTGATAGCTTCAATTTCGATGGTATCTCTTGTTGTTCCTGGTGTGCTTGACGTTCTTGTTCTCTCCTCACCAATAATGTGATTAAGGAGAGTACTCTTGCCAACATTTGGCCTACCAATAATGGCCAGTCTCATAATATTGTCTTCAGCGAGACCACTTGAATTGACCATTGGCTCTTCTTCAATGTCTTCTGGTTGCTCAAAGTCTTCATCTTCATTGGCCAATTGTTGAGATGATGATGCAGTGGTTGCTACCATCGAAGACGTTTTCTGCTGAGCTCTAGTTATTGATGCTTGTGTCGAAGCGACACCATTTTCCAAAATATTTCTATAATTTTGAGGTGTTAAATCCATACTGTCTTCGTGATGCCTAGCTCTTTCTTTCCATAATTTGGGAGGAGATTCCAAATACGAAGACGATGGTTGTATTCTCTCAATTCCAGTAGCATGACGCATGTAAGGCAATTTTTCATATTCTCCTCTAAATGGTTGGAAATATCGTGCTTCATTATCTTGTTCCATTGTGTCCATTTCACTTTCACATAAAATTCCATCATGATCAAATATAGGAGAGCCATATGATTCTCTCAAAGGTAGTGTATTGAATTTCTCAATCACAGAATCATACAATTCTTGTCGAGTCTGTTCCAATGCTGTAGAACTCATACTATCTGTTAAGAAATGGAAGGCTTGAACATATGAAATGATATGATCCATTCCGATTTTCATCTCACTTGAAACAGGAATTGGCTTTCCGAGAGAAGCAATAGTATTCTCGGAAATCACCTTATCTAATTCTTCACCATCTCCTCTCGTCAAGGGTCCATCACACTTATTTAATATATGCAACGCTGGAATTCCTTTCATTTCCAAATAATTGGCTACATGATAATCCCACTTTTGAAGTCCATCTTTGCAATCCGTTACGAGAAGTGCTACATGAGAACTGGCAATGGTATCTTGAGTTTGTTGAATGATACTATCCATATAATTAGCTCCGGGAGTATCAATAAACGTGCAAGAAATCTTCTTGATGAGCCTCTTATTTTCCTTTTTATCAAATACGACTTGAGAAATGTTCATTGGATATTTCAGTCGAATGACAGTTTTTGCTTCTTGGCAATCCCGAGTAACACCTGGAGAATTATGTACAATGGAATGTTGTCTTCCTAATAATGAATTAAATAGAGTGCTTTTTCCTACATTTTCTCTTCCGATGATGGCAACTCGTAAATTTTGTTTACTCCGAACTAATTTCAATACTTTTCCGACGAACGCTGTGGCAGCTTCAGTTTTTGTTGAAGACATTTTTTTGTTGAACACTGATGATATTTGTTAAATTTGATTGGATAACCCGACCAATGTCAATTTGCAATATTAAGCAACCACAACAAATATATATTCTTGGAAATGGATTAAATGGTTCATTCAGGGTTGTGATAGATTTTCTGGACCCCTATTGATGGTTATTATTTTACAATCGTGACATGGGCTGGAGCTCGACTACATATGTATAATTCACCTTCCAACTCGTTCAGACAAAATCCCTTAGCTCCCTTAAGAGTACTATCTTTGGCTATTTTGAGTACTGTTCCATCCATACTTAACACGGTTATGTTCGATAAGGCCCCAAGAATGACATCTGAAGCTCGGTCGTAAATTAACCCGTAACACGAACCACTATGCTTCATCTTATAATAATTCGTGATCACATATTGATTGTCATGAGTCATTTCTACCAAATCAATATCTCCATTACCTTTGCCTACAAAAAATTGCTTCTCATTTCTTGCAACAGCAATCCCATAACAAGCTTGGCCAACTGAAATTGTTGTAATTGTGGCTCCAGTTTGTCGATTAATCATGTACACACATCGTGAATGATCATATGAATCACACACATAAACAAAATTTGGTGTACATGCAATTCCTTGTGGCCATCCAAGATTTTCAGTTTTCCAAACAAAACTCTTATTGATAACAATCGAACCTCCTCTACTTGAAACAAAATCGTCATTGGATTGTTTTGAAAATAACATCAATAAATCATACTTGTAGACCGATCGAGCAGGGTACACATCACATGCAACCAATAGAGCATCGCTATGAGGTGAATGATACTCATCAATTTCCAAATACATTGGGTAGCCGGATTTGAAAGATGTTTTGAGCTCTTTTGAAACTAAATCAAAAACGTGAATCAAATGCGAACTATAATCACTAATAACAATATATTGAAGTTTGTAACTGATTTTCGCGTCATAGGGATTTGAAACGATATTATCTCCAATCCTTTCAGTTGCTTCAAACTTGCGAGAAAAGGCTTTGGGTATTCTTTTCCGACTTCTCATCTTTTCTTTCAATTTTTGAAATAAATCATGCAAACAAATTTCTGCATCCACATGAAATGTATCGAGTCCCGAATTCATCCTCAAACAATCATCATCATGAATTTCATTAAAATTAATTAATTTCACTCTCAGAGAATTATTTTCTTGAATCTCCGAGGCTTGCAAGTTATCTGCCGTGTCATTCATCATGTTTGTGAGCTAAATATTTTTTTGAATGCGAATTCAGAGCGGTACTGATCCACTCTCCTCCTTTAGAAGCATCAGGTTGGCTTCAAAGTCAATCGTATCTCGTGTAGAAATCTGAGGTATAAAGAACGCTTTGTGGAAAGCTTGGTGATTTGCCTTATGTAAGATTTTTCTGCTATTGCTAAGCTCGAGTGTGGTGATCCCAGAGATATATGAACAATTTGACAAATTTGAATCCAGATTTTCATGGTCAGATTTCAAGACATTTAAGGAAACAGTTTTTGTTTTTTCGTCTTTGAAATAGTAAAATGAGAAAAGGAATTGAAACAATGTGAACGGTGAAAACAATGACACGTTCTATTTTCAATTCCTTTTCTCATACCTTTTTCATTTACCCCTGAGAGTGAGGGATCAATGAACGACCCAAGTCCGAATGATTTTCGCGCAACAAAATTTGGAAAGCGTTAGAAAGACCCCAGTTTGTGAAAAAACAAATGTCTCAACCATCAATGGTCCAACAAGACACTACTACCTTGCCAATCACGCACACGCTCGAGAGCGTTGATTCCACAACTCGTACTACTCCTATGAATGAAGTCCATGCTACCTCCACTGCTCCCAATCAAGATCCAGCTCTTGTGGTCCACGAAATTCATCATGTTGAGAATTCCAACAACACAGCTCCGCAAGCAATGTTGAATCCAAATTGTCAAACACCAAATTATTACATGAACACCGTGACAGTTTCCACCCCTGAACAGCAACAGAACCATGCAGTGATCTATCACATCCAACCCGCCACTGGAGCCGACCTATCCATGAACCAAACCACCATAGTGATGCCTCCTTCGGATCAACAAGGATCTGTTTATATTCCTCCACAAGGCTCTCAACCCTTTGCTCATTTACCACCTGAAACGCCAGGAGTATGTTTCCCAATGGTCAATCATCCCTACGCTCCTGATCCATCGTTGCATTCATGGCAACCACAACCATTTACCAAGTTACCACTTCCCAAGCCGACTCCATATCCTTATCGAAATCGTTTGTATGCTCCTCAAGTTGGGCAACATCTTCAAAACTTGCAAGAATCCAAACCCGTGCTTCCGACCACTACTTTTCAATCGGACATGAAGAAGAACAATGGTGTATATGAGTTGAACTTGAAAAGGAAAAACGCATTGCTCGCCATTCTATTTGGTGCATGTGGGTATGGTAATGATTTATGCAATTGTTCAGGAGGTTCAAGTTATGTGGGTGGCGATTTAGGAGAAGGTGTCATAATTTTTATTGTAATCATTCTGGTTTTTATTGTGATCTTAATGCTCATCTATATCATTGTGGTGATTGTGAGATTATGTTTGGAAAAGACAAAGATTGTCAAGTTTAACGATGAGAAGAGAAGTATTGAATTTTCGACATGCAAGCGCTTCTTTTTCCCAAGTTTCTTTCGAAGCACATCAGTATACTCCTACGACGATGTTGTCAACGTGGTTCATGTGATCAAGTTATTGGGACATCGAATTGTGTTGATTACAAAAGATGGTGTGCATCATGATTTGACTCGTCCTTCAGGTTTGAAAGGGCTCGATGCAGTATCAGGAGTGAATTTTTTAAGGGAGTTCTTAGCCTTGAGAGGTGTTTGTTTGCAGCAATAGAGTTTGCAAATGGGTGTGGGAAACCATGATAACCATGTTTTTGAATAAAATCAATCGTTTTGTTCAATCTGCTTGAAATAAAATAATGTCATTGATGGCATTCAGCCTTTGGTAAGCATGGTATCCGAATCGCCATTATTGTTTTACTAATCCAATACAAGAATCTACTACCTTCAAGTTCTTTCTATTCCGATTAAAACTGGAACCTCCATTCTTCCAACTGCAGGAACTGACGACATTGCTCATAAAAATAACGGCCGTTCAAGCGTTTTCCATCATCAAAAAAAAAAACACTTCTTCATCATCTCGCGGTGCAACATTATCCGACTCATCCAACAACATGACCAACGTGGGAATAAAACGAAAACTTGATGAAACAAGCTTCGGTATGATTAGTAATACCTATTGCAGTACCATATATGCGGGAGGAGAAGATGATCCCACTCTCATTGAAGAATGTATTCTCGTTGATGAAGACTCCACCTCTCCACTTACTCCAACTCAGAGCCCTCTGATATATTTTGATCAAGGAAATACACCACCTAGAGATCTCAAAAAGATTAAACAATCAAGTAATGATCATGGTAGTCCAACAGGATCACCAACTACCAACAACAACACAACCACTCCTAATACCACCTCTAAATCCTCACTTCAGTTGACCTCTAAGAGAAATTCCACCTCACCTCCACGACGACTTCGTAGTTTTGATTGTAATTTTAAAGCAACGAAAGGTCTTTATGCCAATGTTTCATTCGTTTTGAAGAATGTTGGTAGCTCTCTAAGTTCAAAGATGGAAGAACAAATTGTAAATATTATCAGTAATCCAATTTTGAAGAATTCAGATAATATCAAGCTCAACAACAATGATATTTATCTTGAAATTAAGGACTTTGCCTCTGATGAAAGTCTCTCACTCTATAAGGATTTGAAAACCAATCAATTTTTTGATTACATTCCACAATTTGAAGTGTGTGGTAAGGATGAACAATCTAGGTATATCTTGTGTTATTTGAAGGGAATGTTAGTGAGAAAGAATGAGATTGCTGTTGTACCCATTCCTGGTCATACGCATCAAATTTTGGTCTTTGATCATACCAATGACAAGTCATATTCAAATACTTCATGTAGCCTTGAAGGTTGTTTACTTGATGATTTTGAATTTGATACAAAGTTAAGTTGTATCATTGTTCCCAAGTTTGTCATGGCTCTCGATTTAGATGAAACACTCATTAGAACTAGAGCTTTGAATGCAGGTGAGACTGTTCAAAACAATGCTTTTGAATTTGAATTTTCAGTGCAGAATCAAAGGTATTGCTGTTGTGTACGACCTGGTACTCAACAACTACTTTCATGGTGTTGTACCGTGTTTCAAGTTTACATTTTTACAAATTCAATTTTCGAATATGCCAGAGAAATTTGCAAAATTTTAGATCCTCAAAAACAACACTTACTTGCAAACGTAAATGTTGATGACATGAATTCTCTCAAGACAATGCTAAAATCACGAGAAGATATGACCCCACATGAACATATTCCAAAACCTCTAGGGATGAAAGATTTGAAGAAGTTCAGCATTGATGCTTTTGAAACAGTGATTTTTGATGATGATTCAACCATTTGGAAGCAACAAGAATGTGTCTTACCTTTTGCAGAAATTGTACAACACAGAAAACCACTCGAATTCTTTACAGCCATCCGAACTGAGTCTTGGAAGAAGCTGCAATATCTTCACAACATGAAACTTCGATTAAGGAAAAAGCATGAAGCATCCCTAATGAATCATGTACAATCTACTGCCAACAACAATTCTGCCAATAATAATGGCATGACCAAGCCTACGTTTGCCATTCCTGACCGACCCTGTATCACACTCTCTCAAGAAATTGCATTGAATGGCTCTTCAAAAGGTGTTTTCGAGATGAACGCTGCAAGTTCAGTATTTGAGTCGTCATCCTCTTCGTTGCCTTCATCTTCAAATAAATCCAGCAAGTAAATTTCATTGCACACAGTTTTTTATTCCCAAATCAACCAATAAAAAAATGAGCAGCAGTAAGCTAAGACTTCTTTCCGATTTACAACAACTGCAGAAAGATCCACCCGAAGGAATAACAGCAAGTCCAGAGAGCGATAATGATTTGTATGTGTGGAATGCTACAATCACAGGGTAGGTATTATAGTCGGTTATGCAGTGTTTTTGATATTAACATTATTTGATGATATGGTTGAACATTGCCATATGGCAATTCGTATTTATTATTGATTCAACATTCATATACTATACATTCCGATCAGACCTATGGATTCTATTTGGGAAGGTGGTATTTTCTTCCTTCGGTTGACCTTTCCTGAAGACTATCCTACAAAACCTCCAAAAGTCAAATTTACCAGCAAGATTTTTCATCCTAACGTTTATAAAGATGGTTCTATTTGTTTGGACATTGTTCAAGGTTTGTATTTTCAGGTCACACAAATTGAGTGAATTCAAATTATTATTATTATGCTCGTTTTTTGCTATTCTTGCATACACTTTTGAAAATTGCAAACTAATCAATGACGGCAATAACTGCTTATATGTCGCATGACATTTTAGACAAATGGTCACCAATTTATACTGTAGATTCTATTTTAACAAGTATTTTGTCACTACTTGAAGATCCCAATCCCGATTCACCTGCCAATCCAGGTATGTTTTTCTTTTGCATGAATCTTCCAATATGCTTCAAAACTAATTCTTGTCTTTGTTTTTTAATCAATATAGAGGCTGCTAAATTATTTGTCAATGATCCAAAAGAATATAAGAAAAGAGTGAGAAAATGTGTAGAGGCATTGATGGAATAATTAACTAATGTATTGTTGTGAATGAATGTTAGCAACAACTGTCAAGTGTTATTTGTAAATTACGAAGAGCACACCTATTTGCCTTCGTTTTATTAATCAAAACAGATAAATTATTTTTCAAAAGTTTTTCAAGAATCTTATTAAGGATTACAATACATCAAAATTGACAGGCTCAATACTGATTGCAGCTGCTTGAGATTGGGCAATAATATCTTCCCATTCGTCTCTCAGAATTGATGTTCTTGCTTCATCAAAGCAAGGACAAATTCTCCTAGTTTTGTGATGATATGCTTCACATGTTGACATGTACTTGCCGCTATCTCCTCCATTAAACAAACACTCATTACTTTCAACGTCAATGGCAGGTTGGTCATGCCCTGAATTCGGAGAGCATGATTTACAATGATTTGGAATGTACCTTCTAAGGAATTTACAAGTATTCATTTCTTCAAAAGAGAATCTATGGCATGCCATTTTGAGTTTGTTAGAGCAATGAGAGGCACAAGATTCACCCTTGTCAGCAATTGCAAATGTAATGATACTTTCTTTCTTTGGAGGAGACCAATTCGAGTCCTTTGCAAAGTTTTGAATGTTCACAGGACAATGTCCTGTAGCTTTGGCACAAGTTTCTGAATAGAATGGTGAGTAACTTCCAACAATTAACACTAAATTACCAGCCCATCTAAAAACTACAACTCCATTATATTCATCTCTGATGGCTTGAACAGAATGCCACAACTCAAAATATTGTGAAATGGTCACCCACTCGCTATTCACATGAGCATTATTCGTTGAGTATGCAATGACAATATTTTTGTCCTTATAATTAACAATAGTGTCTGGATCGCTGACATAAATAATATTGGGATCGTCAACGAGCAAATATCTGATAAATCTGTCATAATTAGATTTTCTCAAATACTCGAGAGTGTACTTGTCTTTGGTTCGATCCAATCCTGTTAAAACATATTTTCCATTCTTGTAAGCTTCTTCAGAAATTCCAAGAGGAGCAAAACCATTAGGATTTAACAAATGGTTACGGAAATATCTTTCGTAGAGAGCAACTGTAGAGTGAGTACCTGTATAACCTGAGTGGTAAATTCTAGGTATTTCAGGGAAAATTATTTGTCTACCCAATCGATTAGTATCAGCTCTTAAAAAGTGATCCCAGTGAGCACGAGGCCACTTTACCTTCCATTCTCTTTCCCATATAGTTCTCGACACGAGCCATCCGAGTCCAATCATAAAATCAGTTCTATACACCATATTGTCATATCTTACTTTTCCTTTCATACCATTGTCATTATACGCACTAATTGCATATAAAGTGCTATCTTCATGTAAATATTTGGCTGTTTGTGCAAAATAGAGTAAAAAGTCAGGAGCAAAAAGCATATCATCCTCCACAATAATAAAGTGCTTAATTTCTGGATGTGAATCAAACATGTGACCAATAATAAATTTGTAATGCAAGGAAATATGTTCGGCGCCTTCGGTCAGAGGCCTTCCTTCATAGGACGTCAGTGTTGGATTGTGAATCATTTTGATGTCATACTTTCTTCCAATCTGATTAATATATTTATCGTCACCGTATTGATAAATAAAAGTATTCTTCTTGTTGTAATACAGAACTTGTTGGAGTGAACGAAGTGTTGCCTCTAAATAATATGGCCTCTTTGTGGCTACAATGGCGATCATGAACGAGCTTGGATGATATTCGGGTAATATTGAATTCTTTACAAATTGTTCGTACATGGGATGATATTCGCTTATTGAATAGATCTGATCTTTTCCGGTATCTCCTTTTTTCAGTACTTTGTGTTTGTCCGATTGCGGTTGTTGTGTCTTAGGTCCCGTATCTGTTGGTGTATTTCCTTTCGGATTCACAACTACATCTTCTCCGTCTTCAATGCTCACTAAATACGAGTATATATAAATATTATAAACAATATAGATGGCAAACAAGGCCATCATCAGTAAAACGAGTAGTCTTGCTCGTTTTGTCATTTCCGAATCCTACTTGTTGATGAAAAAATTGAGCCACTTGTATCTCGAGAATAATTACTTGTTGTACTGCTGTTTGTTGTTATTGTTGTGTTGTTATTGTACAAAACCGAATTTTTCAAATCCGAGAAAACGATGATCGAGTATGTTGTGTGGCTGATGACGTTGTATTTTTTTAAGTTCTCTTGTCTAGTTATTGTTGTGAGTTCGAAATACTGGGATGAAACAAGATCTTATAAAATGGTTTGAACATTTCCAACCAACTATTTGGATCATGCAACTAAATGCCATCTAACATTACTTTTTGATGAAGCTGTTCATTCAGGTTCAACCTTGGATGATGACGGACAACCATAAAAAAATGAATCGATTGCTCTTGCAAAAACTCATGTCGGGTTCGATAGCGACAACACCCAGCCCTACTTCAACAACAACAACAACGAAGAATACTCATCCGAGTGCAGAGGGAAGTAAACATTTGAACGGAAATTCAACAACATCTTCCGAGATGAATGGAACATTAAACAATCCGATGGATCATCCCAATGGCAAACTTGATGGCAGTACTACTACTTCTCCAATAATATCGGATCATCCACAACATGACGAATCATCTCGGAAAAAGCGATCACTGCCTCCATCAATGGAAGAAATTGCAAAGAAAAAGAATAAGGATCTTGAAGAAGAAGAAAAACCAGTGTTTGTTCCAAAGAAAGAACGGAAAATGGATATCAACACGAGAATGCAAAATGAAAACTCCGCTCAGAACTCAGAGCAGGATGATAATCGTTTTAATAATTTAGCTTCTATTAACATTGTAGATCCATTAGAATTAATAGACAAAAAAGAAATTGAAGATATCAAATCAGAATATATGGAGAAAAAAACGACAAGGAGAAGAAAACAACGAACAAATGAAAAAACTAAAGTATCTTTTGAATGGGATGAAAAGGATGACACAACGGACAAGACAAGTATTATCAGCGCAATTTCATCTTCGGGCACGAAAAAAACAACGCCAAAGAAGATCAAGATGGAGGATGAACGAAATTGGAGAGAAAAGAAAATTCATGAGATGACTGACAGAGATTGGAGAATTTTCAGAGAAGATTTTGATATTGTGGTAAAAGGAGGAAAAGTGCCAAATCCAATCCGTAGTTGGGAAGAGACCACGCTGCTACCACTTGAAATTTTGAATGCTTTAACAGATCTTAAATTTTCAGAGCCAACACCTGTACAAAAACAATGTATTCCAATTGCTATGGAAGGCCTTGATCTTGTTGGCTTAGCCCAAACAGGTTCAGGTAAAACTGCTGCGTACATCATTCCATTACTGTGTCAAATAGCCAAATATCCAAGATTAGATGACGTGCGAGGTAAGGATGGACCTTATGGTCTCATCCTTGTCCCAGCACGTGAGTTGGCCGAACAAATTGAGAGGGAGGCAAATCAATTCGCGAGACAATTTGATTTTAGAGTGAGAGCAATTATTGGTGGTGTGAGCATTGAAAAACAAAGTAGATTAATGAGAGAGGGTTGTGAAATTCTTGTTGCCACCCCTGGTCGTCTTATTGACTGCCTCAACAATAGTATTATTGTTTTGAATCAGTGTCATCACATTGTGTTGGATGAAGCAGACAAAATGATTGAAATGAATTTTGAAAAAGATGTAAATACCATTTTAGACACCATACCACCGAATATTAGCAGGCAGACATTACTGTTCAGTGCAACCATGCCACCTCAAGTGGAAAACATTGCAGCAAAATATCTAAAGAGAAGAGTGACAGTTGCTATTGGTGAAGTTGGTCAGGCAGTCGAACGTATTGAGCAAGAAGTTGTTTGGGCAAAGAGCGACCATGCTAAAAGAAATCTCCTTGTTGAGATTCTCTCTGAGGCTGATCCTCCAATCATTATATTTTGCAATCTCAAGAAGGAAGTCGACGCTCTTTCTACATTTATTACCAACGTTGGATTTAAAGCTACCACTTTGCATGGTAGTAAGACTCAAGAGCAACGTAACAAATCTCTAGAGGCCTTCAAATCCGGTAAATTCGATGTCATGATTGCCACCGACGTGTTGGGAAGAGGTATTCACATTACTGGAGTCACACTGGTCATCAATTACTCACTTCCAAAATCAATTGACACTTACACTCACAGAATTGGTAGAACAGGTCGTGCAGGTCGAACGGGTCGAGCAATATCATTCCTCACCAATGAAGATACTGAAATCATGTATCCTTTGAAGAAAATGTTGGAAGACACTAAGAACATGGTGCCAGAAGAGCTAGCCAAGCATCCAGCGGCTCTTCAAAAACCTGAAAAGAAGAAGGGAGGTGATCAACAACGAGCATCATCCTCAACCGGCGATGAAGATGGTTACACACAACATCAAGAAGATGAGGATCAAATCATGCAAGAATAGATTAACGCTTTTTATGAGACACGGCTTCACATCGTTTCAGTAACTCCTCAGCATCTCGTATTCCTCGTTGAACTCCCTTAATAATATCAGGAGTCATCACAAAATCCTTATCGACCTTTTGAGCTGACAAGAGTAATACAGTTTTCTCCTTTTTTTCTTTTGGATTTTTGAATTTAGGTCCATCCTTTTCTCTTGCCTGTCCATATTCAGGATAATACTTGCTCGAGGGTTGCTTGAAAGTTCTGTGACTCTTGTCCTCATTATCCTCAACTTCTCTGATTGTTCGAGATTTTGAATTGGTGGCTGTTTGAGGTCGACGATGTGAAGAATGCTTGGAGGGAAGATATGCTTCTTCTTCCTTAGTGTGCGATTGAAGCTTGTTTTCCATATTTCGATGGAGAGCGTTACCAGCGGATTGGGGCCTCACTTTTCTGTAATGCTTCCCTCGTGATTGTGAAGGATTGTATTCTACTGTTTGAACCGTCGAGGGTCGTCTATTCTCTTTGTCACTGTCGTAATTTCTAGATTTTGGAACTGCAGATAGAGGTCGAATATCACTACATCTTAATAACAATGACCGCCAAGCATCAAAAAAGGTTCTCTTAATAATATCATACCGAACATTTCGCAGTATCCGCACGGCTTGTTTGAAATTCCTTCTCCTCTCTGTATTCTGAACCAATGCAGAAAAAGCTTTCGATTGCAGTGACTTGACGTAGAAAGACCTAGCTTTGATATTTTTCAGCTTGCGCTTTTTTTCATAATTTAACCTAGCTTCTTTCCTTCGTTCAGTGTACGTTCGCAAAGCTGATAATGCTTTCTTCTTGAGTTGCTCTTTTCTGAATTCTTCCACTCGTTGCTCTTTTGACGATTCATCCTCTTCGTGTAGAGAGCAATTCAGACCTTCCTTAGATTTTGAAAATAACTTATTCCACTTCTTGTAATGGGTGGCTGTTGATTTGGTTAGGAAAAATGAACTTTCTTCCAAATCAAAAAGAGAGTTCTTTGATTCTTGTAAGGACGCTCGAATTCTTGACAAATCGTCCTTTTCTGGTGACGTGAGCTGATCTTCAGAGAAAATTACCGTGTCCTCATCTTCGATTGAACTTTTTGAGGAATCATTGGCATATCTGGATGGCGTGCAGTTGAGTTGAACACTTTTTTTTACATTATTCTCACTAGATTTAGCTTCCTTAGTTGGATTTTGGTTGGATATGGGATTAGCAGTTTGTACGGATGTCTTAGGGGGTTCAATCTTGGGAGGTTTCGGAAATTGTTCTTCGAGATGTTTGAGGCATGCGAGAAAACGTTCTCGCTCATTCTCTCGTTCAACTAGTTCACAAGGTCACAATAAGTCACTGTGAGATCTCAATCAACACTACTTACATAACCGTTTGGCAAATTCGATCATAGTTTTGATAATGATATACAATAGAGTTTGGTCTCCAGCATATATGGAAAACTTGGATTCTTTCTCTAGGCACGAAACAGCATGTGAATATCGTTTTGTTTCTCGATATTGTCTTACAATCAATACTTTAAGATCCAATCTAAACCGATCCATTTCGCCAGTTAAATTTTGCGATTCGTCGAGGATGGACTGCACGACTGATTCGTCAAACATGTTTCTAGCCAAATTTCGGATACCCTCAATGGTAATTTTTGTGTCTTTCAAATCTGAAAGAGGTGGTATTTTCTTGACACATCTCTTGTAATCAGGATTCGATGTGTCATCTGGTTCTTCGCCAAGTGTCACTGTTCCTCCATTATTCACTCTGTTATACATTTCTACCTGAACACCGATTCGAAGAATATCTTTATAGGTTCGTGATGTCAGTCGATCGATGGCAAACAACAACTTTGGAAGATACTCTGCTAATTGATTCGCTTCGACAATATCTCTTCTCTCCGATTCTTGAACTGGCTTGTTGTCGAGTGTTCGCAAATTTGGAAATTGTTCGATCACCATTAACCTATAATTCGGATGACCTGCAATAGGATTCCCTTCCAAACTCAAGCAATCGACGCTATTAGGAATATACTTTAATTCTTTAAAATCTTCGACGAGGTTATAGCTCAAGCTGAGCGTTTTCAAGTCCTTAAACTGGCACAACCCATGCAAGTTTTTAATCTTATTTTGACTCAAAAATAACTTGGTGAGATTATGAAATGTTGAATTTACGATATCAATGTAATGAATATCATGTCGATTGGCGTGCACAATTCCCTCCTTATAGAGGACGCTGATGTGGTCCGACAAGTGCTTTCTCTGAGGCGTTGTCGACGATGAAGGCATTTTTTTTTCATAGTTTGAATGGGTTTGAAAGGCGCAATTTTTTGGCGCTCAAAAATTGTAAACACGAGTTTGAGTGAAATTGCAAGAAACCATGATGGAACGAACGACCTTAACGAAAATCTCTTTCAATAAGGATCAATCTCTCTCTGAACGTTGTGTGTCGTCCATCAGAGATATTAAACTCGTAAATTATTGACTGTTTATTATTATTTGATAATAATGAACATTTGTTGTACAAGAGTTGTGGTTCCTGGTCAACACTTTAACACTCCTTATGTGTTCCTAGTCGCAGGTCAGTCCATATATTGTTAAATTCGGATCATTAAATCTTGTCATGATTAATGATGTAAATCCATGGGAGGAAGACCACCTTGTTGCATGGATGGTTCCATCATTTCAGCTCCCATTGGAGGATCTGCAACTCCCTTCGAAGTTTGATATCTCAATCGTTTTCCTAAAATCAACAAGATGATAAACATGACAATCATAATGACTCCAATAATGAGTGAGAGAATTCCAGTAATCAGAGTTTGATTGGTCATTCCATAACACACAGTTTTCTCTGTGGTGGACACGTACGATCCCACATATCCACAATCTAAGGATGTGGCTGTCACGCTATTAATATAATTCGTGAGGGCTGATTTGATGGTTGCATTTAAACTATTTTTCAAATCATTCACATAGATGGATACATCGGATGCGAGCGTATCTAATTGACTAGTTAAAGTATTTGGTAAACTCTTAATTGGAATAAACGTATTCGAAAGACTGTTAAAATCATTCACAAGAGTTTGTAAACCCGCTCGTAAATGACTAGCTGTGGCATTGAGTTTCAACACTTCGGTCAAGGTCGTGTTGTAAAGTGTCAATTGATCCAAAGCATTCGATTTCGTGGTGTTACATTTTTGTTGAGCTTGTGAATCTTGATTAATTGGAGAAGCATTACAATCCAAGAGAGTAATATTTTCATATGTGTAATAGAGACCATAAGGACTCACCGCTGCGTTCACATCATCGATGGCTTTGGTATAATTTGCAAAACTAAATCCATTGAAATTTTGAATGTCTTGAAGTTGACTATAGGCAGTGTCGAGTTGACTTTGAGCAGAATTGACATCGGAGGTGTAATCTGTCTTGATTGATGACACATTGGCAGATTGAATGAAACCCTTTGCAGTGTTAATTAAAGATGAAACATTGAATGAATCGAGAGCTCCAGAAATACTTCCAGTGGCAGTACCAAGCATGTTATCAATTCCCAATGCACCCAAATAATCAGAACCTAGAGTAGCATTTAAATAACTGTTACCAGGAGTACATGTAGCTACTCGATCAATAATAACTGAAACATTTGGTAGTGTGACAAAACCTCCAGCACTTTGTTGAATGAGTGAATTTCCATAACTATCACCTAAATATTTCACAGTGGTTGGAGCAGTCGAACATAAATCATTGACGAGAATGTAAATTGGAATTTGAATGGCAGCTACCACGAAAAATAGCCATGCAGTTCCACATGTACAACAACTCGTAACTTCTACTAAAATTGGTACTTTGAACACAATTCCTAAAAGTGTGAAAATGTATAAAAATCCACACCAAACAAAGAAAATGGTCACCAATGAAATTCTTGCATTTTCAATGGCATACACATAGTAAGTGACATCATCGACACGAGTCTCTGGTAAATAACTATTGACCATTCCCATGACACTTGAAATTTGAGAAGTAAATGATGACAAGGTGCTCACCACAGTGGTGTTAATCGTATTGTAAACTGTGGAATTAATAGTATCTTTGGTTGAGTAAATGGTATTATTCAAACTTGCACGAGCATCATCAATGGTTGTCTTTCCTTGTTGCAGAGCAGAAACACCAGTATTAATTCCACTCGTTACTGTACTTTGAACATCTGGAATGGCCGTATTTGGATCTGGAACATTTTGCAATTCCGTTCGATTTTTCAAAGTTCTCAAATCTGCTCTCACCTCATCAATATGTTGATAAATAATTGGAGCATCCGTATTATTGACCTTATACAATGTATTAATCGAATCTTGAACACTGAGAGCCATATTATCCACAGGTGTTAAAAATTTAAAGGCACCATCGGCCAATGTCGAGAAGGCATTCACAAGGACTGGAACTTTTTCACTCGCAGCCGTACTCAACGATCCAACTCCTGCAATGGTTCCATTCACATTGGTGACGAGACCTCTCGTTTCCTTGACCATGACTCGAACATTTTGTGAAAAGAGACCACTGAAAATTAGACCCAACACACACACGACGAGTAAGGAAAGGTATCCAATAATGACGAGAATGGATGGAATGACGAGGTCTTTCTTTTTGTAGGGATGAGTGGCACCTTTTTTCTAATTGATTTTTTTGTGTGTGAATCAAATGGGTATGTATGGATATGTAGACAGAAATGATGCATGATGATGATGAGAGAGAATGATAGAAGAATGATTGGAGAGAGAATGATAAATCACAAAGAGGAGAAGTAAGAGGAGTTAGATCATGGTAAAAAATGTCATAGGGTCGGCATGATTCATTTCCAAATTTGTACAAATGGATTAGTAAGATCAACACCATAATGATGATGAAATCAACAACAACAATAATGGATTAATTTCCAACAATAACTTGACACTAAAAACACATACCTTTGGTTTACATCCACCACAACATCCGCACAATCGACCACAAAAGAATCCAATACCAACCACATATCCAATCAAACCCAACACTAAAATGACTACAAATATAATAATCAAATAAATTCCATATTCGATCCATTTGCCGGGATCTGTAGCGTCTTGATTACTGGGCATGGTTGTTCTTGGAGAGTTGACTGTAAATTGAGAATGGACATGATGACTCGAGAATTGTAGAATGATTAAAAAGGTCATGACAAGTAAGATGAGGAGTGATGAAACGGAATGGCCATTCCAACCACTGATGAATGGTTGTAGTGAACCACTACCTTTGATATTCTGATTGGAACGGATCATGACAAGTGACATTGAATCCGAGAAATATGTTCAAATGTTTTGAGAAGGGAAAGAGGGATCAGTGATGATGAAAGTGCCTTCGAATTGGCTATCACTACTGATGATGGGAGCGAGTGAAGGTTGTATTTTTTTTGAGAGAAAAGTCATTACTCAACCACTACATGTCACTCGTCATGCTGGAAACAACGAATGAGAACTCTAAGTTTGGTCAATAAGGGCAGTTTCAGTGTTCGGATCAACGTTGTGAAGGAGTTAGTTCTAATTGATAAATAGATTCTTGGCCACAACAACAGAGAAAGATCTCGAGTGATGATTTGCGAGAAGGAGATCGCAATTGAATGAAAGAACAATATTCCAATTAAAAAAACAAGAAAAGGACTTCTTTTGTACCATAGTTGATGAATTTGTTTCTACACCAACCTGCATGAACAATGTCGCAACAACAATCATTCTGACCTCTTTGATTTCTCAAACTTAATTTCTACCAGTTTGAAACCTTCGCAAGAATCTCTGTAGAACAATATAATAAAACAACATATCGACTCCAATCCTCATTTGACGTAACAACCTCGGAAATGAAGGATCAAATCCTCATTCCTTCGTTTTTGAAATGCATAATTAAAAAAAATGTGTCATATGGAAATCATTGAAGGAGGTGATTTATTCAGCTATTTGGATTCCACAGTGAGGGGCGAGTCTTCCATGAGCAATCATTCTCATCATCATCATCGGGTGAGGAGTATGTGTCATTGTGTGAGTGTGGATTTAAATATGGGAGCAGGAATTGCTACCATATTTAAAAGACGATTTGGTCGAGTTCAAGAATTAAAAGATCAACAAGCACAAATAGGACAAGTGGCAACTCTGTATTTGCATGATGAAAATATGTATATTTAGTGAGTATTATTTGTTGCAGACTGTAGGAATGAAATTAACAATGAATATTCGGGAATTTCACACCTTTCACGTATGAAATGATCCTTTTTGAATGAATGAAACACATGTTCAAACATGATTCAAATGATCAGTTATCTAGTTACAAAGGAAAGATATTTCCATGTACCAACCTATGACTCACTCAAATCAAGTCTTGAGGCGATGAAGACACACCTATCACAACATAATGTCACTGAACTTGCCATGCCCTTACTTGGATGTGGACTTGATCAGTTAGAATGGGACAAGGTACAACCAATGATTATGGAATTATTTAGTGACATGCCTCAATTGAAAATTATTGTTTACAAATGGGAGAAGGGAAATGAGGAAATTAAAAAGAATGCAAAGAAGAGTAACAGAAAAATGAATGACAATACTATAGAGTAGTCGTGTCAGCACAATATTCACGTGTTTGAAAATGTAGTAGGTCAAAATGTTTTTCTCTTAATTTTCATTGATTGTCTTCAATTCTCTCCTTCACATAGGTTTCCACAAATTTTTGTGAAATTTTTGGAAGGGCTCTTGAGATGGTCTTTTGATCCTCTTTAGGCAGCTCGTTCCACAGCTCTGAATTTTCCTCCTTGTAGTCCTTCAGTGCATCTTGAGCCAATAAATAAATAGCTTGCTCCCTTAATTTGTTAAACTTAAAAATGTCTCCTAACTTGGAAATGGTAGCCTCCAATCTATTTTCATTGATGTAATTATTGACATCTTCCATAACTTGTTCTCCCTTTTCGTGTGTGAATCTGCTCACTTCGGTGATGGTGGTGGTTTTTTGTTTTGGCTTTTTAGCTTGGCCAATCTTTTCATTAAATGCTTCATTCTTCTTTTTAATAATCATTCGTTCTCGTTTTTGAGTATACATGTCCTTCACCGGTTTAATAATAATTCCTTTTTAAGGTTGTTTGTTAAAACATTGAGTATTAAGATATCAAGTCACACAAAAACCTACCTTCACAGATATTGGTATGATGCGGCATTGTAGGAAGCTCATAATACGAAGGAATCACAGAGTCAAAAACAGAATCAAAGTTCAAACAATCCTCAAATTTTCCTCTGAATAATTCTTTTGCATAGCAATTGAATTCACACTCAGAAAGAGCTTTCACAAATAAATCGAAAGGAAGAAAGAATTGTTTTTCTTTCATGGTTTCCTTTTCAACTCCTGAGAAATAAATATCAAAAATATAAAAATCAAACTCTGTGTGGTAGTACACATGCCGTTGGATTGGAACTCTTCCACTCACGTTTTTAACGTCCTTGTGAGGATAGTGACCACCAAATAACTCTCCAAACGCATGCATTCTATTCACATTAATGTTGAAATTTTCATCCACAATTTCAACCACACGTTTGAATAGAATGGGTATTTTCTTGTCATAAATTTCTCTCACTTTTTGAACTGCAATTGGATAATAGGAAGGATCGTTGGTAACGAGTATTTCAGTTCGTTTTGCAACTTGAATATCCAACTCTGCGTTATCACTCATAGAAACCACATAACTATACAAGATCCATCATCATTTATGATAATCATTTAAAGCACGGTGTAAATATTTCATGAGCACCAATCATCATCATCATTCCGAAAATTATTGTGAGATAGCCTTTCAGTGCCAATAACAATTCATAAAGATGGATGATGACTCACCTAAAATTACTGCCATGAACTTTCTCAGTTACAACCCACTCCACATTCCGAGAGAAATTGGGTTCAAATTGAAAGTCTAACACTCCCTTCATGTAGTGGTTCTGAATGCTCGAATAGGATTTGAACATTTTTTAATGATGCAATTTGTTCATTCGTGCTGAGACAGACTGCAATAAGGGAAAAGTTCAAATCAGAAAATGCACACGAGATCTCGCATCATGATGTATTTTCTTCTTATTGGAAACAGCATTTCACCAACGAACGTTTGATTATTTTGATGCTCCATCAATGGCATTTGATGATCACACGTGATATTACAAAGTAACTATGGCATTGATGGAGAGGGCCTTGCTTATCGGGGCCCAACGGTGACAGTTGCAACGATGTTCATCTGAGGACTTTTCGTCAAGCAAACCCATTCAATTTGTTGCTCGAGAGGGTTTGGCTGCACAAGTTCTAAGTGGTATTCTTCAGACGAAAGCTTGTAACTACAGACGTTTGTAAATCATTTTCTGTTCGTTATAGTATTGTGGGTGTGGGTGAGGGCGAAATCGCCCATCCTAGCACACAGCTAATAGCCCGGATGGGGATGATTGCAAAAATACTGCTCAATCGCAGCAACTCCAGCAACAACAGCCACCAAACAATCCCGAAATTTTTTTATTCCAGTAATTGATTGATTTATTGTTGCTTGAAATACATGCAAGATCTGGCCAAACTTTATTCACAACAAGTGACTTGTGGCAATATCGACCACAATGTTGTTGCGTTCAACATAATATAGTTCTGAATGATCATTGTTGGTGGCTTTAGTTGCATGAACGCATATTCTTCGCATTCAGTATCTTTTGCCCAGATGGAATATTAATGATCATCTACGTTTCGTTGTTGTCTTCTAGTGCAAGCTTTGAAATCTTCTTCATTCTCCAATTTTTTCCAATTCTAAGGAGTTTCACAATCTGAATTCAACAATGCATCGAATCCTGCAATTTTCAAATTGTAGATCACAGTGTACAACTATGGAGCCACGAATAAACAACTTTTTCTTGATGTTCTTATTTATCCACTCACGTGTATTATTCGAGGTGTACGTTGATTTTGGAATTAGACGGGCCATCACCGAAAATATTTTCTCCCAATCGTCGTCCAAACCAACTCTCAACTCTTCACAGCAGTCCAAAACTTGGTCCAATCTTTGACATCATCGACCTTCACCTGAGTTTCAAATCCAAAAATTAATCACATTTCGAAAATTAATCAAATTGATATGAACAGTTCTTCGGCTTGTGTGAGGTAATGAAATGCCGTGCAGCATGTTTACTATCGCCACGAGTGTTAGTGGCCATGTTGTTGTTGGTGTATGCTTTTCATTTTTTTAAAATAAAACGACGCGAAAAAAATGACTCAACAACAAACCATCAAAGAACTCATAAACCACCTAGAACAACAACAACAACAAATCAAAGAACTGCAAGACGCTGTTAAGACGCTCACACAAACAGTACAGCAATTAATTGAAGTTACAAAACCAACTCAACCAAAACCTGAACCAACCATCAAAATTTCTCAAGCTCAAAATGAAGCGCAAAAAATTCACCCTCAACCTGAACCAACCCAACAACCAAAACAGGAAACTAAACATTTAGAAACTCCTCAACTCAAAATTGAACATACTGGTCAACCCAAGAACAAAACTAATTCAATCTCAATCTACTCGGACAGCAATATCTCATCCTCATTTGTTAAATTTATTCTAAAAAGATTTGAATCAGTCATTGAACACTGGTACATCCCAGACAGTAAGACCAACACTCTCAATTTAGTCATTCAAAATGCCGAAACTCAACAACAAATACTAAAGAAACTTAATTCACCAGCCATGACAGAAAAAACACAAACAAAATATTTCGCTTCACCAATGATTTTTACATCAGCTCCAACAACATTAATAGCCAAAGAAAAATCAATTTCGAACATCCAAACTCTCATCAAGTACTCAATCAATCAAAAGAAATGTAGAATTGAACAAATGTGCCTAACATTCAATCCTCGAGAAACCTTGTACAAACTTAAAATTAACTTTGATTCCAAGAATCCCAACACTGAATTGATTGAACAAGGATTTGAAATTATCAAAAGAAAGCAAGAAACGCACATAGCAAATTGCATACTTCCCGAATCAACAAGTGAACTCGCAATTACCAAAGCAATTAAAACACTATGCAAGAACACAACCATCAAATTCGAAAAAGAGAGACTCAGTATTAAGAAAAAGGTAAAAGATACCTACTCATACCTAATTGTTGAATACAAGCTTAATGACATCAATGAATTGAATAGACTAACCTCAACAAGATTTATTTGCTCCACAGAATTGAAACCAATTTCAAGACAGTTCAAGCCAAAGTCAACCGCATGAACGTGCGTTTAATAGTTTTACCAGCACCAATGGTGCTAACAATAAACTAATTAGATTTTTTTAAAATAAAAATTTTTTTATTAGCAATCAGCCGCTTCAGCGAGTCCAGCCCGCCCAAGAAATCCTCATTTCCAAAACGCTCTGGAAATTACTATCCAGATGCAATCAAATTATTAGCTGTGTGCTAGGATGGGCGATTTCTTCCACCCCTCGTGTGGGTGTTGGTTTTTGTAAAACAGGAATGATTTGTAATAAGGTAACAAATTTACAGTGAAATAGTTCTCACTTGAAAGGTGATCACTAATTAATACAGTCCTTTGAAAGTGCTTGTGTTTCTTTAACTGTTCCATTTGCTCTTGAGAAACTGTTGAAGTTGTAATCATTACAAAATATTTTCTTTGCTGAACGTGTTAAATGCAGTATCCGCAAACTGGTACTTGTTTAGCGATCCTTCTTAGTTGATTGGCTTTGAATCATCCCAAATTTTGGCTGGCTGGAATTGGTCCATCCCAAATGTTTTTCATTTCTATGAGATTGTGGAGTTTCAAAGGAACCTGGTTTGGTCGACAACAGCTCTCAAATGTTGCTTCAGCCACCGCTGAAAAAATCACTGACAACGGTTGGGTTTTTTGCTCTCATGTTCTCTCTTTCCATACTATTTAACAAAACGGATTCATTCATTTTCCTTCCCATAGACCCATCTTCCTTCAGAATGGTCATTTTGTTCATCTTTGAACAGGGTTCCCCACATTCTTTTGGGATGGTTATAACATTGGCTAGGTAGTGATTTTTCTATTTGTGTGTTCTGAAGAATGCAACTGTTTATTAATTAATAGGAAGCATTGAAGCTACCCACAACTTGGAAGACAAGCCAAAATTTCTAAACCAAGAAATTTAACAATTTAAATAGCCCACAACAATAAACAACAAATATCAAGAGAAGACATTCCATGCTGTGGAATAATTTCTACTGCTCCCAATGAAACATTTGTGAATACGCATTGGAAAGCATTATTGCAAATTTCGTGTTGATATATGAGTTTCCAAGAGTGATCGAAAAAATTTCAAATGCAGTGGGGTGGTGTTTAGTGCGATTAATTATTTGCGGAGTAAGGGAAGTTGAAACCCTATTTTTGCCTCGATTCACTCGTCGACGTTGCGTCACAAACGATACCTTCGATCTGGCTCATATCCACACAAACAAGTCGAAGATAAATCGATTTCTCAAAATTCCTGCATAGTGCGCAGTTAGCATGATAGTGTTCAAGATTTGTGCTTCATTCAATACCAACCTCACTCTGGATACAGTAGTCTTCTATTCCTGACATCAACACTGTTGTTCCTTTTCAGAGGAGACGCAACCAATGACGCACACCAACAAACTCGCTCATGGTGTGCACACCAACAAACTCGCTCGTTTTGTCTCTATTAATAGTAACCGCTGTAAAGAATTGTAACATAAAATACAAAAGAAAAAACCAAAAATTAAAATCATCATGGCACCAAAAGCACACACCAACATTTCTCAATCTCAAACCAGCAATTGCCCCGAAATAGAACATGCTTGTGATGATTCATCATCCCAAGGAAAGAGAAAGATGGATACTACAAACCACACTTCCGTACAGCATGACGATGATGAAGAAACCCCAATCAACACAATTGAGCCTAACACGAAGAAGCAAAAGCAAACTCTATCCACCAATACAACCAATGTTTCAAGCTCTAGTATTAATGATTCTGATGTATCAATGGGTGCTATAACCTCTTCATTATCCGGAACAACCACTATTGTTGAAGAACCTCACCAAAAATCACAGAAACCAATCACTCTCAATTTTACTGATTACGAGAGTTGGAACGCGCAACAAGTAGTACAACTGCTAACTTCTCCTAAATCTTTGGGTGGTGCTGGTTTGTCGGTTGAAAAGGTGAAGCCTTTGTATGAGGCTGGTTTTGATGGCTCATCTCTCCACAACATTGTTGAGGATATCATGAAGAAGGATGAATATTTTGCCATCAAAGCCATGACTGGAAGCAAAGACTTTACTCATATCTCCGAAAGTACTTGCAAAACTGTTGTATTTTGGGTGCTCGATCAATTAATTGTTCCGAACACCAAATTGTTGTATTATCCAACAACAACAGCATTTGGCCAAATACGTTCTTACACCACCACAAATTGGTTGAAGGAGAAAGAAGCATCAACAAATGACAATGATGTTACGTCAGCATCTTCATTCTCCGAACCAATCACTCTCAATTTGATGGATTACAAGAAATGGAACGCGCAACAGGTAGCATCAGTATTGACATCTGATGAATCTTTGGGTGGTGCTGGTTTGTCGGTTGAAAAGGTGAAGCCTTTGTATGAGGCTGGTTTTGATGGCTCATCTCTCCACAACATTGTTGAGGATATCATGAAGAAGGATGAATATTTTGCCATCAAAGCCATGACTGGAAGCAAAGACTTTACTCATATCTCCGAAAGTACTTGCAAAACTGTTGTATTTTGGGTGCTCGATCAATTAATGACCAGACAATATTCACTATGGCAATTGGAGCCGGTGAGTAAACAAATCAAACAAAAATTGGGCGAACCAATTGCAAAAGGAGGTGCTGATTTGAGTCTTGATCAAGTTTCTTCATTAGATGGCAAAACTCTTTACTCTATTGCAAAAGATGTAGTCTATGGATCCACAGGTGAATCTGTGGCCGTTGGAAATCTTGACTTGAATTTAGGTACAACAGTTGGCAAATGGGTCACACAGTTTCTACAAAACAGCATACAAGTTCCATTGTTAAAGTTTGAGCATACGAAATGTAAGTATTTTGCATTAATGAATCACATAAAGTACATAATGAAATTTGTAGCCTCAAACTACATTCCAGACAAATACACAAATGATACTTCAGATTTTTCTGATGAAGAATTGTTGTTGTTGCAAAAGATCAATGAGCTAACATTGAGAGATTTATCACATGTTCATTATAACTTGGATCGTCTGATTTTCGATATGATGAATAGAGAACAAGCAATACAATCAATTATAGATTTAGGTACAACACAATACAAAGCTAGTCAACTAGAAAAAATTAACAAACAAGACTTGACTTTTTTGATTGTCAAAGGCGGAAGTGGGAGTGGAAAGACTCGTATTGTGTCTGAGGCTGTCAAAATTCTTTCGAAGGCCGAACCACAACATATTTTTAAGAATTCATCAGTCATTTATTTCAACTTTACAAATGGATTTGTTTTGCAAAATGATGTTGCAAGAGATACCGCTATTATATCATTAATATCAGCGAGAATTATTTACTCTGCTTTTGAAGATCAAGGAATTTCAAGACGGTTACCAAAAATAGATAACGATTATTTTCTGTATGAACTTCTACGTATTATTAGCTCAAAATTACACGAGCAATTGAAGGTCGAGCAATCAGTACCTATACCTCTTATTCTGGCATTTGACGAGTATCAACGTGTCACCAGAATCAACAAAGATCTAAATACCCAATTGCAACATAAAATTGGATGGTATATGAGAAACTGTCAGAAACGACAAGGATTAGTATTATTTCCAACGTTCTCAGGAACATTATTGGACTCTGATGCCAAATTTGAACCAACCGACTACAAAATAACAACGCTCCCATTACCAACACTGCGAAAGGAGGATATTGAAAAAATTTTGATAATGCAAAATTTGACAGAATTTTATGTTTCAAAATATCAGATTTTTTGGAGTATCATTGGTGTTGTGCCTAGACATTTAGAATGGGCAGTTAAATATGCCAAAGAGATTACAAACAACACGACCATTCCATTAGAAACAAAAATAAGCTATATTTACTGCAATGTTGTGAAAGAAATGTATTTGATATATCAACCAAACGACGCACCAGATGATATCTATCGATATCTCTCCTTACTTACTCTTTCAGGGTTTTCATATAGCACTCACAAATCTCTCAAATATGAAAAGAATATTGAAGTACTAGCTAGCGAAGGTAGAATTTACAAATCCAATAACCATATTGGATTACCACTTCCTGCTATTGACAAGCTTTCAGAATTCTATACAGAAATCCCAAAAAGGTTATTCAACGATTTTATTTATACTTCAGCAAAACCTGATTGGGAAAAATTCGAAGAGCTATGTTTGAAAACAATTACCTGCAAACTGAACTATATTCTTAAGCTACAACATACTAAACCTAAGTCTACTTTTACTATTGGTGAGCTTTTTCAAGGGGCACATATGCCACACAAGCTTTCTCAACAGACTTTGATGACCAACATTGATTCAAAGGCCTACTTCCATTATGCCGAAGTTTCACAATCAATTTCTACATCACTCGTAAAGAAAAACACGGATGATAATTTAATCACAAAGGCAAAACCTAATCAGCAAGGAATTGATGGATTTTTACCAGCCTTTAGTTTAGAAAACGAAAAGAAAGTGCTATTTGTAGTCCAAAATAAGTTTTTGAAAGATGAATCACAAATAAGGACACTTGAACCCAAACAATTATGCAATCATTATAAGAATGCACTATTGGATATTGAAGGTTATGATGTTTATGTAATAATTTTCTCAAGAAAAAAAGTCTCTGACAACACAGCCAACAATGTCAACAATGGAGTAATTTCAGCCGAATCAAAACAAACACCATGTCCTAAACTAATTTTGGTTTCCGGAGACTGCTTTGATGACTTTTTCCATCCATTCATTGCTAACATTCTCAGAAAATAACCCCAAGCTTTCCACCTTAAGTTTGTAGCTGTTTTCAACAACCCCACATTTCCTAGAAGTTCTCTCGGTCTTGATGATACTCTTCAGAGGCGAACTGAAGTGCCTCATGGAATTGTTGGATGGCAGCCAATACTACTTCGTTGTCATTTTGCAACTCAAAATCTACAAACTCAAGTTGTGAACCCTGTTGCGGAACAAGTTGCAAAACAAACACTTGTTGCATCTCAGGCGAATTGTAGTCCAAAGCCATACGTTTTGACATGATTTAAAACAAACGTTTCATCATTCAAAAACTCGATCGGAAAGAATTTATCATATTTTAATTCTCTTTTCTGTATTTTTTGTTTGTTTGTTTTTCACGATGAGAATTCAATTTCCGATGATGATCATCGTCATCATTTAAATCAATCAATGTATTTTCTGTAGTGTTTAGATCCAAATCAATTGTTATTTCTTTTGACATTTTTTTTTGTAATTTTACAAGAATTTACTTCTTTCAGCTCTGCAACAAGTTCTTCTCATGGTCATTTCTCATTAACATTTCTTGCTGTTGGTAACAAGTACAAATGTTTAAAAACGCTACAATCCGTGACAGTTGTCAGTTTCTTGATGCTTGGGTGCATCATTGACTTGATCCTTCGCAACCCTATTTCAATCAACCATCACACGACTTTTTTCCTGGTGAACGGCCAATCCCTCCTCCCATCCGTTCACTCATCATTGACTCGATCAACTCTACAAATTTTCTCTTCTTTTTTTTGACGCTCGGAGCAATGCATCAAAATCCATGTCAACATTTTTCAAATATTATTTCTAGTCTCTACCCGGAAATGAACGTCAGCACACTTTATATTCATGTTGCTAAAGGAACTTATTCGAGTGACACTATTTTTGTGGAAGGCAATGATGAAATTGTGGATTTTTCCAATAGTAAGGCATCTTATTGGATGGATCTGAGTGAAAATGAAAAGAAATATCCTTCAGAATTTATAGTTCGAAATTTGGAGTTGAATGTTGACATGTTGTTGAATGCACACTTTATTTGTTATGAATGTCTATTAAGAAATGTGGCCATTGACATTAGAGATACAAGAGTCACAGTCGTGGATAGTGTGATTCAAAACAATCAATGGAGTTTTCGTTCTCAAAAGACAATCATTCGTTCAAAAATCATCAATAGTCAATTTAAACATTCTTCGAGTTTAGAGATACAAGATTGGACAGTTTCAGATTCAATATTAGAAAATTTCATGTTTGACTCGAGTTGGATTTCTGATATAGAATATCAACCCATCAGTGCTCACTTTTCCATCACGAATAGCACTATTATTCATTCAAATTTTACCATATCAAATTCACAGGTCACACTTAACAACTCGTAGTTTTTGTCAAGCTTTTCCAAAATTGCCTCTTCAAATTTTGTGGAAACTCATGGATGCACCTTTATTGAAAATTCGTTTGTAATGTCAGGAGGAGTTTTCTCATTGATCATCCAAGTTTGAAAACATTTCGTTATCAAAAAAGGAAAAGATTGTTAGAGTCGTTGGAGGACAAAGTCTACGCATTGAGAAGTGCGCATTTCAAGATCAGAGGCGAGATCAGTTTCAGTGAACAGTATTTCAAAAAGAATCAGCATTGTTGAGCACTCTTCGTCATCCAAATATTGTCAATTTTATGGAATTAGCAATTCGGACTCTACCAAGTGTATGGTTGTGGAATATTTACGTATGGGAAATTTGGATCGTCTTATTGATAATTGTACAATTATGCGGGAATTATTTTTTGAACAAAGTCGTATGTGTCAACATTCGAAAAAGTTTCAACAATTCCATTTGGAAAATTCCTATCACGATTCTTAAGATCGTCGTTTCGAATCATACTTGACACCACCGCCACCTCATTTCATTATTATTTCCACATTCCGAAACTCGAGTTAAACTTCTGTGTTATTTTAATTTTGTATTCACACCTGAGATTTTCTGTGAATTCTTGCTGGCGCTTCAGAAATCTGTTGAAACATTTGTTTGAAAATGCCAAAGAAAAGACTGACTCGGCAGGATTATACCCATCGATGTCGCACTCATCTAGATACAGCTAAAACTATTCTAGCAAGATATGTCCATGCAACAGTAGCACAAGAATTTTATTATGATTTTCTCGATATTATCGAAAAATCAAGGCTAAAATGAATGATGGTGTCTGTACCTATTTTGTTGGTGCTAGAGTTGACAGGGGTTTTGACCAAACAGAACTCAACAGGGGAGTGTTGAAGTGCCCATCCTTGTCATCGTTGGTCCTACATCTTAATCACCAACAATCATTGACTATAGTTGGCTTGTTTTTCTGTTGTCTCATTTATCGTCTTGTTAGATTGGCAGTGGTATAATTGACCTGGTGTCTGTGTTTGGGGCTTTTGACTATGAGCTACTCTGGAAGCAGCTGGTGGCATGAATGACTGAGGGTTTAATACTACTTGTTCCGATTTGTTTGAAGTCAAGCTAAGGGCTTCCATGTGGACTGGCCGTCTAACAAGGGATTAAAATCGTATTGTTGTTTATGATTTGATTTGAGTTTATTTGCTTGAATCGTGATTTATTGTGATGAAGACTTTTTATTCTCAAGTTGCGAAGAATAAGGATCAGTCTGTTCAGAACTTGAGCTCTGTTTCGATGATTCTTCATAAAGGTACGTTGAGGAAGATGTATTTGGTGGTTGAGAAGAAGAACAAACAAAATTTGGGGAGGGATCATATTCGAGTGATGTTGTTGTTGTTGAGGATGGAACGGTCAATGTATTAAGAAAGGAATTTGGATTTAAGGGAAGCGAAGAAGAACTGTACACACTGTGTGAGTTGGGAAGATTCCTTTCGGAAACAACACCAATGGAAGGAGAGGACAAGGTATTCAATAATTCAACCGTAGACACTGATGGTTGATGCAACAATAGAGATAACATTTGTTGCGGTGGAAATGGATCAGGTGCTTGTTGTTGACGAGAAGGCTGCTGCTGTTGCATGAATAAATTCTGCATGAATGGTTGTTGTTGAGATAATAACATGGTTTGGAGTTGAAGTAAGAGCTGTTCAAGAGTGGAAATAGGATGGTCATTTAACGAGCTAGTGTTTGATGGATAGGATGAAAGAGGTGTCGATTGCTGCTGTGGTTGTTGTTGTTGGTTTTGTGTTGAAAACGATGAAAGTGGGGTCGATACACGCTGCAAGAGTGATAAAAGCGACATGGTTTGCGAAATCGTGTCGCCAGCATTCGACATGTATGGAAAGGTGTTGATTTGATTTGCAATGTTCAATTGAGGATTGCCAATGACCGATGGAGATGCCGACACAACATTGTCACTACTATTCTGTGTCGGAGTACTTGTTGTTTCTACTAGTAATGGATATTGGCTGACAACAACAGCAGGCGAATGCTCATCCATGGATTGTCGCATTTGTTCATTCATGGAAGGATTAGCTGTTGAGTTGTTTGAAAACAACCTTGCAGGATGTACTTCTCTATGTTGCGTTGTTTGTTGTTGTTGTTGTTGTTGTTGATGATGACCACGTACATGTGGATGGAATAAGCCAATCGTGGAATGAATTGATGAAACACCTCGCATTCCTGTTGCATCCAGATTCGAACAAAACATGCTCACAGGTTGTGGAGCATTCCCATGTTGATGATACTGAGGAGGAGGATTGTTTTGAAAACAAGATGCATGCAACATGGTTAATACCGACGAAGAAGAAGAAGAAGGAGCAGATCCACCCAAAGATAACACCGACGTCGGAACTGAAGACGAATGCATTGCATGAATGTCACCAGTAGACCTTTGAATATCACACGAATGATTCGCAGCAAGAGTGGGTGTGAAGGAGGAAGACACGGAAGGAGGCGACAAGGAAGCATTCGATCGTGTGGTCGATGAAGAAGGTCTCGGTAATAATTTCATACTGGTGGTAAGCCTTCGATGTTCTTCAACCAGTTGCGCACGTTCTTCTCGAGTGGTTTTTCGTTTCATGGGTTCAATACATTGTAAGCCTAGACGAATACATCGAGCACAGGGTCTTCCTTCATCACATCGAGCATGAGCTTTATGACAATTGGTGCATGCAGCTGTTTGGTGTTAAGAATTGCGGAAAAATTATTATCGAGATGACATTTGAATGAATTAAATACCTTTTTTTGAGTGGGATCTTCTCTTTTTCTTGGTTGTTGAGGAATTTGTTGTGGGCGTTAAACATGATGTGTTGGCATCTGACATTAATTGACTTTCATCATTCGATGATGTAGTGGTATTGGTAGAATTGGTAGTAAATGAATAACTGCTGATATTGGTGGGCGAAAAGTCTTCTTGCAAATTATTTTTTGAACCTTGCTCTGATTCCTGTTTGGGTGAGTTGGAGTTTGACGTGGTCATGAGAGATTGGTTGGATTTTTCTTTTTGACAAAAAACAACAAGAGAGAAGTCTTGGTGTGAACGACAAAGATTGTTTTCTTCAAGATCAAAACGACAGTGTCTGCATTCCCCATATTGTTGGAAATGTGTCGGAAGCTATTATTATCCTTGAAAAAATCAGAGCAATCTCCGAATGGTGCAAAGTCGATATTTGAGGAGTAGGTGTTGATTGCGGCAGGATTACGTTGGAACTTGGCATGATGTTGAACCAATGAGAAGATGGTTTTTTCAAGATTTAGAAAAATCGGTCCACAATTGTGCTTTCAACTAGTTCCCAAAGCTCCTAGTTAGAGGAAAAACGGAATTGTGAGATGAGTGGTCATTCAAATTGTTTTCTGCCATATCCACTTGGAAGCGAACTGTAATGAGAAATTTACAGTTACAAGAAGGTACGAAACGATCCAAATCAATGATATGTTGGTATTTTACAATTGATTGCAAACGTATGTGGTGTGTTTTTGAGTTGGATTGTGTGTTTTACATCTTTATCTTTGCAATCAACAACAATGTTATGGAAGGGTTTTTCGACTTGTTCTTGAAGCGTGAAGTATTTAATTTTTACAAAGGTTGTACGACGAACACCATGATAGTGTTATTGAATGTGCGAGAAGAAACTGAGAGTGACAACTCTTCTTTTTCAGGCTAGACGTGTTCCGTCATTGAACAAGGCTCATATTTCTTGAGCGATCACATGTGATTGTTGTGATCAACATCTTTACCACAACTTGAGAAATTCAACAATTCGATAATCGATGGAAATTGTGAACTAGAGATCAACCAATTATCGTTCCTTCAAGTAGGAGGACCACAAATGCATACTGGTTTTAAATTTTGCCATGTTATACAGAATTCAATGAGCGGTGAAAAGCACTTTCTAGCCGGCACTTCAAAATCAAAGACTAAATTGCATTGAATGGATCTACTGTGGAATTAATGATCTTTCCTCTTCATACTCCCTTAATGTCATCCTCAGTCTTACAGTTCTCATGTCGAGTGACAAACCATTCCTTTGCTGCCCATGCCCAATCAAATTTCAATACGTATTACAAAAAAAATTCAAAACACAACCCGCCAACATCTCGTGTGTGTTTCAAACAAATCCAAATCCCTTGAGTTGCAGCACCTCGTGGAATTTTTGAGTTGTGAGCACAAAAATCGCACGTCAGCCAATTTTTGCCGTTTCGAAAAAATACAAACGCTAGAATTAGTGTGCAGCAGCGCATTGTAAAGTTTCTTCAAAACTTCGTATTGCCGAGTTTTTTGTTATTCGTCTTCTCGGTTTTAAGAGGCAAGATTAAATCAGAGTCATCATCATTTGTAGCATCGGTATTGAGAAATTTACCATTCATTAATCCATTCAATTTGGAGTAATTTATTGAGGACAGATCATTGGAAACTACTGTCCCGAATCAAACAAACTATTTATTGAATTATTTACCTACATATCGGATATCGTATTGGTGTACCATCATCACCATCAATATTACCCACAACATTCCTTTATCATAGAACATCCTTACACAACATCAGATGCCATTGTTTGGAACACCAAAAAAGCCTCTTCAAAAACGAGGTTTTGGGCAAGCCCTTGAAAAAGGGTGGTCAGGGAACAAGCCAATTTACCATATAGCTATCACTAATGAAGTGTTTGATGATTACGAGTAAGTAGTTATGCATACGACACATAGCATTAATGATAATTTGTCATGACATCATCCGACGATGGGTTCTCATCAAATCATCATCATCAAATCAAACAGAGAATATGTTAATAGAGCAATCATGTATAAACTCCAAATTTGGAGTTGTCAATACAGCGGAAAAGACAACATGACATACGAGCAAGCTCTTGAATGTGAAAAAGAACAAAAAATCAAGCATCTTTTCAAGTTCTATCCGAGATACATACTCCGTCATATTTGCTACATGATTCATAACTGTAGAAGAGGAGAGACAGTGAAAGATTTGGTGTACCGGATATCTAAGTTTTTTGAGTACAACTTTGTTGAAGGAGAAGAACTTTTTTGTGAATTAGATACCACGTAAGTTTTGTCACTTTGCCCATCCGTAACGTTCACACTCTCATTGCAATTGTCACCTTATCATTATAATTTTCACAACAAAAGTATATCTGTTGTCTTAAGAAGAATTCTCTTGAAAAAAGCTAAATATTACATCGAAGATCCAAATTTCCCTCCCTTCCCTACTCCTTTGTATATAACGGATGCTGACCAAAATCAAATTGAAGTTTTCCATCAAACAAAAGCACAAGAACATTATTATGACTATGATCCACAAAATATCGGTTTTGGAACTCAAGGAAAACTTTATGAAGTAGAAGTTTTATCCAACAACTCTCCATTTGAAAATCGAGTAATTGTTGTTTATTATTCAGTGCTCCTGAGAAAACAAGTCTCTTTAATCGAAACGCAGGATAAGCTTACACAATGGATTATGGAGAATACGTATTATGATGAATCATCAGATTGCATTCGATTGAAGCAGGAGTTTGTGGATCATTTCAAATTAGAGCCACATCAATCTAAAGCAGATAAAATTCCAACATTTCAAAAGAATTTGGAAGAAGAGATGGAAGACATTTACAAATTCAAAAAAGGGTTAGTTCGATCTGTGAACGATTTGAAATATCATCATGTTGACAAACTTGGGAAAATCATGACTGATATTAAGGAAATTGAACAATCTCTTAGAGCATCCTCCTCATCTAATTTTGAACCTAGTCACAATAACGTCTCCCAAAAGAATCATGTACATATAGGAATGAACGGAACCGAAACAAAGATTATTCAGCCCGCGGTTAATCCATTATTATTACCAAAAGAAGGTATGTAAATTTATGCCCACGATTAATATTAACATTCTCTAACACTACCTCTAACATTATCACCAGACGGTACAATACTGGACGAATATATCACATCTAGGAGCAAATCAAAATCGGACAGTCACTTTCCGAAACCTCATTATGAGTATATTATAACACATGTGGAAGCCATTCCCGAAGCTTTAAATGTTTTTAACTTTTTGAACGTATTCAGAGATTCATTGAAAATTTTACCGTTCACCTTTGACGAATTCCAACATTCTCTCGAATGCAAATCCGAAAACAATCCTCTTCTTCGATCAATACTAAGCGCAATGCTACTATTCTTATTTTTCGACAAGGGCACAAACAAACAGGACGTTAATCGTTCAATTTACAAGATGAAAAAGTTATACAACCAAGTGAGAACAAAGGAACAACGAATCATTAATCTTCCATCAAGAAAACAAGTTATTAATCGAGAAGCCACCGTTTATATTTCTCAAGCCATGCCTGTTATTTTACTAAGAGAGTATTGGAGAGTATTCATGTCCCATGAAATGATTGACATTCCTGATGAGGAGGAAACCACTACCACAACCACCTCAGAAAGCAATGGCACTACAGAAGCACCCGCTGAAGGAGCTACTGCTGATCAATCCACTTCACATACTCCAGAAGACTCTAAACAAGAAACCATCAAACAAAATGACAACACTGACGTCTCAACAATTAATCCCGCCATGCAAGTAGAAGAATCAAAGCAAGAACCACACCCAGCCGAACAACAGAAAGACTCTGCTGCTGAAGTTGAATCAACAACAGCTTCCTCAGCCACCACCTCCAATACCACTAACCCTCCAGAGAACACAATGTCCAATCACAATCATGAAAATAACCACACTACTACAAATGTCAAAGAGGAGAAAACAGAAAGCGGCGTCAAACAAGAAACGACGGATTCACAAAAGACTGTTACAAAACCTCCAAACTTGATAGCCTCAGTCATGAAATTTATCAAAGATGACAATTATCACAATGAGAATGAGATTAACTTTTTCACAGATTTGGAATCCAATGCTAAAATTTATATTTTGAGTAAGCTTACTGAACAGTGCATCCTAAGCGCAACTGTTAGAGAATACATTGATGAAAATATAGAGCAAATGCGGAGACTCAAACGACAACGAAACATTGAAAACAATGATGACATTGAGAGACAAAAAGAAGAAGCATCCAAACAAGAGGCTGATGAATCATCTAATAACAATCGACGATTTACAAGTGAAGAGGTCAGAACACGAAAGGTGGAACGAGAGAAAAACTATCAAGTACTGGTAAATCAGCATATCATACGAGCAAAACAACTAGGTTTTGATAGATTCTTCAACAGATATTGGTTTTTCCCTTCTTTCACAGGATTACTTTTTGTAGAGCCATGCTCTCCTTTCAGAGTGTTCGCTAACAACTATGCTGAAGATCCTGTGGACACACGCCCATGGGGATTTTATTCGTCCAAGAAGGAAATTGAAAAACTTATTTCTGTACTTGATCCAGCTGGCTTCCGTGAAAAGAAACTCTTGAACAGTCTCCTTAAAAACAAGGAAGAAATATACAAACAAGTAGAATTGAGACATGCCATTGTTTCCAAGCTCTCAGCCTCAACCGAAGCCTCTGAGAATGCCATGAAGGATGAAGAAGCAACTGCGTTGGTACCTCCATCCACGGATGCAACAACCAACACTTCTACCATTTCTGTGACTGATCATGACACAGAGTTTGTTGAAAACAAGATGGCTGTTGATGCTGACTCTACAGATTCGCCATCCTCAAAAAAGCGAAAACATATGGATGACAGTCAATCAGACATGAGCGAAGTATCTTCAAGCTCAGCTCAACCAAATACTAAGAAAACCAAAACAGAACAAACCCTCTCAGAACAAGCAAAGAATATCAAAGTATTCATTCCTTCCTCTCAATCTTTTGCTCCTGATGCGTTCCTTTTCTACAAGAATACTTTGGAAGAGGTCATTCCTCAAGACTCTGAATGTTTCATTGTAGAGACAGAAGAAGAGGATGAAGACGAATAAAGTCCAATGACTAAATTTAAAACCTTTAAATAATGTATTCTAATTTTTAAACACAATGGCGTTGACTCTTGTTATCTGATTTGCTTCCAATCTCAACACACTGTGTCAAAGAAAAGCATCAACAACTCATACTTTATCTTGTCCATAAACGTTTAACAAATGTCACATAATTTCCTTCCCAATGCTTATTTTCCAAAACATTCTTTAGACAAATTCTCATGTTTCACCAGATTTGCCACAAGCTTAATAAAAGTTTCGATATCACGTTTTGATGTGGATATTAATTTTGAAATTCTAAGTTTTTTTCTGCTTTTTAAAACAACCTGACCCACAAAAAAATGAAAATTTTGGATCATCAAACATCGCTATCCGTGATGATGGGACGATCAACGAATGTCTGCTTGATGATATTATTTATTATATATGTAATAATTTGCTTCACTTCATCGGGATGCCAGGCACAACAATCACTGGAGGATAAATATCAAGTTGAATTTTCTGTGGATGGAGGCAAAACATGGAAACAGCGTGGAATGGTTGTACAAGATCCTAGTAGCAGATTAAATCGTTTGCAATTCCGTTCATCTCTCACCACCGATGCCAAATGGCCAAAGGATTTAATTCAAATTATTTCCGATAGAATTTTGAGTAAGAAAGCTGAGAATTTAATTTATCAATTACGCTTTCGTTCACCTACCAATGGAGAAATTCTAGCAATGAATTCTATTTCTATGGTTGGTTTTATTTTAAAATGATATCCAATGATTTATTATTCCAATTTAATATTATGAAAATATTCACGTTTTTGTGGATGAAAATTTTATTGAACATGTTCGCACGGATTATCACTTTTGAATCGCTATCAATTTAACACCACCACACAGTGTTCATTGATAAGCTCAAAATTTAAAGAAGTTTGGCATTTACAATATAATGTTAAAGAACATCTTATTTCTGTTTCTCTCCATGCTGAAAATGTTCCTGCCATTCCATATCATTCAAGAACTTGTTCTGAAGAGGTAATTTCTTCACTGCAAAAGTTGAAGAACGGCCTTCTCCAAAATGGTGTCAGAGAGAGTGTTAGAATTGTGACTCACAATGCTCCAAAAACATCAGAAAAAGTAAGCTTTGCTGGAATTAAAACACCTGAAGACAAGAAAAAGGAATTGGAACAAGCTAATGAACCAGGTTTCTTCCGAAAATACGTAAGTACTGATTGGTCTTCCAGTGACAAACAATCTTGAAAACCATTCTTTGAAACACAATGCGTTAATGTTAAACTAATCAAAATTTACTTTTAAATGGTTCCATCTTAACAATAGTGGTATCTTTTGGTTCCAGCAGGTCTCATCCTTCTTAGCTCCATGTTTACGGGTGGTGGTTCTGAATAAATTGGAATTACAAAAGCATGAATTATTTGCTGTTCAAATAAGCGTTGATGACATAATTATTCCAAAACAAATTTTGTAATTTGATGATTATTGATGATGATGCCGTTCATATTCTCATTTGGTTTTGCTGCTGTCATCCACATTGCTTTTCATCATGGAATTCTTTTTTTCCATCTCTAACATCTTTTCAATAAGTCCCTCCTCCTCAATCTCCTTCTCCAACTCCAACCTCACTCTAGCTGAGAACTTTTTGGCCCATTTCTCTTCCATTTCATATTGATGTTTCATTCCGATAAGACCTCCAACCACTACAGCAGCAGTCAGGACAAATACTTTCCAAAACGTTCCAGCTCTAGCCATTTTTTTTTGTTTTTATATATTAAATATTAAACATTTCACAATTCCATGAGGAGAGGATGATTTATCTATTGAATTGGTTCGCATAAGACAATTAATTTTGTTATTGAATTGGCCAGCTCGGAAAAACTTCACAAAATTCAATTTGTAACGTTCACAAAAAAAATGGAAGACGAGAATGTGTAGGTATTATTTTTCTGGATATCATACCTGTGTGATCATCCTTGATAACGGAATTATTAATACAAATTATAACTGGGAACTGATATATTCAACCATGTCCATAATAATGTTGCAAATTCGGATGATGGGATCGTTTGATGAAATTAATATGATTGTTATTAATTATGGAAACTCCGATTCATGATTATTACTATTGACAAACATTGGAACTATTTATTCTCAAATTATTATGAAATCAGTCTTGAACAATTTGAAGACATCGGAGAAGAAGATTATCAACCACAAGAAGAAGAATCAGAAATTCTTCCCGAAGATGATGCAGTTTTAGAAGAAACTGAAGATGCAAATGCTCCATACATTCCAGTTGATAAACATAAAGTTCCAAAGGAAGACAGAAAAACCACTAGAAAGATGACTAAATTTGAAAAGGCTAGAGTTTTAGGTACACGAGCTCTTCAAATTTCCATGAACGCTCCTGTCACTGTCGAATTGCAAGGAGAGACAGACCCACTCCAAATTGCCAGAAAAGAACTTCAACAAAAGAAGATTCCAATGATTATTAGAAGATATTTACCTGACAAATCCTATGAGGACTGGCACGTCAATGAACTTGAAATTGACTTTGATTAAACACAATAACAATTATTTTTCATTTTGTAATTTTATACCTTAATTTCAAGTAGTTTGCTTTTATTCGTCATCACTACTGCTGTCGCTGCTGCTGTCACTGCTACTATCACTTTCGTCGTTATTCTTTTTACAAGATAATTTCTGCTGTGAAGTCTTATTTAACGTCTTGTTGTCATACTCCTCGTTCTTCTCTTCTGTCACCACAGTTTCTGAATGTTCATCATAATCAGTATCTGCAAGTTCAGGTTGCTCTTCCAAGTTATACCTTGAGCCACTGTCTTTGTCAGTTGCCTTCAATACAAGCATGATGGTTTTTGCTCTTTTATATCTCTTATTATCACTCAAAATGTCCTTCATTGCTTTGGTACATTTTGTTCTAATTTTTGGATCTGTCAAAATTGATTTTCTCTCCTTAGAAGATAATTCATGAAGAGCACTCTTTTGAGCATTTCGTCTCTGTGTTTTCACATACTCTGCACAGGTTTCATACAGTTTCACACGATCAAATCCAACCATAGGAGCAATATATTCAAGAAAATATTTGAACCTTTTGCTATCAATAATTTGAGCGTTGAGACATTGATTTATCAATGCTCGTTGTTTAGTACCGTCAAATGTCCAATTTTCTTTGTCATTCTTCCAATTATCTATAAACTCAACCACTGGATGAAGAATAATTTCATCATCATTATTTTCATTCTGATGGTGAGAATTGGAAGAAGGCTGAGGTTGTTCCGATTCCAATTTTCTCTTCATTCCACCGCTTCCTCGTTGAATCTTTGCTGAATATTCATTATTCTCACGATTTGAGAATTGTTGTTGAGGATGAGATGAAGAGCCTCTTCCTCCTCGAGTTGAATAATGATTCGTTCGTTGTTGTCGTCCGCTCGGAATGTTTCTATTCATTTTTTTCTTTGTGCAAATTTAATGATGAACGAGTTCTTAATATTGGAACAGTTTCGTGTGGGGTGAATTTCATCATGTCTTAGAAGTAAATAATCAGGATATGAGGAATGACAAAAAGGTTGGAATGAAATTCTCAGAAAAAGAAACAATTCAATCCCAAAATGCAATATCCAAAAATAACAACGTCTGTGGAATCAAACGATCACTCACAGAGCTCCCTTCAATTAAAACCCAAACCTCATGTTATCTTTCCCTTATTCTTCATCAGCACCGGGTCAATAACAACGTTGTAATTGTTGATAATTTTGAAATTGAAAAAAAAATATGCCAATAGTAAACATTCCAAAGAGCAAGCAAGACCAACACTACAGATACAAGAGACAAACTCTCGAGTTGAAGATTGAAGGTAAAGGAAACGGTATCAAAACCGTGATTCCTAACATGAAGGAAGTATCAGATTCGTTGAACGTACCAATAGAATGTAAGTCGTTTGATGATACGGAATGTTGTTTGTTAATATGTAATTTTAACCTTTCATCTTTTGTATTGTTATATTGTTGTTATGGATGAACAAATCATCACTGGATATTACCAATTTTCTCATCATCGCATCATCATCATCATGATTGAATCAACACTCGGCAACAATTTTTATTACCAATTTTCTCATCATCACACCATCATTTGGATTATATCATTTTCCGTTTAATCACTTTGTTGAACCATATCATCATCATTCTATTGTAATGATTAATTTTATTACTTCAAATAGGGCCAATCAAATACTTCGGACTTGAATTGGGAGCACTCGGTAGTACTAAGAATGATAAAGCCGTCATCAATGGTAAATACGATTTTACACAAGTAGAAGAGGTTCTTGAGAACTTTATCGCTAAATTCTTGTTGTGCTCCAAGTGCCATCTTCCTGAATTGGATTTTACAATCAAGAGTAACAAGGACGCCGTTCAAACAACATGCAGAGCCTGTGGTAATCATGGCCAAATTGATTCTACTGAAAAGCTTTATACTACAATTATTAAACATCCACCCAAGGCATCAAGAGGAGGATTCAAGGGTGAAAAGGAGGCTCCTGAAGCATCTCAAAAGCCATCCAAAACAACAAAATCACAAAGCGGAGCAACAACTGAAAAGGCTGCAATCGATGATGGTACATGGTCTCTAGATATTTCACAAGAAGCTATCAAGAAGAGACGTGAAATGGAAGGTCTCTCAGAAAGATTTAGAGAATTGACAAAAGGAGTTGAGGATGAAGATGAAGAGGAAGAAGAACAAGAAGTATCACCTGTATCAATTTTGAAACAATTCTTGGAGGTTAAACCTAATGCAACTCCTGTTCAAATCTATCAAGCTACAAGAAAATTGAAGAATGATTATAATTTGACTGATAAGGATTGTGTTTGTTTGCTCTATGAAGCTCTATTTACACCTGAGAATATCTTGACTGATATTCCAAAGAGAGCTCCTCTATTCAAGCCATTCATTTCTTCAAGTGGCCAAAAACTTATTTTGGGATACACTGAAGAATTAGTAGGTGTAAAAGATATTAATCTTGTCGCCCAAACATCTGTGATATTACTTGAATTCTTTAGAGCAGATTTATTGACAAAGGAAGTTTTGGAAGAATGGTTGTCAAAGAAAAAGTCCAGATTCATTAAGGATTCTGCTGTAGTGGCCAAGATCAAGGAAGCAGCCAAGCCATTCGGCGAATATTTAATGGCAAACAGCCAATAGAGATCTCTATGAATGGTTAATTTGAAGATTTATAGCGATCTTGGATATCAAATGAAAAGACACCACATTCTTCTCTCTCAACTAATCATCAAATACCATGAACACGAATACTAATGCACTGCAAGATCCCAAAATCCACGTATCAGTGACTACTCCATAAAAAAGTAATTTATCAAGTCGTGTCACAAGTCATTCTTCATTAAAAAAAATGGTTATTTTGTACACTTGTGTGGTGATGGATAGGAAGATCATTGCAGAGTATCCGACCGGTAAGAAGGTACGAATTGATTTCTTCATCATTACTAGAATTCTTCTTCTGTAATACAATTGCTGTTCAAATTATTACAAACACCTCCCGATCCATGGATTTCAACAATTTAATTCCAACCAACAACATATCGCTCTGTCGTGTGTCATGACACAATAGGATATGATGCAACTCATCAACAATTTGCTGGAATACATTCCTAACCGTGAGCACAAGAAATCACTTAATTATGAGAGGTAAGATTTGAAACATAATCAGCACAGAATGATGAATTTATTCGAATTTGTTATGTAAATATTTGATTTGAATATTATTGTTGTTGGAATTGAACGGATACGAATGGTACAATACTACACGTCACAATATATGTAACGACCATCAATGAATGGCCAACCAACATGGCATACCGAATAATGTTGTTATTCCACAAATAGTAAATCTCTTCGTGTGCACTATGAATGTTCGGATGAGGATGAAAAAGAGCCAACACATCGTTATTTTACAGTGATCTCAGTCACAGATGAAATGACACCCTATCGTGTTGTTTTTGGATTGAAGGTGAGTGATGATTTTTAACAAAAACCAAATGACTCGTTACACATCTTGAAATTTAGAGTGGATTTTTCAAGGACATCCAAAAAGAAGTTCGTCAAAAGTATACCAAAGGAAATCGAAATCAAAAGAATTCCATGTTAAGATCTTTTATTCAACAGAAAATGACAGAATGGAACGACCCGAACGTATGTATTTATTGTTATTGTGCATCACACAAAATTGTCATTGGGCATCACCATTTAAATCATTCAGAAAGACAAATTGACTCATTTAGGATATGAAATCTCCAAGAACAAAACTAAAATGATTGACAATCTTGACAAAATTCTTCAAAATCATGAAAGAATGGACTCATTAATCGATAGAACTTCTCTATTGGTGGACAATTCTGATCATTTCCAAAAGCAAGCTAAAAGGTTGAAAAATGTCATGATTTGGAATAATATCAAAATTTTCCTCATATTAATTGGAGTTCTTGCCGTCATTGCATTCATTGGTATTTGGTTAGGTTGTGGATTCCCTGATTTTAAGCGTTGTTCTGTTGATAGTAGTACCAACCAACCAGCCAACAACGATGTCATCTAATTGCCACATTATCATAGTTTTAACATGTATACTAATTCGTGTGTTTCTTGCATTTAGAAGAGTAAAAAGAAGATATACCATGATCATTCTTCACACCTTGTTAAATCAGAGTAAAATTTGAAAATTCTCAATTACTGGAAGTTTAAATCTATTTTCTCTTCTTGGGTGGTGCATTAATTCGGTGTTTGATTCTTAACTTGGGAATATCTTCTGTTTTGTTGGTTTCAGATGAAGCAGTGGTGCTCAGTTCTTGTTGTCTTCTTCTCCAATACTCTGCTGTAAGAGGTAAGCTTTGTGAGAGTGTTTCGTCCTCTTCAGAAGGAGGATTGAACACGTTTGCCTCCTCGATGGTTTGAAACTGTGTGAAATTTGGATAATCATGTTTAAGAGCTTGCTTAATTTGATTCCAATTAAATGTATCTCGATGCTGGTTGTATTATTTCAAATGATTTCAATTTTCATAATAAAATTGATCATGAAATTCAAAATTATCGTCATTCTTCAAAACTCACTGAAAGAGAATAATCTTCATATTTTCTTGAAATGTCCTTGTTTTGGTTGGTCTTGTTCCAATCTCCATGAGCCATTCTGTTATTATGGCTCAACAAATTACGAATATCATGAAACTCCGATGATAAATACAAATTATATTCTCGTTGAACCTTCTCATAAATTTGTGTACACATCTCCGAAATGTGAGCTTCTCGTTTGCTTGAATAATTAATTCTCGGAACAATATACTCGAGTGATGACAAAGATGAAGTTAATTCGTCATGGTCGGGGTTGGGTGTTTGCATTTTTAAAAAATTATGAATACGTTGTTTCATTCAATTTTCAATTCTTAGCCTTGTGTTCTTCACTTTCTTTTCAAAATGATGTCCTCTCAAGACCTCAAAACCTCTTAAATTCCAAGAGAATAATTTGATCCAAAAAGTGTGTAGATGGAACAAAAAACTCAAGTCCAGTTCTTGGATTTCACCCACCACTAACTCATGCTCAGTTCTGCCATCCGCCCATCCTACAGTGTTGCGACTATGATTTGCTCAGTTATCCTGCCTCAACCGATTCATCGCTAATTAGGACCCAACTGACTCTCGCATTCCTGTAGAACCAGATTGGCCACACCGTTGTTGGAACGGACAGAACATCGTCACCTTATTGCTAGTGATGGAATGAGTCCAAAGAACCATTCCCTTGCTCATCGCTGTGGCAGAGTACCATGACAGTTAGACCCCTAGCCTAACCCAGCTTGAGAATAATGAAAGCACAGGGGAATACCAGAGTGTTGTGTTTGGGAAATGGAAACAAAATGTGGTTCTGAAAAAATTGGGTATTTGGAATATATTTTGAATCGGAATGACGTGTCAGAGGATTATGATTCTGGATTCATTTCTGGGCATTCTTCTTTTCTAATTGCTCCAAGTAGACTTGGTTGTTGTCTTCATACTTGGCCAGGCTGTCCACAAACACACAGTTCATTTGTTCTCTCCATGGAAGAGCTCGCAACAAACACTTGACAATTAGTTTGTCGGTAAGGCATGATGTTGATGCAACATTCTGTGTTTCAACACAGCCCAATCCGAGCTTGTGTCGAATTCGATCCACGACTCTTGGGTCATAGCTTGTAAATTCTTCCTCACGTTTCGCAACCATCAATGTAATATCAGATTGATCATCGTGGTTGGTCCCAGAACCAATCACTTCACTTAATGTCCACTGGGTGCTGCAGTCTCTCTCGTCGTATGCTTCATGCCTAAAAGTCAACTCTCCAATAGTGATTGTTGCTCCAAAATTCTTTCGATAATCCATTTCCCATACACGCATCTTTTGAAATTCAACCTTCTCGAAAATTTGTTGGGATACGAGTTGTGCCACTTGGGAGCCTCGTTTTTTCTTAATTTTACCAATGTACTTCTTCCAACTGTCCATTTTCTCATGTTTTGTTTGAATGGAGTCGAGTTGTTCTTGCTGTTGTGTTACTTTGGAAGCAATCGTTGATAACATCTTCAAGATACGCTTGTTTTTAGTGGAAGGTGGCGGAGTTGGCTTTTCCAAAGAGAACCTGGGCTGTGGATCATATTTCATCTTGTTTAATTCGGAAAGGATGCGAGGTCCGATAAATAATTCATGGGTTGCATACAATTCATAATACCATTGCTTGAACATCATTGAGAAGTGAAAACCATCTCTCGGGTTTTTAATAAAATCCATAATGCAACTCAAGAGCTCAAAAGGTAACTCTAAAATGGTCGTGTGATTTATACCTTCTTTCCGATCGTCATCATTGAGTGATTTCTTGATCTTTTTCAACGTTCGGGTGTACTGAGGCTGAACTGTGGATTTGTTGAGTTTCATTTTTTCAAAAAGAAGCTGGAAATGCGTTGATGTCCTCGCTCATGTCAAATCCCGCGGCGAAGCGTTTGTGGTCCTAAATGATCGATCTTTCAAAACAATCAAAATACAAGTAATTGAAATTTCCTCACTTTCAAAAAATGTTCAAATACTTCTCTTCGAGATTGATTCAACTTGGGATTCAACATGGATCTCCCTCCCAATTCATGAATGGTGTGAAGCAACAATTGAGTCATTGTGTTGAGATCTCACAAATGAATCAATCCCTTTCAAATATCATGAGCAACATTCAGGAAGGAAAAAAGGAAATTCTCTCTTCCTCAGTCACCAGTCAATTCTTGGAACAAGAAAAGATGAAAAGAAACAATCCATATCCCAATACTTGGATTCCATTGAGTGCAAGTTTCATTTCTTCTTATAAAGTGTTGGTCCATGAATTGCGTATCCTGGATCATGACCAAGCCATGTCGCTTCTGAGTGAAGCCATTTGTACGCTCGCTCCAGAAGAATATAATGAAACACATGTGATACCTTATTTGGTGAAAAAGAAAGCAACCATACATGATGCACAACATTTGGAGCGAGTGAAAGAATTCATGGAAGAAAATTATAACAAGTTTCCAGGGTTTGACATGTCCACTCAAATTGAACATGAAGAAGCTCAAAAAGGAATTCCTTCTCAGCAGCAACATCAACAATTATCGTCATCATCCTCTACAACAATCTCATTGGTCAAAATGAAAGTGCATTATTGTGTCATACATGCCTTCTTTAAGGCTCACGGCATGGGACATATCTTGCCTGCCATGTGTTCTTTCGATTGCACATGGTCGAGTGCTTTCCATTCGCCTCGAGTGGGACTCAAATTCAGACGAAGTAGAGTTCTGAGTTTGGGAGATGAGTTTTGTGAATTTGCAGTTTCGAAAGATTTTGAAAAGGATATGGAGGATGCGGTCATGAACACCCTTCCACCAAAAAAAACCAAATTCACTATGACTGTAAACAATCATGAAGAGATTCAATAAACATTTGGTTCAGTAAAAGGTTCATCTAGCATGATAATGTCCACCCATTAACTTTTTACTTGGATATTACTGGAAGGTTCTCCTTATTAAACTTGCTTATTGAAATACAACATCTATACCTTTTGTTTTTGATTCATTCAAAATGAGAGGAGTGACTCTACACTGTGCATCTTGATCATTCTCTGTGGGTTTGAAATTTTTCCACACTTGTTCCACATTCGTCTTGACAATTTTCAATGCTTCTCCATTGGGAGCAAATAGAACTGAAAACACAGCATCGTAGCCACCAGCACCAGGAACTCCTGCAATCAGACATCCATTGGCATTCATGGTCTCGTTGAGAAGTTTCGTTTGTGGATTGGGTTCAATTGGAACATTTTCTGCTTGTTCTCCCATGTACTTGAGTTTGGAACGAATGTCATTAAACGAGGTTCGAATGGTGAGCATGGATTCAATAATGGAATGATGAATTGAATGGGTGGATGCATTCGAAAATACGTGTTTCCATTCAGAAGCTGGTTGTTGATAGAGTTTTTCGAGTGTTTGTTCATATTCGAGTGAATGTTCTTTTGCTAGCTTTGAGAGAATTTTGAAATGTTCTTCCACTTGACTATTTAAATCTCGAATGGAATTCCATAATTCATTAGATTCGGTTGGCTTTTCAGATTTCCATTTCAACACACATCTCACCATACTAGGGGTATTAGAACCTTGTTCAACATCTGCAACAAAGAGATGGAAATTTGGTGGTAATTCAAAAGTAGAGTGCTCATTGTCCCATTTCACACTATTTTGCACACGTGGATCTACCACTTGAATAATATTTTCAGCAACAGTTTTCGAGCAAATCATTACAGATTGATCTACTTGTTTCATGATTGGCTCCAAAATACTTGTGTCAAATCTCTTATATCTCTGTGAGCCAAATGTGGCAGCTGACACATCAAAACCACTTCCAATTTTACCTTGTGCCAAGCAATGACAAAACTGAGCCACTCTATGAATTAATTCTCTAACATTTTCATTGGAAGAATCTAAATTTGTAAAGTGAAGAATTAGAGCAGATGTTAATGAGGTCACCATAGCAGCGCTGCTTCCTAGTCCTGTCTTGTGAATTGGTTTTGATGCATCGGGACAGACGTAACATTTTTCAAGAGCTTCTAAATTTTCCAAATTCACTTCTCGTCCCAAATCAATTAACTTACATGGTCATAGTCACCATTAATGAATATAATAAAGTACAGAATTACAAAAAGAATGTAAAGAAAATTTAAATAGCCCTACATTTTGACGTTGTGAATAAAAATCATTGTCAGCTTGAAGCTTGATTGAAATTCTTCTATTTTCAGTTTTAGCTCCTGCTGCTTGTTCTGCCACACACAATGCATACAAAATTGAATTTTCAATATAAGGATTTCGTTTTTCACTGTTTGATTTTAATTCAAACGAGCCGTCCACAGAATTTTTCACAAATTCATATCGAGTGGTGAAATGAAATTGTGGAGAGTTGAGTTCAATGACAAGTGGAGTTCTTAACGGATAATTCAATGTTGCTGTGGTTGCGGAATAAACCTCGGACTCTGTGATGGTCGTGTAAAAGCGAGATGAAGTCGACAAGACTAATCCCGAATAATTGGGATCTAAAACTAGATAGCCTCCTGTAATTAAAACTTTTCCTGGAGCAGAGACGATGGTTCTGGAGTTTCATGAGTTAATAAGAATGGATTTATAGATGAATGAAATAACATTTCGGAATGACATTTCATCATAATCCATAAAAATTCTAGAATGGAGAATGATTGAAAATCAACATACTTTCTTTCGGAAGGAATTTGATTCTCATGTTTCTGTTGTTTCACACAAAAATGTCCGAGAAGAGTCGAAGCAAGCATAAAGCCTGTGGTAAGGAAAGGTTGAGACATTTTTTAACAATTGACAATAAAATTCATATTTAACAATTCACTTTCATGAAAGTTCGCCATCACAAGACAATCTTCAAAGGCTACTCATAGTTGTCTTACTTCATTTCATAAATGTTTTTAGCAATTCCAAGAGCAAGCTTATTTACAATAAATTCGAGAGCATTGGGGTTGTGTCTGAATAGACCAAATGCATGATGCAAGGCGTAAAAGAGGAATAGTAACATGTCGATATCTTCCATGTATCGAGTAAGCTCATCAAAATATCTTTCAGCAACCGTTCTAATTTCACTGTCACTATGAGGTTCTGTAAAATACAAGAGAAATAGAAAAACTTTTCCTGCTGTAAATCCAAGTGAATGTACAATTTCAGTTCCATTTACAGTTTGATGTACAAGAGCTCTCTCCAAAGACACGCTAGAGGATGCAGTTGCCAATTCTGAAAACGATTGATCCTCTCGCATTCTTTTTTTCTGTGCACTGCTGTCAATTGCGTACTGTGAAAAAGGATGTCGGTATGAGTGATAGCCATTAGAAAATGGTTTGACCTTAAATAAATCTAAAAACGTTTCCAGCTTGTAGAAGAGTTTGTGATTCTTCATCCTTTCATCATTCACAACTGTGTGCCAAATTAAAAATGTACTCTTTTCACTGATGACTTCAGAAAACACTTGATCAAGCAATTGAAACATCAATCCCCATGATACCATATCAAAGTGGCTCTTTCCAATATCTAACGGTAATTCATACAGAACAGTACTTTTAGGTGGTTTTTCTTTCAGCTTTTTGTACAATTGTTTCATTGCTGGAAATTCTCTAACCAGTTCCTTGGCAACAAATTTATGAATACCATCTTTTCCTTCCGTAAATAATTTCTGAGCAATAATCACAGGATTTGCACAAGATCGCATGATTCCGCTATTGATGATGGGAAGAATCACATTGTACAAATCGGGTTGACGACGTAAATCATCAATATTAATATTTTGTAACCACTCATCGGAAATTGATAAAACCGCACTGTTTCGATATGGATTACATTTATGACTCTCGGATTCTATGGGATTATTATTTCTTCTTTCAATCTCCTCTTCAAATGTTCTTTCAATGTACAAGGTATAAATAATTTCTAATCGCATCCATCCTACATCATCGTATTCATCCACAACATCCGAATCCAGCAAACGATGAAGTGAAGATGAAAAGACAGCGGGTGTTGGAATTGTGTGCGACATGTGTTTCTATTTTTTTTGTAAAGTTGAATGAAAAAACACAATGCCTAGTTTTCTCTTAATTGGGTTCTCACCGCTCGCACGATCAATCACCTTAAAACATAAATCGTAACTCAAAAACAGATGTTGTTAAGATCTTGTAATTAACAAATGATAATTCTCAGACATGTCTCTTTGTGTTCCTCCTAACCACTTGAGTCCATTCAGAGATTGCATCAGAACAATTATGGAACACTTGAAAAAGACACAAAATGCCAAAAAAAAAGAACAAACTCCCCACGACCACCGTTACACAAGAAGTCACTCTCGAAAACTTGTGTCTTGCCCACTACACCATTGGCTCACAGGCACGACCACCTTATGAAATTTCCAGCTATGGCGATTGGGATTTAACCATTTACAGAGCCAAATTAAATGATCCGAAATTGCAAATTCACACCCTTCAAGATTTTGTGATGAAATTTTGTCAAGATCAACTGAGTGATGATTTTTCCCCAATTGAATCCAATGAAAATGGAGAGAATTTGTCGTTGATGGATCGTTTGAATATTTACTTTGTGGAGAATGATAAAGCTGTGGAGCCTCCTTTCAAGACCTTTGGAGGATTGCCTGAACAGTTCACAGAATGTGTGACCATTCGAAGTGATGGAAATTCTAAATGTATCGTCGGAAAGGCACTTGGACATGTGTATTACTTTAGTTATGGAACTTCATAGAGTGTCAGATCCACAAAAAAAAATTATCATTTTGCATAATTGACAATAAATTGTTCGTAATTACACTTTTTAATTCATCATCACCTCTTGATGCGTTTTTGACATTGCATCTTGTAATTCACACAACACATAAATAATATTGAGGTGAACAATTTAAGGATCAGTGGTCAATCCATAGATCCATAAATCATGATAATGGCTACAACAATGCCACAAATTAATCATGATGAGAAGGTGAATTTGGTACCTTTCTAAGTTTTCTTTGTTTGAATTTTGCATTCTTTGCGAGTGTTAATGGTACCGAGTAAATGACAGCATTGACAATACTGTGAGGAACCCATCCATTAGGATCAGCCTGAGTGGAATACGTAACATGTAAATCACCATTTTCTAACTCTTCCATTCTCATGCAAACGAAAACGTTTGTGGCTCTTACTGCACCTTTTTGAGGTGTCACATGTGAAGGCAATTCGACGACGTCGTGACAACTTGTGGATGCAAAGAACGTGACATTATCTTTTTTGAATGTTTTGGTAATGTAAACAAAGTCTCTGTCGGAAACAAATGCTGAATCGATTGTTTTCAGTTATCGATGATGTCAGTGGTCATTAATTTTCGAAATTTGTATTTGTTCACACGAATATTCATACATGGAACCAACACACTTACGTCCTGTACTGATCACATAATACATGAGCTTCCAAATTCCATCTTCATCCTCCCATTTCTCAACCACTTCAATTCTCTTTGAATTACTATCCAATTGATGCTTCACTGACAAATCCAATGAAACAAACGCTTCCAAAAACTCATCTGGTTTAATTTGTTCACAAATGGTATCTCCTCGAATAATAGTCGTCGTATCTGTCTTTTTATAATAAATATCAATTTCTTCCTTGGTTCCGTGATGTGTAAAAGTACCATCGTTCAAAGCTTCTGAACTTGTCATGTGGGATGCAATTTTAAATGCTTGATTCCATTTTGTTTTAATTTGAGATTTTTGAGAATCAGAGAGGTGGGAATGTGTGGATGGTTGTGACATGGTGTTGTTGGAATTTGTTTAGGATTATTTGATGATCGGAATCGAAGACAGAGATCACAAGAATGATGATTTTTTTTTTGAAATTGAGGATCGGTTCATGATCCGTGCACGATTGGTTGGGTGTTGGAGAGCTAACATTCAAGGATGGTACATGAAGACACTAATGCGACGAAACATGAGATGGGTTGTATGTCAATAATTTACAATTTCCATGAATTCAGCCAAATGCCTTTTTGGAAAATCCTCTTCGGATTGGAATTTTCAAGTCTTTAAAATTTTTATTAAAAA